TGAGAGACATGTCTGAAAAATACTTGATATATGCTCTGAAAATTTACACACACTCAGGATGATTATCTTTGATGGTCTCTTACACAATTCGATTTGGTTTTGTTGAGGTCCCCGTCTATAATTTGTTATTCATGTTGCCTTTGGTCTGCACAGCCAGTTCTTGGTTGGTGAAAGTGTTGTGGTAACATCTACTTGAAACAGCTGTATCATTTACGGTACTTTTGTTGTTAAAGTAAACTGTTTATTGAAATAATATTCGCTGGGGGAAACCATGAAATGTTAGATGGCAAATTTATATGCCAAACTCAAAATACCAGTTAGGTATGATGAGCATGGAGAACTTGCTTCGCTGTCTCACTCACTGCCTCGGTTCTGTTTCATGTAATATAATAGAAAATATGAGTACGTCTTAAAGTATATTTAGAAATTCTTGCTCTCTTGATGGCAAAATGAGTATCAGAAATCGACCAAACAAATGAATAGTGAGTAATCACTCCCAGCAGCCATGTGTTATCTAAGGAGAGGTTTATTTAAAAAATTATCCGAATTAAATACATCAGATAACGCTCTGTTCTCCAGGAGATTGCTGCCATGACCATTTCCAGAGCTATAATTTCTTTTCTCTCTGACACAAAATGCTTCCAGATGAACGTCTCGTTATTCTTTCGGAGTCTCTGGATTACTCTCAGTCCTGTTTATCTCACTTCATTGTTTTCGCTCTGGTCATTGGCTCTCTGTCATGCTCGCTGTGTCTGTCTCTGTGTTTCACTCCCCCTGCAGCTGTATTTCAGGCTGTTTTACAGTTATAATAACATGGTGAAACCCCCGGCACGACATGCTTTTAAAAACAGACTAACAAATAGTGTGCTAATAAAATGCCATGGCTCGTCTAGGTGCAGCCTTTTACGTTCTAATCCAATCATAAAAAGTGTTTGGAGGGAGAGTTCAAACAGCAGGGTGCAATGATAATAATATGTGTGAGGTTCAAACGCACCAAGTGTATAAAATTTATGAAAAGAACCATGTATAGGGTTTCACTGAGCTAAATGAAGCACTTAATGAATCTGGCACGAACCTGGCTTATAGGGTGGGAGATACATGAAACAAGTATGAGAGACTGTCAAACATTTATTGGTTGAGACAAGTTTTGATGGAAGTTTTCTGTGTAAAAGTATTTGGTTCCTGGTCTGTCCCTGTTTTATAAGCAGATCCTTTAGAGTTTGAAACAAATCACAGCTGTTTGATTTAAGAGGCAACACTTGTTGTCATTTTGAGTTGCTCAGACAAATAACACGTAGTGAAATTCAGTATCAAACTGACTCTGCGTTGAAAAATTCTAACATGAAAGGACTTTAATTTAATTTGGGCCAAAACGGATTAATTTTTCTGACATGTTTCAGCAAACATTTAATTTTCAAATGCAAATATGAATTTGATCAAATCAGTCAAATGCAGATCTTTCCTCGTAACATTTGTGTATCGGAATTTCCGAGACGTGCATTATTTACACCTTGTTTGTTTGGAGTCGTCTTCTTTCCCTGCCTTTATTTGGCCCTATGCTGTGTCTCTTGGCACATATAGTCACCTGTAGATCAACAGAATAATCTATGACCAGGGGCGGACATGTGTATCACATCACCCACAAGTGTGAGCATGTGTGTCTTTGCGTGCAAGAGACAAACAGAACCTTTTTTTGGTGATTGTTCTCTCACGTCACAAGTGGTAAAAAAAAATCCACAGGGGATTGTCTTTATTTGTTCCACTAGCTGAACCTTTTGGAACTGACCTCTGTTATTGACATTTTAATTTAACTTTAATGCCAATAAAGAGCTCATATTTAAAAATGACACAATGTTTGCAATCAGTCCCTTAGACTGCGTATCAATACCTCTGGGTCAATTTCACCAAACACATTGCTGCTTTTAACAAAGTTCAAGAGCTCAGGCGTGTTTTCTCTGTGCACAGATCTGACACACAACAGTCAGTTACTCCAGGCCACTTCTCTCCTAAGGACTTGCAATCGTGTTTTAAAGGTCATGAGTCCATTGTGGGCATTTTCAGTAATGGACAAGGGTCAGCATGGCCACCCGACCCGTCTGCAGAATGAACTCTTAAAGCATGTTTAGCTCTGATAGCTCTTGTGTTAGATTTGACCACACAGGCCAGCCTTCGCTTCTCATGTGTATTAATGAGCCTTGGCAGCCCATGACCCTGACGGTGGTTCACCAGTTTTCCTCCCGCTGTACCTCCCCATAAAAACCCACAAAAACCTTCAGTTACGGCGATACTTTGACCGAGATGTCTAGCCATCCCAATCCATCTCCGTCAGTACTGCTACCGTCTTTAAACTTGAACATTTCTCTCTGACTGGCACAGGCAAACACATTTTTGTGTCCTAAGTGGAATCACAAAGAAAAAAAACAGCAAACCCCAAAAACTAACAAAGAAAGTGAACGCTTTATGAATCACTCGCATGGAACACTTGAGTTGTAGTGTGGTTTTGAGTTCCTTCAGACGTACAGACAGCCAGAAAGGCTCGCAGGAGAGGCAGTGAGTGGGAGGAACCCTTAGCTGCTCACACAGCACTCACACACATTGATCAGCCATTCTTCGCTGTTTCATCTGCAGCAGTAATTAGTTAAAATAAAAGAAGGACAAAAAGGCCTCATTATCACGATGAATCTCTCGAGCGTAAGGCCAAATAAAATTCCTTCTGGGTCAGAGCAGCGTTTGGACCCATCTGAAGTCTTCCTTAATCTTCTCATAGCTACTGGCTTTAGTGGAGCCATAACCATAACACTGAGTCACTCAACTGTTCATTAGCTTCTGAGAGGAACGTCTGTGTCATGTGTTATGACAGAAGATAACGAGAGCCAGTATTTTGTGTTTTATTTTCATAACCCTCATTAGAAAAAGATGACAAGTTTGTGGTTCCATGAGAGCATTCACATACACATGCTCACACAGCCAGGAGTTTATACGCAGAGTTTCCCAACTCACAGAGCAAAACAAATATCTTTTATCACATTTACATCTGTTGCTTTCAACACCACCCATAATCTCATTTGTATTTACATTTTTATTTACATACAAAAGTTAGTGGTAATCTATCATGTTGTCTCGGCAGATTATATATGTAGATGTCACACACAAACGTGTTTTTGTGTGCGCACACATGCCGAGGCTTGTCTATGTCCGTATGATAAATCCATGTGGTTTTATTTTTGACAAGCAAAGCACCGCTGTCTGTTGCTTTTAGGTAACAGAGCTTCTCAATCTCTGTCGTGCCTCCCTCTCTGTCTCATTGTAAGGATGGATGTCTTTTTAATGGTGGGGGTGGGAAAGGCAGTGCAGAGCTGGAGAACAGGAGCTGATGTTGGAAGGAGAACAGACGCATTACCCTCTTTTGGACTTCTTGGTAGCAGCTAACTTGCCAGGAGGTTTCTCTGTTTGCTTTCTGTGATCAGTTGTGAGCTTGCTGAGTAATTAGTCAATGATCTATACTATCCTGTGGTTCTGAGTTTGCGTCTGTGATTCCATCTCCCTGCTCGCTGTCTGAGAATTATCCCTGAGAGGTCACAGGTCGGAGTTTCATAGTGTTTCATTAAAGCTCCCTATCACTTTGGAGGCCAGGTCTTTCTTTAGTGGGAAGAGAGTTTTTCTGGCGAGACAGAGATGGATGCATTGGTTGTTCGTGTGCGGAGCAGGTGTTGTCTAGAGGAAAGAGTCTGGTGCGTGTTGTGTATATGTGTTTGGGTGTGTGTGTCCAACAAAGACTCATGTGAAACAACATGCATGCGAGAGGCCAGACCACAGGCCAGAGGAAATAGCTTTAGTGCACAGTGATGTCCTGAACTGGCCTGGTTTATAACTGAAGGTGTGCTGCTGTCATCCACTCCAACAAAACAAACTGCTAAACATACAAAGGCGACATGTGTTTCTGTTTACCTGTGACATCTGTTGTAGGGAATTAGTCATAAAAAGCGCTCGAAACATTTACTTAACTGCCATTCTACTGAGCAACAAAGCACGCATGGTGGAAACAGTTCACATTTTCGAGTTACCATTTTAATACGATTATTGAATTAGTAAAGATAAACAGTGCAATCATTATTAGGAAACCTTTCGAGGTATTATTGCATAATATTTACGTAATGTGAAAATGAAAAGCAGGGAGGCTAAAAAGAAATTGTTGGTCTTTTTCGTTATGACACTTTTTATCCCCTGGTATACAAACACAGAGAATTATGAGGAATAAACATGAGGGATGTCCACTTGATATCTAATAACTTCTTACTTCAAATGCTTTTCAGCTGGCCCTAATAGGATAGGTGCATTAGTAACAGGAATTTTCAGTTATTTTCTCCTTAATCGTTTCTTTGAAATCAAAAGCAGAAATGCATGAAAAGACTAAGCTGGCCTGTGTTACTTCAGTACTCAGCAGTTTATACATATTATTCTTTTAAAGTGAACCAAAAAGCACAATCTTAAAACTTTGGACAAGTAGGGCTTCCAAATAACATACATTAACCTTATTTTTACATTATTTACAATACTATATAAATGCTAATCTGGTGGTTTTAGATTTAATGTTTTGCAATTGATCAAGAAGAAAATCGTTTCTTTTGTTTTTAAACCAAATGATCAAAATTCAAAGGGTCTTAATTTGTTCTTTTTTTGTTACTCCTAAAAAAAGTTGGTGTTTATCTTCCCTTCTAATTGATAGAGTGAATTCCAGATATCATTGCAACTCTACAAAATATGCAATGTAGTCATAAAGAGTGGATAATACTGACTGATGCCTTACTTCATTGACCACCTAATTGCCGTTAACATATGTACAACAACTGCAGACATACACAGACATACACAGACAGTACATCTTGCCTGCTTGAGCCAGTAAGTCAAAAAGGACATCATTCCTTATTGGAGACGATGACATGCTGAAAGGATGAAAACACAGCACAAACAGTCCTGGCCAAATGGAGGGATAGCATGAGTTTACGGATTAGTCCTTCCCACAGGGCGGAGGGGCCTGTTTCACAATGTGCTTTCACTCAGCCCATATCTAGAGTTGCGTGAGAGATTTCCATATCTCACACACTCTTGTAAATCACAATTGAACAGTAGTAACTCAGAGAACGAACTCCAAACATGTCTGCTTTCAATTTGGGCCCTGAGGTCCTGCCAAGGCTGGGACAGGCTGAGAGACCACCCCTCAGCCCAGATTTACTGGCCTCATCACCCCTTAGGACTGCAGGGAACGCCTGCCGTGCTCCCGTCACTCCAGGACACACACCTCACACCTCTGCAGCTGGCGGGGGGGTTGTGTGTCAGGAGGAGTGTTTTTTTTCAAAGATTTGAAGCCCGTAAAAACACACGCATTAATTGCGTGCAAGCAGGAGAAGAAACAGCTTTAAAAACTTGACAAAATAAAGTGAAAGGATGCAGTTTTCATTTGCTTTATTTCACATCTCTGGCAAACATTGTAGATGTTTTGAATTTCCTGTTGAACATTATTTAAGGCTGGAAGAAATGCTGGGCTTCATATTGAGAATGCTGTGCTGTGTATTGTGAAGCTTTTGTCAAAACAGGATTTCTTCAGTGCACTTCGCTTGCACTTGAGTATTGGCTCACTCCAACTATTAAAATTTCCCAATGTGTACAAGACAGAGAGTTATATTCCCTGTCTTCAGCCTCCTCCTGGCCTTACTCAGCAATTTGACACACAAGTTCACATTTTGAAGATTCAATACTCCCCAGTTCACAAACTGTCTAATTCTGTAACGTGGAATGCATGTGAGTCAGTTTTGGAGCTCATCTGAGTGGTCTCTGCAGTGTCTTCTGCGTGGTCACACCACTCGTCTGTACTGAAGACCAATGTAGCTCTGGGGCCACAGTGAAGAAGATGCCAGTGATTGTGCAAAACTTGTTGAGGTCAAAGAAAGCAGCTGTAGCCCAGCTTACTGTGGTGTTTGCAGACTTATAATTCAGATAACTTTGGCTGACATACCCCTGTAGGAGGTCTTGGACCTCTGATCTGCAGTGGTACAGTGTTTTGTTAGGATCCCTCTAAAGGGCTGTGTACAAGTTTGGACGTAAAGGAAAAATCTACAGGATGATGTCGCAAACAAGGCCTAAGGTGAGCATTAAATGGAAAGTTTGGTGTTTTTGAAGTGGGGTTGTATGACTTACATGTCACTAATGTAGTGGCCACAGTGGACACTGGTCAGTTCAGCTCCTTTTATAAGAAACTGCCTGGAGAGCTGGCACGCAAACTGAGCCTCAGTCTTCTACAGACCTACCGGCAATTTCCACCGCATCCGGAACAGATACGAAAAGGCCGTATCCACAGATAGAAGCTGATAGAACAGATAGAAGCTGATCGTAACCATTCAAGTTAATGCTTCTTTCCGTTCCGCTGCGAATCACCAGACTCCGCAGCTCATCGCCAGAGTATGCCGGATAAATTCAGCACAGATTAACCTGTGCTGGAAAGGAAGTTGGGCACAGACACAAAATAAAACATCTGTCTTCTTTTCAAAATAAAACACTTTGTGTTTCAGGCAGATCGTATTTCACACCATGCAAACGTGCGGAGATGAACAAGTGAAAGGTTTATAGACAGCATTTCACCCCGATGACACCATGGATGAGGACATGTTAATTGTTAAGTCTAGAAGAAGATTTCCTCCTCTGGAAGGACACAGTCTACTGCTTATATGGTTAGCCTACGTGGTTAATTAATTTCATGATTGCACATGAATCCGCAGGTTCTTGTGAGTTCTCACGATTCCTGCTGTCCGTAATCCACTACTAAATTCACCTCACAAACGGACCCGGTAGGAATTGGCGCACAGCGAAAATCACTGCCGTTCCGGATCGGAGCCGCTCCGGATGCGGTGGAAATCACGAGTGTTCAGCTGCTCTCAGGAGCAAAACTGACAGGCATCTGTTGTGGCTAGCTGACACATAAGTGACATACACTCACCGGCCACTTTATTAGGTACACCTGTCCAACTGCTCGTTAACACTTAATTTCTAATCAGCCAATCACATGGCGGCAACTTAGTGCATTTAGGCATGTAGACATGGTCAAGACAATCTCCTGCAGTTCAAACCGAGCATCAGTATGGGGAAGAAAGGTGATTTGAGTGACTTTGAACGTGGCATGGTTGTTGGTGCCAGAAGGGCTGGTCTGAGTATTTCAGAAACTGCTGATCTACTGGGATTTTCACGCACAACCATCTCTAGGGTTTACAGAGAATGGTCCGAAAAAGAAAAAATATCCAGTGAGCGGCAGTTCTGTGGGCGGAAATGCCTTGTTGATGCCAGAGGTCAGAGGAGAATGGCCAGACTGGTTCGAGCTGATAGAAAGGCAACAGTGACTCAAATAACCACCCGTTACAACCAAGGTAGGCAGAAGAGCATCTCTGAACGCACAGTACGTCGAACTTTGAGGCAGATGGGCTACAGCAGCAGAAGACCACGCCGGGTGCCACTCCTTTCAGCTAAGAACAGGAAACTGAGGCTACAATTTGCACAAGCTCATCGAAATTGGACAATAGAAGATCGGAAAAACGTTGCCTGGTCTGATGAGTCTCGATTTCTGCTGCGACATTCGGATGGTAGGGTCAGAATTTGGCGTCAACAACATGAAAGCATGGATCCATCCTGCCTTGTATCAACGGTTCAGGCTGGTGGTGGTGGTGTCATGGTGTGGGGAATATTTTCTTGGCACTCTTTGGGCCCCTTGGTACCAATTGAGCATCGTTGCAACGCCACAGCCTACCTGAGTATTGTTGCTGACCATGTCCATCCCTTTATGACCACAATGTACCCAACTTCTGATGGCTACTTTCAGCAGGATAATGCGCCATGTCATAAAGCTGGAATCATCTCAGACTGGTTTCTTGAACATGACAATGAGTTCACTGTACTCAAATGGCCTCCACAGTCACCAGATCTCAATCCAATAGAGCATCTTTGGGATGTGGTGGAACAGGAGATTCGCATCATGGATGTGCAGCCGACAAATCTGCGGCAACTGTATGATGCCATCATGTCAATATGGACCAAGCTCTCTGAGGAATGCTTCCAGCACCTTGTTGAATCTATGCCACGAAGAATTGAGGCAGTTCTGAAGGCAAAAGGGGGTCCAACCCGTTACTAGCATGGTGTACCTAATAAAGTGGCCGGTGAATGTATAACTCATACAACCCAACTTCCAAAATTCGAGACTCAGCAGTTCAAGGGGAACAAGTAAACAGCATGAGAAGCTTTTTATTTTGCAGAAACACAAGATCAGTTACATGACACGTTGAAGTTCAATAAAGCTTTGGAAGATTTTATGTAAACAATAGTAGATGGGTGAAATTCTGTCCAAAGACCTGTCCTGGGGGACATATGTTGATTTGTTGACCTCCTGGGACTCGAATTTTGCATCGTGGCTGTCATTACATGAGAGACCAGTAGTGGCCATGTTCGGACTTAAAGCTGTTTTCACACATGCATTGAGAAAAAATCCAGAAAATACCAGGAGTTCTGACCCTAAATTGGACCTGACTTTGCTGTTCCAAAACTGTGTCTCTGTATAAGGCTGTAAACCAGAGTAGTTTTGCTGTCAAGTTGGATATTTGATTATGGGGTACGAAGGGGAATGACCTGATTTGAATTCAGACTCAAGTGGCCATTTATGTGCCCTTGACATTTGGTTCATTGTTCAGCCCAGACGTTTCTGTTTGATGCAGATCTGACTGAAATGAAGACTGCCAGGCATACTTGTTTTATGCCTTCATGTGCTTATGAAAAGTGATTCAATTTCCATTTCCATAAAAAGGAACAAAAGTTTCCTCATTTATTTCCTTTTTTTCTTTTTATATTTGTCCTTGAAAATATCTCCATCCTTTTTATTTCACCCTGTTTATTTTACACAAACTCTTGTTTCCTAGTCTTCCAAACTCTGGCAGGATATCATAGATAAATAAAAAGCTGTGTACTGATTGCATGCCCAGAAGGACCTCACAGGAATAATTTGTCATTGATATGATTTGAGTCATTGGCTGTTTACACTGCAAATTCCAAGGCAATGAAAGATATCACAAAGGTATCACAATATTTAATTTCACTTTCTCAGTTGCTCAGTAGTAAGACCATGGTTTGCCAGACAAGTCTAGGGTAGCTCCAAAACCACAACAATTGTGGACAAGAAAAAAGGGAGGCTGGTAGAACAAACATAGTCCTGTGGTCAGAGGGAACCACACACTGAGGCCATGTGGGACGTGAGGAGAGCTTGTTAAAGCACCCAGAATAATGCATGTGGGATTATGGACACCACTGTGTTTACTGATCCACAGACAACCTGTAACAGCTAACAGACATGGCTTACTCATGAAGATTCTTCACAATAATGTTCACACATTTCTCAGTTTATGCCCCTCTGAAACTAATAACTGACAACTCGCTATTCGACTGTTACATAAAGAGCAGCAGTGGTTAAAAAAATCATGCTCTGTCTGACTGATTATTTAGGGATGAGAGTCTTGCATGAAAATGTATGACAGAATTTCTGAGAACCTGAATAATCAGCTTACATTGGAGCTAAGTAGGAACAGAGGGTGGTGGACTGGTGTTTGCTTTCCATTTTCAGCCCTGGCACAGATTCAGGCCACCTTGAAGAATCTGAAAACCATTATCCAGGACTGTTGGTCAAAAGTGCAGACTGTATAGGATATCACGATGCTGTGCCTCACAGTGAGACGAAGTGAGAAGGATGAAGATGGAGGAGGAGAAAGGAGAATGGGGAAGGGAGGTATCATGGATGAGATATCGTGCGAAAGCGAGAGGAATTGAGACTAACAGAAGTTCAACATGCCTTCCTGCGTAGACATCTCAATTACATCCAGCTCCCCTTGTCATTCATGTGGATGTGTTTGGTTTCACAGAAACAAAGGCATCCTCACAAAGTGATGTAATTCAGAGCGGCCGTATGTCCATCTGAAGTTACCTTCATGGTTGTCTGACACATCACCTCTTGCATGCAACAGCAGATTAGGTATAGACAGGCCTGTAGACAGACCTTTCCCCTCTATTGTCTCTTCCACACGCAGGGGATGAACATGCATAAAGAAGGGTCACGCACATGAAGACAACATCAATCCCTCTCTCTGATGGTTCTGAGCAAGCTGCTGACTGATATGTCTTTAAAGGAGCCTGTAATGAGGATAGGCATGTGTAAATGTAGGCCTTTGAGTGTGACCTGATATGTGGCTCTTAAATGTGGGCTGTAGCTGGTTTTGTCCTCATAAATAAGTGGCTGTGTCCGGGTAACAGGCCAGGCCGTGCCATTGCAACTCGATCATTTAGGTAATCTGTTTGCTGTAGAGCTTTTAGCTGTTTTTAGTATTTTTAGACAGTGGTAGCTCAACAAATGTTGTGTGTTTATTTAACTGTGCCCAATAAGAGAAGATAAAAGAACTTTATCAATCCCCAAAGAGAAATTCAATACTGTACCTGTTGCCAAGGATGACTACAAAACAAAACTGGAGTAAGCTGAAGGAATGACTCACGTCAAAGTATATAAACTCGATGCTCATACATACTTTAATTTGTCCTGCTCTGTGTCTGCATCCATTTAGCTTCAATCACTTACAGAGGCTGTCAGTCTCAATCAGGCACACAGTGAAAGTTAATTATTACTAAACACTCGAACATCAAAGACGGGAATAAACTTATCTGACATACATGAAACTGAAAAAATCATATTATTCACTGAATACATAAAAATACAGCCCCCACCCCCAAGAATGATATCATATAAGAATATCACATATGTAAAGTTTTTACCTGTTTTATACTCATTTTTCAGATTTATTATGCTCTGAACAGTTTTGAGCACATGCTCTTTGTACGACATAATTAGTGAATGACCACCAAGCCTTTGTCTATAAACTAGAAAAGCTCAATCAGTAGGACAAAATAGCTGTAAATATTGTGTTTTTGTGATGGATGATTTCAGCAACAGTAGGAGGATTGTCCAAAACCGGTTCAAAAACTTGTGAGAGTTTTTCAAAGTGGGCTGAGGCTGGTGTCAGTGCATCAGGGGGCCATCACACTCAGAGGTCCTCAGGAAAGGAGCTACAAATATCACATTCCTAATATCAATGTCAAGTCTCTCCTGGCAGCGTCAAGAGCAGGGGTTCCTAGGCTAAAGAGAGGGAAAACTGGACTGTTGCTCAGTGGTCCAAAGTCCTTTCTCCAGACGGAGACAAGTTTGTCATGTTTACTTGGATACTGAGGTCATCGAGTCTGGAAACAGAAAAGTGGGGAGGCACAGAATCCAAAGTGTTTGAAGTTTTCTGTGAATTTCCACAGATTTGGATGATTTGAGGTGTTCTATCATCTGCTGGTGTTAGTTTACTGTGTTTTATCATGTTTGAAGTCAACGTAGCCGTCTACCGGGAAATTTTAGAGCACTTCATATTTAACAAGTGATGATTCCCTCCATCCCAAAAAAGGCAAGTGCAGAGCAGTCTCCCCTATGTTTTCATTCTTTTTTTCATAGTTTGACCACCTGCAACTTGCATATGTCATGTTAGTGCCAGTTAAGACATAAAGTAGACTGATTTCCTCCATGCCACACCACACTGATGCGGTCATTAATGGTTAAGGAGCCTTAACCAAGCATTGAGTGTGTAAATTAATTCAGAAATTGGATATTTCAGTGTTTTAAATCCTTTATCTGGTTGATCTTGTTAAATATTGTAACGATTTGAGATACTTCATTTCTGATTTTCTCAAGTTATATTCCATAATCATTAAAATAACAACAAACAAGGATTGAATTATTACATTGTGCATGTAAAGATCACATAGAATATATTATTTTTGATTAAATTAGCATAATAATTAAGTTTTCCTGATATATATATATATTTTTTTTGGGGGGGTGCACCTGTAATTAGTGTAACAGACCATATATTTCCATTTATTCCTTTTCTCTCTGTAGCAGCTCCAGTGATGGATTATAAATGAATGTTTCCAATTTCAGTCATTTGTTCTCTGTGTAGTCTCTGATCTGACATTGTCCAGAGATTCTCAGAGAATGGTAAAAGTATCTAATTTTGACTTTAAGAGGTAAATTATCCCTCATTAATGAGAAAACAATATCTTTTCAAATATTGGATCATTAAATGAGCTCATTCCAAAGTAATCATCCTTTAACAGCGATCGTGACAGATCCTCAGCAGTCTACCTCTGCCTCTCACGCTAACACATTGATGTCATTTAAAGTCTCCTTTCCTAAAGGATAGTTTTTTGTAGACACCTTAGGAGCAACATACATTAGTGAGAACAAACGAGGGCAAAATGTAAGAAAATAAGACTTTATTTAACACAGAGGTTCGGTCCCATAAATGAGGAATTTCACTTCATATTTAACAAGTGATGATTCCCTCCATCCCAAAAAAGGCAAGTGCAGAGCAGTCTCCCCTATGTTTTCATTCTTTTTTTCATAGTTTGACCACCTGCAACTTGCATATGTCATGTTAGTGCCAGTTAAGACATAAAGTAAATGAAAACCAGACCTGTGCTTTGGGGTCTAGTGAGTCTAGTAAGGGGGACATTAAAGCCTTGAGTTTCCTCCAGGGGAAATGTGTTTGCCTGTTTTCCCTTTACTGCTCAGTGCTTGCATGCTAAGCTGTAATTTTCAGGCTCTGGTGTGTGTGTCTGTGTTTTTGTGTGTGTTAGAGGCCAGTGGTGGCGAGCTCTGAGTAGAAGAGACGTTTGTGCATGTGTATCTATTATGTGTGTGTGTGCGTGTTTGTGTGTCTGCTTTTATCTGGATGTCATCATAACCACAGAAATCAGGGCCTGATACTATCTACCCCTACCCCCTTCTTCTATCCCCATCCAGAGTCACGAGAGCCGAGGGTCTCCTTTGGCCACACACACTTGACACACACAAACACACACAGACAGATGCTGACACTGACACATAGACACTGCATCATACTTCCACATTTTGTAGGTAAACATCTCCAGATTGGTGAAGCAGGATGGAATTCCCGCCTTTTGTGGGAAATGTGCCCAGAACCATTTGTAAACCCTCTTCTCTGCCGCTTCCTAACTCCTTACAGATTGTAAAACTCTGATTTCTATAGTAGGGTAACTGCAATGGAGTTCTCAACCCTTCTTAATGTGGGACAGAAAAGAACCAATGCAATCTTGCATTTATCATAATATGTTTACCTTTCATGTGCTGGAACTCCATGTTAGTCCCATCTATTCATTTGCTGTGTATTTTACAAACATACACACGAGGCTATAGCCTGTTGCCTCTGTGTAAATATGTGGTTTGCAGACTTCAGCATAACCCAGACAGTTTACATGTAGACAACACTATGAATGTTATAGATTTACTGTATTGTCTTGTATGTTATGCATTAAAGCCTTGAGTTTCCTCCAGGGGAAATGTGTTTGCCTGTTTTCCCTTTACAAGCTTAAAAGCCTACAATCACATGAAGCGTTGGCAGTCATCCAGCTCTTACTTTAGTCATGGCTCAACCTGAGCCACATGCCTCATCTCAATCAGTAATAGATCCTGATATGTGCAATAACATAAGTTTTATCATACTTAGCATAGATCTCATGCTTTAAAATATAAATTGTTGTGGCAATCCAGTTTGAGTTCATTAAAATGTCTGCATGCAGAGCGTCAACCGCAGGCCCTGGTATCTTAAACACCCGCCTCAGCTTAAATCCAGCACATGACCTCAACCTGTCTTCAACCAGTCTTGCCCTCACTTCAACTATTCTCCAAGCTTTTCCAGTTATTTAGCTTCATCACAGGTTCAGCAGCTTCAAATGAAACCACAGAGAAGGAAAAATACTGAGGTTTTTCTTTTTTCATTTATCTTTCTTCATTTATTCTCATCCAAATGTTGTTAACAACGCCATCATCTGCACATGGGGGCACAACTGTTGTCCTGATGTGAGTTTGATGATGCCTCTTGTTTAATGCCTCTGTTAACGATGATCTGGGAGGATTTCTGTGACTGTGAGTTAACATTTGCCTCATTTGCAGCTGTGGCCAGAGTGTTAACAGGTATGTGTGTCATCTATGTGGCAGCGTCTCATCAAGTTTGGGAAATGAAATATCAAAAGCGGTTTATCTGTCTCCGGGGATGTCGTGCAACAGGGTGAGACACAACTTACACAGGAACACTGATGCGCCAACAAGCAGACAGGCACACGCACGCACACACACACACACACACACACACACACACACACACACACACAAACACACACACACGCAGGGATACTTGCTGTCTCAAACGTAAACAAAGCTAGAGTAGATAAATGGTCTTCAATCCACACTATGATAAAGACATTTTCCTCCCACTCAAATGCCTTCTGTCTTTCCTAGAACTGTAATTTGTTGCCCTTTAACACTGAGGGCACTCAGAGACACGATAAGGTACATCAAAGTGATCTCTCAACAAGGACCCTGCTTCTATGCAATGGAAAGTTACTATTTGTGACTGCCTGTGGAAAATCTCCCATGCCTCCCCAGTAGGAGACCACAAGTCTCAGCTCACAATATGGGCGACTCACTAATAGAGGAATAAACAAAGTAGATCCTAATGGATGAATGTGAGGGCTTTTGTTTGATCCAGGGGATGCTCATAGACTTGAGCCCGAGACATGAGAGCCGAGAGTGGTGACAACAGGTCAGACACACCTCTGCTGTATATACAAAGAAGATTCAGACACTGTAATATCCGTTGTAAAGCAATGTAACCTCATGCAACTGTGCATACAACTTAAGCTCTTCCTCAAAATCAAAACCATGGGCTTTTTATTACGTTCACCTCTCACCATTGTTTGTTCGCCTTTAGCCCGAGCGACCAGAGAGGAGTTTGCAATACGTGGGATTCTGTGAAATATCATTGAATAAACAAACGATTGCATCATGTGCTGCAAGACTAACACAGGTTAAACCAACTGTAAAGGCTATACAAATTGTTTGCAAAGCTTCATTTCCTACAAGTGCAAGACACCAGAGTGTACGACACCAGATTTTCCTGTAGTTGCTGCATTTTCAGTCTTGTCTGGCAACTCTCCAATGCCTGGTGTTTTCTCAATATCTAGTGAGTCACCGTAAGGGCAGCAAGCCCAATAAAGCCATGACAGCTGCAAACAAGAAACGGATGGCAAGAGATAGGAAATCAAAATACAATGTTAAATTTGCATGAAGTGAAGAAGACGGTAATCCCCATTTAAAAGGCATGCTGTGAGCCTTCAGGAATAGGTTTGGTATTTGATCTATATTTACTGTATGTGGAAGCTGAAGACACATGCAAGGCTTTCAACGGGAGCAGAGTTATGTGCAAGCAGAGGTTTTATTACTCCACTTCTGACAAGCACTTTCACAGCTGTGGCTCCTCTGAGCTTGGCTTGTCAGTCAAGGGTGTAAATCACTCTGCTTACTCTGACAGGTCAGCAGCATGACAACAGAGGGTGAGTTTGTAGACATGGACTCAATCTGTGTAAACCAGCGTCCTGTCTGCCTAAAGGATTTGTCTCTTGTTAATGAAAGCATCTTCTGTCAAACTGGTACCCTTTGTGGTCCTCTTGCTTTTTATGAATGTTAAGTCAAAACCGCCAGTCCCATAGCCTCAGCCTAGGCATTTCAAATATGTAAAAGCATCTAAATATACCCTGTCTCCTGGTTTGATTGTCTAAACCAAACTTACAGGGATGAGTGCAGCAGAAGAGAGATAGACACAAAGCAACTAAAGAGGGGAGATTGTAGGAGATACTAAGGGTATTTTTCAGAGTCCTACTCCACCAGAAACCTGTTCAGTAACACATGTTTTTACTTTCATCTGCAAAAGAGAATAATAAAAACAGAGCAGCTTTGAGCTGTTAGCCCGCCATCCTATTCTCAGGGGAAAGTCACATCAGCAAGCGTGGGTGGGATATGATGCTCTGTGCTGCAGGGAAAGCTTACACTGGCTGGACTGCGTGACTTGTTTGCAGTATTGAAACAACAATAAACTTTTGCAAACTTTCCCTGCTCTCAAACAAGTAATAGCATGAGCTCTATAATTGTATGGAGGAGATTGCTCTGCAATTCAAAAAGGAATCTCAGCAACAGAAACCACAGAAATGTCTGACTTTTAATCGGCTACATTTTTGAATGAGTGACAGAAGTGGAGTCGTTATTAAAGGAATAGTTCAACATTGTAAGAGACATGCTTCGTTGCAGTAACTTTGCAGAGTCATCTTGCTCTGGCTTCCAGCTGTGGATTTCAGAAATATAGTATAAAATGATGTCTTATTTTTTGTACTATTTAGAAATATTTAATAACTCTTGTGCAGTTTAGAAATTTGAAACCCTCAGATGAAACCAGGGTAGTTTTTTTCCCCAAATACATTCTGTCTTCATTCCACCTGAGATTAGCTGCCTGCTGGCACTGGCTTTGTATTTACTTTGCAGACATGACAGGGATTTTAGTGTTCCATCTAAGTCTTGGCAATAATAGAATAACAGTCCCACAAAATGTCAATGTATTCCTTTCAGTTTAAGTTTTTCATAATGTTATGCAGAAAGCAGACTTTGATTGGATGGGCCTTCTCTTTTTTTGATGTTAGTTTGTTAGATGTCCAGCCAAGATCTCCTTTTTTTTTACTCCCTGCTATTGTCGTTTGATTGTTTTGTGCACTGTGCCCAAGCCTACCCAAAATATAATGATAATTTTGACTGCACAGAGTTTTTCTAAAGGCTGTACATTTTCAATATATACAAAATCGACAAATATCTCATCACCCCCCAATGTCCAACCCACATACCCCACTCAAGGCAAAACCACACACATACCACAATATCCTCGCGTGTAAGGCAGCAGGGGTGCGTGTGGATTTGGCAGCAGTGGCTGTTTCAGCTCTTAGAAGTGGGATTTCATCTGTAATAACAGCCCCACTTGATGGAAGTTGTTGCATAAAATTGAGACACGCTCCTACATACCTTTTAAAAATGAAAACAGCTTAAAAAAAATTGAAAGAGAAAAACAAACCGGCTAGTCACGCATCTTGCACAAGTTGAGAAGTGAGAGCAGCTACGATGACCTCAGGGTAGGTTGTACAAGGTTGGCAACTGCACCGGTTCTCAGGGTGTTTAACAGCATCTGCATGCACAGGCACACATGATTAAGCAGGTGTGTATATTAGATCATAAACTTAAATATACTATGTATAAATTTCAATGTGTGTGGCTGCATACATTTGTGCATGTGTAAGTAATGATATACATGAGAGTTGGCTGCATTACAGTGAAGGTTAGCACACTTTTGTGAGCACTTTTGTGGTGAAGCCATTTGTGTTGAATATACAAGCCACCAGCCTGCTGAGAGAGATACATAAGCTTTTGCTGTCAGATCCCTTGCTGGAGACTTTAAAAAGACTTGTTTCATATAGAGAACCTGCCAGGATTAAGATTACATTAACTCCATTAAGGTAGTTAAGTTAAGCATCAAACATTTTTTGGCAATGAAAAGCTAAGTGGCTCATAAAATGCAGTAAGCCCATCAAAGTCAAGGGGATAATGTCAACTTTCTATTTTTTATCAAATTAATCTTAAGAATTATCTAAAGGGTGAAAGGCCATTTAGGGGCATTTGTAAGACCTCACCTCACACTGCCTGATCCTCGAATAATGTTTGTAGGTTTGCATTGCAAGATTAAGCAAGCTGAAGTTTAGTTTAGTATGCCTTCTCCCTGATTGTTGAGTTAAGTCTTTTTTGCAGCTAAGTTGATGACTTGATGAGAGTTATGTTAAGATTGGTGCACTCCTTTGCTCTTCAGTTAGTATGCTATCAGTCCACAACTGCTCGATAATGCACACTATAGAGATTATTGGTCTGTTGATGGATCAGTCAGACTGTGTATTTCAAGTTTGTGATAATGCCATATGTGCTGAAAAGGCCTGTGAGCCAAACCAGGCTGCTATTGTGTGTACGTGGCTTTTGTCCCAGACCCACAGCTTTATGGTATTGGTATTATAGGCGAAGACTGCTTATTGATTAAGATTTTGTCAGGATGAAAACCTTGCTGCTAGATGGATGCATTGCATGTTCACAGCAAGAGGGTGTGCTTATACTGCATCATGTCATTGCAGTGTGTACACATACACAGACAGAACAATCGAAATATTTTGGTTTCTATAAGAAACCAGCAGAAAGCCGCAGTATGGCTTTAGAGATGCAAGAACTCTGCCAGTGCACACATGAAAGTAAAATGGCTGATGAAAGTTCACAGTCTGTGACACACACACTTGTACAAGTAATATTACTCAGGACATACTTTATGCTTTTAAACTTATAACTCATTCTGTGAAGAGTATTAGTGTTTGTGATTCATGTCAGAATATTGTAAATATTATTGCCAAAGTGACCACATAAGATGATGAGCAGACTTTTTCATCCACACTCATAAATTTTCTAAAATAAACTTATGACACATAACTTGATGACACACCGGCTGATTGCGTACATTTCCAGAACAGGAACACCGTTTCTTCAGAAATGAAATCTTTACAGGGTTCAATGTGGAATAACCCCCTGAGTGAAGAAAAGAGGCCAGAGAGGGATGTGATGCTGCCAGTGGTTCATTCTCTCTCTCTGTGGCAGCCAAGACTATTGAGAGAACAGTCACGGAATCCATTTGACATGTGCCTGATTCACAGGGCTGACCGAAATCTGACTCGCACAACTGGAGTTCATGAAATATCTGTCGGAGTGGATATTTGTAAGGAACATTCATTCAGCTATTTCTGAACTTACAGTTTTAAAGTAATTTTGCAAGAACTATGCTACTTTGTGCTCTGTTTTTCAGAAGGAAATACTGCAGTTGTCTTTTGTCATTTGTCCTCTAAGATTTTTAACCTGGTTGTTTTACTGCTTGCCCCACATACAGAGGTTATAGCCCTTAAAGTAAGTAGGTTTGACTCCAATCTGTGGCCCTTTGTCGGATATCAATACCAGCTCTCCCTCTTTATATATATGTAAAACAGCATATACAAAGTAAATAAAACTTTCCCTTTTTCTTTTTTGGTCTTGTACCCCTGTTGTTCTTTTTAGTGAGTTAAGAAAAACTTTCCTCTAAACCAGTGTTTTAGATAAACTCAATGAACTTGGGGTACATTTCATTGTGTTGTAGTGGTTCAGTTTGTTTATGTGCGAGGGTAATCTTGGTTGGTCACTGCATGGGATCTCCCCCTCTGTGTTTATGACCACTGACAACAAAGACTCTTAGGTCAATAATGGGTAAGGTAGTCAACTCATTTATTGTGGTGTATATTTTACACAGCTTTGCTTTAACATTTGAAGATTTTTTTTTTACTCAAGGAAAGGAGTTGGATAGCTATGGTTTCCACCTTTCATACTCAGAAACTGCACCAAGTAAAGCCTCTCCAAAGTAGCACATTATTTATGTGTCTGAGGTGATCAAACAGCGCCATCTATGGATGGAAACGGGCTCACACTTCGTGCCACCCTGACACACCACCTCACCATCGCTGCAAAACACAGCACAGGCCGGGCTACTGTCTGTCTCTGAATTGGAGCAAGGAATACCGTCAAAATGTCTGACATGGAAGACGATTTCATGTGCGATGATGAGGAAGATTACGACCTGGTAATTACACTTGAAATTATGTTTCTTACGCTTACATATTTTACCGTCTGACCGCTAACAGTGAAGTGCCTACAGTACGGGCTAGCTAATGCTAGCTGTTTAGTTAGCCTGTTGGCTAATACCAACCTGACAGCCGATGACTTACATTAGCTCTTGAACTAGCTTGAGATAGTTTGTCCGGGGTACTTTGTGTCTATGAATATCAACCATGTTGGGAAGCAATCTTTCAGCTTTCATTGGGTTCGTATTTATTGGCACGAGAGGCAAACCGGCCGGCTAGTTAGCAATCTTTGGCGTTGGCTAACGGAACGTTAGCCGAGGGCTCATGTTTGCAGGCTTGTACACGGGATCCTACTGCTAACCTCGTCTTTACGGTGGCTAGCTTAGAGTTTCCTGTATGAATTTATATGCCGAGATATTTCTGCATGAACTTAACTTTTACCTTTTTATATGCCTGAATTAAGGAATACTCAGAAGACAGTAATTCAGAGCCAAATGTGGACCTGGAGAACCAGTACTACAACTCCAAAGCCTTGAAGGAGGATGATCCCAAAGCAGCACTTTGCAGTTTCCAGAAGGTGGAGTTGTACACCATAACAAGTATCTGTTATGTGCAGACATGTGGTTATCTCATAAGTCAATAAGTACAACATTCATGAGCATCTCTTGATTTCACGTGTGTCTAGGTGTTGGAACTTGAAGGAGAGAAAGGAGAATGGGGATTTAAAGCACTGAAACAGATGATCAAAATCAACTTCAAGCTGGTATGCTCAGCAACACATGCTACATTTGATAATAAATCATCCCACTGGTCACCCATTTTTGAGTTTTAATGTATGTGCCTCATCTGTGTAGACCAACTTTCCAGAGATGATGAACAGGTACAAGCAGCTCCTTACGTATATCAGAAGTGCTGTCACCAGGAACTACTCAGAGAAGTCAATCAACTCCATACTGGACTATATTTCTACCTCCAAACAGGTATGAGCAATGATGAATTTGCAACATGAGATGTTTCCAGTGTATAGTATCTATCTATTAAAAGTCTCTCTTCTCTGTCACTAGATGGACCTGCTACAGGAATTCTATGAAACCACATTGGAGGCTTTGAAAGATGCAAAGAACGACAGACTTTGGTTCAAAACGAACACAAAGGTGAGCAAAATTTTAACACTTTTTCAAAGTGGCGTCATCTAATAGTGGAACAGGCACACATAGATGCTCTTCCTTTTGTTTGATTTTTGCAGCTTGGTAAGCTGTACTTGGAGAGGGAAGAGTATGGAAAACTGCAAAAGATCCTGAGGCAACTTCACCAGTCATGTCAGGTAATTGAGTTTGTCGAGGCCATTAGTGGGTCCTAAAAAACTGAGTTCATCTGTGAATTGTGTTATTATTTTATTAGTCCAGATAAATTTTTGGTGGGAGGAGCGCTTTTAAAATGCATATAAATCATTTGAAGTAGTAAATGTTATCTCAGTTGTTTTGTGCGTGTTTCTGTGTTCCTACATTGCTATCTAAAAGAAAGTTTTTCCATTGTTGTGTTAATTACAGACAGATGATGGAGAGGATGACCTGAAGAAAGGCACACAGCTGTTGGAGATCTATGCCCTAGAGATCCAGATGTACACAGCACAAAAAAACAACAAGAAATTGAAAGCCCTTTACGAGCAGTCACTTCATATTAAATCTGCCATTCCTCACCCGCTCATTATGGGAGTGATCAGAGGTATGATTGTGAAGATATCTCTTTTTTAATAGAGATGTTTTATGGTTCTTGATTAAGGCTGGGTACTGTCACTGTTGTGTGCTGAATGACCTGTGCTTGTTTGCTCTTGGCCAGAGTGTGGTGGGAAGATGCATTTGAGAGAGGGTGAGTTCGAAAAAGCTCACACAGACTTCTTTGAGGCCTTTAAAAACTATGACGAGTCTGGAAGCCCCAGAAGGACGACATGCCTGAAGTACCTGGTTCTAGCTAACATGCTGATGAAGTCAGGAATAAACCCTTTTGATTCTCAAGAGGTATGAAATGTGTAAAATATTTGCTTCCTGTTAAAATACATTTATTACATAATGCAAAATAAGTAATACTAAACACAAGAGAACATGCCAGACTAGTAGTAGCTGTTACATTTTTAATATTGTACAGCCAGAATTCCCAATTTGTAGAACTCAAAATAGTCTTGTACTTTAGAAATTGGCATTTGTGTAGGTTTTGCTTGTGCCAAACATAACCTCTGATCTCCTTTTCTTCTTTTTCCAAGGCCAAACCATACAAAAATGACCCAGAGATCCTAGCAATGACTAACTTAGTAAGGTAAGCATGGATTTAAATGTTGTCTCTTTGTATGCAAGAAAGTTGTTTTAATTTGCCAAAGCACAAAGGGCTTTTCTGGTATTGTCTCACTATTATGGCATCGTACTCAACAATTTTATTCTGAGATCTGCAGAGTTTGACAACCACAGCTTAACTGAGATGAGCAATTTAATCAGCAACAAGAGTAGTGAGGCGGCCTTGATATTTAAAGGTGTGAAAAACAACTATCACCTCTTTGCAAAAAATAAACGTGTGAATGAACAAATGGAGACTAGGTCCATACTGAGGTTCTATTCAAATTTTTCAGATATTAATATCATATGCCTTGGTTCTGCCCAGTGTGAGGATATTTTAAAAGATGGAAAGGAAAGGAGTGATTGACCGTGATTGTCACCAGTCCCACACACAAACTCATTAAACGCTATAATGAACTGTCCAGAATCCAACATCATATTGCAGAAGTTCCTCAGTTATCTCGGCAAGGTGCATTTAACTTTTCGTCTTCTTACGAAAAGTTGGTGTTGAAAGTTTTGTGTGAAAACTATGAAGACAGAGTGCTTGTGAGGAAATGTTGGCATTAAGCTTTGATTAGATTGTCATCTGTTGAACTCAGATTGCCTTGCTGAATAGTACTATGACAATGATTTGGTGTCCTGTTACCCATCATCATATTTCTGTACCAGTCCTAATATTCTTTATACCAGCAAGCAAAGCAGTTCCTTGTGAATTTTATTGTATTTATTTAAAGTATTAAACATGACCGTTTCCTCTCTCAGGCCTCAAGTCATACTTGCTTCCCTGTTTGCTCTCTGTTCTCAGAAATAACTTTCACTGTTTTAAGTTACCCAGGACTTGTGCGTATATTTAACAGTTTTATTTCTCAAACAAGAAACTACAAAATTACACCCCAAACTCTCAGAAGAATAGTGTTTATAATAAGTCCTATATTCTGGAAAGAGATTGACAGCTATCAGGATGAGGGTTTTTGTGTTTTCACAGCGATACATTGTACATCGTCAAATAACACTCTCTGTTTTTCCTTCCAGCGCCTACCAGAACAATGACATCACTGAATTTGAGAAAATCTTGAAAACAAATCACAGTAACATAATGGATGACCCATTCATTAGAGAGCACATAGAGGGTGAGTAGTGAACGTGACTGTAGTCCACATGCGTGGTAGATTGCAAATCATGGTCTTTTGTTTTTTAAAATGAGTCTAATGGTGATGTTATTTTACAGAGCTCCTGCGGAACATTAGAACTCAAGTACTTATCAAACTCATCAAACCGTACACAAGAATACACATCCCCTTCATTTCTAAGGTAAGTCCACATTATGATATAGAAGCACCCTGCAATATCAACTCTCTTTCCTCTTTTACCACAATTTCATGGGATAATAATTCCCAGCTGTCTGCACTGGAGGCCGTGTCACCGATTGTATATCATTTCTGTGCAATATAGTTCTGTTTTGAAAACAAATTTAGCATAGCAGTCAAGATAATGGCATTAGCTTTTTGTCTTCAGTGACAAGTACTCAATGGCAAATAATACATTTCAATAAAATAACATGTCTGGATGAGAATCAGCCCACATGATCTTGCTTACCATCACGTATAAAAACAAAGCCAGTATCAGTATAAGGAAACAGCTGAAACTTTGTGTCTGTGAATGTTGTTATTACCTTTTCTCTGTGCTTATCTGTTCATTATTTTACATAATTGCCTGGTAGATGTTCTTTGTTGCTCTTTCGCAACACATGAGTGAAAATATTTGCTTCAGGATCAGTGGTGATGCTTGTAAATGCTCCTAAAAATACTTAGTCATCTTCTACTCCTCAGATATGTCCGATATGTCATTGTAATTCATTTGTTTGTGTTGCAGGAGCTTAACATTGACGTGTGTGATGTGGAGAGTTTGCTGGTGCAGTGCATCTTGGACAAGTAAGTATCTGCCTCAAGCGTCTGCTGAGAAGGTTACCGAAAAAAAAATATTCCCTTGTTCCTGTAAATAATAAGAGTTCCTCATAGTTTGCATCTTTTTGTGCTTGAGAGAGTCAGGTGGTATGAATACAGTTTCAGTCACATCCTGTGCTTTTTTTATGTTGTTGTAGTGGCCTTCTATTTATAGCCTTAAAACCCAGCAGTGCTGTTCTGTGACACAAATAACTTCGTAGCAGGTGAAAACATCAGCTCACTCTCGTACTCATAGTTTCCACCTTCCCTTGAAACCTTATTTTTTTCCTTTTTGTTTTTAATTATAGCCATGAATGTGAACAGATAGGTAAATTTGTAACAAAACCAATGAGTGTCAAAGATTTGACTGAGATTCCTGTGTCTTTTCCAAAAAGTTTCAGTGTATACTTTTGTTGCAAATTCTGTTCTTATGTCTAATCACCAATGTAAAATTAGCAACAGAATTTTCAGCATCTTGGATTTTAACTTTGTGTTTGACTATAATGTGGCTTTTAGGCACCGATAAATTCTGCTCAGAACAATGTCAATGTCAGCTTTACTTATATAGCACATTTATAAACAGCCAGTGGCCTACCAAAGTGCTTTACAGTAAAATAGCCAGAGACAGTAAAAACAATAAAATATAGCAAATACATAAAATACCCAATAAAAGTAGCTATACTTCCCCAAAAGCTAAAGTGAACAGGTGCGTCCTCATAAGTGTTCTAAAAGTGGAAAGGCTGTTAGCAGTATGCACTGTCAGGGGTAAAGCGTTCCACAAAGTTGGAGCCATGACAGAAAATCCCCAATCTCCCCTAGATTTTAAAAAGGAACGAGGAACGACGAAAACCACCTGATTAGCTGACCTCAGGGCTCTGGACAGATTAGAATTTCTTGTTAATTTTCAAAATACGTGGACCCACTGCTTATTCTCTTGCTTTTTTGTCACAGCACAATCCATGGGCGGATTGACCAAGTCAACCAGCTACTAGAACTGGATTACCAGAAGAGAGGAGGGGCTCGCTACACAGCTTTAGACAAATGGACAAATCAGCTGAACACTCTCAACCAAGCCATTGTTAGCAAGCTCACATGATGGCATGTAAAATCAAGAGACAAGGAAAATGGCATGTTTCAATACATCCATTAAGTATGCTACTGTGCTTCTTCAAGTATATCCTCTGAGACAAGATACACAGCACAGTTTTCGAGAATGCCACCAAATTCAAGAAGACACCAGGAACCCTGAGAACGTGTTCAAAGTGTGATGTTTTGTCGTGATGAGAGGAAGTCACTGACACTTATTTTTTTTTCATGTTCCTGATTGGCAGATCCTTCCATGTGCAACACAAAAATGCTTCAGTTGTTTAAAAAGTCCGAATGTGTATGAAAACTTGTACACAGTATTTTAATGTATACTGTTGCCTGTTGGTAATAAACAGATTTCTCTCAGCACTACAAGGATTCAGCTGCCTTTGACTGGCTACAAAGTTTGAAATGTGTGACGGGCTGCACGTCGAATAAAATGTTTTTAACTGTCACGAATGAGACACAAGGAAATCTTTCTTTTACTCTCAATTAGAAGACGTTTCCTTACAGGCACGCACTCTAGTCTCCAGTGCGCAAACGCTTTGTGGGCCTCTGCGCTTTCCGTTTCAGGTGACTCCCATTTCTACAGTGACAGCAGTTTGCTCGGGCTAGTCTGGGTAGAGCTCAGCTAGCTGACGCAGCAGCAGCATCTAGCAACAGTTAGCGGTTAGTGGAAACTGGGTGTGAGTCTTTCTTACCCTGTGCTGATAATTATTGTGTACAATGAAGAAATTAAAAGGACACGCATCCTGACGTCCGCACGGTGGTCAATGACGGTCTGTGACTGACATGGACGCTAGTGACAATAAGGTACTGTTTATTTTGATATCTGCCGTTTTTGTTGGGGGGGGGGTCTGTGGAAGAAGGGCCCAAAAACAAAAATTTGGTTCAAGGTAATGCTTAAAAAAACATATTTTGCTGTTAATTGTAACTCAAATTATCTTTATAGATCATTAGATTGTGTAAGAGGACGGAAGGTTTATGCGGTCTGTCTTTAGTATTACAGTTATCTTATTGAGCTAGCAGGCTAACGTGAAAACAGCTAACGGTAACTGCTGCCCCTCACCATACAAATGTCTTTAGTCCCGATGCAGTGGAGTTTATTTTCACATTTTTACGATTTGTCGTAAAAGTATCGCAATGACACTTCATTTTTGATCATCCTCGAAAAGGCAGGCTATTGTATAGTGTTAGCACGGCTGGCTAGCAGAAGCTAAATAGCTCAGCTGTCATTTGACGTCGCTTGTCATTAAAATTCAGGTCAGAAACACAGCAGTTCGTGTGGAAAATGTCAGGTTTTTAAACATTTAAAAGGTTTCAGTCACGTATGAGTGTGCACATGAGTGTGTTATGAAGAGAGGCGTAGAGGTTTCGTGGACAGTGTTTGTCAATAAGAGGAGTTTCTGGTTCTTCTGCATGTATGACATTCCTGCGACGTTGTGTGTAATGCAGAAAGTTCAGTTTGGTCAGGTTTGTTTTCCTGTTCGTACAATTGGTGATTACCCTCTCAGATGGTGAGATCATGGGTGTCTTGAGCTTTAACAAAAAACATAATCTGGGTGACTGATCTTTAAACTCGTGGCCTGGTGTCCATTTCTTTTTGAGAGCAACCGGTGTCAGACTAAACTCTTTCCATAAACAGAGGCTTTTGAGATCTGAGTCCGATCACTACGAGGTTTGTCATCCTCAATGAATGCACATCTGGATCTGACCTCATTGCCTTCTTGACAATCCCAGCTATTCTCAGTGACCCTCTCAACCCCAGCACTCAGTTCAACAAAGGCACACATGGTTGAATCAATGGACAGATCCTTTGGGTTGCTTTGTTTTACAGCAAACTGCATTTTTGTTTTTGGGAAGATGTTTTATTCTTTTGTTCAGAGCTAAATTTTCTCTTCAAATGCAGATGGCCTTTAAACTATAGCTTACTGTGTAATTAGCTTATCCTCTACCACTGTCCCTACTTTATCCTCTCAAACTTAATCCTATAACAGCCCTCTATCCGCTATACTGAAGCATCATACAGGTAGTGTAGTCCTAAATACTTATGGCTGTGGCTATCAGTCTTGGCATGAAGACTGCTTTGCTCCAAGGCTGAACAGCAACTATATACCATGACTAACTTAAAATATGATGCGATGTGAAGATCACCTAAAGAAAAGTGAGAGAGCCACCCACAGACAGTAGCAGTGGGAAACAATAGCTTGTCTGTTTGACATCCACTGGTTGAACTGATACTCTATTCATGCATCCGACCACTGTTTCAGAGATTTGAGGGGGCGTCTTTGTACTCTGAACCCTGTCAACTCTACTCATCCTTTGCAAAAGATAGTGGATTATCTTAATGGGACCTCTTGGACAGAGCTGCCACCTCTGTTTAAAATCAGGATGAGAAATTAGTTCAAGCCATAAGCCAAATGCTGGTAAAATATGAAAAGGTCTGGAAGATCCCAGATACACACACAAAAAGATTTCCTCATTGGTTGATGGTGAATTTGGACATTCATCTGTTTGTGTCTGAATCATCATCACATATTTAAAAAAGAAATGTCTGTACCTCAGTAAAAAATGTTTAAGGAATTTGCCACTGATTTGTTTGGAATGACAATGAAATATATAATATATAATTAAATATAAAGCATAACACATTTAAAACCCACATTCTCTTTCTTTTTTCCAGCAAATTAAATAATAGAATCATATTTTTTAAGGAAGTGAAATAAGACTTCATTTAGCTTATGTCAGCACAACTATTCTGAAGTTGTCAACAAAATTGTCTGAAAAGGCAGATTCAAAGAGCTTTTTTATGGATGTCATTCCCAAGACTATCTCCTAATGCCCCAGACGTGTTACCTTTGGCTTTTTTGTGGCCTGTTACGATACTCCCTAACAGCGAAATGCCTGAGTCAAAGCTGCATGTTTGTGCCATAAATTTAGTGAACCGCAGACCAGACTGACCAGTGGAAGCCTCAAGTTTGTGCATTGTTGTTCTTTACTGGCTGTAAAAATGTCACAATCTTGAATGAGTTATCTTACTGATAGACTTATTTGACTTGAAATTCTAGATTTGCTGTCATTAGCTTTTCTACAAGAAATGGCCTTTTTCTTGGAAAGTCAAAGCTCTTTTTTGCTTGAAATGTTATGCAAAGGTGTTGCCTTGTGACTATTTTTTTCTATTTATCATAGATTCATAAATGTTAAATATGACAGGTGGGAAGAGACAAGTTACTGCTTGATGCAGCCTATAAATTGGTCAAATAACCCACAGTATACATTCTATTTTTAATTCAAGGTTCAAGCTTTCTATTGTCAATTTCTGCCGTATGTCAGCACATACACAGGAATCGAAAAAGAAGTTTCTCTCCAGTCCACTGTGCAAAAATACAGAGAACAATTCTAGACAAAAAAGTACAATAGAGAAGAGTATAATAGAGAGTAGGAGAAGGAGAGTGGATTCACATGTGAACCTGATGACCAGAAAAATGATTCTGCTTTACATAGTTACACATGGCCTAAAGTGCAGGTGGTGGTTTAAATCTGCAGTATTGCTTTGATGTAAAGAGCATGTCAACAGTAACATAAGATCAAACAGTGCAAAATACAGATCCAGGTGATTCTGTAACAGCAGCAGCAGAGTTTTCTTATAGAGAAAATACATTCTTGTAATAGGACTGTCTGATGTTGCTTCCTTGCTCCTCAAAAAATGATATAGCAGAATCTTTGAGGAAACTTCACAACGTGGAATTTGTGTCTTTAAGCACTTCACACGTATCATGTGTTTTGTTATCTTGCAGTTTCTTTAGTCAGAGCTGCTAGTTTTGTATAATGTTTCTCCTATAACAAATTATTAGCTCCTTGTGACGATTTGAGATACTGATACTTATGCATATATGGACTATGTTAACAAAAGGCCGGTCATTGGATGGATCCCTCTCATCTGTATGGCTGCAGATTTCTTAGAAACATGAACAAGTGAGCGTCACAATGGCTGAAAACTGTGGGATTGATTGGCGGTTGTGCTGAATCTCATCTTTGAACTCAAAATGTTTTTATGTCTCCATTTTAAGGCCTTATAACTGCTTTTATTGCTGGTTCCATCCAGACCCTTGTAACTATCAACAAACAGGAAGAGTGTGAGGAAACGCAGTGATCAGCTGTGATGGCAGCTAAATAGATGAAAGGTTGGCCAGTCACGCTGGTAGGTGATGTGTAGTTCGGGTATTTTAAAGGTTATAATTAGCTAGCTGTTTTAACAATAACTTGAGTTGCTTTGGGAAGTTGTGTCATAACTCTTGTAAATTTTCTTCCCTGGGGAAATTTACAAGAGTTATGAACTTCACAAACCAACCTAATCAGAGCCAGTCTGTTTAGTTTGGTTTAGTCCACCTCACAAACACTCTCTTTTTTTTATGTGGGGTGATAAAAACATTCATGATTTCTTTTTTCGAATAGGCACTGATAAAAAGACGACAATCAGTGGGCTTGATTAAGCTCAAGAAAAACAATATGGTGACAGACTTAAATAATTAATTTTGAGCTGCTGGAGATATTTTCGCTCTTAGGTGTTGATTGTTTTTCTTGCTCAGATGTATCACGGCGTTAATTGGCTGCTGTTGCTAGTCTCAGTGTGATTGAAATGTCTCTGTCTCTTTGTGCAGGATGTGAAGCTTTCAGCCGAAGTGGAACCGTTCATCCCACAGAAGAAAGGTATCGAAGGATCCCTTGTCAGCATGAGTCTTTCTGGAGATGCAGGTGGAGGAGGTGGGGGTGGAGGTTTAGGGGGAGGGGGCGGAGGGGTGGAAACCACTCCCATACCCAGCTACCTCATCACCTGTTACCCCTTTGTCCAGGAGAATCAACCCAACAGGTATTTAAACACTTTTAAATCAGTCCTTTTTGACTCTGGCTGATGGTACCAGGGGTTTTAGTTTGCAGTAGCTGTGAAAATGTACTCTGTTGTGTGTTTAAATATCTTACCCTCTTCTAGAATTGTGGGGATTATGCTTTACTGTGGACTCCCCATGAACAGTTCGCCCCTCTTCTGAACCCTTTTCTATTTTCAGAATTACTCCTCAAACACTCTGTTTACTAAAGTAAGAAGGGAACACCATGTCCCTGTTGTCTTGCTCCACAAAAGAGGTCTGGATCAGATCCTATACATAGTGTATTGAGTTGGAGCCATGAGATCCTCTGTAGTTTAGGACTACTTAATTATGAATGGAAACCTCCCCAGAGTTACTCTGTGTACGTGGAATCACAGTCTGTGTTTCCAGTGACTCTCTCTTTGTCCACAGTGATCTGCTGTATCCTGCACACATCCGTTCCTTTGTTTCCTTTCCCCGCTATTTGAATGCAAGGAAATGCACGCTGGCTGTGAAAATATCATCTGGATCTTTATCAACATCCCTGCATACCATGCACACAACCCCAACAAAGCAGCCACCAGGCGGGCACATCATCACACTGACATTAAAGATGTTAGCCTGGCATCACACTTGTCTTTCAAAAGCAGCTGAAGCTTAATAGAATCATCCCTATAGAACCATCGCATGCACACTGTATTTACTGTGAATACTACACCACCTACTGCTTGTATATAAAGCAACTTGTTACATAACGTACATCAGCAGCACCCTTTGCACTCTTCACTACTGCGCTGTTGTCTTACTGCCTAAAAATTCTGTACAACTTTACAAAGAACTTTAATGTTTGTGTTACCTAATCAGTCCTGTTGTCCTAGTTTTGAGCTGCCCACCTTTGTGTATTATATCTGGGAGCAATGTTAAACCAAAGTCCATTTCTTACATTGTATTCACACACTTGGCAAGTATTATCAAGAACCAGTTTATATTTATTACATAATGCATCTTATCTCTCGACACATTTTGAACTTTCCCACAAAAAGGATACGAGCAAAGAGAATCTGAATAACAGGTTTTGTTTTATGGTTTGCCTCTTTTAAAAAAAATACCTTTGGAAAGGTGTATAACTCTGTTGATATTGTGTAAAATGAGTTTAAATGGTTGATTACTAGAAATTATTTTACATCTTGTCTTCCCATGGTTTCACAGGCAACATCCCATGTATAATGGAGGAGAGCTGCGCTGGCAGCAGCCTAACCCCAGCCCCGGTGGTTCATACCTGGCCTACCCTATCCTGTCATCCCCCCAACCTCCTGTCTCCAACGACTACGCTTATTACCAGATCATGCCGGCTCCATGCCCACCTGTGATGGGCTTCTACCAGCCCTTCCCTGGCACTTATGCAGGTCCAGTGCAAGCTGGAGTGGTCAACCCTGTCTCAGCAGATGTTGGTGAGAGACCACTGCCCCTGGGGCCAGCGTATGGCATGGCTAATCAGAGAGGAAGAGGCATGGTCCGACCTAATCTCCTCCCAAAGGTATACAAGGCTAACAGCCTCACCTGATGGCATGTGTTGTTTGTTTTACTTGATAATGCCTCTGCTTATCGTCAGTATTATGAACAAGCCCTGACTCTTTTTCTTTTTTCTTTCTACCAGCAACAGTTGGGTATGTGCCAGCCTCCAAGAGGACGTCGGCCTCCGACCAGGAGTGTAGCTGTACAGAAAGAAGTGTGCACCTTGGGGCCTGATGGAAGGACAAAGACCGTCATGCTGGTAGATGCGGCTCAGCAGACAGGTAAGAGTACTTCAGAAATAATTAAAAGACAAATTTAGGTTCTATCGATCAAGGTATATATGCAGTTTTTGTTGGTTTTTCAAGGAAAAGATTCATAAGGAGCCCTCTAAATTTCAGAGTCCAAATTTTGTTTGCCAAGTGCATAGCCAGCGTCGATAATAGTCTTTATTCCTGTGGCTCAAAGGTAACTTTAGTTCAAAACATCCCAGACTTTTTTATAGTATCTGCTTTGCATGGAAACATGATTGTTTCCTGTCAGTAAAGAGGACACAACGCTGGTAAAAGCTGTGCCTAATCTCACAGGTTGACGTTGATGCTTGTTCTGATTTTCTCAAAGACCTGGAATGCTGAGTTTCCAGTTTGAGAGTTCAAAATATTTCCAGGCCTGTGATGTCTATTATCCTGTCAAACTAAATCAAAGTTCTTCTCAAAAGTTTTCTAACTTAATTTTTTGTGTCAAGTTGAAAACATCACAGTATACTCAAGAACAGTATTGATTCATCAACAGTTTTGCCGTCCCGTTACATAAACTGTCGAGGTCAATGATGCTAGAAGGTCTATTCTGCTGTGTGACAAAACTGTGTTACAAGGACAGTAAGTCTCACTTTCTTTTTGTTTGTCCCCAGATTTTCCAGGTGAGGTTTCAGGGCGGAGTGCAGCCGAGCGAGGAAGCCCGCTGTTATGGAAGAACCGAACAAAAAGAAGACGAGCATCTCATCCAAGTGAAAACTACAATGAGCAGGGTGCCAGTGAGGCAGATATAGACAGTGACAGCGGCTACTGCAGCCCCAAACACAACCAGGCAGCTGTGGTGACGCAACGAACAGCAGAGAATACGGCGGCAACTCCAGTAAGTGGACAACTTATGGACAGCCCAAGACGCTGCAGATTGATTATAGACTGGGGGTTTGTTTTTGCTCACATTCTGGTCAGGGATACTATGGATGAAAATCACATCATTACATTTGGAAAATCATGTTTACAGGAGTCAGACTGAGTAGTAAACTTAAATGCTCTGTGTAGATATATTTCCAGCATGCGTGTCGTTTATTCAGTCATCCTTAAACTTTTTGGCAGTAGCAGTTTTTCGCATCAACAATAGAGGACTTTGCTTGTGTAATGCCTGAGCAAATACCAGTGGGTGTAGCACGGCCCTTAGACAACCTTTGCTCACACAGTGTTTTCAGAATGTTAAATATACACAGGAAATCTCAAAACTCACTGTGTTCTTCTTTTTTTCCCCCCTTATGTTTTATAGGGAGTAGAAGCTGGAGTGATGACAGGTGAGTTTGAACCAACATGTAAAGCTCCTTTCCCCCAGTATCAAGTTCTCATGACAATATACCAGAGATTTTTCTTTACCCTGAAAATAACACTGATGTTTTCTGATTCACTAGCAGGTACCTGGGTAAATGTAGCCTCTCAAGCTAACCCAAAGCCCTGGGGGGACAGGAACGGACAGTTTCATAGAGCAGACCAGAGGAAGAATCCTGAACAAAGAAACTTCTCACAGGTACTGTTTGTCCTGGATGAGTAAGCCTGCTGTACGTCAGGAGAACAACTCTGGGTATGATGAAATTAATGTCAGCACAAATATTAAGTCCTGTGAGGCACAACAGAAGTTATTCAACTATGCCTATTGGAATAAGTGAATGGAGCACACATGAGACACTATTGTTGTGGAGGGAACAGAAAAATACTTTTACACCGTATTATAATAACAAGAAATAAGCACACTGTGGCTTTTATGAACAAGAAACACTCCAGAAGAAGATCAGACAGTGTCTCTGAGTTGTTCTTCCTCACTACATTGAACACTGTCTGCACAGATACTAAAAAGATAAAGATATTTAATACCAGTGATAACATCTTTGGCTCATTTGTTGTCCCTCTCTTTATCTCAGGATTTCCACAGTGGTTATCCAGGGCGGGTTCCTCAAAACCAGTCAGAACAACGGCTGCAGGCAGCAGTGGCCACTGGCAATGAGCTCACCCCAGAGCCCCTCTATTTTGAGGTGAGAGAAAGTTTTGATTTGTTTTTTTTTTAGTCAACTCTACATTGAATCGATTTTTAAAGCACCGTGGCTGTCATTATATTCAAACACTCATTTTAGATTTATTTCTTGTCTTTCTGTGTCCTCGTCAGGATGAAGATGAGTTCCCAGATCTCTCTGCTGGAGGGCCTGGTCAACGTAGCACCAAACAGGAACCCACTCCAGCCCAGGCACACACACAACCTAAGCTACCCAAAAACCTGGTAAAGACTGCCATTTCTAATGTCAGCTGTCTTTAAAGGTTGGCCACGTCATGATTGCCAGATTCAATTTATACACAGAAGAGTGTTTTTTCTATTTCTCTGGGGTAACTTGAAACATAACCAGACAGAGTTCACCATCATGTTCAAAAATGAGGCATGTAGATTTGTGATTCTTTCAAAACTTCAAGTCAAAGCAGAATCAGTCTATTGCCTGTTTAGTTTCTTGTATTTATTCGAAAGAGAGCCCAGTTTTTTGTTAGATTACATTTTTTTTGTTGTTCTTTGTTTTGGCAGTGGTGTGAGCCTTTCTGCTTATCTTGTGTCAGTTGCATGACCGCACCCTGATTCTTGAATTAGTAGAAATATATGTAAACTCCCCCCTCCCCATCTGCTGCTGTAGGTTTTGAAGTTTCCAGATAAATGATAAACATCATGCCACAATGCAACATTGTTCTAAAATACCATTAGCGTGTGAAAATTGTTGATGCTTGGAGCACAGTGCAGTTTGAAGTATTAGAAAGACAATAGGACAAAAACAGTCCATAAGCTCTAAAGCTTCCTCTCTACCTTCTCTCTGAGTTTCTCCTTGTTTATTCCCTCACACACACACTCACAGAAGAGGCGCCTATTTGCAAATGGATATATTTATTTTTGCAATATATAAGTCAGAGCTGATGTGACGCATCTATGAAGCCATATGTAGACTGCCTGTCCCTGCTAAATACTAAGTCGTGTTTCCTCTTGGATCATAGCTGGATAACCTCCCTGAAAACTCCCCCATCAACATTGTGCAGACACCCATTCCTATCACCACCTCTGTTCCCAAGAGGGCCAAGAGCCAGAGGAAGAAGGCTTGGGCAGCTGCGTTGGCTACTGCACAGGAGTACTCTGAAATCAGCATGGAACAGAAGAAATTACAGGTATAAACCAGCAGTGTGGTTGATGCTCTTTTAGGCTGGGATCAGGGAGAACAGTTTTGCCTTGTTAATGTGCTTCTGTGTGTTGTTTTTTTTTCTAATGCTGATCCTGACAACTTCCTGTCCTTAAATAACCATATTGACCTTAAGTTTGAGTTGGCTCATCTTTATTCTGACCTTTCTCTGCCTCTACTTTTACCAGGAGGCATTCACCAAAGCAGCAGGGAAAAAGAGTAAAACCTCGGTCGAGCTTGATCTGGGGGATATGCTTGCAGCTTTGGAAAAACAACAGCAGGCAATGAAGGCCAGACAACTCACCAATACAAAGCCGCTGTCCTTCACGGGTAAAACTTCACACAATAAGACTGCCTTTCCCAGTTTTCATTCGCTTGGTGTCTGCATGCCGCTGTCTGATAACATTACTGTTGCTCTGCGGCACATGCTGAGTTAATCTGATTGATTGTAGGTCGGTCAAATCTCTTCCAGGGGCACTTTTGTGTGCTACTATTGCTAACATCCTCCTGGAAATGAAATGAATTGCCATGCTAGGTGTTCATTATTATTGTAAGCATTCTTCTTCTACCACACGACATCATTTTGCAGGTTTTTTGGCCTGCTGCTACAGAAAATATGGCAAAGTATTTGATATTTGTACCCTTTTTGAAAGTCCTCATGATCCCAATGAACACGTTGAAAGTTGAGTGATTGGTATTTACATATTATTCATCCCTTGTAATTTAACATAACTCATTTGTAGAGCTGACCTGGTTTCTTTAAGTAACCTAAAATGCTTCCTCCTTCCTGAGTAGTCAGACTGTGACCACTGATCCGGCACTAAATCAGTGATAGTCCCAGCACAGCCTTAAAGCTATGAACCTACTGGGCACAAACATGTACACATACTTAAATGCTGCCTGTACACTGAGTTTTGTTTTCTTCTCTCCAGTTGGAACAACGACTCCTTTCCACAGTGCAGGCTCGACCAATGTGTCCTCCATGTTGAAGGGTCACCAGCAGCCTTACTCAGCCCCACATAATTCACTCGATTCTACTGCTCCGCGCATCAAGAGAGGAAAGGAGAGAGAGATCCCTAAAGTTAAACGACCAACAGCCCTGAAAAAGGTTGATGATTTCTTCTGAGATGAATCATCTAAAAGAGGGCAGATGGGGTGTTATTCAGCATGCATAGAAATGACAAAAACAAAATATTTGAACCCACAAATGTTGAGGTGCTACTTTTTAAAAAGTTCTGCTCTTGTTTTCTGCCCTAAGATTATCTTGAAGGAACGTGAAGGGAAGAAAGGGAAGACAAGCGCAGAGCAGGAATCTTCAGGCCAGGAGGAGCACGGGGATGAGAGTCTCCATTTTACTGATGATCTCCCAAGAGAGCCTGCCTCCCAAGAAGGTGAGGACGATCCATAATGAATGCAGAACAAGGATTATGTTTCCATCTATCAGGGTGTTTTATGTGTTTTCTCCATTTTCTCAATCTTATACATGTCCTGATTTTTGTGTTACAGAGAATGGTTTGAGCGTTCCCAGTGATGCATCTCTCTCTCCAGCCAGTCAGAACTCGCCGTACAGTATTACTCCTGTGTCACAGGGTTCTCCTGCCAGCTCCGGTATCGGAAGTCCAATGGCATCAAACGCAATCACAAAGATTCACAGCAGACGTTTCAGGGAGTAAGTGCTCACTCTTTGTCCCCACGGAGAGAGAAGCAAACATTTTCAACAGGAAAGACCTTTTGAGTGGAATCCCAGGAATTGGAATTTGCCAAAAATGCAAAGTGTGGCAACAAAAATGTTAAGGAAGCAAATACTTGTCCTACTCAAAAATCACAAAACTTTGGCTGCAAGAGTCATGAATGGGTGTTTTTATGGGTGGGTTCTCACAATAAAGAATTGTAGAGTATGGCACAGATGCCTAGCACATTGTCCCTTCTCAGCAAAAATGTATGCCAGTGGTCACAAACACAGCTTTGTCCCTTCATGTCCTCCACTGTAGGTCTATTGTCCCTGCCCACCCTTCACTAACAGATTTAGCATATAATGCCTCCAAAAAGCCTCTGTGGCTGAGCTCCTCCTCACAGCTGTGACCTCGGGGTCCCTTGTCCCTCAGGCCACACTACGTCAGACTTCCGATTCACATTTCACCAAACCAAGGAGCCACTGGGAGTCTGACGGCTGTGCTGGTTGAGATGCTGAAAGCTTTAGCGTGAGCCAGAAGGAGTATCGCTGCAGAAGCATAAGTGACAAGCAGTTAAATAATTATCATAGACAGTAAAATAAATCAATAAGTGGGAATAGCCTGGACTAATGCACAATAATAAGTTGTATTGCCAATTCCTCTAAATAAAACATCCCTCAATTATGAACTTAATCCCAAACTGGCATCATAAAGACCGAAAGCTGTTTAGTTTCTACAAGTCGTCACATTTCAGTTCAGTTTAAAATGAATTTACTTTGGATTAATCCCCCCCCTCGCCCCTCCATCTGCAGGTACTGTAACCAGGTGCTGAGTAAGGAGATTGACGAGAGTGTGACTCTGCTGCTACAAGAACTAGTCCGCTTCCAGGAGCGGGTCTACCAAAAGGATCCAACCAAAGCCAAATCCAAACGCCGCCTAGTCATGGGTCTAAGAGAGGTCACCAAGCATATGAAGTTGCACAAGATTAAGTGCGTTATCATCTCTCCAAACTGTGAGAAGATCCAGGCCAAAGGTGAGAGAAAGGCCGTGTTAGAAGTTCATCACTTGTTTATGTTTCTCTTAAACGGCAAAAGTCGGTTATTGAAGGATGAGATTTGGCAGAACGAACAAAAATTGTGGTACAAATTCAGCAGTCGACGTTGTAAAGCTCTGATTTTTGTGTCTCACCAGCACAGCAGTTTTTATTGCCATTCTTGTACTCAGTGCTTTTGCTGTTTCCTTGTCTTTATGGTAATGTGTTACATTTATTTGTACATTTGGGTCACTCTTGATTTCCTGTGTTCCAGGTGGTTTGGATGAAGCTTTATATAACGTGATTGCCATGGCGAGGGATCAGGAGATCCCGTTTGTGTTTGCCTTGGGCAGAAAAGCTCTTGGACGCTGCGTCAACAAACTAGTGCCTGTCAGTGTGGTTGGCATTTTCAACTATTCTGGAGCTGAGGTAAGAATTCCTAATCAAACAAACCTATAGCCTCTGTTATTCCTGTCAAATGTTCTGTACTTATTTTAGTGGAGGGTGAACGAATGAGGAGTACGTCACTGGCAAATGTCATTGATTTTAGTTCAGACACAGTGTCACAGCATGTTTGGGCTCTCTGTGTGTCATTTTGAACTTGATAAAGCTTCTCCTTCTTTCAGGGTCTCTTCAACCGCTTGGTGTCCCTCACAGAAGAGGCTAGAAAAGCCTACAAGGACATGGTTTCAGCTCTGGAGCAGGAGCAGGCCGAGGAGGCTCTGAAAAACGATAAGAAAGTCCCACACCACATGGGTCACTCTCGCAACCACTCTGCTGCTTCTGCTATCTCCTTCTGCTCCATCTTCTCTGAGCCCATCTCAGAGGTTAACGAAAAGGAGTATGGTAAGTGTCCAGACTTCAGGCTCTCTTTAAATCCAAGTCCTGATTTTGAGGGGTTTCCTCTACAGCGAGTAAGCTGTTAATATTTGATGCACAAGTTGGTAAGAGACCTTTGTCTGCAGTATCTGTATGAGATGGAGGTATTTCTTGTCTTCTTGGTGGTTCTTAAAGCCCTTCCACAATTGTGCCTGTGACAACTTTCAATTTTTGACTATACAGTTCCTAAAAAACTACACTTGCCTTTAAACATATCCCTCACAACCAGAGAACCCTAAAAAGAGTTCAAGGATGTGCAGAGGACTCTAACTAGACACCTTTAAAGGGTCATAAGCCAAAGAAAGATCTCGGATCACTACCTTTATCTTTGAATTATTATTAGTTTTAGTTAGAGCAAATCCTTATCTGAAAAGAAACTTCAGCGGACTGATAAAAGTCAGAGTATCACTGAGAGATTTCGTATAACAGATAAAAACTGAGCATTACAAATCTACTAATTCTTTCTTCCAGAGACAAACTGGAGGAGTATGGTGGAGTCCTCAGATGCTCTGGAGCCTGTAGAGGCTGAACCGAGCCGCCCTGCTCCTTCCACAGCAGCTCAGAAAGACTCTGAGGCTGTTGTAGCCACCAGTAACACTGCCCCGCCCAGCTCCTCTGCTCCACAGCCCAGGATGGGTCCTCCTGCACAGGTCAGTGGTGAGAGAGATGAGGTCAGGGTCGACGACCGGCTGGAGCTGGCCTCTCAGCAGAGCACAGAGACCGGCTCATTAGACGGTAGCTGCAGGGGCCCGCTGAACTCCTCCATTACCTCCACCACCTCCACCCTGGTCCCCGGGATGCTGGAAGAAGCTGAGGAGGAGGACGAGGAAGAGGAAGACTACACTCCAGAACCTATTTCTGTGGAGGTGCCCACCCTCAGCAGTCGCATCGAATCATGGGTGTCAAAGACCCTGGAGAACCTGCAGCTGGGAAAGAGCCAGGAAAGTACAGAAGAAGAGGAGGAGGAGGAGGAAGAAGAAGAGGAGGATTATGAGGAGGAGAGAGGGCGGAGTGAGGATGAGGAGGACCTTGACACAGCAGATATCACAGAGACAGTGGTGGAGGGGAAAGAGCAAATGGAAGCGTCAAAGATCACTGGTTGATGTCTCCTCTCTTCCTCCGCTCTCTGACACGCACTCATTCCCTGTCACTCACACAGATCCATCCTCACTGCAGCCAGCAGCTTCTCCCCTTCATCTCCCAACCCCTGACACCACATAATCTCAGGTATCCAACCAGCTGACCAACAAAAACACACAGACTTTTAACACATTACAGAGATACTGACCAACTCACCTGGACGACACACAGCTAGCACAGTTTGAGGAAAAGTAACACTTGTGAGGAACAACACTCATCCTTTAACGGAAAGTTTCCCTCACTTCTTTGGCCCATAACCTGCTACACTTGAATTCAGAGGGAAGATTTGGATTTTCTTTCGCCTCCTCCTCAGCTGAACTCTTTTAGAGTCGGGAACATTTTTGTGAGCAAGCAGCGAGCCTTTAAAAAAAAAAAAAACGAGGAGGAACCCTTCAGCTCCCATCTAGCCCAGAAGGTTTACAGCTTCAACAAGTGTTTGTGTGCTTGTGTGTGTGTGTGTGTTTTAAAGATGCATCTTTCGCATTTATTTTGCCGTGTTCAGTAGCTTTATCTTTGTAAATAATGTGTGTTTGTGTTTTTCCTGCCTGACTGCTCCATAAGGTAAAAGGAAAACCTGCTTTTCTTGATAACTGTTGGTTTTCAGCTTTCCTCGCAGAATATTAAGGGTGTCAGGGGGTTCTTCTGTTTCTACCAAAACCACTCCCACCTGTCAGTCTTCAGAGTGTTTTTTAATGTTCAAATAATAAGTGTCCCATTCTGTATAATCAGATGATTCAAATGACTTAACTTCTAAGAAGCAAAAAACAAGCTATGTGTATAAAACCTTGTCTACGTGTGGTTCTACTACAGTATATAATGGTTTGTCATAATGATCTTACCTAGTGTGAAACTATTTGGGGTAGATTTCCTCTGACTGGAGCTGTCTTAGTTCTTGGATGCTTCATAAAAAAATGCTCCTGCTTTGTTACCTTGCATTTGTTCCATGAAAAGGGGTGAAGGTGGAAATGACCTGAAACCATTTTTTGAAAAGCCTTTTTGTCAGCTTCATCTATGACAAGCCTGTCTATGTAGTTCACAGCATTGTGGAAAAATCTGAAAACTATAACAGGGTTCTTTGCCGTCATTTTTACCAGTGTTGACTCTACTTCCTAAAAAAGAAAACAAAAGATGCTTGAATCAAGTACACCAAAAGGACAAGCAGGTGTTTACTAGCCAGGGGTTGTGAGGTTATACTTTACCTGAGTTTACAAACAGTCAGATATACCTGCTTCAGCTCGTCTAGATTTGATAAACAGGTGTTGTTGTTGTGGACGATGAGCCACAGCTGCCAGTCTGAATCTGTTCACTCCCGGAGCAGAGTCACCACTGAAGTCAAACAAGTTGTCGTGCACACACTAATGATAAAGCTTTGTAAATACAAGTGTACAAAAGAGATTTTTCCATTGTATTTAAAATAAAAAAACAATCATCCTGTTCTTAAAGCCATTTGATAGTTTTAGCATTTAAACAGTTGGAATCCATTTTTGATAATGGTATTTGATAGTGAATCATAGTGAGATTTCAGCCACTTGATGGTGATGCAGTGTGTAAATGCAGTATGTCGGGCTGTATGCAATGTGAAGCCCTCATATGGGAGGTGACAGTGTACTCTATATCATTCTCGGGATTCTGAATGTGTTTCTAGTTTGATAAAGGTACTCTGTTTCGGCTCTTTGTCGCTATGACTTCCATCAGTGTTTGGAGTATGTTATTTGACAGCAAGTGTGTTTTTTGCACTATGTAAATACGTACTGGTAAAGGTCTTGTAACTAATGTGAACAAAACAAAAACAAAACAAACTACAAAAAAAAAAAAAAAACGGTTCAATGAAGTACTTTTTCAGCGTGTTCCTCGTCTTTATATGGATATTTAAGACTGTCTCCTTCAGGCTGTACATCGCTAGCAACATTGTTAGAGGCTGTTTCTCATAATCCTGTTATCACTCTTAACCTATATGAACTGATGATTAACATCATTAAAATGTTGTTTATGTAAATTATTCGACTCATGACTCATCTTGTGGTCTCTGTCTCATTAGCGGGATGGCAAAAAATGTGAGAGTGGGTGAAACATTTCCTGTCTTAAGGTCCTGAAATGAGAGGATGGGATGTTTTGCTGTCTTCTATGAGTTGACGCCAAGTATTTTAGTGTTTTGACTGGCTGTGTAACAAAAGGCAGTTTTCATGGCAAAATTTGATGTGGACATGCAGAGTTATATGGGAAAGATGTTATGGCAGTTGCGGCTTTACTGAGTGACCACAAGGGGGCAATAAAGCTCATCTATCCTTAATTAAATGGTATCCATCTGGAAATACATTCATATTTTCACAATCTTCTGCATCCACTAAGTGCTAAAATAAATGATCTGTAATGGAGTTATTTTATCAGTGAAAATATTTCTTATGGTTTAATTTCTTTCATGAACTCTGCAACTTCTAGTCTTTGTACAGACCCACTTCCACACTCTGCAAGGTTTGCTGTTGTTAGATATTAATCTCTTGAAATGGACGAAGACCAACATGCAAAGCAGTCTCAGGTCTTCACCTGGCGTATTGTTCTGATTGGGATCAAACAGAAACGGAAATGTCCCGGTCAGTCTCGTTCCTTGTTTGCACATTCAGGTCATGTTTAATGTTTATATGCAGTATAAGATGTTGTGGATTTTAACCTGAAAGAAAATTAGAAAAGAGAGACGGCAGAGCTGATTATGTATAAATAACACACTTGAAAGGCATTTTTTAGGTGCTACTGATGTTAGAACAGAAGAACAGAGTACTCATGTACTGTATTGGTTCAGTGTGTGTGTGTGTGTGTGTGTGTGTGTGTGTGTACAGCATGAGTCACCCTACCCTCCTATGATTGGATGGTAGTTTATAGGTGAGGGAGGGGGAGAGAGCCTTAGGGGCCGTCTGTCAATCTCTTCTGCTTCATTCACATATTCATCTGCATGCAGCGTCATAGACAGACAAAGGAAGTGAGAGAGTGAGCCTCTCATTCATAAAAAAAAAAGAGAGCGAGAGAGAGAAAGTTCATTCATGAAAGCTGCAACAGTCTGTTATTTCTGAGAGAGAAAACAAGAGGAAAGTTGATGTGGAGGTGAAGCAGAGCTGGAAGCCCGGAAACTGATTGAGAAAGTGTACAGATGAGTGAGATGGGACTGCACTGAGAGTGACTGGAGCGGAGCAGACCGGACTCTAGACTTCACAGGACATCGCCAGTCTCACAACGGTGAGTCAAAAATCCCTGTAATGTAACGGGGCTGCAGGAATCCAGCTTAGTCAAGAGGGAACACAAGCAAAGTGCTCAGATAATTTCACAAAGACAATCTTTGCATTTAGAGGAGTTATTTTTTCTGCTTTATTCCTGTCTGCAAAGTTAAATATCTGTTTATAAAAACTGCTTGTCTAATTCTTTAAAGAGTTTTGTTTTTTAATATGTTCTCCCAGTGCAGTTCCCTGATTATGAGAGAGCAAACCTTACCCAGGCTTAAATCACAGTCAGGACTCTTACCAGGTAGCTGATCAGCTGTTTTGTTTATTACTGACAAAAACAGTACAATGAAAACCAACATGCTGCACATCTAACCCCATAACCTCTTTTAGGCATGCTCAAGCGCACCAAATACAGCCGTCTGCGCAATGATTCCCTCACATCTCTGGAGGATCGACCCCAAAGGCTGCTGCCCCTGAAGAGGGACCTCTGCCTGGACACTGATTTTGCTCAGCTGGAGCCTGGGACACCCCCACACCACGGGCCATCCACCCTGAGGGACTTCATTCCCCGGGTGGCCAATATCCGGTTGCACAGCCCTATTTCCCTGCGAGGCCTGAGGGGGCAGACAAACACAGCAGGGGACAGAAGCACTGATGGACACACAGATAGACCCCTGTCCAGCGCAGAGTTTCATTCTGGTTCTAATCAGAGATTTTGTAGTCAACCTGCCATCATGTGCCCCCAAACTCAGTCTTCTCTGCGCTGCACAAAAAGACCCATCACCCTGCATCGTATGGCCAGCCTCCCCTGGACCCCTGGGTGCACACACAGAGACTGTTTGTGCTGTTTGAAGACTCTCTCTGTAGGAGATGACTGTGCAGTGGTGCGGACGGCAAGTAGAGCAATTCACCATCACATTAAGGTATTTGAAAGCACAAAAGATTTGCAGTAATCTGAAATACTGTGTGGCAAAAATGCATGAAAACTGGATAATTGGGGTTAATTGCTCAACTTATCATGTCTTGATCTTTGACATTTTACAATTTACAAACTACTGTGTCAACTGTGTAAGAAAGAAGAGCTAAACTCATGTTAAGGTTCCAAGCAGAGAGTGAAAATCAGTTTTTTTATTCCTGCAAATGCCAACATAACCACATCTAACACTGAACACACACTGGACTCTCACACACTCTCTCTCTCTCTCTCTGTCTGCCTGTGCTCTATCCACACCATCACACTCACTTTTGCACATTCACCCCCTCCCTCTCAGTTAGAGCTTCCTGTGTAGGCAGTAGTGACTCATCCTGGCTCCCTGCTCCTCTCTAGATCTGCTCTGCTTGTGTGTGTGTGCGTGCGTGTGCATTTGCGTTGGTGCGCGTGTGTGTTTGTGCATGAGCATATGCATGTGTGTATCCGGTATCAGCAGAGCCCATGCTGTCCTAGAGTCGGAGGTGTGTCCGCATGGGTGATTAGGAGCGAGGCCTGTGAGCTGACCACTGATGGAAATGAGGATGGACTGTGTGATTGTCCTCTATAAACAAGCACACACACACACACACACACACACACACACACACACACACACACACACACACACACACACACACACACACACACACACACATACATTACACTCCCACCCACTCACTCCACTCACACATACAGGCATATATTGATTTAAGTTTGGTCAATGGACTTACTCATCCTGCCTCCAGCCTATAGACTCGGCTCAGCTGAAGCTCACAGCCAATAGAAGTGAGACTGTCCAAAGTGTCTCCGAGCACATGGCTGAAATGTGGTCTGCTTACCTCAACTACTTCTCACTCTTGGCTTTTCTATCATTAAATATATGCTAATACTATTTTCCAGAAGTAGTGACGTGATAAAGACATGCTATCTCCTAGTTTTGGTCCATCAACATCACTAAGTGACATATCACCCAGAGGACATTTTCAATCAATTTGTTGTTTTTTTACAGCTGTATTGACATTATTGGTTTCTGGTTTGTGCTAATATGATTTTTTCAGGTATTTTTGAGCGTGGTGTTCACAAATTACATGAACCAGAGCATGCTTTGACTCAATATTTAACACACTCTTAGCACTGTCTGCAGCAAATGTAGCAGAGCAGCTCAGCTGAGCAGACACCTACCTTAGCTCTGCAGTAACTCTTTGTATGAACTTGCCTCTTATAGTGCAAAATAAGCACATTTATAAAGCCGTATAAATGCATCCACAGGGCAACCCTCATGAGTGGTTATAAGCATTCAAAACAGTTGATAAAGTGTGCAAAAAGTGAGCATAATGCTTTATAAAGGTATGATTTATTATGCATTATACCTTAATGCTTTGTCTTTTTAATTCTGGGTTTATAACTCTCACAACTTTCCCTGGTTATAAATGTTTATGAAGAACTTATTCTATGTATCATTAAAAAACAGGATAATCTCTGTGATTCTCAGTTCATAAACAAAGCTAAAAGCTGATATGAATGCTTATTATCACTCACAAGAGTTGTTTTAAAGCCTTGTAGATGCATTAAGAAGGCTTTTTACATGTGCTGTTAGTGTGACCACATTTTCATTTGCTGCAAGATCGAAGTTTTTGAATTCTTCTTCTTCCCAATAAAACAGCCTCCTCTGTGAAACTGTCAAGACAAACAACAGATGGTTAAGAAGGAAATGTTAAATATCTGCTGACACTTGTGCATTCCCAATGTTTAACCCCTTTAAAATTTGAGTTTATATCAGTCTCATAAATTCAATTTAGAGGGGGTGGGGGGGTGGGGGTTGTTTGGATCAGCTGTTAAGTTGCATGTCACATGTACAGAGGCTGTACTCCTCAAAACAAATGGCCCAGGTTCAGTCTCAGCTTGGTCCATAGGTTCCTTCTCTATTCACTGTTTTCACTTTGTAACACTTTGTATCTGAAGCAAATCTCCAAGTGTAAAGCATAAAAATCACAGAGACGAGATCAATATTAAAAGCATAACCTTATTTGTTTGATGAATTGTTATACCTGAAAAGATGCCAGTCTTGGTCGGTCCATCAGTTTGGTCCAAACTGAATCATCTCATCATCTCTTTGAATTGTTTGAGATGGATTTTTGTTTGATCCTTAGATCTTTGCTGGTTCCTGTGTTTCTTCTTGAAGTCATTGTGTCACTTTTGTGTGTGTTTCACAGTACATGGGTAGTGTGGAGGTGACCCAGTCGATGAGAACCCTCGACTTTGATACCAGAATGCAAGTCACACGGTAGGAAACGATTCCACTGCCTCGCTCAGTCTCTCACTGATATACACACCTCGACCATTACCTCCCCTTGCATGAACTCTGCTTTTACACTAACCTGATTTATGTGGGATAACATCCAATCGCTCACAGGGTCTCAGGGTAAAACATAACATAAATGAACTAATCTTTATGTGCTGTGAAGACACAAACAAATAGAAACTTCTGTACCATGGCGTGCTGAGCCCATTTAAAGTATATTTTTCTTGCTGAGATGCGTGCTGCTCATTAAAAAAAGAACATTTCAAAGGGGGAAATGAAATTAAACGTATAATGTTTCATAAACCGGGGCTTTCTCCTCATCATTTGATATTGACATCCTAGCGCAGGATGCCATAACGCTGATGGACACAGCAACCTCTGTTCATAAGAACGCTGCTGAAGGATGGGGAAGAAAATCCAATTACATGAATTTCCGCCTAATGAACTCCCATAGTTAAGAGAGAGGAAGGAAAAGAGGGAGAGAAGAAAAGCAACTCTTAGAAAAAGGTCTTGTTTCCTAGATAGAGGGATGTTATTGTTTTGAGCGTGTTTGTAAGCTTTGACCTTTCTGACCCAGGCATCAGCTCTCTCTTTGGAGATGCTGCAGTCAATGCGAGGACTACACAGACCTTCTATCAGTGTTAAAGTTTGGATACCACACTGTAAACATGCAGTCAGAGTAAAGGAACTACATCAAGAGTAGACATAAAGGAAAACTAGTCCAAGCAGGTCTCCTCCTGCCTTCCCACAAACACCTCAGAATCCACCTGCAGACTGACGATAAATGAAGAGCAAACAGAGGCAACATGAAGCTCAACCTTCCACATTTGAATGAATAAAATGCTGCAGACACACGTTTGTAGTACTAGAGGAGTCCACTCAAAGCTAAATTTAATAAAAACATGAATGTTCATCATGAATACCCCAAACTTGGACTCATAACTGTGTTTGGATGACTGTGCTTCTTGTGACTTTGTCTCTCTTGGTCACATGTGTGCTTGTGTCTGCAGAGAGGCGATTAGCAGACTGTGTGAGAGGACATCAACAAAGACAGCACTAAAAAGTAAAAAGGTAAGGTATTTAAACACACACACACGCACACACAGCAGTCTAATCGAGCTCAGCATAAGGAGGATAAATGTGTTTCTTGTCCTCTTCATCAGCCTGTCTGTAAGGGACTGTTTGCTGTTCTGGGTCAAATCAATCTTCAGTTTTCTGGCAGCAGGATTATCCTCGCCGTCTCCACCGACAGTGTGACTCTGATTTCTGCCTCCTCCTTACAGGTATCAGCTCCAGCTCATTTAGCAGAATCTTTCCTCCACAAATCTAACTGAGATACTGAGTGAACAAAAACATTCCTAACTTTAATTTATTTCTCCTCTTTTCTCCGTAGAAGATTGCTCACCACCCCATGCAGGCCATCTCGTTCGCCTCAGGAGGAGATCCGGTACATTCATGCGCTCTAAAGTTTCACATGTTCAAGCACGCTCAGAGGAAGGGACACAAACAGGATAGAATCTGTACAAACACACACACACACACTGTCATATGCGGTAATTGGATTTAGTTTGATTACCGCCTGGTTTGCTGCCATTTGTGGAGGATCATTTCCTATCCTAAGTCTAGATCCTGCCATACTTTTAACTGGTGTTGTCAATTCGAGGAGAGGGTGATCCTTCATGTCTTTCAAACATAGAAATACAAAATATTTTTGCTGTCTTTACTTTAAGTTTTTGTCAGAAACTTGAGACTGGAGCTTATGCATCAAATTTATTTGAAAAACCTTAAAATCTTTTTTAAAAAGTAATAAAGGTGTAATTGAGATACATTATATTGGTTGGTACAAATATACTCCTTCATTTCTTGACATGGTTAATAATAATTTGAAGTGTTCATTACTGCAGGAGTGCTTTGTTTGTGCTTTGACCATCACCTCTCATAGTTTTTGTTTTACATGCAGAAAGTACTGTGAGTACTTTTGTATTTAGAGTTGTTGTTTATAGTTGGTAAAGAAAATGGATTTACTCATTATTATACTCTCTATATGATGATGCAGTTGTCCAAGGCTGGAGTCCATTCTTTGGCCTTTTCTCCATTTTAGACTCTCTCTTAAAGCTCCTGTGAGGAACTTTTGGTTTATATTGATTCTGGCGCCACCTGTGGTCAAAATAGTCTTTGCTCATAATGAATGAAAAACAAACAAACGAACAAACAAACAAAAAGAAAAACACAGAAGTTGCGAAGTTTCCTGTGTTAATTGCAACTTAAAAATAGAGATTTCACACAAACTTTGAATCACTCCTGATGACAGTTAAACTCTTGATAAAGAATTAAACCCCTGATTGATCGGCATGGCAAATGTAAGTTAAATCCTGTAACTAATTAACTTCCTGATTTTTTTGTCATATTGCAGCACTATAAACAGCAGATCATGAAACCCCTTCCTGTCATATAATTGGCATAAAAGCCCTGATGTCCTTTCATCATCCTTAAAATGCACAGTGTCTTTTTCAGGCTAATTTATTTAATGCGTTCTCCCCTCCATCTTTTCTGTGCCACATTATTTCCATATGACGGAATCTGTTTTTCATCCAAAGTGAAATTTCCTGTTTCCTGAATGTCTATGAAGCATAAAAAGCTCTTATCATTAGAAAGAAAAAAAAAATCAATGCTGCTTTGTGTAAACAGCCTGCAGGACATGTTAGTTATAAGCTGCTGTCTAGGTCAAATCCTGGTTAATAAACTGCTGTAAAATTAAATGAATTAAACTAACTTTCAGCTAATTTCACTGAATTCATTTAACTGAGGAGGTATCAAAAGCTTGGTTCACATTGTGTTATTTTACCACCATTTGGTAACTTTGAGGATGCCCCCCTTTCAAATTGAGAGAGAGAAGAGGAGGCTGGTTTCTCGCAGAGGGAGAACACAGGCGGAGCTGTGGATGGGATTATAGCTGGCTGTTTAATTAATTAGCTAAAATAATCTTGTAGTGAGCTCTAAGCCTCAAAGCCTCAGTTTGCCCGGACTCATGAAAGATAACGAGGGGGATTTAAAATCAATCTGTCACAAAGGCTTTATGGTGAAACATATTCAGCTGACTCTGCTCTTGAATTAGAATCAGAGAACCAATGATATGAAGTGAGTTAATTAAACAGAAAGGACATGGACGCATGGATGGCCATAAAGTCAGTGTGTGTGTATGTGTGTGCCATGTTTTATAACGAGACAATGTGCAGCAAAATGATCAATCCATGTCAGACCAACAGGCTAAAGGACATAAAAAGACATACAGAGTGTATGACTGAATATCTGTAGAGTAAAAAGAGTATTCTAAACTTTTAATGCCAGAAACTTTTACTCACAGGCAGTTCAACACAAATCATTTGGTTTTCAATATATGGTCTTTGATGCCACAGGAGTGTTACCGTCCTATTTTGAATACATATTTTTTTCCCTCTGCAGGACATGGCTGACTACATCGCTTATGTTGCAAAAGACCTCTGCAACCGAAGAGGTAGGCTTGTTGTCATTTTAATCCCCCTCCTGTGTTAGGGTCTGCACCGACCCGTTTTTTTATTTTAAATGCTTAAAAGAACCACTTAAATCAGCTTTTTGCATCAAGACTTTTTGACTTTGTCAGGAACCTCTATTTCAACAAAATAAAAATAAAAAATTTAAATTGATTAAATTATAAAATGCTTTTATCAAAATTATGGCACTTGTCGTGTTAGGGTTGCTGTTGACCTGGTTGGATCAATATCTGATTATCAGAGCAAAAACTGAAATCATAAGTGCACTGTCAGGCACCTCACTGACAGTCAGATCCTCTTCCAATCATGTGAGATTTAGGAAATTCTCATTTTGCCGTGTTTTTCCTGCACAAAAAAACAACGTTGAGCATTCCAGACATGTGAGATCAGTTCAGTAAGGATGTCTGTATGAGGGGTATACTGACGAAGAAAGGCCCAGAGGACCACTACAAAAACTATTATACGCAATATTTTCATGGATAATGTAGCCTAACAAAGTAACCTAGAGATGAAAACCAAATTGGATGATGGAAAATTGTTTGTAGTGTAATTTACAGCTGATTTAAGACACGGATCAAAACCGACCCTTAACATGGTGGGTGTGTAGTAAAAGCTAACACAGGAGGAAGGTTATTGTATCAGGCCTCCACTAAAGTTTCTGTCCTCCATGTGGAAATAGCCTCTTTTCTCAACTCCTCTCTCTCTCTCTCTCCCTCTCTCTCTCTCTCTCTCTCTCTGCCAGCATGTCACATCCTGGAGTGTCCCAGAGGTCGAGCCTCTGAGGTTATCAACAGCATTGGTCAGGCCTTTGAGACTCGCTTCCGCCAACTTCTCAGCCAACCGCAGCATATCTCCAACAATCCCAGGTAGTGTTTTTGTCCACTGTAGCTGTCCAACTGCTGAGACACGATCATTTCAGCTATTTAATCAGGGTTAATCAATTATTTTACTGCCAGAGGTAAGAAGCCAGCTGTTTTAAAGTAAATGTTTAAGTCGAAGTTACTTCATTTAAGTTCCTTTTCAACGCCGATGCCCTTAAATCAAAAAGTAAATGCAGAAACACTTTATCACCAAACACTATATCACTTTAAATTTTTGGAAATGTTCATTTTTCGTCAGCTGTATCCATATCTGCTTTTTTTTGGTTGTTTATATTAATGCTGCATAGGTGTAGATGAATCGGCATTAATGTGATATCATGATATTTTGTTCCTGCAGATCAGTGGTGAGAATCTCTCACATATGGGATCCAGAGGAGACCATCACAGAGCAAAAGGCGAAGCAGCAGGACGGTGAAGTCTTCCAGCATCGTGACTACTACAACATGATCCCGGGAAAAATGCCAGCACCTGTAAAAGCAGATGACCTGCAGCTCATAAGGGAGGAGAAAAACCAGGAAGCTGATGTAAGTGGAGTGAGAGTTACACATATTAGTACAAGACAAATGATAATACAGCTCTGTTTATCCATAGATTTTGTCTGCTTTTGTTGGTTTTCTTCAGCAGAGGAGGATGTTCAAATGTAGAGAAGACAATAGAAGACAGACAGAAATAATAATGTATTGTGTTGCCAGTAAATAATTGGAAATGTTGAAATAAATGCCTAAAAATTCGGTTGCATTACAGTATGGTACAGACTGACTTAGTCTTAGTAAACATTGCAGGCTCTCTACAAGGACAGGCCAGGTTTGTTAATCACAAATGCTTCAGCTGCCCTGTGCCACATGAATCTGTCCAAAAGAGTTCAGCTGTAAATGTCTGAAGGGCACCTCAGTGTTTATATGGAGGAAGGCTTCAGCTCTTCTCATTTACTTTCCAGGATCATTGTTCTGGTTTGAGAAGTGACTCTCTTGTCATGAACACATTTCAGACCTTAACGCCATTACTTTCCTTTGATACACACACATACACAAAGATATCTGTGTTGAGTGTATGACTCATCTTTTGCTGTTGCAGGTTTGTTCATCTCCGCCTGTTTCTTTGTACGAGAACTGCTCCATCTCAGAGGAAACTCCAGCTCCACCTGCAGGTAGAAATCATCAACACACCCCAAGACAAGTAGACAATGTTCTGAGCTAAGGTCACTACTATCTGTACTCTTGTGTTTTCCAGGGGATACCTGCGTAAAAAAGCAGCTTGAACTAATGTTTTACACTTGTATGAACTCAGTTTAAAACTTCTGAAACAGATCCAAACTCAAAACTTTGCACATGTAAGAAGTACAGGAAAAATAAAGATGAAAAAGACACAACCAAATCATGATGGGTGCCGATAAATAGAGGAGTCTCTGATCATTTTAGAGCAGCTACTTTTTGAAAAAGAAACATTCATCCATAAACTCGGAGATCAACTCCAGCTATCCTGCTTTTTTAAGGGAAATATCACCTGCCCATTTAAAGCCTTACCTTAATGCAAAAAGTCAAACTTAAAATGATTTCACCAAAGCTTTAACTCAAAGTTTGGGTTGATTTTGGGGTGATTTGGGGAAAAATTAAACCCATTATAAGAAATATTGAATTTAAAGTTAGATTTTATCACATTGGTGGTTTAATTCTGGTTGGAACAGCCTACAATTTTCTTCTCTTGTGTCTTGTTTCAGATTCAGAGAAATCCGGCACCTGTGCAGGACTGTGTTCCCCTCTATCTGAGTTGCCAGTCCCAGAACTGATCCAGGAAGAGGGCTGGTTCCATGGCAGGTCAGCAATAAACATCACTTTACCTGAGCTATGAGTAGTTCATTTCCTTTCATATGTCTTTCTACTGATGTTTGCAGCCTCCTTCCTTGATTTGTACTCTGCAACTTTAACCCCAGGTTAGCCAGAGAGGAGGCGGAGTCTCTTCTTACCTGTAGTGGTGACTTCCTGGTCAGAGAGAGCAGCTCAGCCTCTGGGCAGTACGTCCTCAGTGGGATGGAGGGGGCCACCGTGCGGCACCTGCTGCTGGTCGATCCACAAGGACAGGTAGAGATGAAGTATTGGGTTTCAGGTGCTCATGCCCGAAGAGAGGGGAATGACAGGGTTTAATTTTTAACCGTGTTTTTCTTGTTTTTGTGCGACCAGGTGCGGACGCGTGATCAGGTGTTCCTGAGCGTCGGTCACCTGGTGCGTTTCCATATGGAGAACCAGACACCCATTATCTCTGGGAGCAGTGAGCTGTGTCTGAGGCAGCCGGTGCTCCAAAGACACTAACACACATTCACAGACTGTGGCATGCACAAATCAGCCTTCAGGAGTGGCTATCAGAGCTATTCCATTTTTACAGCTACTTTAAGAGTCAAACAATCCCACTGTACGAAACATACTATTAATGAGTTAACAAAACAGATACATGTTTAATTTTATGTCGGGAGTTTCAGTGAAGACGTGCAGACTGCTTCTCACTCTGTGTTGTGAACAGCTGCTGGCTTGCAGAACTTCCTCCTTTCTCTCTCTCTTACTCTCTCTTTCCCTCAGGCTGAACTTGTTGGTGTTTACTCAAAGATTAAGCACAATCACTGGTGTTAAGAGGAAATTACCAGAGCTCTAGCAGAATTATTGCAGTATAATCTTTTTCACATGCTTGATTTCTCTTGTGTTCTTTTGTTTTGGTTTGTTTTTGTTGTCTGACCCCATTTTCTGTGCTTGAAAAATCTGGAAAAGTCTTTTCATCCTTTTTATTTGTTAGATTCTCAATGTGGAAATTCAAACACTGTTTGTAAGCAGAGGCTACAGAGACGGATTTGTAGTTTAGTCTATGGTAAACTGGATAATGATATTTTTGTTCCCTTTGAAATTAAATCAGATGCATCTTTTGTTCTTTTACAAAAATGACTCTCTGATCTGTGTTGGCTGCTTCTTTCCTCTTGAACCTCAGACCAAAAGTGTAAAACTTTCCTCCTTCTTTCTCTCTGTAGACACATCATCGCTTTTATGAGTTGAATTCAGTGAACAATAAATTTTTCTTATATATAAATGAATCTGCACCTAGGTTTGTATCACTTGACTGTGATAAGGTTAAACTTTCTCATACCCTTGTTTTTTGTCATGTCAGAAGTGAAATATGAGTGGCTGACTTTTTCAGCCACAAGATGGCGCAATGAGTTTATAATAGAGCTCATCCTGCTTCAGTTTGAATCAAATACTCTCTGAGATGGCCAAATACTCTCTTTTTAGAGGTATTACTTTTTCATTATATGTTAATTTCATACTGATGTTGATCATCTTACTGATGACGCATTCTTGGTGACATGTGCGTAAGACACGTGTTTCAAACATGTCTGCAAATTCAGTTCTTTCAGCACCTTTGAAACAGACTTGTGTCTGAAAGCTGTGAAAATGACCAGCAATAAACAGCCTGTAATAATTTCTTCAACACTTCTCCGTCGCTTTTCAGCAGCCTGTCACTTGCAGATTTCGGTGAAGTAAAAAATGACTCTATGCTTAAAGTATGCAGCCAACTGCTCTGGGGCTGTGGCCCTCGTCGTCCTCTGAGAGGCTCCAAGGGTCTCACCCACATTAATCACCCTCAGCCCAGCTTGTTAGGCTGAGATCAGGGATCTACTGACAACTCATAGGGGGGAAAAGCAGCTCTGCTAGGGACTGATACAGAAAAAAGATAAACATTGATATAGTATCTGAAGAAAAACAACACTGGAAGTCTTACTCTTCTGATAATTCTGTCAAGTGTAATCACAGATCTCACAGGCTTTCCCACAACCCCGGGCTGTTGAGGTGTCAAAAAGAGGGCTTATCTGGATTGTTTCGAAGAACAGGAAATTGGTGTATCTCTGCTTTTTGCTGCACTCTCTATACATAATATCTGCATCTTATCTGATTCAGTCAGTTAGCAAACAAAAACTCTCTTTACTCTCTTTAAAATCAGATAAAACTATCATCTTTCAACAAAAAACCATCAGAAGTGTGAGGGAAAGTAATATTTTCAACATGTGAATTTATTTCCCTGCTTCAATTATGTCCCTCTGGATTTCCTCTGAGTCACACGGACCTCGCCCAAAAACAGCTCATCAGGAAAAGCAGGGACTATGTGTGTGATGCCATTCTTTGAGGTCTGCAGATGGTCACATGCTGTCAAACCCATGAGGTCACTGTTTGACCTCTGACCTCTAGAATAATGTCAAAGTAGAGGCTTGAGACCTGGGTGGTGTCCCTGCATAAGCAGATCAGGAGGAACATAAACTCGGTCAACTTTTGGGCGATTCTTCTTGAAAAGTCATTATTTACCCGTGAGACTCCTTTCACTAAGCAGATGGTTTTGTTATTAAAACACAACAATCTGGGTTATTGGGTCACCAGTATTTGATATTTGTCAATAGCCAGTATCATGTGAAGTGATGCATTATAGATCTGGTTATGTACAGATCTGTTGTAAAGTAGGATGAGTGACAAACACCACTGTGACAGTGCTTAATCATTCAAGCTTTTATTACAGTGTTTGTTCAGAACCAGAGGACCCTAATTTACTGTGCTTATCAAGTATTTTAACTACCTAATTTAATCAGTTTAATATCTGTTTAAAGAGTTTGACAATAAATGTATTTGTTCATGCACCTTGTGTAGTGCTGGTTTGATTAAAGAGACCCCTAAATTTAAGGCACTATGGGGTTCATCCATACCTTACAATAATTACCGTAGGTGGTCAGCAAAATGGTATAGATATATCAGTAATCATGCTACTCAATACTTAATCTTTGTGGACAATATCTTAAACTTGAAGTTTATTGTGATGTAACTCTTATCGTGATCGAAATTGAAGACATCAGTGGTCACGTTTACATGGGAAAATTTTTTTGATCCGATTACAAATTTGAGAGATCGGATAATCTGAATCCACTGTTTATATGGGTGCAAAATCAAATAATCCGATCATGACGTGTGAATATATGCACCAATCTGTGTTCAGATTAGAAGCATTTGGACATGCGCAGAGTTGTTTGATTTAAAACAACCGCAGAAGAAGAGTTGTATTTACGCCTGTGCTGTCAACAAACCAACAATTTTGGAAGTAGCTCACTTAATCCAATTCAGGAGTTTTCCCCCCTGTTAAATGTTGTCACTAGATGGCGCCCTTGCGTACTTATTTTACTTTTCTGTCAAAGGTTTTTGTGCGTGCAGATGTGACATCATTACGCTGTATGTACGCCTTGTTATATTACCGGAAGAGAAAAAAAAAGAAAAATGTTACCGGAAGAGCAGACACGACTGCTGCGCTTATGTTGTATGTCTGACTGTTAATAATGAAACCTCCTGTATTGATCCCAATAAATAAGCAAAAGGCTAAAGAGTGAAGATCGAGTCAGGTAAGAGAGTTACAATCGAAATAATAGTTTACATGAACGCGTTTCGGAATAATGACCGTCATAAACCACCCCTCTCCATCGGAATATAATTTCTTTCCGATTGAGGCGACTTGGATCAGAATCTTCCGATCGACCACTTTACATGACGCATTTTTTTGTTCCGATCGGGCATTTATTCCGAGTATTTGTGCCCATGTAAAGGCAGCTACTGAAAGGTAATTAGCAACAGCAACAATGCATGCAGAAACCATGATATAGTAGTTCAGGATGAGACATAGGCGTCTGTCTGAGGCTTCCATGACAAACTCGGTCAGTGGGTTGATCTTTTGAGGTTTTGAGACTTTAAACCTCTGCAGCTGAAACTATAGAAGACACATTACATGAATTTTCTCAAACCACGTGTTGTGTGTGGATTTGTTGGCTCATGTGTGTGCATTCCTTGAACCCAGCAAGTGACATGTCATGACTCTGAAACAGGAAATGATAAACATTCAGTATAATCTCCAAGTCCTGCGGATTTGGTTCAGATCCAGAGTATTAAAAAGCCTGAACTCTTTGAATTCCTTTATAGAATAAACTTGCACTGATGAGCCTGAGGGCATTAACTTTAAACACACAAACACACAGTCAAAAACACACACACACACACACACACACACACACACACACACACACACACACACACACACACATATGACAAAGTATTCCCAGACCCTGAAGCGCCTTAATGGAACAATTAAAGTCATAAAAAGCGCCCAGAGTTGGAGAGCATGAAATCGTTCCTCGTTTCAATGTTATCAGAGTCACACAGAGTTCAGATCTGGGAGGAAACTAAACAAGACTTGGCCACTGACTGGGCCGTGTTGCAGCAGTTTCTGGCATGCCAAAATCTACACGCATGTTCCTCCAGAGACAGCACCGGGGAGGAGACACGCACGTGAGTCATGTGAGGGTTCGCAAACAAATGCGCACAAACAAAGAGACGGGCCTGGTTCTGTTTCCTGTTTCCACTACTCAGGAACCAGCAAGGGCACGCTGTGGAGAGCAGAAAGTCTCTGTTTAACCAATGCACAGTCAGCTGCTGTTGGACAGAGTTAGGTAGTGCAGAGTGAATCACTGTATGTGTTTATGTGTGTGTGTGTGTGTGTGTGTGTGTAACCCCCACAGTGGTCACCTCACATTTTACTCCCCGGTGCTCTTAAGCCTCAGCACTGAAGTCAGCATGACAGCTTTTCTCTTAAGTTTTGCAGGGTGCGTAGACTCTTGGCTCCCAGCAGGCCTCTCTGGGCTAAAAGACACACACACATAAATACACACACACTCTTACAAACACGCCGCACTGTATCCCCGAGCACAAACATGCCCTTGAGTTTCTTTACCTCCTCAAGATCTTCATGTTTCCACTCCCTCCTTATCATTGCCCCCTTGGAAAATAGGCCAGTGTCAGCTCATGCCATTAGGTTCTGATCCAAGTGTGTGTGTGTGTGTTCACGTCCGGTTAGCAGCCATGCTTATCTGCCACTTGGCTTAAACACTTACTTGAAAATGTGTTTGTTTTCATGGCCTGTGTCGGTGGATTGCAATCGAGTCTGTAGTTGTGTGTATGTGCGTGTGCGTGCGTGCGTGCGTGAGTGTGTATGAGTGACACGGCGGTGATGAGGGGGTGGGGGATTCCAGGATTCTTGCACGAGGCAGCAGACAGATGTGGGAGACTTGAATCAAAACTTTTTTGTTGGCCCACTCCAGAAACGAGACTTTCCCTCCACTGTTGGTCTCCTCTGACTCTCCATTCCTCTGTTGTTTCCTCACGTTTTGGCCAGCAGCTCACACTTCTCCTGGATTTCAAGCAGACGCTGAGATCAAACTTGGACTCTTGCACACACCAGGAGAGATGATCCACTGGAGCTTTTGTCATGCTGGACTTTTTGTTTGTGGTCCTGTAGCAGCTGAAAAAAAGCACTTGTTATTGACAGAATCGTCTTGACCTCTCTAAATATAAGGAAAGTTGCTCATAAACAAAATTTTTAACGGACATTATGTTTATAAAAGCTGCAAAAGTGACACATCACTTCTGTTACAAGGGTCCAGCTGTAAAACTGAAAGATTTTCAAGCCTTTTATTATTGTTTTTGGTGTTGACTCAAACCTCCCATATCCCAAATGCATGTGCTGGGGTTACTGGAGCTTCGTCATTTATTCATTCACTTTCTAACTTACTTAATTCATCTTTGAGATCTGATCATATGGGGCACAGTTACTGCCATGTAGCAAACTGAACAAAACCATGCCCATTCGTGGCTGATATAAAAAATAAGAAGAACTTAAAAGTTAAAGTTTTTATCCCTGGTTGGCTCTAAATTTATCCATACAAAACTTTGCTTTTGTAATAACTGATCATATTCTCACCAGAACATTTTTTCTATGCACTCATAAGAAAGCACTTTGTATTTGAAGCTCACATATTTTAATAAACTTGTACTGCTGTGTTATGGGACGCTAAGAGTACCAACAAAGGGAGTTTGACAATTTGTTATTGTCTTATTGTCTTGACAAGGACTTGAATCAAAAGGTTGCTGGTTTGACTCCTGACCACTACCCTTGCAACCCTGCCCTGGTCATCTTCTTCTTTCTACTGTGCAGTATGAAGGAGCTGTAAGCTTGAACCACTAAGTCCTGTTTTTAATTTTTTGCAAATGATTGGATCCCAAATAACAAACCTCAAGGATTAAGCAAGTCCTGTGTTTTCTTTTCCATCACCCCCATGCTCTTGTCTGCTTGTTCTCATCTAAAGCTCAAAGACATAACAGTATTAAATCAACTGCCAGTGTGACAATTGAGTAAATTGTTTGAAACAAAAAAGGAACAAATCTCAGACCCCATCTTGATAATATCACATGATTTAATTATTCCTTTATGACAGCAAACCACATGTAGTTAGTTATAAAGTTTTGAACTTGAATATTTTCAGCCTTTTTATGATAGACAAAGAAAATAGATGGCAAATAAATTGAAAAATGAAACTGTTGTAAGCTGTAGCATTATGATGGTTTTCAGGGATTCCTTCTTCTGTTTTCACACTTTGAATCTAAATCTGTTGCTATAGCTCAAGTAAATCCAATTTGAACTGAAGTAAAGTGTGTATAAGTTAATTTCTTTATGTGTGTGTTTGCATTGGAGTGTGTTTATGGGTCAGTGAGTCTGTCCGAGTGTCTCTTACAGACGGTGGTGGCAAACCCTCATTGTGAAAACTCAACCGGGAATGTTTTCCATCCCTAAGATGGTCAGATTTGTGAGTGTGGGGGGGACACTGGCTCTGTGTAAATCACATGTGGAGATGAGGTAAGTGGGCGGCAAGACCAGCCTGGATGTGATGTCTTAAACCAAAAAAACTATCTACTTTGGCCAACTGAGGACAGGCCCTGAATAAATCTGAGAGCTCAGACACACGCAGGGTGTGGACAAAATAAGAACTATTTATAATGACTTACATTCATCACAAAATTCAAGTTTGTATTTTCAATAACTCCATATGTATATATTAACGTTAAGCGATATGCATAATTAGGGTGTGATTGGTTTGATCGGCAGGTTGATGTTGTAACTGTTTGCTAAAAAGTTGAAGGTCTGCCTCAGATCAACTCTGCCTGATGCCAGGTGAATATAAAGTTATGTTAGGTTATCATTTCCACCATCAATTAGCCTCAAAAAGCCTCTTCAAAAACCAGTGGGTGACGCCATCCATGTTTTATAGAGTCTATGAATAAAGTCTGACCTGCGTATGAGCAAGAGTTCTTGTAGTGAAGTGTAGCTTAGCTTATCATTTAGTGGCAGTGGAAACAGAAACCTGTGTCACCTCAAAGGTTGAAACCTCAACTTCAAACAAGTGATTATAAGCTTAGCTTTCAGTTCAGCTAAAAATTAGGACTATCAACTGACGTGTTAAGCTAGTGGTGGCGTTTCAGAAGGTAATAAATTACTCTGCCAGCCTACTTCTGCAGCCAAATTAACTTCTGCCCACTTATGTTTTTATGGTGAAGCAACAAATGCGTCATACGTGGGCGCAAAAGCAGTGTTAGAAATCAATCTTATTTGGCCTTGTCACAGTCTGTCTCCATGACCCTCCTGGGTATAGCTTCCAAAGGTGTCCCTGTCATTCTCTTACTCTCCACCAGATGCCCTCGAACTTTCCTGGCCTCCTCCTTCCACACACCTGTTCCCTGTTATAATCAGTCAATCACTGCCCTGACATTCACTGCTTCACCTAAGCACCTGTCTGCACCTCACAATCAGTGCCATCAATATTTATACTGGACTCATTCCCTTTGTTTATTTGCCAGTTTGTCCATGTTACTCTACCTGGTTGATATGCTTTGATGCTGCCTTGGGGAGGATTTTCCATCTGGAGTTCCTCCATCATAGACCTGATTCAGTGTACTTGCCTGTTTCTTGTTACCAGTTTTTCTGCCAGTCTATCTACCTGCACCTGCCGGTAAGTCATCCATGCACTTTAAACTCCTTGGATTACATAATTACCATGGGTACACTACATGAAAATGGCTAGAATTGTTAAGACGGCTGACATTTTTTTTTTAAGAAAAAAAGGTTTTGCTTTTGTTGCATTGTGAACAGCGGAGTGGACATGAAATAAGGGGTTATACATGGAAAACTATGGCTTGTAAGTGTGTGAACAGGTGCCTAACAAAGCCACCTGTTATGAACCTTCTACTCCTCGTGATAACAGCTTTTTACAAAGAATGGAGAAAATTAAACAGCCATTGCACGCCAGTGCTCCATGTTGCAAATAAGTTAAGGGACATTCAAGCATGTTGATGTATAGTGAGATGGTGGACCATAAATCTAAACCTTTTTGAAAATATCCTGAAGAGATTTCCATATTTTAAAAATGATATTGAATTTATATGTTGGATGTGAGCTCTAAACTTGGACAAAGTTTCACATTGTGAGGTTTAACTTATTAGTGAGGATGAGACCCAGACTGTTCTGAATGGCTTGTTTAAAATGTCACAGCAGCATCGGTGTGGTCGAGTGGTTCAGTTGTGTGCCTGAGTCACCTTCTCACATGACCTTCCTAAATCTCTTTCTATATCCTGCTCTGTGTGCTGTCCTATCATCTCCCAATAGAGTTATTATTAAAGTCTGAAAAAGAGAGAATCATGCAAGAGAGACACCAGATAAGATCAATTTGTGATGCCATTAATTGGTGGGGAAAAAAAACTCACAGGAGCTTTAACAGACTGAAACATCCTGCTCTGTTCTCTATTGCTGGATTTTCTGTCACCATTTCCTTTCAGAACTTCCTCAGATTCAGAGTCAAAAACATAGTGTAGCCACTGTCATTTTAAATCAGGAAGCACTGATTAAGTCGATGTCAACAACTCAGTAGCATAGCACATTGAAGAAAGCTTCTAGAGAGCATGCCAATCTAAAGAGAGTGGGTTTGTATACTTCAAATTAAGTGTTTTAGTCAAAAGCTGAGGGTGAGGTTGAGAACAATTAAAAAGCTTAAACAGAGGTATGATGATGACAATGTAAAACCTGTAAATGAGTGTAATACCTCTTTTTTTTTAGTTTATAATATTGATATTAATAAACAAATGTGTTCATTAGCTTCAGAAAGACATTGTTCCCGCTCATGTAAAAGTTAAGTTGTTTTGTTTTAAACTTAACTGTCTATAGATAAACAAAGATGTTGTGTGTTTACATGGTGAACAGAAATGTTGCAGGTAGACTCTGACCTTAAAGAGTTTTGCTCTTTGCTTAAGCCTTGTATGAAAAAACAGCCATAAAAGTATCAAGAATAAAAAAAAAATTGCCATCTTGTTCTCATGCAAGAACGAAAATAAGCATAACATCCAAATGGTCAATCTGTTCTTTGGAGTCTGTGTTTGTACATTGGGTGCTAATGTGTGTGAAACTTAATACTCATCAGGCCTCATGTGTTTACTCTCCTTTCTGTTTGTGCAAGCAGATTCCAGGACTGTTTATTGCTCCCGTGATGATTATCTCTTAATAAGGATGACATTGGGAATCTAGGATGTGCAGGGCTTTTTCTGTGCTGCTTTCCTAGCAGCCATGTTGGAAGGGGAGGGGAGAGGGGGTTGTCATAATGTGATGTCCTGTTTTCTCAATTAGGAACGATGCCAGAAACTGAGGAGTGAGAGCGAAAAACATCCAGGGTGAGTAACCCATCTGTTAAACTGTGATCTCAGAACATTTTTAATGACTCATGCTGTCGGGATGGTGTTCCTCCTCTTCCCAAAAGAAGCATCCTAACTATGAAAACGACCAATTACAACTTTTTATGACGTGCAAGTCTACTGAGCTGTTCTGGGGGAAATGTTTAAGGGAAATGGGTTGAAGCAGAGCTAAGGAGGTCAGACAGGGAAAATGAAGCCACTGGAGGCAGAGAGGGATTCCTACAAGTTAGATAGTGGTTTTGTTTGACTGTGTATCTCTAGTGGGTTATAGTGCGGGAGACCATATGTGACGGGCCACCAAAAGGCAAAGCCATAACAAAGGAAAAAGTTTAGCATTAGTTTATAATTACATTTTCCTTTTGATAGAGGCCAAACTGAAGAATCAATGGTACCTCCTTTACACACAAATGTAGAAAGTGTGTGTGAGAGTGGGTTACAGAGACGGGAGGGAGTGGGGTGGGGAGACTCATTTCTGCTGCAGCTCATTTTCTTGAAATATTTCACATGAATATTGGCAGCAGTTGTGCTGCAGAAGACAAAAGGAAATGAACCGTGGCTGCTGGAGCCAAAGACAACACACAGTGTGAGAAAGTCTCGCTACAGTTTCTGCTCGCAGCACAGTGAGACACAACCTCAATCTAAGCTATTAAAGACTGCCCTGGGATATACAGTATGAAACACATGGGCAAGAACATGAGTATGTGAAAGAATATGTGAGATGAAGTGAGAGAGAAATGGACGTCTTTTATGGAGAACTTTAAAGCAAGAAACAGCTACATTACAGGAGCAGAGTTTATAATTATACAAAGACAATAAGCTGTTGTCTGAAGGATATTGAATTAAAGTACGCTTTTAGAAATGTTTATCTTGCCTCTGTTTCTGTCTTCCTATTTCAGACCAGTTTGTTCAGCCGTTTTAGGCCACAGAAGTAAACATTGCCTGAAAAGAAGCCTACGCTCGGCTACAAACGGTTAAAAGGATCAACTGGGGTAAAACACAGAGGTGGGTGTTTAGAAGAAGAAGGACAGTAGGAAGGGAGGTGGTGTCTTACTGCAAGTGACACTGTATTTGTGAACAAAAAAAAAAGCAGGAGAGTTACCACGCAGTGCTGTTGACGAGAACCATGACTTGCAGCTTCCCAGGAAACAATCCTCTGCTCTGACATCACTGCGCCAACAATGAGGTTTATGTTTATCTGTGTCTCTGCGTGTGTGAGTGTGAGTGCAGCTCTTCAAGTACAGATGTACCCATATGCTTGCATTTAATCGTGGTGTCTCTTCCATTGCTATCCATAAAGTTGACTTCATGTAAATTTGTGATGCATCAAATTATTTCCGTATGACTGCTAATGCATGGTAAGGCAGTCCTCCAGTTTTGCAGATGTTCAACAGCAGTGGAGGACTCAGACTGACTAAGGAGGGTGGCGTCATGCAGTGGGACACCAGCAAGCAAAAAGCTGTGATGGGTTAGTGGGGGAGCACTCAAAAACCCTGGTTGAGATTTGAGGCAAGTGGTAAGAGCAAAGCAATGATGGTTTGACTATATTGTGCGTCTATAAACTACATCTTTACAACTAAATGATAAAACTATCATTTTGTGAGGCAGGTTTTAGTTCACTATGAACAGCAAACAGGTATGAAGAACATGTTATTTAAGAAATACAGAGCAGAACTGATTTCCCAGCGTAGGCAGTGCAATAGACTGTGTAAGAAGACATACAACACGGGTCAAACTTTTCAATCAAAATACAAAAAAAACCCAAAAACTAATATTTATTTATTTTTCTTATAAATGTTTTCGGTCATTTTAGTTTATTTTCACCATGCTGGTGTTTATCCAAATATTCACTTTGATGAGAAGTTTAGTTTTATTTAAATTACATGAAATCGAAGTTTATTGTATTGGCAACGCTGTGATGAATGCAGCTCCTGCAGTGCTGTGTGCACCCAACTAGAGCAGATGAGGATTGATAAAGTCATGAATGCTGACACAAGAGTCATTCAACTTTTGGTTATTTCTCTTTTCCTCTGTTCTGTCCTCATGAAAAAGGAGGGAGGTGGAGGTGGAGCGTGCAGCCTAGCCTTAGCCCTGCACTCAACAGACTTCCCAACCTGGATCTGCCTTCTTTATAATCTTTCTGAAAAACTCTCTATGGACTGCTTTTCTCGTCCTTCTTTGATTGTATGTATAGGGGTGTTCAAGGCCACTCCTAATGATGTAGTGGCTCTGTCTGCCCATCAATCTCCATCTTTCTTCATGTCTGGGTTGTGGAGGACAGTAGGGGCTTCCTAATTTTTGAGTGGAGGATGAATGGGGATGAAAGGGTGAGTGTTTATCCTTTTTACTGAAGCACATGTACCTTGTATTTATTTCAAATTCAGCAAAAGAAGTTCATGAAATGTTGCCCATCTTTCCCTGCACTAATTTTCTCTAATTGAAGGGTTCCTTCAACACGGGGTCAGATGTAAAGATTTGTTGTATGGACATGAAAACAGTCCAGTGACATGTATCAGCTGAAGTCCAGCAGACGACTATCTGCAACTAACCATCATCCAAAGTGGCCACATCCTTAATTATAGTTAAAACTAACTAATTTCAGTGATGTGGGTTGTTGAATAAAACTTATACCTCAGAATACAGTTGACTTGAATGGTGAAACCATAATTTTCTTGTTTAACAGACTGTAAATCTCTCTGATTGTGCTGTAAAATGCTAATTATATCATGGGCCTCAGTGTAGGCTGCTCTCCTGTACACAGCAACACCACCCCGAAATTTACCCCTCCAGCATACAGAGACTTTTCCAGAGACTTTTCCTGGGACTTCTTATCAACTGCCAGTACTCTTTCTTGTCCTTTCTGTATTCCAGCATCTCTTGGCTGTTCATAATAGCACCTAAAACACATTTTCCATGGCACACCACGAGACACTTGCTTCCTCCCGACAGCGTTAAATGACGCTCACTGGTTTGTTTTGGAGCTCGACTCCGTCACTGTGGTGCCACTGTCCACCATCCTTTACTATCTGTTGTATCTTCGTGTCTCTCTGTCTCTGTTTTGTGGTGGAAGTGGTGCATCAACTTGTTTCATCTCTCTCCAGTGGAGTCCTCCAGTGAAGGCCTGATGACTGCCTTGCACCACATGCCAAAGCTGTAGTTTATAAAGCCTGAGGGAAAATTGGATAATAGCATTGTGAAGCACAGATGCAGATGTTCTTTCTATGTGACACAGTAGTTTTGTCATTACATGACCGGTATGTTGCAAAAATCAGCATTATGTCCTCTATTTACAGTAGAAATTAAGTATATCAATATAAACACTAATGCCAGACTGGTCCCCATGTGGTCTGATTCAGGTTTATCTCTCTTAAGGTCCTTACACACCAGGCCCGAATTTGCCAGGCGAATTGTTCGCCTTTATTCGCCTTTTTTTAAAACTGCATTAAGTCAATGCGAGCTTCCACACCGGCGGCGATTTTTCCGCGGGGCGAAAAGCATCTTTTATTTTTTCGCTCTTGTGTCGAATTTTTCAGAGATTCGCAGGCGAATATCTGGACCTGCTAGACCTCTGGCCAATCAAAAGTCATGTTGTTGATGACGTCACAGACCCATGTGGCTGCAGTTCACACAACACACACCACCACTGGCACTGAGAGCAACGATGGGAGAGAGTGTGTACCACAGAGTGGTCGCCCGGTGTGTATAAGTGAAAGCGATTTTTTTTCGGACTGGCGAATATTTTCGCATTTCCGTCTTGCTCTTTCTCTTCGCTCCGCAAATTCGCTGGTGTGTAAGGACCTTGAGTGTAGTCTTTGCTGATCTGGCGCTGGTCTTTACAGTTCTGGTCTGTTGCTTATCTATATTAGTCTGATACAGGTTTATGCTGTTTTGCTGGTCTGGTGCTTGGTAATGTCCAAACTTACTTTGCCACCTCTGCAACCTGGTTTGGCCGCCCCAGTCCAAAAAGTGTGGATACGCCCCTGTGTATAGGCTCATTTCTCAGTCTGAAAGTCCCTGATAAGTCCTTTTAAAAGCGATTCCGGTGACATAAATGTGATGGATTACACTATAACTCACAGCAGAAACGAAAGGGATAAGCAAAGGTGGAAAAGAGTCTTTCCACAGCTGATAGGAGGGGAGGCAGCCATTGAAGCCTGTAAATGCCCTAAGTCAAGAATTTCCTGGTATCAAAGCCAGTGAGCTGTCTCTGACTCCCACTAACACGGTCCAAACCACTTTGCTCTCTGGCACTCAGTCATTCAAACTCTTCTCAGCTCCTCACACCCAGGTCACGCTTATGTTTCAGAGGTTGAACTCAGCTTGGGGAGAGAGAGGAGACTGTAGGACTTCCAGGGAGAGGCTTAAAGTGTCAAAACAATCCTCTGCAATCAACAGTGTTCATTTCTGCCCCTTACCTCTCCCCCAGACATCCCTCATTCCTCCACTCAAGACCTCTCATCCTCTCCTCTGGACCTTTGTCTCATCTGCCAACATCCCACACCACTCACACATACCATTTACTGTAATTGATGTTTTTATCTTTAAAGGAGTCCAACATTAAGATCAGTTTCACATTCATTTACATTCCTTTATCACCACAGACACTTATCAGTAATTCTATTATTGTATGACTATTATTATGAAGCACATGGATTGGAGTCCAAGAAGGCCTAAGAGTATTTCAGGGGCAGGATAATAATAAGAGTGCAAAAGAAAGAGAAGAGATTACTTTAAGAGAGTTTAAGTAAGGAGAATCGTTGATGATTAACAAATCATAATCTTGTTAATATGGGCTTGAAGGTGTGAAAAGATCTGAGGATCTGTGGTAGTAATAAAAAAAACTGGAGTTTATTTTCAAGTATATTTTACTTTGCTGTAACTTCATGGATAATCTTATACTCATATTTCACTCATACATTTAAATAATGATTCGTGCAGTGGTTATATGCAAATTCAGGTTACAAAATGAAAACGGATGAAATGTAATCATCTTGTAAATCAAATGAAATTATACAACACTGACATGAAAGTTGGTGAGCTACAATATTTATACACTGTTGTCTTTCTTCTTAAGTCACAACACCTCCAACCGCTCGAGAATTATCAAAATATTTTGAGTCTTCTGTGTCTAGACAGACAATAAGGACCAGCTGTAAAAAGATGAATTCTGCTCCAGAGAAACTTCTGCACTGACACAATGGGCATACGTAACTTCTAAATAAAGCAATGTGTCATCAGCACATAAAAGAGTCAGGAATATTTATGTTCTCAGTGAGCTCCCAGAGAGTAGAATTCAAATATTCAGAGAGTCGGGTTGTTGGTACAGAGAAGATCAGGCCTGCCAACAACACATGCAGAAAAAGTCTGACCTTGAAATGGAGGTAAAGCTTTCTAAGAAAGCACCAGTGTTTCAAGTTACATCCAGAGGTCATGGGCAGGCAGAGAAGGGAGTTTACAAAGGGAGTGAAGGGGAGAAACTTATGAAACTGAAGATGGGGTGGCCTCCAATATTTTGGAGGAGAAGTTAGGACGATTAGGTTGTGATTTTTGGAGGGAGAGCTGCAGTAGCCAAAACAGGACATAACTACAGAAAATTAGTTTGGAGATTGTGAAAAGTTGATCTAGACAGAGGTTACTGAGAGCAAACCTGCAGGATTGCTCCACTCTGGGTGTTGCTTGACAGTTGGTTGTCTTGAAGCAGACTGAGAGTCTTGGCAGTGGGCTCAGGAGTAAACGTGGTCTTGTCAGCGGTGATGGAGAGGCCTTGTGGAGGGCAGGACTTTCCAGGGGGAAAAAAATCAGCGCAGTATTGTTGAGACTAAGTTTGAGGTGGTGGGCAGACATCCAAGTGGGGATGTCAGCAAGGCTAGTGGAGATGCGTGCCTCAACCTGAGTGTCAGAGGATGGAAAAGGAAAGTTGTGGAAGTTAAATTAATGATATATAAATACTATTCTGCACACCAGATGAAATTCTGCAGAAGAAAGATGAATGTTCAAGCAGCTTAGGCAGGTCACCAGTAGTTTTTTTTATTTTTTTATTGAGGAGCTGGAAAAGAGCGTCTGTGTAGGTTGTGTTTCAACGTGTGTGAGAGGTGACTGTAAAAGTAACAGAGAGAAGAAAAGTCTGTCTGAGGAGTCTGATGTGGAGGATTAAACTGTGTTAGGAGGTTTCTCTCGGATTTAGAGTGATGGCAGACTTGAGAGGGGTGCAGGAGGACTCTGTTTGCTGGGTGTGGCTGCAGGCATGAATCGGTGTGTGTGAAAACTATCACTACACTGGACAAAATTCCTCAAAACATACAGTATGCACAGAGTCAATATTGAAATTTTATATTTCATTCACTATGGAAAGCAATGATCTTTATTCTGCATTTTACAGAAAACAACCACCCTGACACCCAAGGACACAGCACGTCTTGACCACTGGGACATTTAAGTTAGTTAGTTAGTTAGTTAATTAGTTAGTTAGTTTATGGTCCACAAGTGGAAATTTGTCTTTAGTCTCATCGTCTACAAAAAACAGATCAACAGCAACAAGGACAGCAGCAACAGACACATAACAAATACACACAAAACATCTTGGCAGCAAAAGACGGAGGACAACAGTGGCAGGTACTGTACGTAACAGACAGATCTAATGAGACATAGGCCTACTATCAGTCAGTGCCCTGATGGTGTTAGGAATCAATTAGTTTTTGAAGAGGTTACGATTTAATGCTTACTGTGCAGTGCAACTTTTAGATCATCTGCTTTTAACAGAACCTATTTGATGCTTTCCGCAAAGATAATTTAATAATAGCTTTGATTCTCAGATTATGAATGCCTTTCTTAGGAAGTTACTCCACTCCAGAGAGATTAGGAAAATGTCGTTTATTTCTTTTCAGCTTTTTAGTTTGTAAGAAAGAGCTGTCTTTGGGCAAAGGACGGTAAAAGACTTAACCCAACTTGGAAAAGCTATTGTTTATGTCCCCCCCCCCAATAGATAAATAACACAGTTTTAGAGACTTAATAGTATTTTAAAGAGGGTAACCCATGACAAAATACAACTCCTAAAAATTTATAATGGTCCTTTTAACTCAAAAGTTGCAACAGGTTAGTTTGCAAGAAAGAGCGGTCTTTGGGCGAAGGACGGTAAAAGACTTAGCCCAACTTGGAAAAGCTATTATTTATGTCCTTATAATAGATACATAACAATCTTTTGAGACTTGATAGTTTTTTTAAAGAGGGTAACCCATGAAAACATACAACTCATAAAAATGTATAATGGTCCTTTAACTTTTTACAGCAAAAAGTTAACAGGTGCATCATTCAAAAAGACAAGAAAAGATCTCATAGATTATTAGTGAGTGTGTGGAAATCTCTGTATTCTTCTCCTCAACTTTCCAAGGTTGACAGTGAGATTACTAAAACAGTCAAAAGCCTGAGCTACAGGTCCAGGGCTTAACTTGTGCATTCTTGCACTCAGGCTTTCGTATCGCGAGAGCAGGAGAAGAAAAGAAAAAACAGTTTTGGTGAAAGTTGAGCAGAGCAGAGATGAGGAAAGAGCTGTGCTGAGAGAGAGGGAGAGAGAGAGACACGCTGAGTTTTGCTCTTCTCATCCTCTGGAATGCATCAGCTCCTCTAACTTATCTGTGCAAAGTCAACACACGACTGGATGCGCACGAGCAGACTCCAAAAGTTACCATGCGCATCTATTTATAGCAACTCAGCGAAAGATTTGAGTAACTTTTCCTCCTCTTCTTCTTCGCAGTTTGCTCCTAAACGTTTATTCAGCAATACCTGCAAGGAAAAGTGAAGCAGTCCTCTGTCGGGTCTGAGGCGAATCTCCTGTCCGGGAGACAAGGTAAAGTAACACTGACTCGAGCGCAATTTTGCACTCTTTTTCAGTGCACGTTTTATTCGACTTTAAGATGAATTATTTCCCAACTTCATTGTTTGTAGAAGTTATAAACTATCTACCTTGACGCGTGCTGCTGCTGAATTTCTTTTCTTTTGTGCGCAGTAGCATCTCCTGCATTCTCCTCAAAGACTTTTTCATTTTTTCTCTCTTTTTTTTCTTCTGTGTTATTGTTTTGCAGCTTTGACTCCAGACTGCGGAGGTCGACAGGGCTGGGAAACCAGTTAAGGAGACTTTTACCTTCCCGAGCACTGGACTAGTGCACTTGAGCGCGGACAATATGACGGACAGTAAGAGAGAGGGACGGCTGCTGCAGTTGGCCGTGGCTCTGGTGGCCTTGCTGTCGCTCTGCGCACACTTTGGAAGCTCAGCAGAGGTGGTGGAGACCGGGGACAGCGAGATGGTGACCAAACAGACCGACTCCAGAGCCAGCAGGGCCAAGAGAAGGGGAGGCACGGACGTCCTGAGAGGGTAATGTGACCATGATAATCCTCATTAGTCCAATTTAGGCACCATTTCCCCCTTTTTTCCTGTATGCCCACAGCTTTCATTTCAGCCTTTTAGTGTGTTGTTTGTCCTTTTTGTTTTGTGGCACAGAGCAGGTGTTTTCAGCTTTATTTACATAAACTGATGATCAGAAAACAGCTGTGTTTTCTATTAATTATAATGCAGTCTGAGAGCCATGGGTGACATTGTCTGTGATGGGAAGTTTGCAGCAAAGTTTGATAATTAAATACTGGCAAGACTATCACATTCCTGCTGACTGCAATAATAAATGACATCTAAACAAAGGAGGCCATTGGTCGTGTGTGGCTGTAGCAGACAGAGAGAGAGAGGGGGGAAGAGAGAGAGGGGGAAGAGAGAGAGGGAGAGAGAGAGACTAATCCCCTTTCTGGCCAAAAACACCACACCCCAGTTGTGGATAAATCACATCTGCAGCTGTACACAGTGGGTCACTGCTGGAGAGATTGAGTATGTGTGTGCTTTGTGTGTGCGCTCGTGTGTGTCTGAAAAAAAAAAAGAGGGTGAGGGAGAGTGAGAGACAGGAGAAAGTGGGGAAGAAAAGGAAAGACAGAGTGTCTGTGTGGAGTGATGACAGCAAACAGCTGATGAGGGTCACACAGTAGACAGCTCAATGAGCCTCCTCCTCAGACATTTTTATTTGACATGCTCCAAGTTAATTTATCAGAACATCTGGCTGCACAGGCAGGAAGTGCATACAGGCTGCACACTGTGTCACGCTGACTAACCACAATCAGAATGTTTCAGAAATCTGGCAGGTTTCATTTTTCACCTCATGTTTCTGGATGTGGAGTTACTCTCTTTAGAGCATATTCTGACCCCGGGGCCACTACAAGCCCAGGAGGGTATTCAGCATTCGTGTAGGCCTTTTGTGGACCTGTAGGGGGCAGGATGGCCCAGGGTTCACTGTCATGTCACATGGAATATTTTTTACAGGTGCATCAGATTCCTTAAATTACCTCAAGCAGGAAAATATTTTCCTTAAAAACAGTATTTGTCATCGGGAGGCTTCAGATACGTGTACGCTCAGTATCAAGACCCAAAAACTGTGGGTGGAGCACTCAAGTAGAAGTTCAAAAACTGTGCTGCTCATTACAAAAGCTTTATGTTGAAGTTTCTACTCAAGTCAAAGCACCTCAGGAAAGTGATAAAAATGAACCTTCTGTATGAAAAGAAAAGGTCTCAGTGCAGTTTGTCGTTGCTTTTTTCTTCAGTGAACATCACTTCATTAAATCTCTATTATCAACCAAATTTTGAAGGAGAAGTAGTTTGTCATAGTGGGTCTAACTTGGCACTGTTTTGATCTGATTTGTATAGAACTGCATTTACTGACAAGTCTGACTGACTTTGAACTGGCAAATTGATCCACGGACTATTATCCTAACTGGTTGATGGTTTAATTTGCAAAATATTTTGAAAAAAGTGAGATAATTCCGTCGTTACCAGAGTTTTGAAAGAGCTCATTTCACCAAATGTCATGCTCAAAAATATGTATTTTTTCAAAAGCATAATTATTCAAATAATTCAAAGGAAAAAAAACAGGAACTCCTCACATTTGGGAGGTTGATGCCATGAAATGCTCCAAAATGAAAAATGATCACAAGGATATAGCCAACGAAATTTCCATCAGCTGACTGTTTGATTAATTGGCTAAACTTTCTAGCTTCTTTAGTAGACCTGCTTTTCTTGGCCGGTTTAATTTTGAGTTACTGAAGCGGCCAGATGAGTGTCATGGAGTATGAAATAAATAATTCTAAGAGACTTTGTTAGACGGTGAAAGAGAAGAAGCAGAGTCTCTGAAAAAGACTCCAGCAGTGCAAGTAACTGAAATTTGTACTTGAATGCAGCACAGAGTAAAAATTCTCTGCGATTCCACATCTAAGAGTAACATATTGTATAGTTTGTGGGTTAATACCAGGCTTGTTGTAGGTTTGTGTGTCACGAAGCCTGCTGAGACAAAGCTGGGAACTCTCTTCATGAATAAAATGAACTAGCTTCATAACTAGCTGAACTGTGTAACTCGATTACTGACCTTCTGATTCTGTTTTTACAGACCAAATGTTTGCGGATCGAGGAACAACGCCTACTGCTGCCCAGGCTGGAAGACTCTGACTGGAGGGAACCAGTGCATCGTCCGTAAGTGTCACTACTACTTCACTGCTTTTGTGGATCTATCCGCTCACCACTGTCACTGGTGCGACTTTCCTTGTCTGGACTAGCACCATGCTGTTTTTATTAGAGATTTCTCATCACAAAGCGTTATCCAGCAGACATGCAAAGTGACATCATGTTATATTTATCTAATTTCCTGGATTAGAAAATCTCCAACAGGATTGTGACTACAGCCAGATAGACCTACTATTTTATTTGTAGCATAATGGACTTCTGCGCTTTTTTTGTACTTAGAGCAGCATCAAATCTGGCATTTCTCTGAGTCTGTTATTAAAATTATTAGTCAGACAAGTTATTATAAGCAAATGCAGTGTTTGTTAAAAGCCTCTTTAAAGCCTCTAGAAGGAAACGCTGAGAGCGCCTGAGGCCGAGTCCAGTTTTCCATGATGTGCTATCATTAAGAATCTGGTTACAATTGGGTTATTTGGTGAAGTAGGTGAGTTTGGATAGACTTTTCTTTCCTTGGATCCCAACCAGTTGCTTCTTCAGGTCTAAGCTTAACCATTTGATCATGTTTCATTTTAATGTTTTAATGAGGTCAGAAAGGTCTCAGTTTTGACAAACATGCTGAAGAACATGACCTCCTTGAGTGAATTTACTGCAGTATTATCAATACCTCTAAAAATCTCAGTACATACTGTATGTTTACATGGAACAAACATGAGCGTATGCAAATGAACTAAAACACCTAAATGGTTCTGCTGTTGAGTTTGACCCAAATATCTTTTTCAACACAGGTGTGCAAAGCATTTTGTATATTTTTCCATTTCTTTGTTAATATGACTCATTTACGGGTTTCGACTTAGATTCTAACCACATGTTTCCATTGTTATGTTTTAATGAGTCTGATCAACCAATAGTTTTACATCGAAGTGAGGCTAATAGTGGTGACAACATACTTCAAACAACTGGGAACAACTGGGATTGGCGATTAACTTTGGCCCATTTACCCTGGCATCCTGGCAGTGGTTTCTTTTTTTCTGTTTTTTCTTTTCCTTGTATTTCCTCCTTACCTCTACCCCCCTATCCCCCACCTCTCTCTCCCTCCCCTCCCTTAGCAGACAGGAAGGTCTGAGAGGCTGTAGCGTTGTGTGTGATTGCAGTCTGGCCGGTCGGCTGGCCGGATGCCTGTCGCGGCTCTAATGACATTGTTTAGCAGTGGGGTTCAGGGAGTAGGGGTCAGTGGCTGGACTCTACCTGATGGGAGGTTGGGGAAGGGGAAAATAGTCTGTGGGAAAGAGAACAAATGAGTGAAAACAGCCCGAACCAACTGAAAACACACACTGGTACACATCTATGGCAGAGAAATACTCAAAGAAGAAAATAGCTTGATGCTTTTGCCAAGCAGGCATCTGTAACTAAACCATGATGAGGGTGAAAAAGGAAGATTTGGCCACATTTGGAGTGTGGTCTGTTTGAGTTTTGAAATATTACAGATGAGAGTTCAGTATGAGGTTTAGATCATTGCCAAAGTTGTACCAAATGAAATCTGAACCTGAAATCCAAAATCTGCAGCTGGCAAGATGAGGAACAACAGATACATAACATGAGTTTACTCCCACGCAAAAATCACGACAAATCCAGACACCACAACATGAGCAGTGCTGTTATTCCATCTTGCACCTGACAGAGGACATTTTTCTGTTGTCTGACCCAGTGTGATGTTCCCTTTTTGCAGCAATCTGCCGGAGCTCATGTGGAGATGGATTCTGCTCCAGACCCAACATGTGCACCTGCCCAAACGGCCAGATCGCCTCATCCTGTGGATCCAAGTCAGGTCATTAAACAGCACCTCCTCTTTTACCAATGAGTCAGCTCCTTTGAAGCTCACTATCATCAGCATGATGGGTTTTATTATATGGTGTGCCTGGATTGGGTGGGGGCTAGCTGGTACGGGGCCAGCATATAAACACGTTAATGGCATGATTTATGTGAGGAGTGTGTGTTGAAACTCTGTGTTTTTTTGGGAAAGTACCGCCTTGACTACACCCTTGTCTTTGCATCTTTTTAATAAAAGAGCCATAATCTTAAGAAAAACATTTCAACATGCAGAAACACTAATGACAAGCAGTGATGGATGATAGATGGCAGAAAATATGCAGCTTTTTCATTTCTTTTCCTCTGCAGTACAAAAGTCAGAGTCACTAATTGGCTCAGATTTTTTGAGTTCAGACCACAGTGTGCTGTTTGCAATTTTTTTTTCTGAAATTTTCTTCTCCTTGTCATGAGTAATGAGAACTAACTAGTGGTACAAAATATGAAATACATAGCCAAAAGGTCTCCTCAAAACATCTCTTGAAACTTTCTCAAGCGGATGATGTATGTTGAAATCATATTTCTGCAACTAGCAGTCAGTCTCGTGGGTTGTTGTGTTCTTGTGAGTGTGAGTCAGTTAGCCGTGTTTGTGAGTATTGTGTGTGTGTGTGTGTGTGTGTGTGTGTGTGTGTGTGTGTGTGTGTGTGTGTGTGTGTGTGTGTGTGTGTGTGTGTGTGTGTGTGTTTTGGAAAACTTCCACAGTAAATAGCTCCTCCATGTTGCTTTCTTGCAGCACACAGCGCTTCAATCCAATGCGTTCATCTGTTTGCACACCATAAATTTCTGAAGTCAGAGCGTGACTTTCAAAAAAACACGGTTCAGAGTGCATTTTGTTTATGTTGTAAATCTGATACACGGTGCATGTTTGTTTGCCCTCAATGTAACTCCAGCGCTGCTCTGTGTGGGCGTCTGTATGATTGTGTGTTTGTATTTTCTTCCCACAGTTCAGCACTGTAATATTCGGTGTATGAACGGAGGATCATGTGCTGAGGACCACTGCCTGTGTCAGAAAGGCTACGTGGGAAACCACTGCGGTCAACGTAAGCATCTTTCCAAACACATTACAAGACCAGTATCAGTGTATTATTGAATATTATCAACATTTTTAAACATAATTCACAGTTTTATCAAGCTAAAATATGCTAAAAAAAAAAATGTATTTGGTGTTAATTTTAGCAATGCTAGTGAGGCTATGTTGTAATAGAGAACACCGTAAACATTAACCTGTGATACACACCTGTATTTTATCAGTACCCCAGAGTGTATGTTGCTAAGCTAGTGTCAGCACCCAGCTTGTGATTGATTATGGCAAGATCTGATAAAAAGTGTGGCAGGGAAAGCTTAGAAGAATTTCTGAGGAGGCTCACTGGAGATGTGTCTTTGGGCTCTGGCAACTCTATGAAGGGTTTCTTAACATTTCTTCTCAGGAAGTCAATCAAACAATTAAAGTGCAACACTACATGTTATGTCAGTCAATGTCATTGCCAAGGCTGTTCACCCAATGGAAAAAATGTCCGTGATGCACCACAAGTCAAAGCTCACTACTCATTGCCTTTACATGTCAGTCAATCTGTGCAGCTGTTGCTCAGATGGTCCAGCTTAACATCCTGACAGGACCTGCTGCGTAACGTCATGTCAGCTAGTATTCACGCTGGAAAGGAAGTTAGCGTTCTCTGAAAAAAATCCAGGATGTAACTCTTCTGAGGCTTTTTGGAGAACACCATCTTCTGAGACACTTTCCATGGTGGTGTTGTGCAAATAAAAACTACATCCGCGTCATACATATGTTGCTCATACCTGTGGATTTAGACTAAAGTTTGGGAGGTTTGAACTCTGATAAAACAACCACACAGACAACAAAAAGACAAAGACTAAAATGTGCACTTTTTCCTATTTTGAATGGTTGTGCCTTAACTCAAAATGTGTCCAATTGGGCAGCAAATGGCTTGTTATCCAAAACCTCCAGGTTACTTAAAAAGCCAGAACAAATATGAACTAGAAAAAAAATATACATTTCTTATTTGTTTCCTACAGTATTTGGTAGAAAACTCTGAGTGTTTTTGTAATGTTACTGTCAATTTATTTGACGAGAAAAACATAACATTCGTGGTTAATGGCTGACCAGTCACCCGCAGCAAAAAGGAAACAAGAGGAAACAGCCCAGAAAACCAGCGAGGGATGTTATCACACACAGAAAGAGCGAAAGAGTGAAAGAGACATCATTAAAATTGAAGAAAGCAGACAGGAAGCAACCACAAACCACAACACGGTATGGGATTTGGCAGTGTCAGGGCACTGGATTTAGTGAACAGAAAATGCCATAAAAACATGCCTTAGGAGGACCAAACTGCTGTTATTTTCTGCATCTGCTGGGATAGACAAATGAAAGTACATATGATTTAAATTATTGGTGAATGAATAAAATTTGAAGTTTAATGTGGTTTTCACCAGAAAAGTGGGTTTATGTTTAGACTTAAGTAAAAATTTTAAGTCTAATGTTGACTTGACCTGCAACGAAGCTAATAAGAATATCAGTGCTATGGAGGTGCAAACAACCATCAACTCTGAAAGACTATTCTTTTAGTTGCATTAATAAATCATTTTTAAATCAATCAAAAACTTCTTTTAATCAATAATTAGCATCAACTTGTATGTGTAGTTGGTAGCTGGGTACTAAGTGGGATGGACAAGACCACCTTTGCATCAGGGTCCTGTATTTTGCGTAACCACCCATTCACTATACACTATCCTTTACTCAACATCCCAGGGACAAACTTCCTGTTCAACTCTGACCAGGCAAACCTACTGTAGTTGTACGTGCACTGTGTTGCTGTGTAAAGAAAAATCCTCCCCAGTGTTTTGGGCGTGCTCACATTTGTTTTTACCTCCAAAAGAAGCAGTTGACATAATATACCCAAACTGTTGGCTTGTCTGCGGCTGCTCTGAATGACGGCTGCTTGTTTTCTGCAACTTATTTTTATAACAATGTCACCATGTTCCCAGATCTCCGCAGAGGATTTAGTGACTGAAATGTTTTTACAACCAATATAAATTATGACCAAAATGACAAACATAAAACCAGAAATACTCTCTTTTTTTCCTCACAGCAGTGCCCTCATGTTACTGTTTGTCATTGTTTGTTTTCATCTATTTTCTTCTGCAGCGGTTTGTGAAAATGGCTGCCTGAATGGAGGACGGTGTGTGGCCCCCAACAGGTGTGTGTGTACCTACGGCTTCACCGGAGCTCAATGTGAAAGAGGTAACGAGCACCACGCTACATTACATAGCATTTCCCTCACTCATCTTACATCACACTGTCTCTGTGCTCTACATTCCCAACGAGTGAAGTGGTTTTCAAAGCCACATGTGCTGCTCTTGTGAACGTGACTTGATGTTGTATGGCGGTTTGCTTTGTGTGACTGAAGACGACTCGTGCTTAGTCATGCCGGCAGCTTCAGGAATGTGGTTTGTTGTGGAACATTTGCATGTCAAGCTCAGGCTCAGAAATGACCATTGTTTTCCACATCTGCTTTCGAACAATGCTTTGGGAAAAGTAATGCCTGTGACTGTGACTGATCGCTGTTTGTTAACCAAAGACCTCCCAACCTCTTGTGGTTGCTCTTTGGCACATGAGAGTAAAAGGCTCTAAAGTATACAAACACACGCAAACCGAGGGCCGCCTGCGCTGTGTTTGTGAGTCAAACGTGCATGTATGGAGGCGTGTGAGCGTGTCTGTCTATGTAAGTGCTGGGATCTTAAAGTGATGACCTGAAGAGGCCAAAGAGGTAACCCTGCAGAGCTAATATTTGGATTTGAAGCTAAACTCCTTATTAGTTATGTCCCTCTTAACGAGACCGTGCTTGTCAGAAGCCCGTTAGTGGGGTCTGGATTTGAGTCTGTGGTCTGGTTTACTTCAGTGTTTTCTTCAACGCTGCAGCTAATAAGACCCTATCTGGGTGTTTGGAGGGTTAGCGCCAAGACTTATCTGTTGGAACACACTTCAACATGTTGTTACTTTGGTTTCCCGTGGACCCTTTGGCAGAGGGCATGTGAGACTGAAGCACTTTCCCTTTTCAGCATGCAGCGTCTTTGAGTCGTTCAAACTCCTCAGAGAACACAACAGGATCCTCGGAGTAATTATCCCTAATGAGGAAATGATGTATGGGCAAAGAGTTTGACCACATCTGGTTTGGAAATTTTGATTTACTATGTAAGGTGACAAGCATGCAAACTGGCCACTCGCTGTCTGCTGCTTTATGACTGCTACTTTCTCTCCTGCGCTGGTAGAATTGTCTTTCTCTTTGTTAAACAGGCATACTTTTTGTTGTTTGCATCTGTTTTTGCTTGTGTCTGGGAACTCCCTGGAGACCAACTTCCCTCTGTCTTCATTTGTCCTAACACAGTAAATATCACAGGGAATGAGGCTGACACATCCATTTGTCTTTTCATTTGTGTATAGACATAAATTAGATAGTTCTTGTGCCAAGTGTATTATATACCATAGTGTTGAACATACAATGAGTAATGTAAATATGACTTAATCCATTTTTATTTACATAGCAACAAGAGTTATTCCATGGTACTTTCCAAATATATAGGTCCCCTCACTCCTTGTGAGGTCTGGCTTATGTATGGATAATTACTCAACTAATCAATAATGATGTTCCAGAAAAGGGGGCAGTGACCATTTACCATTGCTGATTATAGTGTCATTCAATTTATTCATGCTGTTGCATCCTTGATTGGCTGACAGGGAATAACATTCACAACATTCACATACCTTACTCTAGCAGTCCCTAACAGTTATTGTAAGTGCAAAATGAAAAATGGTGAGTTTTTACGTTTTAAAGTGAAAGAGCTATCTGATGTTAAAGTGTTTTACAAGGGAGAGCTCATAAGAAGGGTTGCAGTGATCACAGACTACTAATCTCAGCAACAGGAATGCTAAATGCCATCTTGGTGGAGGACATCCTTCAGCAAATCAAGATGATTAGGACAGTGATGAAGAGAACGTGTCCCTTATACTTCTTAAATGAGGAATGACAATTAGCTCCTTTTGTCAGGTGCTGTGTGTCTTTGGCTAACATGAGCAGCAGCTGGCAGGCAGCTGCTAGGTAGTATAAATTTGCTGTGATGCTATGATTTTGTAAATCCACAGATACTTTTCAAGGATTTTTCATTAACGCCCTTGCAAGGATTTAATCGTTCTACCCTTATACCTGTAGTACTGGGTGTTGCAATTATACACCTTGTCGAATCTGTTTTTGTTTACCATTTTTTCTCCTACTAAAGATATTCCATCATCATCAGCATTAGCTTGCTGCTAATTGTTGTGAGCATTATTTAAAATTAGGTGGTATAATTGATCAAACCTTAAATCTTTTTTTAAAATTTAACGAGACCCACAAGAAAGAAGAAAAAAACCTACAATAAATGGGCTCTGCAAATGTATCCAAATCCACTCTTCATCCTGCATTTGATTACCCAGAGAGGTAGAGAAAGTAGGCCAAGGGATACAGTGGCGTTTTGGGTTAAGTTACTTCCAGTGGAATTTCCTTGGCCAGGATCCACCACATCCCATGGGAAACCCATCATGCTTTTACACAAACACATGCACATACATTAAGTACATGCACAACCCCTCACTGTTTTAATGCAATTTGCAGAACCGTGCCCCATTATGGCTTGATCTTATCACATTAGCAGAAACACGAGGTATTCCACAAACACGTGACCTCACCAGGGGAGACGTAGCTGCGCTCAGGAGGTTCTCTTGGATGTGGAAATACCCTGGTGCTGTCGAGGCTTACTCTGTGCACACATCACCACTGCAGAGTAGCATGCTGCCAAATTGACTAGGGATCTGCTGACCAGTTGTCCTACAACCAGGCACAGCTGACTGCAGTCAAAAAAAAATGCAGCCTGGTTCATCAACATGTTCTTTGTTGATAACAAATGAGATTTGGGTTGGAATGTCAGGTCGAGAGATTCAGGCACACTGTTGCTGATTGTACTTCTTTTCGCTCTCGCTGCAGAGTCATTTAGCTGTGGAGCAATAAAGTCGAGCCTTCAGTGTGACGCCATTGCACTTGGGATAATGGTGAAAGTCTGGCCTGAAATGAGGCTACTTGTGAGTTCCTCAGTCGATAAGTCAGCAGCCAGAGCATAATAGGGAAGTCGGTCAGTCAGCTGAGGGGCTCTCTTGTCTCTTCATGCCTCGCTGACTTTCCCCTATCTGGCTCTGTTCTGGCCCAATGCAAACCTCAGTAGATATAGCTAAATACAGTATGTGTGTCAGTGTGTATGTGTGTTTCAAGTGCAGTTGAACTCATTAGTCCTGGGAGAATGAAGAAATCTGCAGACAAGCCAAGAGAGAAGGCCGCACCCAGATATGAGACCCCATTACAGATGCACACTAACATACGCATACATGGATGCATGCGAACACAGATTACGTGTATGTAAAGGTATGTAAGGATTCTGTGAGCAACATCTGCAAGGGTTAGTTGGAGGAAGGGTGGATATGGGAAAGGTGGATAGAATTTTTTGCGTGTGTACAAACATTTTGGAGCTAATCCAGGAAGTCCTTTTGACCCACTTCCCAATGGGCTTCCCTCCCATTCGCATTAAGGCCGTCGGTTTGCATATAGTCATTCCTATTGGGCTCTTAAGGTAACTACACCTTTGCACAGACATGAAATCACTTGCTGTGGAGGGTCAAAACAAACTGCTCACCTCCATAATATGACCTATTTGTTTTGAAAGGACAAAAACAACAAGGAGGCATGTTTACAAAAGTAGAGCAGAGGATGAGAAAAAAACAAGGGCAACATTTTTGTATGTTTTGTTCTGTTTTGAGATCATCTTTGGAAAGGCTGCTTATGAGGGGCTAGGACATTGGCTGCTGTTCTTTCTGTGTGAGTGTGTCGAAGTGCATTTGTGTGTTAACACGTGCGATTTCTCCCAGATGTACAGGACATGGGTGGATACCCCAGCTGTATGCTGTTCACAGAGAGACAGTGAGATGACAGATGAAATGACACCACTTTCACTCAACAGCTGTCTGCCGCTCCCTGTTTACCTCAGCTGACTGTTTGAGTGCTGTGGTTGAATTTCCTTCACATCATGTTTTGATATTTGTTTCTATGATGCTTTCTTTCCTCAACTAACAGCTGTGATAAGCAGTTGATATGACAGATGGATTATGTGTCAAATCAAATCCTCAATCTGATGAAAAGAAAGCATGTTATTCACTCAGTTGTCTTGACTTTGCTTATATGGCTGTCATTTAAAAAACCTATATATAGCATAATTACTTTTCCTATGGACAATGCATACCTGTGTAATTGTGAGTAAGGCACTCAGTGCAGTCTTTCAGGAAAGTCACTCGGTCACTGGTCAGATGTGTCTTTGCCTTTTAAAGGCAAACTGTGGCAAAAACTTGAGAAAGCCTACCTGAAGTTTTAAACATGTAGCTTTTACTTGATGATATTTTGTTTTAAAAGTTTCAGTGTGATTTCATTATTATACATTTATTAAGATCTTAATAGCTGAGTAAAGGGATTTGATTTGAGCTTAGTTTCAGCTCTCGAGCTAAAGCCATGTGGTAGCAATAGCAAAGTCATTGTCAAGAGGTCAGGTGGGCTCGTCACACACCTGCGACCTCTATTTCTGCCAATAATATTGTTTTTTTTATCATTCACAAACTTTCACAAATCTCTCTGGTTAGCACTCCATGACATAAGCAGGTGCTTAGTTAGCATATGCCTTGGCCAGCTCTTGGGCCAACCAACGCCCAACAGAAGCCCAAAGGTTACTGTAATTTGCTGAATTAAGAGTAGTTTAGCTCAATTAAGCACGTGAAGGGTGCAGAATTTTCAAAATATTTTTTCTAAGCTATGTTTGCTTAACTGAGCATAGTTCAGCCTAATTTAGCATGTAAACTGGAAAACAAGAGGAAACTGTTAGCCCAGCTCCATCTGTAAGGTAACAAGTCTACCACAAATGTACATTTAATTTATTGGTAGCATAAAAACTTTTAAATTGAGGCTGACTGAAAACAGAAGTAGGCTAATATTCTGGTTTACAGTTCTCTAACTGCTGTTGGTAAGTAACCGCGTCATTTACAGGGTTTTAACTTTTAATTAAATATTGTAAGAAACCAAATCAGCACACCTTTATTATCTGGCTCCGTTTAAGTGTCTAATAAAATAAAGTATTCCCCTTTGAAATATTCCTTAAACCGCTTGGTTAGTTTCCATGCTGGTTTAGAGAGCGATGTGGGCTAATGCTGTGAAGTATTGGGTCTCTGGTGTAGTCTGAGCAGGAGAGAGTGCGAAAGAGAAGCAGAGATGACCCAGTTCTGTTCACACAGCGCTGGTGCCAGAAGCAGGGAGACCGTGGAGGCTGTGGTGCACGTGACGGGTCTGGGCTGGGCCCCGGTCCACACGGGAAACGCACAATGTCTCGTTTGTTTTAAACAACTGCACTGTTGGAACTGGTCTCTCTCTTTCCTCTCCCTGTCTGTTGTCTGCCGTGAAATGTGGAAATGATTTTTGCTTTTGGATTTTGGCCAGATTCTTTTGGGAGGGATGAGTTTCTCCCTCTCTCCCCTTTTTCTCTGTTCTTATATCTGTTCCACCATCTACGGTTTCTTCAGCTGATCAGATTTTGTGATTTTGTTAAAAGTGTGGTGAGTTTGCAAATAAGAAGTGGTGTTTGGAGAGAGTAAGGAGATACATGTATGCAAGCAGTGGGATCAAGGGAACGAGGATTAAAAGTGTTGCAAGAGGAGGACATGGGAAGGAGCTGAGGGACTTCCCTCTGAACATTAAGTTTGATTTCAGTGAGAAATTAAGTTTTGATACTTAGCTGCTGCAGTCAGTGTTGAAATCATGGTGGAAATCACCCACTGTGATCCATGGACACACCCTGTCAGTCAAACTCTGCTGGCCTTAAGAATAACTTATTCTCTACTTTTCTCTTTTTATAACTGGAAAAACAATGAGAAGCACCACACAACAAAGAACAGGTCATTAAAAAAGGATGACCCTATAATACATGAAACACACTGATTTGTCATTGTATGTGTCTTGGCGTATTCTAGCTTGTGTCTCTTAATCTTCACAGCCGCCCACACAATGTTAAAAAGTTTCCCAGACCCCTCTTCTGTTCACACACACACACACACAGACATATACACACAGACAATGCAAAGTAAAAGTCAATTTGAGTTTTCTGTTTGTCCATGCCAAAGAAAGCTATTCACTCGCAGAATCAAGATCAGATCTCAGGCTTTTCAGCTTTGGCTTTATTTGTGCTCAGTTTCATGTCGACACGTTTCAAGAATTAGCATTTTTCAGATCTCTCTCTCCTCAGTTTCTTTGTTTTCAGTTTGTCAAACCTTGATGTTTAGTTTTCCATTTGCACTCAAACAAAGAGACAAAGCGAAGTTCTTTTCCAGAAAATGAGCTGTTTCTTTGCCTCTGCAGATTACCGCACTGGGCCGTGCTTCGCCTCGGTGAACAACCAGATGTGTCAAGGCCAACTCACAGGCATTGTGTGCACAAAGACTTTGTGCTGTGCCACAGTGGGACGGGCGTGGGGTCACCCCTGTGAGATGTGCCCTGCTCAGCCTCACCCCTGTAGAAGAGGGTTCATACCAAACCACCGCACCGGAGCATGCCAAGGTAAAGTCTGTTTCTCAGCATCTCTGTCTCTCTTTATGTTTTTGTCTCTTTTCTCTCTCAACTATAGAACTCCATGCTGTTTCTCTTCTCTTTCTGTTTAACTCCTTCTCTCTTTATGTCTGCTTTCAATCCTCTCCCTCTGTCATCCCCTCATCTCTACCCATCATCCCCTCTCCAGAGGATTAGTTCTAATTGGGTTAAATTGGGGTGGGTGGCAGTGCCTCCCACATGTGTATGGAATGCCCACAGATACCCGCTGTGGCAGGACTGTCAGAGTCAGTAACACGGGTCAGTGGCGGTGCCACGTGGGAGAGCTCATTTCTGGTGAGATGGCTCTCGGCCTGCCTGCCCCAGACCCAACAACATCTGCAGGGGAGAAAGACCAGAGCCAGAACCAAGAGGAACATGCAGTACTCGAAGAATGCTTTAGGTCACTGCCTCCTGGAGGTTTTCAGTTTCAGACCTGCGTTTTTAAAATTCATTGAATAGATTTAAGTTGACCCACCAAGTCACAGATTTCATCGACAATCGAAACTATGACTGTAGAATTTTTCCATATGTACGTTCCTTCCTCTATATGTCCTTTCCTGATTCAACTTGGTTTTTATTTCTGTTCCTGCAGAAGACATTCATGAACACACCATGTAGGTTTGTGTGTGTATTGCTGTCTTTGCAATGTGCTGATTTTTTCCCCTCTAAACTGTCATTTTTCTCCATTCCTACATTAAAGGAATGTGTGCATACATGTGCTAAAGTGTGTACTTAAATTTGTTTGCTCTGTGTTTACAGATGTGGATGAGTGCCAGGCCATCCCTGGTATCTGTCAAGGAGGAAACTGTATCAACACAGTGGGATCCTTTGAATGTAAATGTCCTGCTGGGCACAAGTTCAACGAGATCTCCCAAAAATGTGAAGGTAAGAATCAAGCCAGCAGCTGCCAGGCCAAAGCTGTGAAATGTCTGAAGTTTAGCGTTGGTTCAATGATAGAGCAGACTAAAAAAGATTATTTTCAAAGTTCCTAATTAACAATATGGAAGTCCGTATAAAGCCACATCCGTCTAGTTGTGGTTAACTTCACCTCAGTCGTGGTTTTTTGATTATTACTTTGAGCAGAGACCACACATAAGCCATTTTGCCCTTCCCTTGAAATGCATCAATTTAACTTAAGCATTGCTCTGCTTTTTCTCAGTAATCCTGTGTAACACCTAATTGTGATGCTTGAAAGAAATGTTTCATCCTGTACCTTGTAGGATATGTGAAAGAGCCAGACTGTATAACCTCTGAAAGGGGAAGTAACTAATTCTCTCCTTTCAAATTAAAATGTATGAAACACCCATTCTATGATGCAGAAGGTTTTGCTGTAGATGCAGGAGTGATTATATATATTATGTCATTTTACTAATGTTTACTAATGTAACTTTTTTAGTGGCACCTCTGCCAAATGTGGAGGAGTTGTAAAAGTTAAGTTTTACTAACATCTAACAGGACTAACATCCTTTTTGCTTTACTGAAAATTAGGTTGAGTCAGCATCCCCAGTATGGCTTCAGTCGCTGATAGGCTTTAAACTTTACTTAAGAAACCAAATGTGTCAATACACGATAAAGATTATGTCCACAAGTTGTTGTAAAAAGACATTTCTCCTTCAATCATGGATCTCAATTATCAGCTTCTGTCCGGCTCACAGAATCGTTAGATCATAATCTTTCTCACTTGATGCATGTGGCCACTGAGAGTCGCAATATTTTTTAGTGTTTCTGGCTGACAAACCTTCAATACGTTTCTTTCTCACTGCAACACGTCTGTTTTACCGCACAGAGGCCGACCGTTATTCTGTGAAAAAATATCTGCTCATTAAGACATGTATATGACAATTTCCAGACCAAGTTAAAACTCAGACTGTGCAGAGTTTTGTGGCACCCATTTGAAGAGTAAAAAAAATACGCTATTTTATGCCCAGAAATAATTGCAGGAAAACTTCTGGACTGTGTAAAAGACTTTTCAGATGGGTATGGATTACAGAGAATTTCTGAACAGGCTTTATGCATGATGATTTTCACTTAACCACGCTAACAGAGGAACAGCAACAGAGGCCCCTGATAAAATATCCTGTGACAATTCCCCATTTCCATTATCACTGCCAACAAGTGCTCCTGCCACTCTCTGGGAACCTCACAGTCAAAGTGTTGTTTTTGGTTTTAAACTGTGCTTTTCATCGACATTCGTGGTTTATAAGAAACAACAAACACAAAGTAATCTCTGTTTTTCTCATTTTTTTCCCTCTCTCGTCTTTTCCTGTAGATCTGGATGAGTGTTCAAACATTCCTGGTCTCTGTGGTGTAGGTGAATGCTCTAATACTGTTGGCAGCTACTTCTGCAAATGTCCTCAGGGATATTACACCTCTGTGGATGGATCCAGGTGCATAGGTGAGTGCTCCTTGGATGGCCGTGTATTTGCTTTGGTTAATCGTTACGAACATAGAAAAATAAGACACAAACCCGAGGAGCACATACGCTTTCCTTTTTCCACCCCATTTTGGTTCTTCTATCTTTATGCCTGGCACTGACAGCAGGAAGAACTGAAGTGTTTCCAGCGTTCCAGCTGGTAGAATTTAGGTCAGTAGTCACTTGCCTGTTTCCACAACAATGAGCTATATTCTCTTAAAAGTCAGAGAACGTGATGAGAGGAGTAGAGTTCACTTCTCAAGCTCAGCTTACAAAAAAAATTTAACTTCATGGTTAGAAAAATCGAAGTTTGTGCTCATCTGTTCTATCAAAGTGTAGAGTTAAGTGTGTTTCTTGTCTGTCACTGAGCAGCCCACATCCGGGGAAGTTGATAACAGTGTATTTATTCACACACTTAAACACAGACACACAAACAGTCACCAGAAATGCCTGTGCAGCTTGCAAGTTCAGCTCAGCTTGACCCAAAACAGACTAGGTAGGAATTTGGGTCAGAACAGTCCGCTAAATATACATGTACACCCTCGCAGGGGCATGCATACACACATTCACACAGCAACAACATATGCTATCACACACACACACACACACACACACACACACACACACAGCCACATGACCCCCCCAGGAGAGGATGTTAGTGAGGAAAGAATGTCTGAGTCTTTTGCTCCAGAAAACTGTTGCACATAACAGTCCGGCCCGTTTTCCATGCAGCAACACTAAAATATTGACATCTATGCTGGCCCCTCAAGGGCTGACTGATAGTCCTCCAGCTAACTCTTTGCTTTCCTTACATCTAGTGGAGCTTAACCAAGCAATCAGCACTGAAGCCTGTCAGTTTCTCCATGTCAATATACTGGATGGGCTTGGTGTGAAACAAGACATGATATATTTATGTTAACAAGGAACCCGAGTGTTAGTCACGCTGGTGCTCAGTGCCAGAAACTGCAGGATGCAGGAAAGGTTCTCATAAATAGGAAGTGATGACTATTTGAAGTGGCTTCCATCTTTCAAATGATGGAAAGTCTGAAACTATGATGACTACTTTTTGATTGTACTCTTGCCAATTTGCTCAACATGCAGACAACACATGTTATATTCCAAACAAAGGGGTTAGCTTAGCTGACGCCATGCTGTGTTGTTTCCCACAGATGCTCGTGGTGGGTACTGCTATGCTAGCCTGCTGAATGGGCGCTGCGCCAACCAAAACTCACAGCTGTTGACCAAAATGCAATGTTGCTGTGATAGTGGACGCTGCTGGTCTGATGGGTCAACCCCCGAAATGTGCCCCATTCGTGGAACAGGTGTGGCTCTCACCATCACATGGCTTTAATGACTAATTTCCATGTTGTATGTTTGTCTCACCGTAAGACTTGCCTCCCATTGTTTTTCCTATGTACTCATCATAGAGGAGTACCAGAAACTGTGCATCCAGATACCTGATGGAAATGGAGGGTTGGTACCTGGTCGTGTCCCAGGAGGCCCAGATCTTCCCGGCATCTACCCTGCTCCATATCCAGGTCAGACACCTGGGCAGGGCCCCGGCCAGGTGCCTCAGATTCCCATCCTTCCAGGCCAGGGCCCAGGCCACGGCCCAGGTCAAGGACCTGGTCAGTATCCAGGACAATTTCCAGGACAATATCCACAATTTCCAGGACAACTACCCTTACAGCCTCCTCCATCAGGTTAGCCTCATCTAATTTTCTCTCCTTTTTGTTTGGTTAATGTTCACATTAAAAAGGATTTCTTAAAAATTTGGTGTGTGCCATATCCAAGAAGTCACACTACCCACTGTGACTTAATGGACTTGCAGAGCTCGACTCCCCGCTGGTATTGGGTTTCCATGTTTTTCCATGTTTTAAGATCTCAGTTTTGTGCAACCACAACAGCCCACACTCTCCAGCTAACAAACTAATTGTTGAAGATGGAAAACTTTGACTAAGTCTGATTGTTTTCTGATGCAGGTCTCTTAATTCTGTGAGTTGCCACTAACATATCCAAAGCTCATGTGCAGGAAATTTCCTTTCTGAAAGAAAACACTCTTGCATACTTTTGTAGACTAGACCATGTCCAGAGGTAAATTGGCCATTTTCAAAATTTCTTGCAACAACATTTCCTCTGAAACTAAAGAAACTTGGCTGATTCTCTGCTGGAAGCTCAAGCGACTCTGAGCTGTTTTTGTTCAGATCTGTGTGACAGTAGATCCTGTCAGGAACAGATACATTTTGGATGAAATGAGCTTGGCATGCTTTTGAAATGCCATTCTGCTTTTTTGGGCAATTACACTGATAAATCTTCTCAACTATTCTGTATTTCTTACAATGTGCCTTTTTCAGCTGAGTAAAAAGATCTTTAATGTATTTTAATGGATGCAGCTCCTGACTTAGGAATGATATAAATCAAAGATGGGGACTCGGGTTTGAGTTGCACACGGACATGACGTCTTGCTTGACTTGGACTCTGGCTTGATTTGTGGATAGTTTTTTATTTTGTATTTCTGATATGTGTGTGTAAATGTTTGTTAGGTCCATTTATTATTCAAACCCAGAACATCACCAACATGTGCCAAGCCTACCGCAACCTCTGCCTGAATGGCAGGTGTATCCCCATGCCAGGTGTTGGGTACCGCTGTGAGTGCAACATGGGCTTCAGGTTGGATGCGCGAGGAGAATGCATTGGTGAGTTTCAAACTAAGAGAGAGAAAACTTTTTACAGAACTAAAGAAAGTTGAGAGCTTTACGTGTCTTTTTCCAGATGAAGATGAATGCGAGAGAAACCCGTGTGCTCATGGAGAGTGTGTGAACACGCCTGGCTCTTACATCTGTCAGTGCCCTCCTGGATTCCAGACAACTGCAACAAGAACAGAGTGCCGAGGTTACATACACATGCACTGACAGGCACACACACACACACACACACACACTTTAAGAGGATGTATGTGTTTAATGAGCTATCTGTTTATTTCGACTAGATCTGGATGAGTGTGTGGCCAATGGTCGAATCTGCAACAATGGCCGCTGTGTGAACACTGAGGGCAGCTTTCACTGCGTCTGCAATGCTGGCTTTGAGATTTCATCAGATGGGAAAAACTGTCAAGGTCTGTCGAGTTCTCCATTTTTAAAGAGTAGTTCTCTGTCATGATGTCAGTGTGTGTAATGTTCATGTTTAATGGACTGTGGATCTCTTAGAGTAGGTGATTTAATATCAATGCCCGCTGAAGGGGTATGCTGTCATAATCATAAGTTTAAATAGTCATGCTGGTTTGGTGTGTTTCACCCCATATAGTGCAATAGATGAACATTTTTACTACTTTTTTCCAAAGGCACCTTTGATGGGAATATTTACTTCTTTCCTTGCAGGCATCCATACATTTCCATTCTTAGATTTTGCTTTAAAGCATTGAAAACTTGCTCATCTGTTTACCTTGCATTTGGTAGGTTGTTAATCATGGAACATCTTCATCCATCCAGTTCTTTACTTTCAGAAAGTGAAAATCTCACATTCACAGGCAGTGATTTTCCAGTAGTGGAGCAAAGACAAGAGCCAGAGTTTGAACTTCTCTCTGGCTCCCGATTTCTTTCTGTCACAATTAATTGGAAACCAGAGAGTGCAATATTAAACATGCTCTCAAGAAAAGACCATCTGAGGATATGCTCTTATCCCTATGTTTCAAATCGATTTTTAAGTATTGATACCGAGATTCGGACCAAGATTCCCAAAGTTGGCTGTAAGAATCTCTACAAAAACTCATTCTGCTCTAACTTACTCTTGTGCTTTCTCTCATTATAGTGCAGTCTTTAGACATGGAAATAAAGTTGTTGGCATGAAGTATATTGAAGATTGCCTGTTGTTTTGCTCAGGAATGTTTCAGGATCCAAAATTACTGAGTTAGCCGCTCAAGAGTAACATTTTCCCACAAAGTTGCTGATTTGTTTTTTTAATGCTTTGTCTTTTGGACTTGATTTCATGACAGCATTTGTAGCTCATCAACCAGTTTTTATTTGCGGTATCCTTGAACTGGTTTTAAAAGCTGTCTTTGCTAGAAACTTTATGTTTCAACTCAGAAGTATGACTGAAATAAGGCAATCATGCCCTCTAATGATCTTATTGTTAAGAAAACATGAATTAAATGTGTTGTTTGTGGGCTAGACCGTGCAAAACTTCTACTTTGGCTTCCCTTTTTCCCTTCTTTTTTGTTTCTTCAATAGACCCCCTGTTGTGGGATAAGTACAGGGTTGTGTTATCTTATCTTAACCCCTGTGTTTATTCACTCTCTGCACTTTTTTGTGTGATCACAGACCAGGATGAGTGTCTGATCAGGAACATGTGCCTCAACGGCCTGTGTATCAATGAAGACGGAAGCTTCAAGTGCATCTGTAAACCAGGATACTTGCTGGACACCAGTGGACGCATGTGTGTAGGTGTGTTTCCCAGAAAGCCTGCAGACATTCTGACCATCAGAATCATGTCTTTACACCACCAGAATATACTCTGAGTCAGTTGTTATTTGTCCTGTATTTTTAGCCAGCTAATGTCTCTGTCATGTTTGTGTTTCTATTATACGAGTATTACAGAAAGAGCCAGAAATCCCCTTGAAAACCTCAGCAAAATCTCTCAGCATCCTGGCAGGCCAGCTGAACATGCAGAAAGATGGAGCCAGCCTTTTTTTTTTTTTAGATTCAAGCAGGCAGCCCTCCCTTAACTTGTTGAGCACAAAAAAACAACAAAAAAGACACCTTTCTTATAAATTCAAAGAACTTCTTAAACCATTACCATTAGAATAATCAGCTTTATTCATTTTAAAGTAGTGTCTTAATCAAGAACCAACAAAATGTGTTTTTCAGTATGGTATTTGTCACAGTATTGCTCCACATAGCTGTACATACAGACGCTTGATCTCTAAGACACTGACCTGGTTTAGTCAGAGCAGAGTAAATAAAGCAGGGTGCGGGTGAAGTGTGCTGATGTATGCAGTTATTAATGATTGTGTAGTCTGAAAGGGGCCCCAGGGCCTCTTTATTCCTATCTGTTCTGCAGACACACCCACACAGAACAGAAAACTGTAATATGTTGATGTCCTATCTTTGTTTGCACTCATGATTATTATTTTAGATTGAGGGAAAGTAAAAAAAACATTTGTTTAGTTTAGGCTGTAAAACTGAAGCGCTGCAGCAGTGTTGCCAAAACTTTTAATGAAACAAGAACCTAACACTTAGTCACCAAACTGTTAGCAGGAAGAAGGGTGGTTTTATTGATCCTAATTCCTGAGCAGTCATTGTCAGATGAGGAATGTATTAATAAATAAACAAATAAATAATTTTGCTGCAATTTTTGTAGACATCGATGAGTGTGACACTCCAGGCATGTGTATGAACGGTCACTGTGTCAACACCGAGGGCTCTTTCCGCTGTGAGTGTATGGCCGGGATGGCTGTTGGCCTGGACGGACGTGTCTGTGTTGGTGAGTAATTGTATCTTGAAATGCGCTGATGTGTTCACTTGACTCTCTATCAACCTAGAAAGTTGAATTTCTTTTACCAGTTTTTCTGAATGCTTTCTGATTCGGCACAAATAGTAAACATTCTCAGTTTTATCCTTCATGATTTGTCTGACAAATAATTCAATTCACTGCTTCGGGAACAAGCTAGTGCTTCCAGCTGTTTCTTATGAGCACACATGCTAGGGTTTAAAATGACGTCTCTGATCAGACAAAGCTTTCGTCAAAATGTTTGTCGCAATTTGCTCGATTTAATCCCACAGCTGTCTGTTTATTTTAACTAGAACCTCAGCACAAATATTTTCCAGTTCAGTGAGAAGTTGAGCTAAACTGAAGGTGACAAAATGACACTTTAATAAACTCTATCACAAACATCTCATCCTGTTTACCTGTTACAAACACATGCTAACGTTCATTAGTCAGCATGTTTTGATCAGTATTGATAAATATTTTCCTGCCTTCAACCTCCTGGTCTGGCACTCAGGGAGCGATTCTGTTTATGCCTTTATTTGCAGCATTCTTGTAGACCCATAAATGTCAATTCTTTGTCTATTGTGTGGAGAGTGTTAAAACCCTGTTATTCACTCTGGGTGAGTTTTCTTCAGGATGATATCAGCGCAGGAGAATGCCTCAAATCCCAGGATATAATGGAGGGAGAACAACCATTTGTTTTGCTGGTGTTGTTGTTTATTGGAGCTCTGGTCCCTTTCCTCCTCTCTCTTTTTTTTTTGCTGTGTCTTTACCCTCTTTCCAGATCTCTTCGCTTCATCCGGGTTTCTGCATTAACTCTGTCTGTCTTATTTTTCCCAAAACAGACACACATATGCGCAGTTCTTGTTATGGTGGCTACAAGCGAGGGCAGTGTGTTAGGCCTTTATTTGGAGCTGTGACCAAGTCGGAGTGCTGCTGTGCCAGCACAGAGTACGCCTACGGAGAGCCCTGCCAGCCTTGCCCACCACAAAGCTCTGGTACGACTATTCACATTACTCCACCCTGCTGATACATATGGAGCGACCTCCTGCTGTTTGATACACAAATACACTCTCAGTATAAAGCAGCCCGATTTTAATTCAAAACACACCTGCCAGATGATGACAAGATCAAGTGCCACGAAATGGTTCAGATTAAAACATGACAAAAAGGCGGTGAAGCAGTCATGGCTTGAGTGTTTGACAGAGACATTGCCTGTGCTCACACAAACAAATACACTCATACAGCGCCCACTCATTTCTCATTAGTCCTGTATGGAGACTGATGAGAAAACATGAACATGCTGTCACTCGATTCCTCCTGAAATATCTCATTGCTGTTTCTGTCTTTATTGACCAAAACTGTGCTATTTTGTGTTTCATTGCAGCTGAGTTCCTGGCTCTCTGTCCCAATGGTGGCGGCATAACTGGCGATGGAAGAGGTAATAAAAGCAAGCGTATCATTTGGGTTTTTCATTGATATTAAAATGAACATGTTGCAGAAACCAAATAGTTAAATCAAAGAAAAGTGGTCATTACTAAAGGTGTTTTCCCTCCTGTAATGTTCTGTCTTTTCAGATATAAATGAGTGTGCCCTGGACCCTGACATCTGCCAGAATGGGGTGTGCGAGAATATGTTGAGGACATACAAATGCACCTGCAATGAAGGCTTTGAGGTCGACCTGACAGGCAAAAACTGTGTTGGTAGGTAACACTGAGATATGATGTCCTCACGCTCTCAGCAAATCAAGGTATTCTGTCGTCATTTTAAAAGTCAGCATGAGGGGATTCACCGTGTTTACTCATTTTTCTCTAGATATCGACGAGTGTCTGATGAACAGGCTGCTGTGTGAAAATGGTCTGTGCAGAAACACTCCTGGCAGTTTCACCTGTCAGTGTCCCAAAGGATACCGATTTGATCCTGAGACAGACGTCTGCGAGGGTCAGAAACTCCTTCATCCTGTTGCACATTATTTTATTCAAATGATGAAAGATTGGCAGTTTGATTAAAAGAAAGAAGGGTATCTTTTTGTCTCATATAGATGTGGATGAATGTCTGTCCAACCCGTGTATTAATGGAGAGTGTAGGAACAGCCTCGGGTCCTTTGTGTGTTTGTGTTCAACGGGCAGTACGCTGGACACCACTGGGCTGGAGTGTATCGGTAAGTGTTGTTTGAATCTCGAATTGTAGGCAATCATAAAAGCAGATATTCCAAAATCCAATTCTTGGATTATTTAAGTTATTGTTTGAAAGATCAACTATGACAACAGTAACTTTGTATGACAAATAAATAATCATAAAAGCAGATATTCCAAAATCCAATTCTTGGATTATTTAAGCCATTGTTTGAAACATCAACTATGACAACAATAAATTTGTTGGAAAATATTGTTGTGCACTGTTATGAGTGAGTGTCGCCTCTTAGCGACCGCTTGAGCAGATGATTTGTGTCCATTTAGATTACAGTCCTATGATGCCATGTCAATATTTCCTACATTTTGAATTAGTTTTTGATTAATGTGGACCTGTAAGTCCAACCTGATGAAAGTTGTTCTTGATAAGTTTCCCATAAAGACAAGTGCAGTGGGCTGTGTTCAGGAGATTTTTGTTAACTGGCAAAGTACCACTAAACTGTGAAATACTTGAATGAACTGAAGAAATAAAGCTGGCAATTTCCAGATAGATAAATAATGATGAAATGGACTGAAACAGTGCTCTCTTTATTTTTAGGAGATTTACTTGATTGCTTGATGTGATACATAGCAAAACACATTATCTCTTAATGCAAAACTGGGTGTCAAGTAAGCTTTTTTTTTCTTTTAACAAAACAGAGACAACGAAGAGCACCTGCTGGCTGAAGATAATCAATAATCACTGTGAGGTCAATATTAACGGAGCCACACTGAAGTCACACTGCTGTGCCACACTGGGAGAAGCTTGGAACAGCCCCTGTGCCAAATGTGAAAAAGGTGAGATGATCATTATGCACCATTTAGCAAATTGAAATGAGTTACACTCTAACTTAACCAAACAACTGCAACGACTAATATTGTATTTTGTTCTGTGTACAATCACAGATCCTATCTGTGGTAAAGGCTTTGCTCGAGTCAAAGGAAATGTCTGTGAAGGTAACGTCTGTCTTGATTCCATGTTGACACTGAAATTCAGACTTGTGGTTAGTTTGAGTAACTTTTAACACTGAAGCTGTTGTAAATGCTGCTCTGGTTTTCCTCTGCTGACTGTCAGACGTGGATGAGTGTCAAGTGTTTCCCGGAGTGTGTATCAATGGAAAGTGCATCAACACACAAGGCTCCTTCTTCTGCCAGTGCCCTCCTGGAATGACTGTTGATGTCAGCGGCAGGATGTGCATCGGTGGGTGCAGCAAGTCATCTGTATGACTACATTTCATGTGTTCTGGGAATCTTTTTCTGCCTGGTTAAGAATACCATCTTATAAACTGATATTAAATATGTAAATTATGTATTTGTGGTTTCCAGACCTACGTACAGAGCAGTGTTACCTCACACATGAGGATGAGCGCTGCGGGACTCCTATCCCAGGAAAGCATCGTGTGGATGCTTGCTGCTGCTCAGTGGGTGTAGCATGGGGCCCTGAGTGTGACGAATGTCCAGAAAAGGGAACATCAGATTACAACCAGCTCTGTCCTCGAGGCCCGGGCTTCTCACACAGGGGTGACTTCATCAATGGAAGACCTTTCCTTAAAGGTAACATGGTGGAATCCACAATCTCCATAGACTCCCTCTGTTGTTGTTTTTTTGATCGCTCCTTCACTTGTTTCTGCTGTGTGCTACAGATATAAATGAATGCAGGATGATAAATACCCTGTGCTCAAATGGAAGGTGTAGAAACACCATTGGGAGCTTCCGTTGTCGCTGTGATAATGGCTACGCCCTGGACTCTGATGAGAGGAACTGTACTGGTGAGTACTGCTAAAGCAATTCTCTGTTTAATCACTTATTTAGTGAGATAACAAAGAACCAGAAACAAGTTGATGCTTCAATCATTTTACAAGCAATGTTGTAGTTGACCCCTAGTCAAGTCTCAAATCCTCAATGTTGAAGTCCGAGTCTAGTCCAAGTCACCAGAGAAGAATCTGAGTATAGTCAAGTTTCCGTTACTCAATATTAAAAGTATTGTTTATTGTAAAGAGGCCCGCTGTTTCTCCCTAAACTTTTGACTGTCTGAACTTTGACTGACTGTCTGGAACCTTTCGGGTTTGTAGAAAACACGTTTCATTTATCAACATCAGATTCTTCCTGATCCTTGGCTAACTCTGGCCTCCCACTTTCTCCTCTGGGTTTATCCTGGACAGGTTTCTGATAAAGTTCGAGTTTGTTACTTGCTATCTCTGGAATGATTCTTTTGCACATTGCACATGCTACATTGTTGAACAGATGTTGTGAAAATCTGAGAAAGCAAAACCCCTGACCCGAGACAGGAAATGTTGGTGTACGAGACAGCACGTGAACACCAGCCGTTGTCTGAAAGACAAAACCAATTAAACAGTCTTTATCAGCAAATAGTCATCCTCTCCATCTTCCAATTCTTAAAATAGTCAAAGCTCAAGTCTGAGTCATCAGTGCTTGAGTCCAAGTCGAGTCACGAGTCCTGAAAATTAAACTCAAGTTGGACTTAAGTACTAAAACACTGCTGTCAATTACTTTGAAAATAAAGGGCCTCTCACATAAAAGAATGTACTGTGTGTTTACAATCATCTTTCTGTTGATTATCATATCAAATCCAAGATCTTTGTATTAATGAGATCCTGAAAACACTCCGTCTAGTGCAGAAAATGTATTTGTATTTTTCACAAATTTGGTGAACTGTAAATGCATGAACAGTTGTTATGAGCAGTCTTAAAAATTGTTCTTTCATTGTAAGTGTCACTGCTCACTGAGGTGACTAGAATGGGCAATACTTAAGTAGTATGTGCAGTTGCAAGTGCTTGCAAACCCATAACAATATCTCTGAGCTCCATTGTGTTCCTACAAGTGGAACTACTCTTCATCAATCCCCCTCTTTGTACCCCGCTGCCAACACTGATTACAGTAAAGTGGTGTAAAGCTGTTGCCTATGTTCAGCTCATTCAGTCTAATGGCAGTCTGGCTGCGTTGGACTTGTTGGAGCCGGTCCCCGCAGTCTGGTTAGCTGCATTACCCTCTGCTTAAATGTGCACACATCATTTTAGTTTTAAATGCCAGTGCCATGGCTTTACCCTGAAATAATTTATAGGCTCTTAGTTAGTAAATGATATCTGGGACCTTTTAACCCCCATATGAGTGAGAGCCCAGCCCAAAGCCTTTTTTGCTAAGTGTTCCAAAATGTGGATTAAATTCAAAGGGGATCTGGCCTTTAACTTCAGCCTTTGGAAGAATCTTCTTAGAGAGCCAAGTCTGCATAAACCATCCTTTAATCCAACTCTTAATTTTGTTTTATAGCCTTTATTTTATGATGTAACCTTGAGAAGAATACGTTGTACTTTTACTCTCTTGTTTGTCCAACATTTATGTCGGATAGCTTCTTTTCTATGACTACTTATCTGTGTCACTAAACCATACCTCCCTAATCTATAGGTTTTACAAAAAGAGACCTTCTTCTTATTTTCTCTGCAGGTTTTTTTTTACTCTTAAAGGAAGTTTTCTTTTTCTAAGCCTTGTTGCATTTGTTTCCTGCAGACATCGACGAGTGCCGCATCTCCCCGGACCTGTGCGGACAGGGCAGGTGCATCAACACACCTGGAGATTTTGAATGCGAATGCTTTGAAGGCTATGAGAGTGGCTTCATGATGATGAAAAACTGCATGGGTGAGTGACAAACTCTCACGAACCGACACTTTGAGAAACTTGACCCCCTGAATATTCTCAAGTACACCCTGTTAAAATCGCATCGTCTGAAAGCAGAGAGCATTGCCAGTGCCAACCTATAAAACTGAAGAAAATCTGCCACGCTACCCAAGTCCCCATCACAACCCAGCCTTCGCCTTTATGCTCCCTCTTGGGCCGTAAGCTCAGGATGAGGTGCTTAGGCGAACATGCCAGACTTGGAACTTGCTGTTTAGACGGCTGATGTCATCTGAAATTTTCAGGCTGTGTGTGTTTGTATATGTGTGGGCGTGTTTTAGAGCAAAGAAGAATTAAACAGACTTTATGTAACCCCTCTGAGTTGTCTAAAGGGCCCACTTTGTGCAGCCCAGGTGTCATCATAATCCTTTAATAAAACTGCGCCATAAAGATAATTTCTCTTTATTACATTTTTAAACAGCATGAGGGGGACGCAATCGTCTAAGCACCGAAAAAATATTTTATAGGTAGCTAAAACTCCCAGTGTTCCGCCATCTGGGAAAATACTTGATGCTCTATTTCTGTTCTGTTCTGGGCTGCCTTTCGACACCACTTGATTAAATTCTTGGGAGGAATCATACACACAAAATGGAGAGTCTCAATACTTTTGTTGGCCTGAATCTGCTGTGAGGCCAAAACTGGCGAGACAAATTTACTCGCACACTGAGGCTAAAAAAGCAGCTGGTGGTGGAAATAACGTGGGCGGGGTAGCAATCAGAAACTGTTTGGGCTGACTGGACTAGCAGGCAAACAAAATATTAAACAAGTAAAAGAAAAAAAATTTGAAATCCCCCTAATAAATAGTTTTTGTTTGTTTTTCATCACAGCCAGCCATGTGGCTGCTTCCTCTTCTTCCTCCTTTTTTTAAACCATGCAATTAGTTGTGTTTTTACAAGGAAAGCACTCTATGAATGCCTTCCCCACAAGCTAACTTAATTTAGAGACTCATTAGGTAGATTACACTTTAACAGAGTGGAATTTTGACCCGTAACTGTGCCAAAGCTAACAAACACTTGCATCAAAACTAGAAAAACAATTTTTGGTTTGTCAACTGGCATTGGTAATACACAAGAGACCGATCAGATATCTGTGGAGCTAGAACTCTTGACACAAAATATCGCTACTTGTGTCTATGACTGTACTGAGCATGTGTTTTCTTTCACCTTCAGACATTGATGAGTGTGAGAGAAACCCTCTGCTGTGTCGTGGTGGTGAATGTGAAAACACAGAAGGCAGCTTCCAGTGCGTTTGCCCCGATGGACACGAGATCGCAACTGATGGGTCCGCCTGTCTAGGTGAGTGAGCAAGTCATCAGAAAGGGGAGCCAGGCAGACTCTTCTTCTCTGGACTTCTTTTTTCTTCTTCTTGCTTTTCTTCTGTCTTTGAGAAATTTGTGAGCCACAGCATAGTTTCAAATTTATTTTCTTTGGAGGTTGAAGAAAGATACTCGGGGTGAAAAGACAAGTGGGAAGGGAAGATGTCACAAAGCAGACAGTTTGTGAGACAATAGAGCTTTGGATCGCCCCATTTACCATCTGTCTGTGTGTGTGTGGGCTCTGTGGGGCTATTTGGGGGTGAAAGTGTCAGAGTCAGGCTTGTTTATGTTTGAGATATATGTTCTGTTATACACGGGTTGATATGAACTCAGGACCATGTGTGTATCTTCATGTAAGTTGACGTGTGCAAGACGAAGGGTCCAGTTGGGTCTCATCAAGAGAAATTCTTTAAAGAAAGGGTTTGAGGACTTGAAGCTTTGTAAGTTTGTAGCACAAGAGCTTTAAATAATAAAGGCAGAGTTAATGTTTGGGTATATTTTAGTCTTTTTGGATGTATTTTGTGACTCTGTGAGCCTTTTTCTTTAAACTGTTTTTGTAAATTGTCTAGAATGAATGTTCTGAGTTCTGGAAACTCTTTATTAGAAAAAGGAGAAAAACTTAACTTTCATGTATTTTTAATAGTTTCAAACCTCCTCACGTGCGGTTTATAGCAATGGGCTGACCATGCATTAATCACTGGGTGTCTCTCCAATGACCTAATGTAGTGTGTCAAGGTTTCAGTCCATGACCTAATGCTCAGTTACCGGCCCTAAGCTCATTTATTTTCTTATTACCACCCAGAGAAATAAAAACAATAGACGTGTGACTGAACTCTGCCCGTCGCTAAGACAATGGTCCTTATTATCTGTGGTGAGGCAATAAATATGACTGTTTCAATGACACTGATGATGATTTACTTCAGTTTAAGTCCAGATGTCATACAGATGGGTGTAACACTGTGCACTTAGTGATGTCAGATCACTAGTTTTGAACGGCTCATTTATAACCATTAGATTCAACATGAAACATTTTTAAATGAACTCTGACTTTAGGCCTCTGTTGAACTCCACTAATCTCAGGAGGGTGGATATTTAAATCATCATGGACCTTTAACGGCTCTAACAGTGTAACTAAGTACATAGTGAGACATGTAAAATTAGTTTAAAAAATGATAGAAAGTTGTTTGTGTAAATAATTTTATAAACTTCAATGGGTTGTTGTATTATCAGTCAAACCAGAAACATGAATTTCTCTTGTTTCGTGTGATTGTGTGTAAATAAGATGGATTTTATTTAATATTTAATGCGCAAAAGATTTATTATGAGTGAAAATAGTTCTTTGCACTAACCTCACATGTGCACTTTATGGTGATTAATGGCAATTTGAACAGCAAAGAAATCTACTTCCCAAATACCCTGACCTGTATTTAATGCATTTAATATAATGTATTGTGTAATGAACCCTTAAACTGTTATACTAGTTCATTTCATTCATCTTGTTCTTTAATCACTTTATCTTTCCTTTCCTTAGCAAAGCAACTTTCTAATTGCATTTGCATTGTTCTTTTCCAGATATCAATGAATGTGATTTGAGTGACAGGCTCTGCAGGAACGGTCAATGTGTCAACATGATCGGTAGTTACCAGTGTACCTGTGACATGGGATATAAATCTACTGAGAACAGACTGGATTGTGTCGGTATGGACTGAACATATTTATGACACTTTCACTTCAATACTATTTTTCTTGTTTTTATTGAAGAACAACAAATGAACAAATCTTTTTCTGCCCCCCAGACATCGATGAGTGCACTATAGAGAACGGCGGCTGTGAGGCTTTCTGCACAAACTCAGAGGGGAGCTATGAGTGCAGCTGCCACAGTGGTTATGCCCTGATGCCTGATCTGAGAAGCTGCACTGGTAGGTTGCTTAGCTGCAGTTCTTTCAGATCTTGCAGTCCTTTCATTGAGTACCTACTCCATTCATCTGTTTTGTGTTTCACTGCAGGGAACTTTCCATAAAATATAACTATACATTGAAGAGCTAGAAAGAAGCCGCACATTGTAAACGTAGTTTGTAGTTATTGCTTTAATTGGACTGGCACATTCAGAGGAAATTGAAAGACAAAGCCTGGATACACACATTTGATTTGGGCTTAAAATTATTAACTCATAATAAGAGATAAAGTTTTCAAATCAAGAGAGATCAAGAAACATTTACTTAGATTTCTTGCTTAGAAAGTATTCATGTGGTAACCCTAATCGTAGGCTTCATGTGTTGTACCTAACCTAACTCCTGCAACTCCTTTAATTAGCAGATGCAGTTATACAGGCAGAGATCAAAGTAGCGTTGGGTGAATTTTGGTGTAAATTGCTCGAAAGAGGAGCTGCAATTATGTATCCTGAACTGACCTTGTTGATTTAAGAGTGTAAATATAAGTAAAACTTCAATTTGTGGCCCAGACCTTTTAATTGTTTCAACTTCCTTTAAAAAAAAAAAGCGTCTATACGAGATGAGCTTTGCAGTGCGAGTTTAGCAGCCAGAGAGTATGGGGGTCCTTGAGTAGTTTCAGGAGTCTTGGGCAACAGTGGATATGTTAAACGATGGTGGTGTTTAAGTAAAAGTAAAACAGCTAGTTAGACAATCAATGTATGCAGGGGTCTAATTGAGACAGTGTTATAAGTCAAAACATGCAGCCACACCCGGCTAGTACAAGGCACCCCACCCTGCATTTTGTTGGGTTAGTGTTTGTATTTAAAGTTGTATGGTAAATATAAGGCAGAAGTTTAAGTTTTAATCCTGTATTTTGCCTTGTAAAGGAAAGTAAATTAAGCCCCTGGTTTTATGTTGCAGCCTTAGAATCCTAATGGTAAATTATACCTTAATGTTGCCATCTGAATGAGGAGGTTGTGGATATAGTTTCCTGCCCTTCTCACTTTGTATTCTCCCTTTTTTGATTTGCCTTCCCTCTGTCCTTATTCTCCAGACATCGATGAGTGCGAAGAGAGTCCAGACATCTGTGATGGAGGCCAGTGCACCAACACTCCTGGGACTTACCAGTGTCTTTGCTTTGACGGTTTCATGTCATCTGAGGATATGAAGACCTGCCTGGGTAATGGATGAATATTATTATTTAAAATAATAAAACTCTGCAGCTTCACTCTTTACAGCTCGGTGGTAAAGTAGATTTGCTGAAAAGACAAAATAATCAACATGAAGGTTCTCCAAGTAATGAGTCATGAGAATTACACTTAATGAGTCAGATCTGCAAGTCAGTGTGTGAGAAAATAGCATCTAAAGTTGTTGTTGTTGATTTAAGAGACAAGTGAACATTTTGTGAGTTTGGGTTTGCAAAGAGGAATGCATGACATTTAGATGTCTGGTTCCACTGAGAGAGAGAGAAAAAACTGATACGGCTTTTAAAGTCATCTGCCCAAACACATTCTCATATTACTGCTGTATTTACTGAGATAAACAAGATACCGTGTGAGTTATTGAGCTAAACCCGAACATAATTCACAATGTAGATCAAATTTGACTCCCTTACATTTATCACAACGTCTCAAAAATCAACTAAAGCGGCAAATCCAGTTTAATTCATTGGCTTAAACTTGTCCGTACTGTATTTGTGTGAAGCAAATTACCTTTCTTGCTCTTTCCTCGTTAAATTCTTCTTCATTTCCCGTCTAGATGTGGATGAGTGCGAGCTGAACTCAAACATCTGTCTTAGTGGAAACTGTGAGAACACAAAAGGATCCTTCATTTGTCACTGTGACCTGGGATACTCTGTCCGCAAAGGCACCACAGGCTGCACAGGTGAGAAATCACCACACGCTTGAGCATTTCTGCACAACACAAAACATCCTGTAGGTAGAAAAACAGGGACGGGAGTAAGAGGATGGTGAGTCAGTGAAGGGCTGCTGTTGATTAAGCAGTGAATGAGGCGTGTGTGTGTGTGCATGTTGTATGTGTGTACGAGGAGTGTTTGTTGAGGAGCAAAAGCTAAGAGAAGGGCGAGAAATACGAGGATGTAGGAGAAAATGTCCAGCTAACCAGAGGCAGCTCTAATACAAGTCAGCCTAATTCAAGAGCTCCTGTCTGCCCTGATGAGAAACACACAGGACACACAGACACTCACATGGACTTGCAGTAACAACAGCAGGAGCAGTGAGATCACTCTTTTCTGACAGATGCAAGCATCACATTGCACCTTTGTTTATTCCTTTGTTGCTCTTTCATTAAGGTCATTTAAACATTACGTGATGGTTGGAAGAGTTCTGCAGCACGTAACCACCTGAAACCGCTCCAAAACACATAAATACCAGTCCATCCTGCCCGTAGAGTCTTATGCTAGTTTTGACTCACTCCTGGTGTAGCCAGAGTTACGTCTGATTTATAGGGCCACTTTAAAATTTTGGAATCGAGGGCTACTTTGGATTTCAGTCAGTGATCTTATCTGGCCTTGTCTCTGTGATCAAAATGACTCAGAGACACAGTCAAGTGCAGCATGTCCTCCTTCAGACGCAAATAAACAGGTCTGTCTGACCTTCAAACTCATTCACACACACTCTTGCTCATTCTAATCCCGTTAAAATGTCCGGATAGTGTATTCCTTGTTTTGAGAGGGGTGGAATTGCAGTAAAGCAGCCGGTTCTGATTCACAGTGTTGGTATTTCAGCCTCAGAATACCAGGGAATCAGGATACTAATTCCTCTCAGGCGGGCAGGATGTCTTGGTATAAACCAGAAGACAAAACCTGCTACTCTTTTTGGAACAGCTCCCTTTCCGACGTATGGAAAATGCATGCAAAATTGGTTGTCATTGTCGAATTGGCTTATGCGACCATGTTGGTATGTGCGGACTAGATCCTCTTTGCGTGAGTGTGTTTTAATGAGTGGTGTTCTCAAGCTCAGATCTAATCCAGCTGTTGATGAAGTTCCCACAAGAATTATTTCCCAATTTTTATACACAACACTTAAGAAATCAGGGGCAGGGTGTGAGTATTCGTATGACCACTTATGTGCTTGTTTTTTTGGGTTGTGTTTTGGAAAATTGGGGGTGGGTGGAGGTGTACTGGTGGAGTTTACAAGGCTGGGAGTGTCTGGGCTTTAAAGAGGAAACTGGGGTTATATGTTGTTGACCTATATTTTCTTTTAGCTAAATGACAAAACACTAAAACAATGTGAGAACAAGGTAATCTTCTTCAGAAAAATGAGCCAGTTTCTGGAACAAAAACAACAACCACCAATTACTCACAGTCATGGCAAGAAAAGAGTCAGTAAAATATACGGATGCATCGGCTGTGAGAGAGGGCTTGTCTCACATTCCAGGAAGCTTAGCTTGGCTTATCAAGTAGGCTACTGATACATCTGAAGGTATTGGTAAACTTTAATTAGATATGATTTGGTAGGCACTTACTCTTCATAACTTTAAGCTGTTTTTTCTACCTTTGCATTAAGTTTCAGTGTTTGTAATAAGTCTACTGAAACTTGTGGTAATAATCTTCTTTAGCATTAGCATTTAGCATCATTATCTTCTCATCCCTCTCTTGCCTTTACGAGCAGAACCTTACGGTTGCTTGTGAGTGTTAATGTACCTTGACTTTATGACTCCCATCCATGCTGCTGTTACAGCAATATTAAATTAAATTCAGATTTAAATTTATTTAACTACAGTAAAGTACTTACATGTGTCCCACAATTCTTACCTGCATCTATGGGCTAATTTCAGTTTTAATGTTGCTAGCTCTGTTTTGAAAAGTAGCTCTAGTGTTCTAATGTGAATAAATGTCACGCCACCTGCAAAATAAAATAAAATAAAAAGCTTATTGACAGATATTGGGTAAGATATTGTCTTACCCAAACTAATCTTACTCGATCTTGCATAAGAATGAATGTTAGCTAATGTCAGTAATGGTGAATTAGCTGTTGTTGTGTCTCTTATTGATATTCTGCTTCAGTAAGGTAACTTTGAGATCTCTCTGACTTACAGTTACGATATTTTTAGTATTTTAGTAGTCTTTTGTGGACATTTATGGTCACATATCATCATCTTCTTGGCCTGATGTGACCTGAGGAGCAAGCTAATCTAAGCAAACTTTCAGGATCTGTATTTGTGCAGTTATAACACAACTTTATTAAAGAACTGTTTTTTAAAAAAATATGAAATAGACTTGGAATTCTACTTTTTTCAAAACTGGTTTATGGAGATTTTAGCGGCAGAAACCTGTTCCCAGAAATGGCTTGTCAGGAGTGAAAAAAGATATAATGAGGGAGGCCCAAAAAATGCAGAGTAATAAGAATATCTGATATTTTTAATATTCTTAATATGGCTTGGATTGGCAGAAGATGCTTAAGTACGCTCAGTTCTCTGCAATTTTTGTACTGTGTGGCTTTCGGTGCATGTCCAGGTTGTCAAGACTGCAGCCAGATCTAAGCTACCCGCTAAAATATATTTATTTTTTTGTTTGTCTAGACTGTACCCAGACAGATTTTAGAGTCTCAGCAGCCTAATAAGACAGCATCAAATAAATTTGTTACAATTCGAATCCTAACATTTGGAAGTGTTTTGAAATGTGATTCCACTTGTGTGTTTGTAATGTCTGGACGCTGTAATCTTATCAGATCACTTTCAGACAACGCGAGCAATTTGTCTAATGATGCGAATTAAAGAAAAAAAAAATCAGATTTCCTGGCAGTCTGAAAAAAACTGAGACAAAAATGAGGCAGGTGGCAAACAGACAGACAGATACTCAGGCAGTCACACAAGCTGAAAGATGGCTAGACAGCCAGGTAGGCAGATGTGTAATTCCCTTTTATCCCTTTTTATCTGTTTTTCAGCTGTCAAGCATTAGCCCTGGTTAAATCAAGCCTCTTGTTCGACACCAGCTGTGACCGCTGACACGCTTGTATTTTACATTTCCACATGAGAATGTGTGTGTGTGTGTGTGTGTGTTTGTTTCGTGCTCTGTCATCAAAGACTTGGGGAAATGATCTTTAATTCTGTCTGTAATCGAGGGGGATTTGCCCTCATATTAAAGCCGTCATCAAATGTAGTGTAAATATAACGTAGCTTCTCCTCAGGAAGACCGTAAAGCAGCAGCACTAATCTCTAATTGACAGCGCTTTGAATTACTACCCTCACAAAGACAGACACACACACACAGAGAAGTGTGTGTCTCATTGGCTGATAAATCCCAACATCTTGATCGAGTTCATAACATGGCTTCTCTTGATGTACAGGGACACCCACTCACACACATGCGCAACCTCTGTGACAAAGCAGAAACAGTTTTCGGATTCAGGACCAGGTGTTGATCGGAGTTTCGCAGGGATTGTTTTGGCTCATTTGAGCAGCCATCATTGTTGTAGCCTCATACAGAGTTTTTCCGTCGTGCCATGTTGTTCAGCATGTCAGAACTTCCTCAGGAAAAGGAGCTGCGAGACCACATTCACTGTTTTTTTTTATCAAGACCAGATGCTTAAATGAGATCTCTACAAGTTACAACCTGCAGGATGTAAACAGAACATTTTATTGGAAGCCGATTTAATTGTTTTTAATATTTATTGTTCATTTACAAGAATACAGAACCTCATACAATGGGCAAACAAGTATAGAGAGGAACTTTGTCAGACACATGATGTACTAAGTACCTCAGTGTTTCATCCATTGGCAGAGTTCAGGTATAATTATAATGTCCTCTCTCTGAAGGAATGTTTATTTGTAGAGCTGGCACATTACCACATCACTTTTATGAAAATTATATTTGTAAAAGACTGAATTTCCAAAGTTAACATCTGGGAGGGTGAGAAAACCAAACATAAGCATTAAGACAAGTCTTTTACAAAAGCCTCATATGAGAGGTACAGTGTCTGCGGGTCTGTTGGTAAAAAGGGGAATCTTTGCCTAAAATAACCTCAGAGATACTTTTTCAAGCGAAGCAGACAGAACAAGGCCTTAGCATGAGGATACGGTTGTCCCTCTTAGTCTTTCTTAAAGCTCTCCAGACATGCTTGCACAGTGAAAATCCAGAGACTGAGTCTTCTCATTAAACCTCTGCAGGAAGGCTATTAGTATCAGAGATCATGAGAATGTCTCCATGCCTTCTGCTCTGAAATACAGCTCTCAGTGGATAAGGACAGTGACCCAGAAAGACTTAGTCCTGTTGCTCCTGCTGCTGTCTTTATACAGTGCAAATCAAGCATCAAGCCACTCCACTAAGCCAAGAACCCCACTGGAAAGGGAATGCAGGCCCAAATCAGCAGACCATCAGAGCGATGTCTTTTTTTTCTCTTACCTGACTTCTTGTTTGTTTTCTCTTTGGCAGATATCAATGAGTGTGAGATCGGAGCGCATAATTGTGACAGACATGCCACGTGCACCAACACTGCTGGCAGCTTCAAATGCAACTGTGCTCCAGGGTGGATTGGCAACGGTCTGAAATGCACAGGTAATACTTAACCTTCTATGCAAAATCACTAATGGAGTCCAGTGTGGCAGTTCATCAGTCACAACCAGACAAAGAGAAAACTTGAAAGGTAGAATAAGATACAGCAAATACAATGAGGATTTTCGAGAACCAAAGACATACTGGAGAAGCTGAAAAGTGTCGACCAAAGCATTTTTGTCCTCAAAGTTTGGACGAGGGAGTAATTGCTTTTGGACTTTGTTATGTTTCAGACCTGGATGAGTGCTCCAATGGGACACACATGTGCAGCAACAACGCAGACTGTCTCAACACTATGGGCTCATATCGCTGTGCATGCAAGGAAGGATTCTCTGGGGATGGATTCTTCTGTTCAGGTCGGTCTTACAAATCAACATCTGAAGTACATTTCTACTCTTGAAAGATGCATGTATACGGTTTGTGTTTATGGACTGTGTTTGTGATAACAATTCATTACAGACAGCGATGAGTGTGCAGATAACCCCAACCTGTGTGAGAGCGGTCATTGTCTGAACCTGCCTGGAGGTTACCGCTGTGAATGTGACATGGGCTTTATCCCCACTGCTGATGGCAAAGCCTGTGAAGGTAAGACATTATGACTGATCATCCTCGCTCTACACCTCTGAAGTGCTGCCCGTATCCAAAGTCATGTTGACAGATCCAAATGGGTCTGGTGTTAGCCCGGTGAATGTTTGTTTTCCTGTTTGGAAAAAAACAGACGATCCAAACACATGCTGTCTTCAAGTGGAACTTGTGAGATAGTTTTTTTGGACAGGGAATGTACACAGGATGCTGAGCATCTAAGTGGTTTTAACTGTGAGAAAATTTCTAAGGGAATAACAAAAATATGGATTTTGCTGTGTTTTCTTTTCAGATTTGGCTGAGGGTTTGGTTTATGCGTCTGTTTAGAAGTGGTTGAGGGGGATTTCAACATTATATTATGAGAGAATTAGAACAGAAAAAGAATAAACAAGCAAAAAATGTTAAAAACCAACATTACATTTTTGAAAAATCTGTTCTTGCTGACCAAGACTGCTGACTAAATGATTGGTGGTTACCAACCGTATGTGGGCACACATTTATACTGTCACATCTATCTGCAAAGAGTCCTTTCTCAGCTTTTTCATTTTTCAAAAAATCTAGGGTTGCAGGGCTAATATAGACAGCAGCAAGACAGCAGTGGGCTATCAATAGTAGCAAGGTCACTTGCTGAATGCATAAAAACTCTCAGACACAAGGTTGATAGGGAATATACTTCGATTGTCCTCTTGACTTATTTTATAGTTGTCTGGGAGAATCCACCCTGAGACAAGAGTGCTTTTTCAGGAGCATATAGAGAGGCAATTAGGGATTGTCCTGTTAATTTTATATTTGTACTGTATAAAGACCTAAATAACTGAGGACAAATCTTGAGTAAAATCCCGGATTAGCTCCTGCAGAGTCGACATATACATACATTTGGTATTGGTAGCAGACAAGCGTGATTCATGCTCCCAGAGATAAGGCATTGCTTGATTCAACTGAATGAGCAGACTGACCTCATTTTACTGATGTGTCAAACACCTGAAATAACCTGTCCAGTCCTCCCTGCATCAGCTCAGGCAGGACTGGACAGTAATGACTTGTGCAGAGTGTAATGATGTGGAAGAGCACAATTTCATAACCTTGGCTACAGCTCTGATAGTGTATGTGTGCGTCTGTCTGGATATGTCTGGGCATTTTTTTGCCCCAGAACTGTCATTCTGTAGCAGAGGTGAGCGGCCTTCACTTCCTATTGCAGGCTGCCAATTTTCCACCATGATCCCATGATCCACTAATCCCTCACAGCTGGGCTTCTTTCTCTTTCTCCCCTTCTCTCATCCCCCATCTTTATCATTCTCTTTCTTTCTCTGTTTTTTTTCACAGACATAGATGAATGTACCTTTGCTGACATCTGTGTCAATGGACGCTGTCAGAACATCCCAGGGCTTTTCAGGTGTGAATGTAACCTTGGTTATGAACTTGACCGGAGTGGAGGCAACTGCACGGGTAAGACTTGTCAAAGCAATTTTTAAGTTGTTCTCTTAAATAAATATCTTATTACACCTGATGAGCTGAGGAAATACAAAATATTGCAAAACTAATGTGTCAACAGCAGTGAGGGAATCATAGGTTTGTCCTTATCCCAGGGTGAAAGTCTTCCATTTTGCATTTCTGTATGCAGATAATAAGATAAAGTGGACACTTCTCATGTACTTCTGCTTCAACTAGTGCATTAAAAGGAATGTCTGTCCTTCACAGATATCAATGAATGTGCAGACCCCACTATCTGTATCAATGGAATGTGTGTAAACATCCCTGGAAGCTACCACTGCAACTGTCCAGCAGACTTTGAACTGAATCCCACACGGGTGGGCTGCGTAGGTGAGACTAAACAGGTTTTCAACACACAGTATTGGTGTTTGCAATCATAGAAGGAATCTTGAAGCAAGTACACCTGATGACCTGCGTGTAAATGTGTGCATACAGACACTCGTTCTGGAAGCTGCTTCCTGGATGTCCGTTCCCGTGGCGATGCGTCGGAGAGCTTGGACTGCTCCAATGAGATTGGAGTGGGTGTTTCTAAAGCGTCTTGCTGCTGTTCCCAGGGTCAGGGCTGGGGGAATCCATGTGAATCGTGCCCTTCTGTCAACTCAAGTAAGACATTATGTTGAAATTAAGACTTGGTGTGGATGAGTGCGTGAGTGTTTTATTGTGTTTTACTTCCTGGGTGGGGTACAGGATTACATAAAACACACAGAGAGGTGTTACATGCTGACAAAGTCAACAAATATGATACTTTTCATTTTGTGTTTACTGGGTATTGATGTTTTCATCACCTTAATCTAATCCTTTTATCCATTAAAGTCTAACTAGTTTAATCTTTCAGGAGTTTGATCAACACAGTTGTTTGTACCATGGGGCAAGATGAATTCCCCTGTCATATAATCAATAATTGATGCCCTTCAAAATGATTAAAAAATTTTTTTCTGTTTCAGCTAGCATTTATCTGACCCTTAAACAGACATACAAGACCCCTGCATTGTAAATTCAGACTAGTAAGGTGTCACTTATCAGTGTTCAGGCTGCAAGCTCTTGTCATGCAATGAGTGTGTTTTTGCAGTTTTTGCTGTTGTTGTTGTTGTTTCTGGTAAAGAAGAGACAGCTTTGTGCAACTTACTTGAAATTGCCAACAGATGGTTCAAAACATTACAGGGAATGACTCACCCTCTTCAGCTCAGGAAAATGCTTCCTCCTATGACAAAAACAGAAACCTTTCTCTTTTCACTTATTAGTAATTCTGAGTCGCTTCAGTCATGTCCGGTCCATGGGCTCCATGGATCAGTCTGAGATCTGAGGCGGTTGGTTAAAAAACAAACCAAAACAGAGAGCGACAGGAAACGAGCTGATGATGACAAAACTTGCAGCCACAACCAAGAATGTGACTTGCCTCAAACGCTTTCCATTACTGTGAAAACGTGCAAAAAGAAAAAAAAAAACCAATCCTCTTTGATTTTGTGTGTTACGTCATTGCCTCCTGTTAATGTGATGCATGCTCTATTACAGCTGAGTACAAGACCTTGTGTCCTGGAGGAGAAGGCTTCAGACCAAATCCCATCACAGTCATCCTGGAAGGTTAGACGGCAACATGCCTTTATGTTTTTGTGTGTGGCCGCTCCTGCTTAGCTTCTAAAGTTCTCACACAGACCAAACACACCCACCCAAGATGACTCTGAGGATTTCCTTTCTCTCTTTGGCAGACATCAACGAATGCCAGGAGCTGCCAGGCTTGTGCCAGGGAGGCCAATGCATCAACACTTTTGGCAGCTTCCAGTGTGAATGTCCAAGAGGCTACGCCCTCAACACGGAAACCAGAGTCTGTGAAGGTATTTTATACACACACGTGCATTTCTGCGCAGCTTCGCAGACACATGAGCGCACAGGTGACCTATCCCTCTGTAGCTCTAGCCCTGGGACGTTTCAGTGGGGAGGAAATTGAGTCCAGCCGTTGATGCCTTTGTTCGACCAGGACACATGGAGAGGGAGGAAAAAGCACGGGGAGCAAAAAAGACAGAAGAAATATGGAACTCTTTTGTCCCCTAGACAACACTGCAGCTCATTCCAGCTCAATATGTCTCTGCTCTATTTTTTATCTGTTGCTAACCCAACAAAGCTCAGTCAGGAGGATGAGACAGCTGAGCTCCTAACTGTGTCCAGAGGAGCGAGTCTCTGATGTGGTCAGCCCTTTCCTCTGAGTACACTGTGTCCCCTGTAGAAAGGCCAGAGATGATGAAGAGAAGGAGTGAGGGAGGGAAATTTAGGAATGAAAGATGGGTAGAAAAAAAGATACAAGAGAAGGGTGTACAGAAAAACAAGAGGCAGGAACACAGAGGAGGGTAGAGGTTAAGAATTATACAATGACGTAGTTAGCAGAACTTTAATTAATAAGTGTTTGTTGGCTCTGGGAACAAAAGCTAGCGTCTGCTTTTCAGAGTGCAGGAAACATAACTCAAATACTTGGAGTAAATCAGCAGTTCAGCTGCTTGCAAAACTGGAAGCAACAAGCTCTTCATTTGCTGTTTGGTCGTCATGCTAGCAGAATAATTTTTTTTGTGAGGGAGATATAGAGATAAAAGCAAAAAATTACAGGTGTTATGAGCCTTTGTCTGCTGTGATGAAGGAGTTTTCATCTTGGATTGTTGAATGTTTTAATAAGAGGGTGATAAAGAACAAGAAAAATGCTTAGATTTAATCTAAACTTGAATGATTTACTGCATTAGAATTCAAGGATGTTTTTAAGTACCTTGACCACAGATCACAGTATATATTTCATCCAGGTAGTCCTTCAGTATAATGAACAGTAAACAATGTAAATGCTGCTTTTTTCCCCTTCAAAGCAGATGACTTATCTCTGTCCCCTTTCTACATAGATGTCAATGAGTGTGAACGACCAGGCATCTGTGGTCCAGGCCAGTGTTACAACACCATCGGGAACTACACCTGTATCTGCCCTGTGGACTACATGCAGGTCAACGGCGGGAACAACTGCATGGGTACGTCTGCCTGCTTACCCTGAAACATCAGCAAAAGAGCAGTAAAATTCATTTCAGTTACGATTTAATACATCCGTCTGTGTTCATGAAACCCACACAGACATGAGAAAGAGCTACTGCTACAGGAACTTCTACTCAGACAATCGGACATGTGATGGAGAGCTGACCTTCAACATGACCAAAAAGATGTGCTGCTGCTCCTACAACATTGGGCGTGCATGGAATAAACCCTGTGAACAATGTCCTGTGCCAAGCACCGGTGAGATCACACACATTCACACACACACTCTCTGATAGACAGGTGTAAAAAAATAGAAATACTGAAAAAAAGAGCTTTTACCTTCATGTCTTCTCAGATGATTTTGCAGTCCTTTGTGGCAGCGAGAGACCAGGATATTACATTGACATCACCACAGGACGCGTCATTGGTAGGATTTTTCCATTAAAAGATAGATGAGGTGAACATGAAAGTGTACTCTGCTCTTAAACTGTTTTCTCTTCTTGTGTTAGACATTGATGAGTGCAGGGAGATCCCAGGTGTGTGTGAGAACGGAGTGTGCATCAACATGATTGGCAGCTTTCGGTGCGAATGCCCTATTGGCTTCATCTACAATGACAAACTGCTGATATGCGAAGGTAAGGCCAGCGCTTCATAAACTTTTGCTGGATAACTCAAAATCACATGAATTCCTTTGTCAAATTTCTGAGGTTTCTTGTTTGAGTCTTATAACACCTCTGCTGTATTTAGATATCGATGAGTGTCAGAATGGACCTGTGTGCCAGCAGAATGCAGCCTGTCTGAACATGCCTGGAAGCTACCGCTGCGAGTGTAAACCTGGATATCGCTTCACCCCGACTGGACAGTGTCAGGGTAAGGCTCTGTTTAACCAAGTCATAAAAGTGTCAGCAGCTCTCAGATTAGAGAGTGCAAGATCAACTCAACTTGCCGTAGTTAAGTCAACTCCTAATGACCTTAGAGAAGATTATACAGAATAAGTGGATGCATTGAGCAGGATTATAGAAAAGATTAGAAGAGGCTGTCAAAAAGCAGACTTCTCCGTACTTCCTGTGGCCTTCTGCTTTCCTGTCTCCAAAAATAAAACACCAGAGGCAGCATAATGAGAGTCAGGCTACAGATAAATTTTTCATGGTGGGCTTATTATGAGGGAAAAGCTGTTGCTTCCTGCTCTTCATGAATCCCCTAGAACACAAAAACATGTTCGGACTCTTTTATTAAAAGTTTAATAATAAGGATGTTCACTTCAGCCCCATGCAATATTAATTTGTCGTTACGTAACAGCGTGGACAGCAGCTTTTCTTTTCTACAAAGTAACACATGCTCATCCTAGTGACTGTTTGCATAAGGAACAAATCTTTTTAAAGTCATATAATAGACACCTGTCTGAGGAATAAACACGTTAAAAAAATCTTTTGAGATGAACAATCGAGTGAAATTTCACAAGTGTTTTTGTGTCATGTGTTTAAACTTGCCCAAAGACAGAAGACTGCCTAAAGATTAGGTGTTTGTTTGTTCTTCACTATTTCAGTGACAAATTGGTGATTAAGGAAAGGAGAGAAGTGCTAATGCTGACTGGCTTAAAATGATATATAATCATGCAAGAGTCATGTGAGAGATTGATGGGAGACACCAAGTGATGGACTGTCAAACAGGGTCATCAGAGGGTTTCTCTGGAGAATAGAAGAAAGTATTTTGGTATGAATATATATTAAGATGGGAATAGAGTTGTACACCAAGATAAATAAGTTAAGGTTTTAACTCTACATTAGCTTTGATAATTCTAAATCAGTGTAGGAAATACAGGTTTGTATCAAAGTAACTCATCACAGAATTTTGTGACTTGGTAAAATGGCTTTTCTTGTTTTTGCTGTCATTTGACTGATCAGTGCTTTGTGGTTTGACCCTGAATTTTATCCAGTGTAACCATAATTAACTCTCACTTGTAGATCGTAATGAATGCATTGAGAACCCTGGTGCATGCAACCCTGGTCAGTGCATTGACACACTGGGAAGCTACCGCTGCATCTGTCCCAACGGCTTCAAAACAACAAGAGACCAGTCAATGTGTGTCGGTAAGTTTTTTTTTTTTCCTAACTATTTAGGTTAAATTGATCCAGAAGTGACACTTTATTAGGGAGGCAATGTGGTTACTCTCTGTCTGAAACTGGGATGGTGTTTTCTGCTTTCAGATGTGGATGAGTGTGAGAGACAACCCTGTGGGAACGGGACCTGCAAGAACACCGTGGGGTCCTACAACTGTCTCTGCTACCCTGGCTTTACCAACTCACACAACAGCGACTGCATAGGTGGGCACATATGTGGATACAAGAGAAGCAAAGGAAGCTTCACAGTTGTAGTCCTCTTTGATTACTCATGGTTTGTTTTGCATTTCTCAGATGTTGATGAGTGTTCGACGCAGAGAGGCTTGTGTCGAAATGGCCAGTGCATTAACACCGTGGGCGCCTTCCTCTGTGTATGCCATGATGGCTATGAGCTCAACTTAGATGGCAGGATTTGTACAGGTAAGAGTAAATCGACTTCCCAGGTCTTATTTTTTTGTTAGTCTAAATGTAATCACTTGTTTAATTGTGTGTCTCTTGTTTGCTTCTCTGTTTCTCAGACATAAATGAATGTGCGGTGAATCCTGGTACATGTGGTGCAGGAACTTGCCTGAATCTGGATGGCTCTTACAGGTGTATCTGCCCACCTGGCTACTATCTCCATGAGGAAACTTGTGAAGGTATAGCAGCCAAAAGGCTATTTCTTTCTGCATTGTGCATAATGAGCGTAAGCCAAAAGAAACAAACATATTTATGCACAAAATACAGCTTAATCTACCAATGCCTAGATGAAAATGAGAATGAATTACTTCCACACCTCCGCTGTCTAGCTGCTACAAAACCCCCTACTCTCCCTTTCACACGTGGGAGTGGGCCCAAGCCAGATCACTTGAATTGTTTATACAAAGGGGCTGATGAAGAGATATTCGGCAGACTTCAACACATTCCTGCTTTGCGCTCTGTTCTTGGAAGCAGGGAGGAACAGTATTGGATTCTCAGCATCAATTACAGCAGCAGCTGGTCACTGTGATGACTGAAAACGTGACATAGAAGCTCTTCCAGATGAAACGCCCTTTACCGAACTGTGTATTAGTTGGACTGGATTCTATATTATCTCAATAGGATAGACCATGACGTACCGGCGTGATTTCATCCCTGCAGTTCTGACAGTAGTTCAAGACAAAACTTATAGTCAATGAACTGTGCAGGGTGGAACTCTGATGGTACAAATGGGAAACAGATTTTCAAATTTGATGAGGTGGCTGACATTATTTCTCTTTGTGTGTCAGATATTGATGAGTGCTCCCAGTCTCCCGAGATCTGCACATTTGGAACCTGCTCCAACACTGAGGGAAGCTTCACTTGCTTGTGTCCCGAAGGCTTCCAGATCTCAACCTCTGGACGCAGATGTTTAGGTAATTCTGTGCGTGGGTGTGTTTTGAGAGAGAGAGAGTGGGGGAAAGTGGCCATGAAAGTATCTTTTGCATGAGGTTTGATGTGCAAAGTGTAAATACCAGTGTATCTGTATAGTCTATCTCTGAGTGCTGGTAGAGACTAAGCAGCAGGCAATAGTGTTAGACTTTTCCTGCCTTCTCATGATAGCACACTGTGTTCCAGCTGTTTCTGCTGCTGCCGCTGCCTCAACAAGGCCAGGGGTGGCTCTGAGCAGATCACTTTTCCATTTCCTCACTGCTGTGTGTTCGTGTTTGTGTGTCTGTGTGTGTGTGTGTGTGTGTGTGTGTGTGTGTTTATGTACACGTGTGTTTTTGGGCTGGGTGGGGGAGCGCTGAGTCCTCTGTTAGGGAGTTCCCCCTCCAAACACTGAAGTGATGACATCATCAGTTCAGAGAGGAGGTTTACAGTTTGCATTTCACTTCTCTCTCCAGTGTCTGAGAGTTGGGGGATAAACACGTGAAGCCTTCCCTGGGTGGAGGGCTCAGCAACATGGGCGGTAAAAGAGAAAGAATTTGACAAGGACAAACCCTGTCCCACTTAGAAAATCATTTGTGGGTCATTGCGCATTAATGATATCACCATTTCTTTCTGTTTATCGATTTGTAGGTTGTCTTTATGTCATCCCTGACCCCAAAACCTGTGATTACCCTTTGTCATAAAAGAAATAGTATGATTTGTGATTTAAGGCACACTGAAACTGTAAATACCGTTAGAAAAAGTTTGTGCACAGTTTTTTAAATAGTCCCTCACACAACAAAGTTTAACAAACTTGGAGTATTGATGCAACATTATGTAACACTTGTTAAAGTGGTGATAATGGTGAGTAAAAAATATGGACTTGTAATCTTAGCATTAGCCTCTATATGCTTTTGGTAACACTTAACCATAACTTATAAATGGTAAATAGACCATTTATAAATGGTAAGCAGATAGTTTATTAATGTTTAATCATCATTTATAAATAGCATTTAGACCATTAATAAATTGTAAATTTTACAATTTTGAAAACCTAACCCTAACCCTAACTTTAGAATAACATTCAAAGTAATGTTTATAGATGGTTTAAAAACCAAATATTAACCATTTACAAAGCACCACTGACACCCATTTTGCTCTAGATGTTTTACAATCAATATTTAGACCCTTTATAAACCTTTAATAAATAGTCCATTAATAATTAATGAAAATTATTAATCATAATTTCATTGCTTGGTAATGGTTAAGTAACTATTAACTTACATTAATACATTATCTATTTGCCATTTATAGTTGGTCTAAATGCTGTTTTTAAATAATGCTTAAACAATAATAAAATATCTATTTACTATTTATAAATTATGGTTATTGTAAAGTGTTACCATGCTTTTACACCAAGAAAGTTATTCTGCAGCTGTGTAAGCCCTTCCTCTATTGAGTTACTGATTTTAAATTTCAGTTGCATTGGTAAACATAATAATTTGTTAATTATTTTGTAAATGGTTCTTAGCCCTAATACAACACAACTTTTTCTACCTACCAGCAATGATTAATTTGCAGCATTTTTTTTTCACTAAAATAAATTGAATTGAATGAATGCTCCTAAAGCTAAAGGATGAAAATAACTCAAGTTAAGGTGAAATTTAACACAGCTACACACATAAATCATGCACTCACACCTCTTGGATCGAGTCCAAAGTATGATAAGTGTCTACACTCTGACTTTTGGGGGGAAAAAGACCTGTTAACATTGTGTCATGATAGCAATCTTTAATTTGTGGAACATATAAAAGAAGAATGACAGGTTAATTATGTGCTGAGTAAATAGACAGGCTGTTGCTCGGTCATTACCCATGGTTCTGGGTCGAGGATTAGTTCATACCTGTGTTTTCTGGGTTTCAGCCAGATTATCAAAAAGCTTCGTTTTAACATAACCATGTTGCCCTGTAAAGATCATTAAAGGAAACACTAAAGGTGATATTCCTCAATGAGGCTGAAGAAGGATGAACAAGCCTGTTAGATGGTGAATTTGAAGGACAATGATTCCTCACTTGAAACCATTGGTAAAATTGGTCAATATTGGACCTCTATTAGATATTAAATTGTCGTCCACATTTGTACTTCATTTGGACGTGTGCAGAATGAAAAAAAACTTATTCTGCTCCTCCAGATGACCTGATTTCGATGGCCAATTTTGACCGCAATTGCATGTCATGTCAACATCCGATTTGGACGTCCATAAGAGGTCAGAAATGGACGTCGAAATGACTTCCGAAAAAGATGTCAAAAAAACGTTCATTCTGCACCTTCAGGAAACGTGATTTAGACGTCGAAAATTTTGTTATATTGACGTCATTTCGACGTTGCATTGCGCAGTGGGTTGTCTTGGTTTGTATCACAGCTGGTTTGGGTTTCTTAAAGCTGTGGTTTGGCTGCAGGTTAGGTTCCAGGTTAGCTGCAGTTCAGCTAAACCTGTGCTGTTTTTTCAAAACGCAACCAGGTCCAGTTTAACATTTCCACTGTTGGAAATCACTGCAACTTAGCTTGACAGCTAGGGGACAGCACTCTTAAAAAAAATTACAAAAAGCCAAAAACAAAAAAACAAAACAAAAACGAAAACAAATGGGGACAGACATGGGGATGACATGAAACATCACTCCCTGGCTTGAATTATCATTAGGATGTTGCAAAAACAGTATGAGGTATGTGTCTCAACCACGAGACCACTAGGACTTCCCGATTAATGAAATGTTTCAAATTATAATGCTGTGGAGGTTTTGGAAATTTCCATAATTATCACCATTAAACCATAAATATCCACCACCACATTCAGATTTGTGTCACCACTCTCAGGCTATTCGTTATCACAGTGTTGATTTATTTAAGCCTCTCCTTCCTGTTTAGATTTTGTTGTCAGTTATCTTATTTCATTTAGCACGGTATTCCATCTGTGGTTTGAAAAAAGTGCAAGCCTTGATATTTCAGTGGGGCATATAGAACACTTGAACATTTGTATCATATATTCAGGGTCATAAACTACAAAAGGAGAATGACACATACACGTGCAGATCCACATGTGCATGCACTCACACACACTTGCTCAGCAGCTGTGCACAAGGCGCCATAAATCTCTTTGCGGAAAGGCTGACAAATCAGTTTCATGGAAGAAAGTAACATGACACTCTTTGACATTCTCCTCAAAGCACCAGGTGTTCATGTATGTGATCCTTGCCTCTGAGCCAGGTGTGTGTGTGTGTGCATGTGTGTGTGATCTATGGTGGTCAAAAAGATTATTTGTGTTGAGTTCAGTGAAGGCCAAAGCTAGCAGGAGAGCACGGCCATATGCTTCTCATTACATGTAAGTGCCTGCCTCGTTCAGGAGGAACAAGAGCCCTCAGAAAAAGAGAAAGAGGGAGAGGGAGGGAGAAGAGGATGGCAAACAACGATCACTGACCAGGGCTGATTAGACAACCTCTGTTCTGACCACAAATACCCAAAAAGATTTGAAAAACTGGGTCCAAAAGTTTATTTCAAGTATGCTCTTGTTATGGTCAGTTTACAGATGAGCATAACTCTGTACTCAGGGCTGTCATCTTCATATTTTGAGCAGGAGAACTCTGATAAACACAGCTTTGTTAAGAGTCCTTTTAGTCAGAGAAACATTAACAATTTCATCATTCAGACCTTTTGGAATATTGTTGGAATTTGTACTCTAGAAAACACTTGTAAGACTCTATGATGGAGATGATTTAATGCCACACTACTGGTTACCAAAGGAGCAAGTCTTCGTCAAGCTTTTGATTTGAAAGAAAGTTAAGTGGTGAGAGAAAAAACAACAAACATGTTGTGCAATACTTCTCCCCCCTTACTCCTCTGATTCCCTCTCATTGTTTCTTCCAGCCTGTCTCTCATTTATCACATTTTTCCTCCGTCTGTTGGTTAACCCTTAGATATCCGAGTGAACTACTGCTACACCAAGTTTGAAAATGGGCGCTGCCAAGCTCCGAAGCCTCAAAACACGTCCAAGGAAGTGTGCTGCTGCACTGGAATGCCTGGTCAAGGCTGGGGAGACCCTTGTGAAATCTGCCCCACCAAAGGACAGGGTGCGCCCTCTTCATATCTCATTGACACACACATTCACATGATAATAGTGTTGGAGCTGTATTCATGACTTTTTCAACCTTATGCTTTCAGAGGCGTACTCTCTTCTCTGTGTCAAGGAGGGATATCAACAGGGGACAGACGATAATCCAAAAGGTGTGTGTATTATGAACACTGAATCTTTTCTGTTCCGTTTGCCAATCACAAGTGTTGGGTGTTATTCACATGGTGTTGGTGTCTCTTTCACTACAGATGTTGATGAGTGTCTCAATGACCCTTGCACAAACGGCCAGTGTATTAATACAGATGGCTCTTTCCGCTGTGAATGTCCCATGGGATACCGTCTGGACCTGAGTGGAGTCACATGTGAAGGCAAGTTTAACCTCTGTTTTGTTTTACTTTGTCTTCTCATATTTTTTTCCCTTGGTCTAACCTCCCCACTGATTGATTTAACTGATATTTGTCATTATACAATTAAACCATCTGTACATGATAAAGTTTCTGAAACTTTTTCCACAGACACTAATGAGTGTGAGATTGGTAATCCCTGTGGCAACGGAACATGCACAAATGTCGTCGGCGGGTTTGAGTGCGCATGTGATGATGGCTTTGAGCCTGGACCAATGATGACCTGTGAAGGTATAAGAAGTTAGATCTGCACACTCAAGTCTATCATACATTCTCTGTGAACCTGTTCTATGACTATAAGTCGTTGTCCTCTGTTACCTCTTCAGATATCAACGAGTGTGCCTCGAATCCTCTGCTGTGCGCCTTCCGCTGTGTTAACGTAATGGGCTCGTACGAGTGCAAATGTCCCACTGGTTATGTGCTGCGTGAAGACAGGAGGATGTGTAAAGGTACCACAGATAGATGACTCATGCACACACTCAGCTGTATAAGCCATGGTCCATTTACTGGCAAGTGTTAGAAAATAAACCAATTACCTCATGGAGACATGGTCTCATCCATAAAGTTACATAACGCACTATCTCTGATCCTCTGTCTCTGATGAACTTAAAACACTCTCTGGAAACAGTAACTGGCAGAGTCACTGTTTACACCTACGCTCTCTGAGATAGCCCCAACACCATGGCAACGGTTGTATTTGGAGGGAAGTGCAGAAACAGGAGGAACTTGTAACTGTCTGTAGCCTCTCTGTTTATATTAGCGTTCCAAACACATCACGGACCCTCTTACTACATGTCTGTTAGCACTAAAGAGCTCAAAGATAGGATTGGGCAGTTACTTCAAACTGTGGAGTGCTGCTCAAGTGTCTGTGTTACATCACTGGTTGAGTTGCATTCACGTGGACTTCTCTTTACTTTTTTGTCCCCTTGCTAAGTTGTTATTGTGTTTGTTTGTTTTTCTAGATCAGGATGAGTGTGAGGATGGTATAGACGACTGTGCCAGCAGAGGCATGACCTGCAAAAATCTGATTGGTACATACATGTGCATCTGCTCGCCTGGATACACACGTGCGCCCGGCGGGGATGGTTGTATGGGTAAGATCATCCCATATAGATCTTAACTGTATGAATTAATAAACTGTCATTCTGTTTCATAGCCTCAATTCTCAGCCTTGGATGAAATCAACCTTCATGATAACTTTGTCTCGTTAGTTGATAACCTCTCTTTACATTCAGATCACAGCAAAATAGCTTTTTGACACTTCTTGATCCCCTAAATTAACTGAGCATAATCTCCTAACAGTCAAATTTATCAACCCATGTTAATGAATTCGTATGTGAAAACAGTGGCCTAAAAAATTTGGGCTGCTCGGTTTGACCTCTAGCTTCTTCACACCAAACCAAGCATGTTTAGCGGCATATTCACAAGAACTTTTTTTTCTAACACTGTCATTTACAATGTGTATATCCATCTCAGATCTGAATGAGTGTGCAGCCAAACCAGGCATCTGTAAGAACGGCCGTTGCGAGAACACAGTGGGGAGCTACCGCTGCAAATGTGACAACGGATTCATAGCCAACCCCACGCAGACTGAATGTATTGGTATGTAAATTGCTCTTCACTTAAATTCTGTTTTAATTCCATTTTTCTCAGCTGCATCTTCCTGTTAAGTGCCCGCCTTTAGGAAATGAAGTTCTAACTCAGAACAGAATATAATAATCTGCCTCTATATTTCATACATCCATCCCTGACGTTAGACATCTGAAAGGGATATAATGCTCTGACAGACTGTTCAGGATACCAACAAAAAAAGAAAAAAGAAATGATGTAAACTATAGAAATGTGTCTTTCCCTCTGACTTTTTTCCTTAACCTACTGAGTGTGTCAAAATCTTTTTAGCCCATAAAGTTTAATAGCACAGATGAATGAATTTTATATTTAAATGTACATGTTTTGTATCTTGGTTAACTCAAGAAAAGCAGTCTTCCGTGTTAGTCTTCACAGTCTCATTATAAAAACATGTCTGTTACTGTAAAGATAGAGGCAAGGAAATCCTTTTAGAGCCTTCCTCCCTAATCTAAATATATACTTTTGGATAGACGCAATGTCCCGAATGCGGTCTGTAAAACTCTGTCTGAAAAGGGTGAGAAAATCTCAGGGGAGACTCTGTAAGCTCTGAGGCTCTATGACTATCTCACTCCTTACAGACAGTAGTGATAGAGCAGTGAGGGTTATCTATATATGTCTGGTTCTCTTAGACCAGGTCCTGTCTGGGTGGTTTGGTCTGATTTCCTGTGGACCACCTCTCCTGTTGTCAGTTTGTCTGGCTCTCACGTTCCTTTTTCTCCCTTTTCCTTTCCTTCCAGATAACCGTTCAGGTTTCTGTTTCACTGAAGTTCTGACCACACTGTGTCAGATGAGCTCCAGTAATAGGGCCACGGTGACCAAGTCAGAGTGTTGCTGTGATGGAGGCAGAGGCTGGGGCTCTAACTGTGAACTCTGCCCACTGCCTGGGACCACCCAGTACAAGAAGATGTGTCCCCTGGGGCCTGGGTACACCACTGATGGCAGAGGTATCTGACTTGAGATTTAATCAAATATTTATGAAATTTGAGAACTGAAAATTACATTCAACTATTATTGTTGCTGATAATGTCAAAGACAGTGTCTCTAACATTGCCTTTGGTTGAAAAGAGTGAACGGGTTACATTCAACAAACAACAAGACCAACTGGTTTCTCTTTATTTCAGTAGCTTGCAGCAGAAAGATGGATTGATTTTGAAAACCTCCTCTGGTTTTCATCAAGCTGCAGCTTAAATTTGAAAGTTTGCCTGCAGAAAAACATTGCAATCATTAGCTTTGATATCAGCAGATCAAATCCTGAAGACAAATGTAAAAATGAAGTTTGATCTTTTGTATTAGAATATGCTTGTTTGTACAGACCATACCTGCCATTTTTTTAAAAACAGATGGTTCTCACACACAACTGCACTGGTACCCTAACAGACACCAAAGCTTTGAATTGTTTAAACAATTCATTGTTGGATCAACTCAGCAAGTCTTAACTTCTGTAAGTCTCCCAGTTAATATCCTGCTTCAAAACCCTGAAGATGAAATGTTGCTTGAAAAGCAGCACATCAATAGTTCTGCTTGGTTGATTTGTCAGCTGTAGTTTGTACACATGGAAACACTAACATGGTTCTTTAAATTAGCTGTGTTGGGTGTTAAATGAGCAGATGGTTGTCATCTGTTGTAATAACTGCAAAGCATTGATTTGTACTGACAAGGGGAAAAAAATCAATGCTTTGCATGTGGCTTGATACTTGACACAAGACTGATAAATAGCTAAATGTGAGCAGAACAATTTTTCCCTGAGGTTGGGCGGAATTAGGGCAAACAGCTGTTTTTCACTATTAAAATCCAGGTCTTGGCAGATAAATCTCTCGGAGGAATCCAGACTTAAGGCGCACACTCCTATTCCTAATCAGTTATTCAACTGGTAATTCACTTGTGATGAGTTTTTCTGGAGCTTACTTCATTTTTTTCTCCCCAGATATTGATGAGTGTCGTGTGATGGGAAACTTGTGCAAGAACGGTCAGTGTGTCAACTCCTTGGGTTCTTATACCTGCACCTGCAAACCTGGCTACACCAATGACATCAGCAGCACACAGTGTGTGGGTAAGGTTCATTTTCACCTTCGATTTACACTTAATGAACTCTTTTCCTACCATACCTACCTCCAGCTCTCATTCCTGCTGTCTAGTAAAGAGGTGAAACTACGTGGGTGGACAGCCCACATTCCCCTGAAAAATGCAGCTCAAGTCTGTCCGTCTCATCATCTCCCCATATGGAATTTCTGCTCAGGATAAACTTTCTGTCTCTGTCTCTCACTCTTTCTGTCTCACCCTCTACTAACTCACCGTCTCTTTTCTAGATGTGGATGAGTGCATACAGGCACCAAAGCCTTGTAACTTCATCTGCAAGAACACAGAGGGAGGCTATCTCTGTTCCTGCCCCCGTGGATACATCCTACAAGAAGACGGGAAGAGCTGCAGAGGTGACACACACGCATATCAGTTTCAAAACTTTAAGACAAAGCATTTGTCGCACTTAGATACAGTTGTGCTCAGATTTTTTGAGCTCCATTGCATGCTCTTGCGAATGAGAAGGACGCTTCTCCTTTGAGGACAAGCAGCAGGTACTTGGCCGTGGGACAAATTTCCCTCTGCAGACGATAAAGTTTAAGTAGAAGTTCTTGCTTGACTTGGTTTCCAGGTTAGAGCAGCTGTTGTGCTGAGTGGGCCGGGCCCTCTGCCAGTGCTCTGCTCACTGTCCCAAGACGCTCCATTTGGCCTGCTGTGTCCACATGCACGTGTTAGCTCTTGAACGTGTACCCTACATCCAGAGACTGTGAAACACTGCATCTGGCCCAGTTGCTGTTTATCTGGCTTGTTTGTGAGTCTAAACAAGCGTGCACATAGTGTTCAGATTTTGGGACTCCTTTTATCTTTATTTACGTTTAAGGTTTCCCCCTCCACAGTTCCCCTCATTGTTTCCGGTGTCTGGTTCATTTGTAGTTCATTTGTAGGTCAGTGACTGTAGAAGGACTGGAATTTGACTCACAGAAAAGATCAGCCCCCAAACAGAGGTTCAGACAGTGATCCGACACAGACCCACCCCAGAATTTTGAAAGCACAATAACTACCAAAGAGGTCAAGCCAGTATGCTAATGAACTTTTTCTTTCACAGACCTGGACGAGTGTTCGACCAAACAGCACAACTGTCAGTTCTTATGTGTCAATACCATCGGTGGGTTCACCTGTAAATGTCCTCCTGGCTTTACCCAGCATCATACTGCCTGCATTGGTAAGTAAACACATGAACGTACATTTGTTAGGTATTCAAATACACTTGGATTTGTAAAACTCTTCACACAGCTGTCTGACATTCCCAAAAAGCAACCAGCTTCAAACTTGACTTCTCTCCAGTGTTATATCCTATCAAATTCACACATGCTCTCTAAGGTTGTATTTTCTCATGGTATTTCCCAGCCCAGGATATTCTCAAGGACTATCTTGTCAAACCTTTACTCACTCTTGTTTAGACGTAATGGACTCCGGCTGATATCACACTGATCTTATTAGGCTGGACTGGTCAGGAGTCATGGCAGCTTAGCATCGCTTTGTTATGGAACGTTGCAGTAGAGCGCCATGACTACCGAAAACATTATTTTCCAGACTATAAAGCAGCTTCTATGACCTCACATCAAATTAGGGACAGGGAACCCTTTTTTAAGTTTTAACGAAAGGAATATTCCCAGACAAATGGCATGGAGTAGGTGTGGATGTGTTTTTAATGTTGGACTAGGCTCCATGGTGGTGACATGGAGCACTTGTTGAACCCATGCTTCCAAATGTAACACCCATACTCCTTCACGGCACGTGCCTGTTGGCCAAAACATCATTATTGAATAAGCACTTTCTCAGAAGCGTTTTAGACACAGTTTGGAGGTTCTTTTCAGAAAACCCCAAATCTCCTCCTTTGTGCTGCTGCCATAAGAAAGAGTGTCCTTATCCAGTTTAATAACAATAATCCTTCATTTAAAGCAAGCACATGATGGTGCTTATAAAGAGAAGGCTTTCCTGCTATGCTAAGTCCTGTGTTAAGCAAAAATTTTAAATGAAAAAGTTTTAGGTACACAGCAATAGAAACTTTTAAAATCTGCTCATTGATTAAAACAGGCATCTCCACTTTCATCTCAATTGCATGATACCATCAGGCACATGATTGTATTCTGTTTTTTATAGATTTTTGTCACATATCTGTGTTGGAAATTAATTTGACTGCAGAATCACATCACTTCCTTGTTCCCAGTAAGAGTAAAGCTTATGTTCTTATAGTTTTTACGCCTTTAGTAATAAGTCCTGAAAAACAATACACAGAAGTAGAGTAAAAACGTTGAACCCTTGTAAACAGCAGTGCTCCTAATGTCAAGGAAAGTCAGAAGATAAAAACAAACAATACAGAATAGAATGAAAAATACAGTACGTACAACAGGTGTAATGTAAGAGGCCTTCTCTGGGAAAAGCTCACAAGTGGAAATCCAGTTAAAATGACTTTATCAAATCACTAATGCTTCATGTTTTAGTATGAGATTAAATCAATGACCAAGAGAATTCTGAGTTTGTGTCAGCTGAGGTAACTTAAGCCAACAGTCCATCATGTCCTGACCTTTTTTGACACTCCAATCTTAGCTGTCCCCAAATTCATGGGTGACTCATCAAATCCAAATTGGGGCTATAATCAGCCTTTGTATAATGTTTCCTGTGTAACCCTTGTCTGAACCTCCTCTCCTCTCAATGTAGACAACAATGAATGCGCATCAGACCCCAATCTGTGCGGCTCCAACGGTGTCTGCCAGAACACTCCGGGAAGCTTCAACTGCGATTGCCAGCGAGGGTTCTCATTAGATCCGAACGCACAAACCTGTGAAGGTCTGCAAACAATTCATCCAAAACTCAAGTCTCAACTCATTCAGCGCAGAAAATAGTTTATTTATGTGAATGTTTGTTCTTGACAGATATGGATGAGTGTGATGGTAACCACAGGTGTCAGCATGGCTGTCAGAACCTCGTGGGTGGATACAGGTGCAGCTGTCCACAAGGCTACCTGCAGCACTATCAGTGGAACCAGTGCGTGGGTGAGTAATACCACTGCTCTTTTTATCAGCAAATATCAAGATTCTTTCCTTTACAGGCATCCTGGTTCTTGGTTGACAAAGTATGTACCATGCAGCCTCTATGTTCTGGGTTAGGGCTTGGCCTGGAGCCTTTTTTTAAACAAGTTATCCATCCTTCATCTTTTTCCTGCCACTCTTTGAATATAAATACATCCAAAGTGTTTTCCTTTCCCTTAACCCTGCTCTTATTGTGGTAAGGTCATGGGAAAAGGAAATGATATGTCAAGAATAAATGCCCGACATCCTCCTTTAAAACCTGACAAACATCTGCTTTGTTTACAATACTATGTATGCACACTCAATTAATAAAAAGACATGAAAAAACAGGAACTGTAAGGGGAACAAAAGAGACCTAAGGAGGCTAATGGAAATATCTCACTTGAACAGAGTAGAAGGATAATGAAGGAGAGGTAATATGGAATAAAAACTAGTTCAGCCAGAGATAAAATACAGATTGTATGGTATTATGCCCCTCCATGGATACTTCAAAATAACAAGCTTCTGTTTGTTAAACCTCTGTTTGGAGCTTGACCGTTACCCGGCACTTACACTCATGGCAGACTTTCCCAGTATTGTTTGTGCCCTTTAACTGGAATGACCTCTTTGTTTGTATTCTTCCCGTCAACTTCCTGTCACCCAGATGAGAACGAGTGCCTGAACAGCCAGATCTGCGGTGGGGCGTCATGTCACAACACTCTGGGGAGCTTCCGCTGCCTCTGCCCCACAGGCTTCAACTATGAGCAGACGAACGGCGGCTGCTCGGACATCAACGAGTGCTCCACCACCCAGAACCCCTGCAAGTTTGGCTGCTCCAACACGGATGGTGGTTACCTCTGCGGATGTCCACCCGGTTACTTCCGTGCAGGACAGGGGTACGTCAGTAAATGCTGTGGTGTGAAAACTTGTTGAGAAGATGTTTCTGGTCGACTGACGGCTCGGTCAATGTTTTTAGGCACTGTGTCACAGGTCTTGGCTTTACCAGCGGGGGCACCGGCACTGAACAAGGAGGTGAAGACGAGGAGAACTCTCTGTCTCCTGAGGCCTGCTATGAGTGTAAGATAAACGGGTATCCCAAGAAGGGACGCAAACGCCGCAGTGCAGGTTCAACACAGGAGGAAGATCCTCAGGAAGACAAGCAGGTACAGAAAGAAGGGTCGGCCAACTGATGTATGTGTGTGGTCCAAGCAGGGGTTTTACTGGCTTATTTCAGTCATTTTTGACCCAGTATGCAAATTGGGTGAAAAAGTGAAAAACAAGAAGGCAACCACATTAATCTTCTGTGTTGTGTTGCAGTTTTAAGAAAGGCCTCACAAGATGATGTGCTTTTGGTTCTGTGTCTTACATTCACTTCATTTATAAGCACTATGTTTGTATTCTGCAGCTGACTGAACAGGAGACGATCAGTTTGGCCAGTGTGGACGTTGAGGACATCCTGCAGTTCCACCTAAACATCAGTGACCTTAGCACCCGTGACCACATTCTGGAGTTCACCCCAGCGTTATCCACCCTCAGCGACCACGTGCGCTACAGCATCGACTATGGAAATGAAGACGGCTACTTTAAGATCAACCAGAGAGAGGGTGTCAGCTATCTGCATCTGAACAAGAAGAAGGCCCTCCCACCCGGGGCGTACTCCTTGCAGATCAGCAGCATGCCGCTCTTTAGGAAGAAGGAGCTGGCTGAGATGGAGGACCGGCACGATAAAGACTACCTCACAGGACAGCTGGGAGACATACTGAAGATGAGGGTGCAGATTATCCTCCATTAACCATCATGAGACTGAGACAGGCAGATGTTGCTGGGAGCTGCTGATCCAGCGTCAGGCTCACACTTCCCCAAAGGCCAAACATCTCTGACTCTGGATCAGTGGTTAGGAACAACTTCTCCATAACTGCTTGCTCCAACAAGGAGAAGAGCTCGCCACCAAAGAGACAAGAAGGGGGTGGGGGGGAGGGACTGCGTCATTTGATTGCCAAAGATGGTTCTACATGTCATTAATACAATTTCTGGGGAAAATGCCAGCTGAATGGTGTGGTATGAAAGATTTCAGTGAAATGAAGAGCATATTGTCTAGACACACAACACAAGCTTTGTGGGAAGCACTATTTATAGTGTGAATGCCTTTCAGTTGTGGGGTTTTATGTTGTATGATGATATGTGGAATCAGGTGCCACTTTGCGGAGCATGAGGACTGCAGGAAACTCCAAAACAAGAGTTTTTAAAGAACTCAGTTTAGGTGGAAGAAGAGGGTGAGTCCCAATAGTCTGAATAAATTCATTTTCCTCCCCTCCGGTGAATGACTGAACAACCCTTGATACATGAAAGTAAACCCATTTTCCTTTGCTTGATGTTAATTTATGGAGTGAAACTTTGAAAAGAAGGTTATGAGAACAGTTAGGAGAGGAAAGGAACCCACTATGGACTATTGAGATGTAGCCATGTCTGAGCTTGAATGACTTCTACTGCATATTTAAACTATGCTTTTCAATCTTTTCTACTGACTAGAATATTTCATATTTACTGGTGCTAGCAACACAACCACATAGACTTCTGAATGCACTGTACTACTATACAAAACTCTGTAGTCAACAAAAACAATCCCATCGGCCATTCTGAAGATTTCACGTCTTTGCAACAGTAACAGCTAGCTTCGTAGCCTGTCCGCTCTCCTCTATACTACATGTAAATTGTGTTTATACTGTAATAATCGATGCCACTTTTAATCTATGAAGCATTTGTAAACTAGAGGAAGCCCCTGGAATAGAGGGGTTTGTAATGGTGCTTATAATGACCAACTACTTCCTTTGTAAACTGTGTATACATACACACACCTGCACACACACACACACAAAACACACATTGATGATGCCAAACCTGGGCCTTCATGATTATGCACTGAGGTCTTCGTGGCCACACATTCTCTCACAAGTACAATCAGTGCTGCATTGCCACAGACCAGCCTGACACCAGTCTGTGTTCTCTGTTCACATCAGTGAGGGTTTAGTTGTACATTCACAATAAAAACATATTTTTGGTGTTGATGTAGTCACTCCTCTTTCCCCTCACTCAAATGTAAATATGAGCCATTTTCTTCCCCTTGTACATCTCTGTTATGTTAAAGCCAGTAAAATTGGGCCTTTAATATACTTTAAAAAAATGGCCGAAACAGTAATGGAACTGGGTTGAAAACTTGGGGTTTACTCATTAGACTCCAATGTTTCCTTGACCTGCACTGCCCCCTTGTGGCAATTCATTTTCCCCTGTGTGGCAGCTGAAGCAAGATATTTATCAAACTTAAAACATGTAGGTCATGGTCCCAGTAAAGACTCTACACCCAAGAGTACAAAACAAAGACCTTTATTAGAAACTTTTAGATTTATTTTCAACATATACAACTCAACACCTTGGATTTTTGGAGTATTTAGTTGAGCCCAGTCGATCCAAAACCTCCAGCCCCTCGCTCAGTCTCATCCAGTGTCTTAAACAAGAAAGATATGATTTTAAATCAACAAAAGTAAAGTCAAGACATGCAGTTAGATCATACATCTAATGCAAAAGCCGACAATGTTTGCGCAAGTTTTTTTTTTAAAACAGGTAACACTCTGTTGCTGGTTTATTGGTTACAGCTGCAACACCGAGCTAAGAGACCATCCTTCTGATATATAAAGAGGTAGCCAAAATTATTTAACAATTGTGTATAACAGAAATCAACTGAGCTACATCTTCAAAAAGATAAAGTTGTGTGTAAAACTTTTTGAAAGTTCATATGTAGTTGTTTAAACGCCTGCCGTACAATTCTGCAGGACTTTCAGCCAAGTGTGCCTTTAAAAACTGTTAAATTAATACGTGTCAATAGTGTGTTTGAGTATTTGAACTCGTATTTACCTCCAGCTCCTCCAGATCTGGGTAGCAGATTCTCTCACAAACCAGCTGAGCAACTCTGTCTCCTTTTTTCACTGAAAGGGAAACAGGAGGTTACAATCTGAAATGCAAATCTTAACCCTTTACCTACTTCAAACTTTAAATGGGATCTATAGTCTGTCCAGCTGCCATCATGTGAAGATGTCTTTATGTGATGAAGTACTACAAAAGCAGAATATCGAGTTCCCAATATTAATTTTGAGGGATTTTTCAATTGTTGCTCTACTGTGGTGTAAAAAAAGCTATAAAGAGGCATTAAGAGCATTTATTAGGCTCAACTTGCACTTAATTTGATCACTGATGGAGAATAGAGCAACATCAGGCTGAAAATACTGACTAATGCTCTTAAAAGGCATAATGAGCATCATTTGTAAGGCTCTACTGTAACCAAAAAATCATCAAGAACTCACCTTCAAATGCTTCCTTGCCAAAGTTAAAGAGCACAACTCCCACATTTCCTCTGTAGTCTTCATCTACAACCCCAGCTGAAAAGAGATGAAGAATCAGACCAATTAAAACCACAGGCATGACATGGGTTAAAACATAAGGCGCTTGAATAGTTTCTCATGAGAAGTAGCTCAGGTATGTCACTTACCGCCAACATCAATGAAGTTTTTGACTGCCAAACCAGATCTGGGTGCTGAAGTGAAACACAAAGAGAAAAAATAGATCATGGCGGTTAGACGTGTTCTTCTGCAGTGGGTGTAACTTACGCCACCAAGAGAGAATTGGGATGTACTAACTAAATGCACTGAGAAAATGAGTGTGCATGCACAGGAAGAGAAATGGGTGACACTAGAGCTGCATCAGCATGTCAAACACTCACCTACTCTCCCATAGCAGCCATGTGGAACTGCTATCTGAATGTCTGTCTTCACAATGGCCTTATCCAGAGGACCAATGGTGTAATCATAAGCACTGTGAACATTTGGAAAATTAAGGTCAGATTAAATACCTAGAGGAGGACATGTTTACATCTAAAATTTAACACTGGGATTTAATCCTCATTTAAGGTCGCTGCAACCCTTAGCAAAACACAGTATTTATATGGTCACATTGTTTAAAACACGTGTATTCTGTATCCCTAAAGTCACCTTCATAAACCCAAAGATGATTTTGATTCAAGTATAACAAACCTGTAGAGGTCATATCCTGCTGCTTTAGCCGATCCCCTGGTTGGAGTTGTAGCATGCTCAGAAAGTTTTGCAAATCTAAGGACAGGTTTTTCTTCCACAGGCTTTGTGTCCGTCCTCGCCCTCTTTGACGGAGAAATCCCGGAGTTGTCTGCAACCTCTAAAGCTGGCATGTCGGCAGAAGGTATCACTGTTAATAGCGGGCTTCAAAAAAATATATAAAAAGGACTATGTGAAACTGAAACACTACAGGCTGCTGCAGGGAGTGAAACTCCTGCAGAGGCTTTTTCGCGGTTCTATGTGCAACGAATTTCCCGCGCTGGAAGTTGCGCCAAATAAGCCCCTCCTCCTCAATGACCCGAATTTAAAGACACAGCCACCCACAACTCGTCAACAGACTGACAACATTCAGCTTTTTAAGATGCTACAGGTCTGTCATTAAATGCAAAACGTGAGGAGCATTAATGAAACATCGCTTTATTAGTATAATCTGTACCAATGTCAACCCGTCACCGATGTTAGCAGGTTATCATGGTTTGTAATGACAGAACTGGAAGAACACCTTGTACCATTTGGAGGATTCAGAGCCTCATTTTACTTACACATTGCACCAGAGTGAGTCAGACGTGATGTCGGTAGTGTTTACACGTGAAAAGAACTGCTAATTTGCTAAAACATGAAGCGTTCCATTATGAAATGCTAGGCATGCTAGCACAGCTAACGTCAACAAGCTCTTTTCATATTGCTGCAGTGTTTGAGGTATGTGTACTGATCTCTAGCTTGCCTTTGTTTTGAGTGAGAGTCTGAGTGTGAAACTCTTTCCCTGATAAACGAAGAGTAGCGTCATAAAATAACGAGCATCGTAGATGAAGATCTCTTAGCCGTGGCAGCAGCCGGGTCATGTTGTTTGCTAACACTGACTGACTGTGGCTAACGGAGAGTCACGTGATCAAAGCTGACTCCTCCCCCTCTCTGCAGAGCAGCTCGTGAGTCCTCAAGAGGCTGAAGGCCTGAACGGTAAGAAACAGTCTTGGACAGTAAAGAGAACTTATTGTTGTCTACTTTCTGTTATTCTTGACACGAAAAGCACTTTAAACTAATCCTGTCTTTACGACTCTCAAGCCATACTTTCAGAATAAGACACAATAATAAACCAAAATAGGGGAGAGTGGGGTAAGTTGAGCCAAGGGGTAAGTTGAGCCACCCCCTGTTGCCTGGAAATGGTAAAAGAAATTGAATATGTGACCAAATATTTAGGAGATGGGTCTCAATTCATGGAGTCTGTGAAGGTTAGAAGCATATGGGTGACGGGGTTAGACATTTATTTCCAAAAAAAAAAACAAAGAGACAATTTAGTCTGTCATAAGTTTGATTAGAATTGTGTTCAGACCAAAAAAAGATCATTTAAAATTTGTTTTATACATCAATTGTGGTATCTATGAGCTACAACATGAGGTCAAAAACCTGTATAAAAGTCCACTATTTTAGCTTAGAGGACTAATAAAGTCATAATAGTAGTTCTGGGGTAAGTTGAGCCAGTGACTCAACTGAGAAAGTAAAGGAGTCTGAGGAGAGGATCAGAGTTTCAGTTCAGATTGTTGAAATGTGTTACTTTTTCTTTTCAAATATACAGCTATAAATGTTCTGAATCACTTAAAGACATTCTCATGTTAAAATGGCTTTTTACAAAACAGCTTTTTAGCAGTTAAATGTAATAATAATACAAATAATTATTGTACCAGTTGAATAGCATATAATAGATTTAAAAAAAAAACTCATGAATGTGAAAAAGTGACTGTTATTTAGGGAGAGAGAAGGTGAGGGTAGGGCTGGGGTGGAGAGTGGTCAACTTACCCTGTGTATGGGGTAAATTGACCATAGGAGACCACTTTTTTTTGGCATGCTATATTATCAAGACAGTTATGTTTACACTCATTCTTTTGGTTTGCAGGGATGCACAACATCCTGAAATATATGCAAATACACTAGTTAGAGACAAAACTATGATTGCCTTGATGTAGTGATCTGAAATATGAAAAATGGCTCATCTTACCCCACTCTCCCCAACTATCAATTTTAATACACTAACGACATCTACATCCATTTAGAAGATATGTGCTCTCCTAAAACTACTATCATGGTTAAAAAGTCAGCCGCAAAGTCCTGAAGCTGAAGTCCACTGCTGCCCTCCAATGGATATGATCTGGCACTCAGGGTGTTTACCAGCTTCTTATAATAGTAATTCTCTATGCACTATACTGATATTTTAATACAACATGATGGAAAGTTTATCTAATAAAATCTCTAAAAAAGTTGGAATTAAAACTGCTGCCAGCTTTATATATGCACTATGTAGATTTACTTTTTATAATAACATATGAAGGAAGTAAGTAAGGCCCAATGTATGAGGTACTACACAAAACATGACAACACATTTTTCCTAACCTTGTGAAAGTAGAAAAACTATGAAGTTTATGTTTATTGCTGCTGGCTGGTTAAAACCCCTAGACTTAATGGACTGAAATGATGAAACACTGAACATTGATAGTCTTTCTCAAATATAAATGTTTTATTAATCTTCAACTACCACACAAATTGACATTACATATATTTTATTATTGAATTACCCTTTGGGGATCAATATAATTCTTGTACTGTATTGTATTTATATATAGTAATCATAAATTAAAAGAAAGAGACACACTTAAAATCTTATTGAGCCTTTTATTCTTCATCATTACAACTTCATATTTAAATAGAAGATAGACAATAGGAAAAATATACAGAATAATTGTTCTTGCAATTTTGAATTTCACTCAATTCCCCTAAACCAAAAAGTGTACTGTGATAATAACATTTAAAATATCTATAAAGTCTAGTGTCAAACAGGTAAACAGCTCTTTAATAAAATTGTGCGTATTTTACACTCAGTGAATATCCAAGAATATTAAAAAAAGGAAGGAATTGATCTATTTTTACAGCATTATATAAAAAAGATGCTGGTGATTGTTTATGAAAAGGTTATTTGCTCTAAAAATATCCACTGTTGAAGTCAGACCTCTTTGTACATTTATTTTACAATCACAATAGCAGGTCCAGTTGTCACTCAGTGTGACCACTGAGAGTGTTTTTATCTTTCAATGCTTATTTTACTAATCTGACCAAGCTAGGAAGACATGATTGGATTTTGTTCTACAACAAAATATAAGCCCTTTGTTTTTATTTTTTTAAATATAAGCCTCTTGTTTTTTTCCCCACATTTTTTATTATAATTTTGTTTCGTACATTTTCCATACTAGTTCACTGTGGCAAAGAGCTTGAACTTGGCTCTTTCGTTCACATTCAGGCTGTTTCCAATTCTTACTTTACTCTCAGAAATAAACTAATTCTCATTGACATTTCTTAACAAGAAACAGCGCAGCTCAGCGTGTTTACATGTCGTGTTCCTCATTCACAGCATTTATCGACAACTTGGAGTGCAGCTAACAGTCAAAAATTCACACATACCAGAAACAGGTTTGAAACATGTTCATACAAAATACTAACAGGTTGTGTGACTGAAAAATAAATCTATTGCAGCTTTCATTTTTACCAGCTGACCACTCGTGCTGTTTGTTCAAGTGTTTTTTTGTGTTTTCTTGTCTGTACGATGATAAAAATGCCCCTTTCAGTCATGAACTTGCTCATGTTACTATGTTGAGTTGGTCTGGAGGACTGAACATCAATTATTACTTTAATGAACCTTGTCCAACGTCACGATACCACTATTTCTTTCCTATATAGCTACCGATCTTCTGCTGTTTAGCCTCCAGAGTGCTTAAGAGTAGAAAGTCAGCACGCTCTTGTGGTTTCCTCTGATGAGCAGGGTGGGTGGGAGGTCCTTGGTCAGTATGTCGAGCCAGGCCATGTAGAGGAAGTCAGAGACGGCTCCTTTACGTGCGATAGGCATGCTCCTGCAGGAGGTTTACAGAGAGACTGTGAGACACTGTTTCCTCCTCAGTTAACACTATTCAGACAAGAGTTTTATATGACTTACACAACGATGAGATTGGCTGATTTGGAGTTCTGCTGAAGCACCTCATTAAGTCGAATTTGGAGGTTTGTCTGTAAAACAGCAACATTATTTTTAACATTGAATAACAACTTTATTTGGAGGTTAATACACTTATTGTGTCTGTCACTTTACCTTCTCCTCAAAGCTGCTCAGCTCCTCATCTGTAATTTTACTGGGATGTTCTTTCTTCATGGCTTCAGCCACTTCATAGTCTTTGGAGCCCTCGCGCAGGCGGAAAGGTGCAATCATTTCATCAAACTTCTTCAAGCTTGAGGAGAGCAGAAAAGAACATTAGCCCACCTCTTTTTTTTAATCAAAATATGCAGTCAGGAGGTGAAAACATTTTACTATCACTGTCACGACATCTGCTCTTCAGTGATTAATGAAGTCAGTTACCTGTCAGAGCTGGGCTGGATATGGATGTCATCAATAACAATGATGTCGGTGCAGTTAATCCTGAATTTATGTAACAGAGATTTCATCCTGCAAGACAGATTAACACACATAGATTGGTATTCCTGTGAATGCAGGTGAATATTTTCAGTTAATGTTAACTGATACGCTTGACTGACGATTTTTCACATTTTACTCACTCCTGTCTATCCTTCTCAGTTTGTCCGGGCTGCCCTGCGATGAAGATCCTTAAGGTACAGTCTTTCCACTTCTTCCTGGTGGTGAGGATGTAGGGGAGCAGCAGAGTGAGACCTGAGAGAGGAGAAAGAAGTGAATGTGGTGGTTTGTCATCAGGATTGTGGAGGTAGTTTTCCTTTACGGACCAAAGCTCTAAGACTGTGATTTTATTTATAATATTTGACTTGACTGACTTTTTTTTAATGCTTATAATTTGATCTTAAAATTTAATGATCTGTGAGCTCTATTTCATGTGAAGGTTGGGAAGTGTCCAGCATAGGTAGATGTACTCCTCAGAGAGTCTGTGATTGTTATACTGTTATACGCTCTTATCCTGTAGGTGAGGTTGCAAGATGAGGCATTAAAAACCAACACGTACCTCCATCATCAAACAGCCACCACACATCAATGGTGCCTTTAGGCTGTTTTTTCTTGAACTGCATGCTCGCCTGCACCAGCTTCTCATTCATCTTAGCCACCTGTGGGGATGGAGGGGCGCACACTGACACTGAAGGAGAGAGAAAAAGAAACAAGAAGTGAGAGCTGGAGGAGGAAGCGGTGAGGTGGGGGATGGCAGGAGCGAGTGTAAATCACCAAGCCAGCGTGGAGAGTTAAGTTGGATGGGAAAACTAGCACTAATCAACATTAAGAGCTGAGCCTACATCAGCAGGAACAGCCATCTCTCAGGTTTAATGTTCCAATGAGTGCCACCCAGATTGCATACTAACGATCAGCGCAGCTTGCCAAGATGCAGCTCAATTGTGTGTATGTGTGAGTGTGTGATGTAGAGACAGAGACTGATCGAGAGAGCGGCTGCTGCACCCTCTGCTGTCTGGGTGAAAGGGTTGCTCTTAAGAGATGCTCTCCAAACTGGAACGAAGGGGACCGTATTATTGGATTACACCCTCAGAGACATCTTTAGTTGGAGAGCTTGATTCAATTATTTCTCAATGGGAGTGTGGAGAAGTCTCCAAAAAAAAGAGATGTGAGTCGTTGGTTTCATTTGCTAAATGTATGCTCTCTCATTGGAAATACAAGTGTGTGTGGAGGAGACCAAGACGGACACCACATATCTAAAAATCTATCAGTGCAAGCGTTACTTTAAAAAAAAAGAAGAAGCGTAGATTGAAGTATTTCTGAAGGTTTTGAGATGGCTACCTCTGGTTGTGAGCACTTGTTGAGATGAGTTCCTGGACTTTCTGAACAGTCCTTTTGATTTCCCTCCGCTCTGCATCAGCTCTTTGTCCAGCGCCCTTTGGTCCTTTTCTGCTTGTAGCATCTCATCTGAAGGACACAGAAAAACAAGTGGCCTCCTATAACAGATGTGCAGTCATTTCAGACATGTGACATTCGCCTTGTTTTGGTCAAGACTTCTCCAGCGGCGCAGCTGTTAAGTGGAAGCTGTTGTGTATCTTATCTGTTCACTATCAGACCTTAATAAATACTTTGTAATCTATAGAACAAAGTACCCTTGGCTTATCACTCTTATTTATTTATCAGTTATTGTAGGTTGTTATGAGGATAGAACATTAACTCATTAATACAACTGTGCAACTTTTAAAAACACTAATTATTTTGTAGTTTAGCTGGTCATAGATGAAATGAACCACTCCTGTTCAACTCGGACGCTAGAAAAACTGTGAAGTAAACAACTGCGAGTGTAAAGTATACTGTCTTTCTTTCTGTTTCTAGTTTCTGTGAATATTTACTGATTTATTCACTCTTTTTTTTATTCCTTAGTTACTTATTTGGCCCAACCTAACACACAATCGTTGTTATGCTGTCGCTGTTGTTCCCTGTTAATAAAAGCACACAGACTTTTTTAATACCAACCTTGTGCTTCGACAATGTGCGCCGTGTCAAGTCCCTCTTCTATCCTCAGCATCACTGACCCGTACTCATAGTCAAATGCGTCACTGTCAAAGTAGAAAGTGGATTAAGGTCACCGCCTCTTTACAGTTAAATCCACGTACATCAATGCTCCATCTAGCTTCTTTGTAACTTACTGCAGTATTCCCACATAGCTCTGCACTCCCTCTGTGCCCGCAGTCCTCCAGTTCCTCTTGAATCCTATCATCAGTGTGTTTGGCTTCATGCGGCCAAGACCAGAAGCCTGTAAAGACAAGCAGGACACTCACTTATTGAATTAAGATAAAACTCACAATCTGTTAACTAGAACAACACAGACACCATGTAACCCTGCAGCTGTAAAACCTCGAGTCTCTATTGACTGGTGAAAAAAAAAAAAAGTCTGAAACAGTCTCAAAATGTCAAAGACAAGAACACTATAAAACCGTTTTACAGCCAGAAATTATGACCACATCACTCAGCAGATCTCACTTTGTCTGCAGGAACTCGTCTTGGCAGTGTTAATCAATTATGGCTTTTAATCTGCTGCACTGTTTGAAGTAAGCAATCCTGACAATGAACCGAGGCCTTATCTCGAAAGTGCGATAGCTGGAGCCATAAGACTGTGTTCCTGCTCCCCATAAACTCTCCCCTCCTCTTCCTCCTGCACTAACGCCCTGTCTTAACACGGGTTCAGGCCTGAGTCATAACAAAGCAATAGAAACTCAGTGTTGTGAGGAAAGAACGGGACAATAAACCCGCTTCTCATTCTGTTTTAAAAAATGCGGGTTATACATTGATCGAGGGGGATTTTTCTGGGTTAAATGCTTTATTTTTTCTTTTCCTTCAAAGAGGTTTTTATTGTGACCACACTGACCTGCAGAAGGCTGTCGGTTCCCTCCCTGAATTCCTCACAGGCCACAGCAGCGTAAAATGCCTTGCGTTTTGTCTTCCGGAGCCACAGCTGATTCTTCTCCATGCTAGCGTTCATGTCATTGAGGGCCTCTGCTTTCGGACCCTGCAGGAATCAAAGTTGACAGTTGTGTGTGAGCGTGAGATGGAGGAAAATATCCTTTTGCACCTTTTTTCATATGCAGAGGACACAACTGAACCTAAACTCATGTCTCAGGTATCCAGACAGCTGGCATTTCCCTCCTCCTTACTTAATATTCAGTCTTGCAGTCTGCTGTCTGCACCTTTTAAATTGGCTTGATGTGCAGATCTTGATTTGAATAGAAGGTTGAAATTTAAATAAAGGTTTAGGAAAAACAATATGTGCTGACATGGTAAGTTCCATTGTTTTGCATATACAAGTATTGAAATTAGAATATAACCTTACCACAAAGACCTCACAGGTGAGACAGAGTCCATAAGTCTTGGTGAAGGAGTGAGCCAGGTCTAGTAGAGCTGGTCTGTTCCGTGCTGGACCTGTCAGTACTAAGATCTGAGGTCTAAAACAGATAAAAGAATATTTTTAATTTGTGCTTTTACGATCACGTAACCCAAAATCAACATCTCTCCCTCCAACAGCGGCTGTTCACTCTTTTTGTTTTTCATTTTTATTCGTTTTTAGTCTCTTATTTGATTTTCAGGTATCTTTTTCTGTCACTGTTCAACACAAGCTGCACTTTCTTAAAAAAACACAGACACTTGACAGACTTTTACCTAAAGTTCTTGACGTGATCGTCGACACCAGACAGAGACAGGGCGTTGCTAACTGCGCTGACAAATGTCACAGCCTGCGTGGAGGAGCCCCAGTTCACATCTGAAGACAAAAATGAGACATGTTAGATCCTCCGTTGCATTCTTCATAAACAAATTTCCACACATACCCAGGCAGCTCACCTGGCTTGTTGACTGTGACGTAGATGTAGAGGAGGATTTCAATGACGTATGTGAGGAGAGCGGCCCACCAGTTGATGACAAACATGACGCCACAGCAGAGCAATGCACCCAACAGGGAGATCCACATGTTGTAGTACTTATATGCTGGTCGCCAACCTGGAAGAAGTAGGACAGAAGAAAGCACATGTTACAGAGATTGTAGGAAAATTTGGTTCTAGCGAGGTATTTTTAGCACCTCAGTTTACTCCGGAAAATGTCTGAAAGTGGGTGATTTTGCTTTAATATATCTAAAGCTGTTTTACTGAAAAGAAGCAGAATCCCCTCAAGCTACTGGCATAATTTTCCATTTATAAGCTACTTTCTACTGTGCAGAGACTCACCTGGAGACTTGGCCCAGGATGCATGGAAGCAGGAGAAATTGATGAGAGCGTAAGATGCCAGGAAGAAGTTTGAGATGATAGGAGCGATGGCGTTCAGATCACCTACGGGCACAAACTCAGATTACTTCACAGTGTTTTAAAGTTAAATAAGGAAATAGAGAATGATTAGTCTATTAGTAAACTTTAAGATAAAGTTTATGAGATAGTTTGACATTCTGTTGAAATGTTAAGAGGTCATGATTGACATTCAGACTGACCAATCAGAATGAAGGCCACAGAGATGATGAACGTGAGAACGTAGCCACGGATTGGCTCGTCGTTCTTGCCAACTCCCTTCGCAAAGAAGTGCAATATCTTGTAGATGTTGTCTTTGCACAGAGCCTGGGAAGAGACAAAGCTTGAATCAGATGTATTTTCTTCATTCATTCATTTAAACCTTTATTTCTTCTCAAAAGGACACTGAGTTTTCCCTCAGAGTATTTCATGAGTCTGGGGCGTCAAAAGAAAATTCAGATTTACAAAGCTCTTTGTGAGCAGCAGGGACTTTGACTTTCAGGTCCAGTCCCCCCAAAAAACTTTGCAGACAGAAAAGTTATGGCTGAGGAACTGACCTGGAACACTTTTGGAGCGCTGACAAGTGAAGCCAGAGCGGATGAAAGTGTGGCTGAGAATGTTCCTGCGATGATGAGGGGACCAAATCCAGACACCATGGTCATGACCTGAACCAGAGAAAGAGGAGGAGGAGAGCATAAGACACTCAAAAAAAAAAAACAATCTCTCTATGTTAACATTAAAGTCTGAAGGATAGCGCACCTGGAAGTTGTTCATCAAGCCATATTTGCATTCCACCACTTGGCAGGCAGAGAAATCATAACCGAGCTCACAGGCGGCTGAACCATTGCACTGAACATTTAGTGTTTGGTTGATGAAGTCAGTGGCGTTTCCTGTGGCATCGCGGACAACAGAGGCAGCTGACCAATCAAAGGGAAGAACAGATGAAAAGCTTAGTATCCAACCAGAAATATACTGTCATGCAATCTTCATCACAACCATGTGCTTCCATAGATTATCATACTTACAGACACACAGTGCTACACCCAGGTAGGTGATACCAGTTATTAAGATGGCCAGCAAGGTGCCTTTAGGAATGGCAGCCTGGGCGTCCTGTAGAAAAGAAACATTATTGTTTTAGTCATAATTCAGACAACAGGCAACATGAGATAACTTATGTCTGAATCACAGATGTAGAAGAATGAGCATGTAAATAAACAGCTCCCCCAGGATTTACTGAGGATGGGATGCACAAAAACAAATGTGCCGGAGCAGCTCATGATTGAAAAAAGTTACCCTCAAGTCGCCTGAGATGTTGGCTCCGGCCAGGATCCCAGTTGCCGCAGGGAAAAAGATGGCAAACACAGAGAAGAATGTTTCAGAGCCTCTGAATGCCGGCGCAAAATTCTCTAGGAAGATCCTGGCTGTGATAGAGATAGTGAAAAAACAGGGAGTCAAATCTCTACGTTTCAGAAAGAATTAAGTCATTAATTTGGTGAGAAGGTTGTCTTACAGTCATAATTGAAGAAGCCTTGTTCTTTCTTGAGGTTAGTTGCAGGTATGCCTGTTCCAACAAATACATTCACAATGGCTGCCAGCAAGATGAAGAGAAGGACGATTTGTGCCTGTTAGGGTAAAAATGATTAAAATTGTGGACGAACTAGAGGCTGGCAAACAATTAGCATAATATTCTTCCCCTACCTTGGCCTCCCACTCCATTCCAGCTACTGATATTCCCAACAACACCACCACTGTGATACAGCCAATAATCCTGATGTCATTCAATGGATCTATCATGAGAAGGTCATTCTCCTGAGAATGACAGACAGGACAACGAAAAAAACAAACAAATAAGTGCTTCATTAAAAATCTGGAAATGTAACTTCTTCAAATTCTTCAGGATCATAATAACAACACACACCTTTAGCAGATCCACCACTGTCTCAGCAAATCCCACCACATACATGGCCACAGCCACCGCGTTGGCGAAGGCAAAAATGAGGCCAATTGAGCCGCCAAACTCTGGCCCCAAACTTCGGGATATTAAGTAGTATGCACCTCCTGAAAAGAGAAAATGAGATACATGCAGCAGTGGATGATTAATCTCCATATCACCGATTTATTGATTTAATGTCAGAAAGTTAGGTTAAACAAAGAAACGGCTTTGAGGAATGACATTGAGCCTTGTGTCTTTATCTGCACGCTGTCCTCTGGTCATTTCATTGTCTCAGTAAAAGATTTTATGTCAGGATGAATGTGGGTTATCTCAGGCTATATGCTGGTATAAATAATGTTTAAACTGCTGCCGCCAGCTGCTGTGACTCTGCTGTATGAGTATCTGTAACAGGGGAAATGCCTGCATAAAAGTATTTGATGAGGGCTGGTGCTGCATTTTCTTACCTCCTCTAACCACACCGTTTGTGCAGATGGCAGACATGGAAAGGCCGGTGATGGTTGTGACCACACAGCTGAGACCAATGACCACCATACCCAGACCTGCAACACAAACAAATAACAGCTACATTTTTGAACTGCAGCTTACATTGAGGCGTTATGTTTCAGCAGTCAGTCATAAAACAGAGTGATTGTGAAATGAAACCCTAGTCCCTATGGTCGCCTTTAAAAACAGACAGAGTCAAAGTCCCTGTGGAGCCCGGAGGCTGAAAGTTAAAGCTGTCTGCTGGACCTGCTCTGCCTGCTGCCTGCAGCTCGCTCTGCTTCTCAAAACCATTTAGTTACGCAGCCTGAACAAAATACCCTGCTGATCGATACATTCTTAAGCAATGAACACACTCATGAAGCCTTTCACACAGTGTCCCCCTCGCTTCCATCACCACACACACACTGACGCACACAAACTGCTCTGCTTATAGTCGGCTGGCTCTCAGAATAGCTCTTCAGCAAGTTTAGATCATTATGGTAGCTCAGAAAGGCCTGTTCAGTCCAATCTGCCCAATTCAATCACTCCTTGCTAATGAGTGGAGGTCTATATAATCCTTTAAATGCCCCCAGAGTCCCTGGAATTACTGGGAACAGCTCCCTTAATTTTCTGTACGCAGACATGCTGGATCTGTTATTGCTCTAGACAACGATATCGAGCTGGAAATAACTCCGCTTCAACGGGGAGGGATATCTTTGAACTGATAAAGAGGGGCTCTGAAGCAAATTTCATTTTTCTTCATTTACAAAGTTTGGTGTTTTTCTGACGGCAATTTTGAGCCATCATTCCAGCCTACCCTGAGCTGAATAAGAAAACAGCTTTACTGTTGTATAAAAAAAGAGGAAGAAATTAGCCTACGTACCCCAGCCTGCCTGTCCAAAAACCCAAGACAGACGGATGAACAGCATGACACCCCAGATGTTCAGCATGCATCTCACCTGTGGAGAAGAAGAAGTGTGAAAGCCCTCAGTGTTGGTAGTGATTTATTCCATTGTTAAATAAGGCGCTAAGATGCAGCACTGCACACTAAACACATGGATAGTAAACTTTTGTTTTCATTTTAATCAAAGGCCCCGACATCTGTAACTTTGTTGGAAAACTTTTTTAGCAGCATTATCAAAGTGACTTATGGTGATTTAAAAGGAACAAACACTTAAAAATATAGACTCACTTTGGGGCTTTGATTGCCTTTAACACCTTTATGGGGGGTTCACATAGACAGCTAGGCCAGTTACACTCAGACATACTTTGTGGTGAAATGTTGCCACCTTTATTCTGAGTTGTTATCATTCCTTTTATCCAACTATCCCTGGATTTTATGTAGTTTTCCTTTTTCTTTCAGTTGATTCTAATATTTCATAAATTTAATTCATTATCATATTTAATCCTGCAAATCTGATCTATTATAATCCAAGTTTGAATCCTAATTTCTTTTTGTTTGTTCCTGAGTAAAGCACTTAAGGCTTCATGCTCATAGGAAGTCTTTTTCTTTTAAACATTTATGCCTTTTTTCATTTGCACAAATGATCAACCAGCAGCTCCTGAGAAAATGCAAATCACACCCGATCTCTGAAAGGTGTTGACAGCTCCATTTGGCCACCGCTGTGTTACAGGGTCACACAGAGCCCCCGTCCTACCGGGTCACAGTTATGAGGATTGACCCTGCACCTATAAAGCAGAGGGAGCCCGTCATGGCCCAACTGAACTCACCAGGACTCCTCTTATCCAGCCAAACTTTACAGCTCCTTTAGCGGCCTTAATGGGGATGGCAGACTCCAGGTCTTCAGAGGGGGTCCCGCTGCTGCCCTCGCCATCGTCCTGCACGGTGTCTGGCACTGAGATCGCTCCATTCTGGTGGCAAATGTTCAAACAGAGGAGAAACATTTAAGTCAGTCTAGAGAAACATTACTGGATTTTTGTCATGATTATTGTTTTCTGTTTTTCCTTGATTTATTTCTTCCTTTGTTCTTTATTTTATTACTTTTTCTTATATACAGAGACGGAGACACGCTGAAACTGGGATCTCTTAACAATAAAAAAAACAAACACATAAACACAGCAGCAAACACTTCATATTTCATGTCAAGGTTTTCCTAGCAGTTTTTTCTGCCCTACTTGAAATGCACCACTGTGTGTTTGGCTTTCTCCTGAAATGTGGTTTGATTTTTGAGGTAAATAAATTACGTGTCTGCAGAGATATTATGTTGCTTTGTGTCTGTTACTGCACACTGAGAGAAAAAAATGGAGAGAAGATGGCATACCGAGTTTTAACTTTCTGTGAAGATGAAAACTGACTTTTAAATGACTCTCCTGCCCCACTCATGCTCTGAAATCTGATTTAGTGAGGCCTTTTATTCTCATTTACTAAAGAAATTGGTTTTCCATTGAGTTATAGCCTTTTTAATGCATCGGCGAGGGGGCTGTGTTTATAGAAAATGATGTGACGGAGGCGTTCAGACAACTTAAAACATGTAAGTTATCCATCAAAGGTGTTACACAAATACATTAAACACATTTAAAAGATAAAAGATTGAAAGTAGGGGTATTTAGTGTTTAATTTTCCTGAAAAATCTGTGTGATTATTGAATCGCTGCTCGGTGACACATCTTTAAATTATAAGTCGAATAATTGGCTGCCTTCCACACACATATTATATTATCACTCTGGCTTTAATGAGAACGGACGTAATTCCTGTCATTTCGTGCTAAGGAAGACTACTGGTGACCGTTAACCTCAGCTCTTTCGCAACCCACAGTGGTATAACGGCCCAATAAAAAGCACTAAAAACTCTCAAGTGTGTCAAGCGTGTACATTGCGGTTGTGTTCCAGAAATAACTTTCGGTGTCCTCTCAAGTTTAACAAGTCTTGAGGTGATGATTTAACACCTGAACTGTGGACGAGGGCTAAACAACTGTAAAATTTATTGTTTCACTCTCTCAAGTCTTTAAGCTTGGTGAGAGGAGAGAAGATGCAGGGTTAGGGACTTGATTTGAGTCTCAAGGAGTAAAAAAAGGTAAAAATCTTCCTAAATAAAGGGTGAACATGGTTAGTATATCAGAAAATAAGGGTGGGGACCATCTGTGACAGACAAAAATAATGACAACGCAAAGAGACGTGCAGTGGATTTGTGGAAACTTCCCTTACAGACATGCATGCTCTTACCTTCTGAAACACATCATGAAGCTCTTGCAGGGATGGTCGCACAGCCCGGTGACCGCTTACACTGCCTTTGTTTCGATAGAAGTCTATGTTGGGCACCCGATCCAGAGTGTCATGACCAAAGGCGCTGACCACCGAGGGCCTTACGGTGCGGTGGTCCCCGTTAGAAAGGTTAGGCTCATCATACATCGGGGGTCCATCCAGGGTGGCGTCATATGCGGGGTTGACATGCTCCCCTCCATTGGACGTGATCCTCTCCATCAGGAATGCTGAGGGAGAATCTCAGATTCAAACAGTCAAGGCTCAAACAGCAGAGCAGGTCTAAAGTCTTCAGTCATCCAACAGGGATTCAAAACAACAGAGCACTGCATCAACTGGTGTGGTTATCCTTGTTTATTGATGTCTAAACTAGGCTAGGATTAGATGTTTAGAGCTCCTCTGCACTGCTCTGAGAGTCTTGTGCGTAGGTTGGGTTTGTCTCAGCTGGTCTACCTTTATACCCTGCATGTCAGGGTCAGAGGCTGGCTGCCAGCCATTGGCTGACGCTTTGGATCAACCCTCAAAGTGAAAAGTGAACGAGGGGTGTCAGATATGTCCTTGCTCCATCCTAGGGGACACAAAGGCATTGCTTAACTATTAACCAAGTCGTAAAAACTAAACGGGAAGATAAAGGCGCTCGTTGCTTGAGCTCTAGGGAATTGATTACTAATATTATTGTCTGAAGTGCAGGGAAACAGCACATGTTGTTCTGTAGTTGCAGTTTATGGGTTTATGCGGACAGTATTTCTTCACCTCTCCGGACCTTTTGCATGAATCATAGGGAAAAAAACAGAGAAGTTCAAAATAAAACAAGGATGGTATGACGAATCAAATCAGGAAAAGTTTCAAGGTTACAGACCACTCTGGATGTATATGACTAAAGCAGAACAGATAAGACTAATAATAGATGATAAAAGATTAATAGTTTCATAACAGATACTTTAGCAGAGCGATTTAATCTGTAGAGTGACGATAACAAGAGGGGAACCCCTCTTATATATTAAGCCCATGTGAGTTTTATAACTGATCAAATGCTGTCTCTAATAAGTCTTTTTGTCACAGAGAAAATGTTCGTATTCATGAGCAAAATGAGAGTTAATATGGGACCATGAATTACAGGAACACGCTGGAGGCACTTTACTGCCACATGACTTCTGAAGTGCCTTTAAAAGACCTCTTAACAGGTAAACTTCCTTATTACTGATACACCTCGGTGATTTATGCACACACTTTGAGGCAGGCTAATGACTGGAAATATGACCTTGGCTGTTCTGCAGGCTGAGGAAAATACTCCAACACGTGTTTTATGCGCAGATTGAAAGGAAGCAATCAATTGCTCAATAGTTATCAGACAACAGTTCAAAGTTGTCAGGATTTTCTACCAGAGTGATACCAACTGAGTCATGCTGGAAAGCGAAAAATTTTCCACATGGGCTGTAATGAAAACTGCAGTTGTTATTGTGCAGTTAAAGATCCTCAGGCCCTGGTAATTCTACAACAGTTTTATTATCGGAGGCTGCTAGATTTGTGTCTGCTCTGCTTGGGTAAATTCAGAGTTTGCACTGCTCCCAAAAGGACTTTTGAGACTGCATGGTGAATCCATGGCAGCAGGTGCATATGCTCCAATTCACACAGAACAGAGGAGTCTGCTTACGAGTTAATGTTCAAGAGGCCCAGCAGGAAGAAATAGTGTTTAATTTTAAAAAGTAGAGATACAGGGAGACAGGAGTCCTGACATCTTAAAGAGCTGCAAATATAACAGTGTGGATTTACAACATAACTTATGATAGCCGTTGTGTACTGCAGTCACCACAAGCCTTGACATTATCCATGCTTTTTTACACATAAACTTATTGAACTTATCAAATGTGGATGTCTTCAAGTGATAAATTCAAACAGCCAATCATATCAGTTTAAAAAGACAGAGAGTTAGGTTAGAAAAGAAATACATGTAATTAGAGAAGGATGCCTTTTGGGAGTACTGATGACCTCTACTGTAATCCTGAACACCAAGTAATCCCAGATCTCAAAAGAGAAAAAACTTTTAAGACAAGTTAATAAGCCCATAGAGTAAAACTAACAGATACATATTTACACAGATGCTCGGACTTTGCAAACCGTCTTACAGCTTCGAGTCAAACTCAAAGCCTCTTGAATGTCAGAGTTTGTGTGTGTGTAGTATACTCTGTCAGGGGCAAAAAAAAAAGTACATTATGAAGATGATCCTACAGTACAAAAGGTTGTGTTAATTTCTCTTTATTTAGCATGTTTAACTAAGATCAACACTATAAAGCTCTTGTGCTAACTATAAAATTCAAAATTCAATAACTTGTAATTAAATTGTAGTGTAGGTAAATAAAACGAGGCAGAGGTGGACCTAGATTTGCTATGAGTTTATCAATTTAACATTAGGATAGATTCTAATTGAAATCAAATATGTATAAAAGTGTAATATTGCCATAAATACTGGACCCATTCTGTCATTTTAAGGCGCAGATTTAAATCAATTAAAAGTTAATCATTATGGAACCACAATTATGTATCTGTTATAAAACATTAATATGTAATACGAGGTAATCATTGACCTGTTCACTCTGGCTTTTACAGAAGTTCACCTCACATCTATCAGAGCCTCAGCACTTGGAAAAAAATGAGAATATCTCAGTGTCTCATGGGATAATTCGTATTTCTATAAAGTCACATTACAAAATATTTAAGCTGTGTTTAAGTTACGTAGAAGCAAACAAATAAAGTAAGAGCTTCTTATAACGATGATGATGGAATACCTCCTGGCTGCACTTTATCAACTCAGCTGTTCAACAATAGTTATGGAAATCACCATGCTGAGTCAATGTTACATTTTCACTCTTTTTTTTACTTATTTGCATTTATAAAGAAAGGCCTTGTATCTGTCTTATCACAACAAATCAAGGACATAGCTTGTGAAGTCCGAAGACCACAAGTAATAAAACTGATGATTGATAATCAGCAGAAGCTAAGGTCCACTATTCAGCTGACTCATTGGTCCTTCACAGAATAACAAGGATTCTGAAAGCACTCAGGTCCTATTATCTTTACATCCACCCGCCAAAGAGTAATTACATTAGTTCTCTAACTGCTTCTGTGTCTTCAAATCATTTTCACCATCTCTGAAATCTGTTTGCTTTGTGCAGAATGCAAAATGCAAAGCTGCAACTGGAGGCCCTGTTTAAAATTATTCAGAATTACAAAGTTGTCTTTACATTTCTTCCAATCAACAAAGTGTATACTGTTAATGGGGCTTTGTGTTGACTACATACAGCTCATAACCTTAATGAAGAGTGGGATATGAAAAGACGATGAAGAGCAGACGCTTTATGTTCAGATTTGATGGATTTACAAACGCTGTTACTGGTCGGTTAGTTCTTGTAAGGTAAGTGGGCTTGTAGGCTGGAGGAAGAGAAGGCCGGCGTTTTCTCTACCAACAACAGTTTTCAGATAAGGATGTCACATAGGTGACAGAGATAATGGTGCAATAATGCATTCTTGGTGAGTGATGTGTGTCAAGGGAGGTGTGCACAGTGGCCTGGTCATTGAAGTTGAACTGGTCACTGGAGGAAAGACAGGTAGGCTCTACAGCTTTATCACTGCTAGACTGTCTATAAAAAGGCTGTGTGCATCCTTATTGCTGCCATATAAGCTCCATTCTCTTTATATAGGTTGCCCACACACATATAGGAAACAGTGTGAATTCCTGTATGTGCATTTAATTCTTTGCTTCTTTTTCCTTTAGCAGCAGCAGCACTTTTTGATAACAACTGCCTGTGTCTGGGTGTAGAGACAACATAAAGCTTGAAATTTTTGATCTGCAATGCCCTGTGCACAATAAATTCCACCAGAGTATACTGCTGACTGCAAAAGTGAAGGTAGAGACATATCTTTTTTACCTGGCATAATCTTCGACTTCTAAAAAGAGTCCCAGAAAAGCAAAGATTTTACCAGCAGTGTCTTAAAGTGAAGAAATTTTATTATTTCACATCATTGAATCAAATCTAAATCAATGAGAGGTCTCTACCACCAGCTGGGTAAGCAACAGGTCAGGAGATGAACTATCTTTCATCATGATATGCCACACACTTACTCGTTCGCTTACACACACATTCAAACAACCAGGTGCTCTAATGTATCTAGATGAAGGCACATAAACCCATTGAAGGTCACAGTAAGGCAGATTCACAGCACTAAGGAGAAACCGTAGACCGTAAGAATTAGCAAAGAAACAGTTTGACCAGTCTGCAGTTCGTTCATTTGTTTGTTTTTTTTCCAGAATCTTGGTTTGTCCTGTCCTCCTCTGTCTGGGAGGAAGAGAGCAGGTCAGGAAGAGTGAGGATGGCTGAGAGAAGGAGGAAAAAGATGTCCATGTGAAGTGCTGACAGACATCCCACCCCTGTTTTCCATGTGACCTTTTCCTCTGCAGACAGGTAGTGAGAGTTTATCCTTGTCATTAGAAAAACTAGCAGCGCTGAGAGAGAGTGTCCTTCCTAGTTTTTGAATCATTGTTTCCTTCAAAGTTCTTTGGCTCGATCACAAAAGCCAACCTCCGGACAGAGCACTTCACAGACAGTCCACAAATCGATTATTAGCGTGTATCTCTACAGACATACTGTCAGAAGTAAACAGTCGTGTTTTTTCTTTAGCTCAGACATATAATCGTGGCAACAAACAGAACACCATCAGTAGCAATACAAACTCTGAGAGATGTTTTTGCATCATTAGAAACAGTAACATCATAATGTAAATCACAGTTTGCCCAGTTGCCTTCCCATGCACGGAGAGGACTAGTCTGTACACAAACACAGCAGCGGCAGCAGCAGCAGCAGCAGCATCCTTTGGACCATCAACAGACTGGATTTGATAAGTCCACAAATGCACTAGTTTGACATAATACCCTGTATCCAACCACGTACATTCTTGTGCAGAACAGCTGGGCTTTGCAGAGGTGCAACTGCTCCGTTTCCCACTCACAGAAGGAATCTTGTCCCTGAGTCTTCAAACTACATCTGAATGATTTCCTAACATGTCCGACCAACATCCTCCTTTAACGGCCTCTACAGACATTCAACTTGAAGGTTTGGGTTAAAGGGAGCTTCAGCTAAATTGCACACTCCCTGGCAGATTAAGAGAGAAAAAAATATGACACAGCATCTGCTGCACACTCGCTCGGACACACAACGACAGACATGTACGCGCACAGTAGAGAGGCTCTGATCTAACAGCACACACACATTTAACAACATACACAGCTTTTGTCTCGTGGGTTAGAAAGTCACAGAGATGTCTAAATGGCGTGTCAATGGCAGGTGCAAGGCTGTGGATCATGTGTGTCGGTGTTTTCGTGTCCATGTATATCTAGGCATTGCTGTTTTATAGGACATCTATAGATGTGTTGTCCCTGTGTTAAGTCAGGGCGTACTCAAACGTCCCTTTCTCCAGCCCCTCGATGCCGTCGGCCCAGTTGGAGGAGGGCATACTGCTGTAGGGGTCTAGCAAGATCCTGAAACACCTCACTATCAGCAGCCCCAGGAACACCAGCAGCATCCCCACAAAGGCGAATGCCGTCTTCTGCTCCAGAGTCAGAGAGTGCGCCATCATGTCGTTCCCGCTCATGGCAGCAAGGGAGTGGTTGTAGTGGACGCTACACATGGTAAACCAACGTCTGGGTGCCTCATCTCTCCTCTGATAGGGTCAGGCGTTTGGAAGCCCGCATGTTACCTGCACAGAGATAGCATGAGGGCTTCCTATTAGTGCTGCCTTGTGCATAAAAGATCCGCTTTGTAAACCTATTAAAATATCATCACAGACAATGCATACACTGCGTCGGATTTAAGAAACAAGAATGCATCAACAAGAATGAGAGTTTAGTGTTTTAAAGATGAGCTGACCATGAAACATAAAGGGGTTACAGGTTTCTAAAAATAGCATCTTTTGAATGTGCCATCCAACAGATGTCTGAAGACTTCCTTCGATCCCTCTCTCACTTTGCCCCTCTGGGAGTTTTGGGGGGAAAAAAAACGACAAACGGCAAACATGAGCAGAAAAGTGGGGGGACACTGCAGGGAAAGGAGGAAGGAACAGGCTCGGGAATACAAGCCGATGCCACGGCTTTATTCCTTTTAGTCCGGTTACGATAACAGTGTGTCGCAGTGCATAGCCAGCAGTTACACACAGGCAAAGCGGTGAGATATCAGTGATGGAGATCTGACATTACATATGTTCAGTTAATAGGAAAGGGTTCTCTCTAACCTGTTGCGTGCAAGCAGATGCCTGCTAGACAGTGTAATTCAATTAAACAAGACAGCGACGGTGCTGGACCAAACACCATCACAAAAACCGGTGTGAACACACAAGTGGGAGTCTTGCCTCTTTTTTCTACAAAATCTTTATATGAACACAAGCAGCAGGTGGCTTGTCTGAGAGAATAGGAGGTAGCGAAGGAGATTAGACCGGAGAAGAGGTTACATGCAGACAGGGATACAAGAATGAAAAGAGAAGACATACGAAGGAGATAGAAGTAGAATGATGAGACTGCACAAGTATGCCCGGTGTGAGGGACAGAGAGGGAGAGAGAGGGGTAGGTAGGGTGAAGGAGGGAGAGACTGCATTGACAGATTTTTTTTTTTTGTGAGAATGTCTAGAGGAAGAAAAAGCAGGTATCTCACCGTCATTACCGTTCCATCCTTACAGACCTGTTGCTGCCGTTTCCTCCGAGCAACTCCTCTTCCTCGGAGCTGTCAGACACGTACCCATTAATCCATCCATTGCTGACATACTGGATGCGCTAGGCTAGCCTCTGATCTAAACAAAAAGCAAGACATATACGCAGACATAAGGCTGGATCAAGCTGTGATATGTGTCCTCCTCCCAAAGAAACAGCTCCTCTCCTCATGCTCCCTTACTTGCTGCCTCCTACTCATTATCATTCTGTTTCTCTATCTCTCCCTCCAGAAGCACGCACGCTTGCCCCTGCTGCATGGCAACCACTTGTTAGTCTCACTCAGCTGCTCTGCTGCCTCACTCATTCACAACATTCCCTCCCTCTCAGCAACACCAGTAAAGGATGCAGCAGCAAAAAACAAGCAATCTGCCTCTTCTTCCTTTTTCTTCCTCTCTCTTCACTCTCCCCTCCCCGGCTTATTTGGCTTTTCTAAAAATGACTCCACCAAAATGTGACAGGAATACCATGGCTTAGCCAGGGGGAGAAATGCTGCCTCTCACTGCTCCTGGCCAGTAAATGCTGCTGCAAAGGTATTTTTGGTACAGCACAGCATTATCCTGCAAGCCTGGTTTGATGATGTGTTTTTAATTGGTGCAGTTTGCTGTGGTCAAATCAAATTAGACCCTCTGCTTAAAGGCTTACAAAAGCAAGCTCCCTAGGCAAGCAGCAGGGACTTGTAGTGAATTAAAAGAAGTACTGTATAGGTCATCTGATTGCCCTGGTGTAACAGAATGCAGCAGTGAAGCGTCCAGCCATCTGTTTTGTTGGTATGCAGTGCAAATTCATATCAGCATTGTGGAGTATCTGTCATAGTGGTGCAGTGACTCGGATCTAAGGATAACCCGAGCCACGAGGGAGATGGTCATCACTCATTTGATGTACAATAATTTATGGCTTAGTGGAATGAGCTCAATTTTTCTCTTTCAGTCAGAGGAATTCCCCAAGAGAGATCTAACACAAAGGTGAACTTCCTCCCTCACATTTACTTTAACTTCAGAGCTCTTGAGTTTTTTATGCCACTGCAGTGTCTTTGGATTTCTCCCTTTTTCTTGGGTCAGTGGCAGCTTCTGCTCCTGCTGTGCCATTAATACTTGGACATATATGGGCAGAAAAGGATACTAAGGCACCCCAGTGATTTATCGACTGACTCAGCTTCTCACAGCACATTTTTATTTCACATTTATTTCAAGGACGGTTCTTGCAAATTGGATGAGGGGATGTAACAGTGTACAGCCAATAAAATTATTAGACATTACCTCACTGGCCTTGTGTCAATTTAGAAGACAAGGTCAGAACATAAAACTATTAAGTCTGAATACAATAGTGTGACAATCCAAATAAATTTTCCTGAAAAGAAGGATGTCTTTAAACCATTTTATTGAAAAACTCAACACGAGTCTAATCAATCACATTGTTCTATATCAAATCAGTCTACAGCCAGGAAAAAAACAAGTGTACGTCTACTTCTTAGTCAAGATGTCCTAATGTGCTTTGGACTGGTAACTGCTGGCACAACTTTAACCTGTTGCATAAAGTACATCAGGAGACTCCAGAGACACAGGACAAAAGGTTTAAGATTGCTTGACCTTTATCTCCTCCAAACAACAGGAGCAAAGCTGATATAGACAATTATAAAGCCGTGATCCTATGGCCTATGATAATGGTACACCTTTTAAAGTTAACAAACTTCACACAAAGCCTCCCAGTGATAATGAAGACAGCACAAGGACAAATGCAATCAAATTATGAAGATCTGAAATAGCTCATTACCAACCCAATGCCCTGTTAACAGCAATTACTAAATCTTCTGAGGCCAAAACTGAATTAAATTTACCATGTCCAGTGAACAATTGTTATGTTGAAATGACAGTGTAACTTAAAAGAATATCTTCAGAGTAATCTTATACTGCTATTAAAGACATTTAGCATGGGGGACTGTGCACATCACAGTATATAAGATGAGACAAATATGGCTGTTGTTAGAAATGGAGCTATTAAATCACAGCCACAAATGATTTTGCACCTCCATTTGAGATCAGAAATGGGCTTGATGTTGTCGATAAAACTAGCATTAACATGGGAATGTACTTTGGGTTGGGATTATGATAGGCTAATTTTAGGTAATCAGGTTATAAATAAATAATCTAACATAAAATTAGATATGAGTGTCCATTCTGACTGTACTGTGACATATAAGGAATGCAGAAGTTTTCATAATGTTTCTTTGCTGGATTTACTGCAAGGACAACCTGATGTTGCTCAAGTGGTTGAACTGTACCCACAAAATATCACCTAAATGATGATATCAACTCCAAGATTTTCTTTGTCTTAGTACGACTCATATCAAACCTCGTACTCTAAATTTAGTGACTCTTACCCAAGTGGTATAAAATGTGTTGTATTCATCTGTGCAGCAATCAAGGAAATGCATTTTCATCTTTATTGACCTGATTTTTATCTACAGATTAACACATGTTCTGTACCGTTCGTTAAAGGTTAACTTTTGCTGCTTTGTCACAGGTCAACCAGATTTACAGCCGTTACTGGAAACAACTGCAAATGTTTGTTCTTTTCTTTTTTTTTAACCATACTTTTACCTTTTGATGGTACACATTACTAAAAAGGGTGAAACTTTTATTTACACTACTTTCATTTTTAGTTTAGTTTGCCACCACTGTTTGCACAAGTCAATCCCATTAAATTTTAAATGGGAGAATCAGTAGGAGCAAGAAAATATCTCAAATGTAGGTCATAAACAGGTTAGGGTAAGGATTCTGTGGAACAGTTTATATCACGAGTATGTCATAAAAATTTTAAGAGTTTTGATTGATTCATTTGATTTTATAGCTCAAGTAAAATAAGCTCAACCCCTCAAATTCTTTTACAATGTATGTTTTAGCAACTGTACAAGGCTTATTCAAGTGTTGGCCCAAATGTAAGCATACAGATGACAAATCAATACAAGTTAGTGTTCAATCGATATTGCTTTTTCAACAGCAGATGCCAGTGGCTGATATATCATGCTGATATCATGTTGTTTCTTTTGGGGGGCATTTTATAAGTACAACCTTCTGACTGTGCTGAAGATTAATTTGGAATTAATTTATGAACTTAAAACTCTATTGGATTATGCTAATATTGGTTAAATTTATGTCAGAAGCAATATTTATCTGCACTACATGACCAGCAAAATAACACTTGAGTATCCGGGACTTTGGTAGAGTATCCAGCAAAGGCCAGACTGGGTTACGCACGCCTTGATAGGGGTCCTGTGTCATATTTTTCAATCTCTTTCTACTTACTAATTATTTACTTACTTATTGTCATTACTTCTTACTTAGAGGCTCCTTCAAGTTCTTCCCGAAGAAATCTTGCACAACTTGTCCATACCTGTTCAGTTTTATCCCCCATCCTTCTCACCCGGCTGCCTAGCAACTCCCAAATCTCGCGTTGAAGGCGCAAATCTCACTTCACATTTTGAACTGCGTAGCGACACAGGCATCGTGAGCAGTGTGGGGCAAGATAAACCTCATCATGGCAGATGTCGAAATTCTTGAAGATGAGCCAAAGCAGGAGGAATCTGCCGTCACTGAACCCGAGAAGTCCGATACCGAGGAGACACCTGAAGAAACACCAAATGGCGTGAAACCGTGAGTTTAACATCGCTGCAAATGTTACCAAGCTTAGCTAAAATGGAGTCCTGTGACACTAGCCATTGTTAGCCAAGGCGCCTGTAACGTCTGTCGTTAAACAGTCAAATCGTGATTTACTGGTGGAAAGAAATGACAAGTCCAGAGCCACCAAATTAGAAAACATGCAACGATATAAAGTGAGCTCTCACAGTGTGCATTTTTACCACAAACGTGCTACTCTCAGGCAGCCTCAACGCTAGGCTCCGTGCTAGCTAATGCTAGCTAACGCTCTCGGTATACTGAGTTTTTCTCTTTTGTTTAAATCAGGATTAAACATTTGGTGCGGGTTTAAAACAATTTCATAAACACGCTTTGTTTGCAAACATTTGCAAGGTGAACGATAAACTATTTTATAGCCCAAGAGGGTTTCTTATGAGGCAATATGTAATCGATAAACATGAAATTGCATTGAATGATTTCTGATCAATCCTGGGTAATAATGCAAATAATGTTTGATTTTGTTTCGCCAATTTTGTATATTGTAATCTACACCAACAACAGCCTCAAACACCCAGTATTTTTATACATGCAGGATATTGCACTTTGGAAAACTTGGCTGTCTCTGCTCAACCTCAAACAGTAATATTACAATCATGTGCAAAATTACTTTAAATATTTTAACATAGATAAACAAGACTGAAAAAACAATTGTACAATGAAGAAACGTTAGAAAAGAATTGTGTGTCAATCAGTCATTCTAGCTTATTTATACGGCACTTATCAAGTAAGTTACACTTGCTTTTAAATACAAATGTTGATAGAAGGAAAATAGGAGTATGAATAAAATAAGGATGAATAAAAATACAAGTTCGTACTTAATGCAGAATATTTAAAAGAAGGCTATTTTTAAGGCACATATTTTTTTAACTATTCAGCTGTATGCAAGCACAGAGAGTAAGACGTCATGTATACAAAACCTGTCAATGGCATTAAACTGTTAGCCTGGCTGGGCCATCCTGTTGCGTGAATCACTTGCCGTTCCTTCCCACGGCAAGTGATTCACGCAACAGGATGGCCCAGCCAGGCTATTAAACTGTTGGATATTGTACAGCATAATAGACAGTATAATAAAGCAATACTTGTACAGTATAATAGAGTATTGCACAGTATAACAGGGTAAGATTGAAGACACATTGCAGGATTTTGCTATGATTTACTCATATGTGGAAAGCCTTTTGATATGTCACAGGACTATCCGGTTTCTGAGTGTCGTTTTGGGAAGGCTTCTTTTTGACTGCAACTTTGTGCATTTTTCAGGGATACTGATGAAACTAAGCCCTCCAAAGAAAAACATGACGGTAAAGAGAAGTCCTCAGGGAGCAGAAGAGGAAGTCGCTATCATCCCTACAAAGACAAACATGGTGGAGAAAAGAAGGGTTCTCATAGGAACCGGGTGTTCATCAGCAATATCCCATATGATATGAAGTGGCAGGCAATTAAAGATCTAATGCGTGAGAAAGGTAATGTCCCCAGTAACGGGGATGATGTTTTCCCTTCTCCTGTTCTCTACAGCTGATTAGAAGTCATTGGCCCTTTTTTTCACTTTGATGGAGCATCTTGCTTCTAGCAGTAGTAAATTAGTTTGTAGCTTCCTGCGCAGATCGTAGGGAATCAACCTAGAGTGATATTAGGTCATTGGAGTTTTTAATAAATTTTTGGATGGGCACCAATTTAGATTGGGCTGATATGTCTGTGAGAAAAGGAAGATCAACTTAGTTACTTTGTCACTTGTTTTAAGGTATTGTCAGCTCCAAAATGTAACCTCAAACGTGTTGTAGAATTGATTGTTGAATGATTTTGTTGATCTGTTGCTAGGTGAATTTTGATGATATGAATGAAAATGTTGTAATGTTTTACTTACTGAATTAAGGGGGTGTAAAGAGGCCTTTTGAAAGGTCAGGGGGCAGTTTACAATTCTCAACTGCTATGAATGGAATCTGTTGACAAACTGATCATGTTGAAGTCTTTTGAATTTCCCAGGTTTAATGTAGCTGTGTTTCTCTCTGGCCTTGGCCTTTTGGTGTCTCAGTCACTGCCCAGAAAGGCATGGTGTTGTCTGGTGGGATGTTGGTCTGGGCTGACTGTTGATCATTAATGGGACATTTCCACCTGTAGCGGCATTGCCAAGGCCTACGGCGACTTGAAGACTTGGTGACTTAAATTCCTTTGTTCTTTTGGTATTTTTCCTTTTGTATGTCTCATGTAGTTGGTGAGGTTACATACGTGGAGCTCTTTAAGGATGCAGAAGGAAAGTCAAGGGTAAGTGATGTGGTCGATTTGCTGCACGAGGTTTTAAATGCCCTCAGCAGGCTCTCATTAATTAAGTGCTCATTTAGGTTCTGATCCTTTGGGTCTTACCAAGTTACTGAACTGTAGATACTGAAGGTTGTGTTTAGAGCCTGATAGATGGCTAATGATTGATACTCATTTGAAAGGGAGATGTCCTGTTGATTTTGGAAAACCAGCCTAACGAACTCATCTAAGTGTACATTTTTGCTTTTGTTGTTGATATTTCAATTGGTGTAAAAGTCCGTTTGTTTGGCCATTTTCCAAAGGGAAATGTGGGTTGTGTGATTTGTTTATGGATTGACCCCCATGTCTCAAAATCTTACTTTACAATTCTGTTATATGGCACAGCTCTCTCTTCAAAGGAACAAACAGTCTTGAAAGATCCTGTAATGATTTTATTGTTATGTCGTAAATATTACAGCTAAAAATGTCAACCACTCTATTTTTTTTCCTAGGTGAATTGGTAAAGCATAATCGTAAACATTGTGCGAAAATGTATGTTGTTTTTCTCAATTTTCTACCCTGGACTTTATACCCAGTTCAAATGTTTACTGTAGATGGACATGCACTTTTTATTACATGCAAAATGTTTTAAGAGAATTCTTCTAAAGTGTAATTTTGATGACTTATTTTTTAACTATTGGATGAAAAATAATGAACTGTAAGTTAAATGTGAACTATGTCTTTAAGTTATTGTAAGTTTAACTTAAACACAACCAAAAAATTTGCTGGCACATGCCAGAAAGCAAAAATGTCTCTTAACTAAGACAGTATGAGAATTTCTAGTAGCACGATGATGAATAAGATTATCATGTTCTTTTGCTTTCTCCAAAAAATAACTGTATTTTGTTTACTTCCTTGGCTATGGACATGTGCTGCCTGGATTCATATGTTGCCTCCTTGCGCAGGGTTGTGGGTAAGAAACTACTGAAATAGATCAAATATTGACCTTTTTCTTTTTTTGCTTATTTGTCAGGTTTTTAATTCTGCAGTCTCACATGCTCCTCTGATGCCTCTGTTTTCCTGATTTAACAGTGTGGTTGAGTTCAGAGATGAGGAGTTTGTGAAGAAGGCGATAGAAACTATGAATAAGCATGACCTGAGTGGACGGCCACTCAACATCAAGGAGGTAAGAACAAAACACGAGTGCACCATTTGTTAAGCTGACCTCTTGTTGTGTTTAAGAGAGTGATGGTAGTGGTGAATGGAAAATGTGTAACGGCTACTATAAACCTGATCATGTCCCCATACGTAATGCTTTTACATTTCGGTCTTATCTTTCAAGATCATAGTGTGTGTTTTTGGAGCAGTGTAAGTTGTCATAAATAATCACAGAAGTTTTGGAATTAATTTTGTAAGTGGAAAACAAACACTAAAAGACGCCAAAGTGATCTCAGGGGAACACGTGCAAGTGTTGAGTGTATTTTTAAAGTGCTAACTTGAGTTTTTCCTCATGACAGTATTCAATGGTGATGCATTTCACTTCTCATTAAAGGACCCTGATGGAGAACATGCTCGGCGTGTGCTGCAGCGCATGGGGGGAGGTCAACAGGGAGGCCGTGGGCAGGACATGGGACCTGGCGGGATGAACATCCCAAACTTCATTGCCAACAACCCTAACATCCCACATGATATAATCCATGCACTACAAGCTGGACGACTGGGCAGCACAGTGTTCGTGGCCAACGTGAGGGCATAGTAATACGTGTTATTCAAATGTAGCTGGTAATAGTAACTTCTGGTGATTAATAAAGTTGATGTTTTACAGCTGGATTTCAAAGTGGGCTGGAAGAAGTTAAAGGAGGTGTTTGGAATGGCAGGCGTGGTGAAACGAGCCGACGTAAAGGAAGATAAAGACGGCAAGAGCCGCGGAATGGGAACTGTGACTTTTGAGCAGCCGCTGGAGGCCGTGCAGGCGATCTGTATCCTTCACAAGTGAACAGTAATGTTGGAAAGCATATGAAACAATACTTGATGTTCTATCGTGAACTTCTCCTTAACTTAGGACTCAGCCATGTTTAATGGACAGATGCTCTTTGACAGACAGATGCATGTCAAAATGGTATGTTGCTTTTAATGGGTTACATCATTAGTAAGCTCATAGAACTTGAAATTGGAACTTGAAGGTTGTGTTTGGCTTTTATAGGATGAGAAATCTCTCCCCCCTGATGATTTCCGTCAAGCAGAGAAATCTTCTCAGTTACCACGTAAGTACACTAATCCTCTTGTCAGCAGTTGATGCCAAGCTCATATCCTTAGTAATAAGCTCAGTGAATTGGGTATTGCATTAATATTGTCTGTAGAAAGAGGTATGATAGCCTCTGGGAAGAAACCTCCCATTATAAGAAAGGCATATATGTATTTAACAGAGACGCTGTAAGGCTAGATACAGTGTGATGCTGAAGCAGTATCCCGCTGAGAGCAAATACTAAGTGGCATGTTCTTTTTTTCACTCCTGAATGTTGAGGCATGATCAAGTAAGACAAAAAATCTGTTGGCAGTAATTTCCAAACTTGAAATAGTTCTTCAGCTTTTATCTTAAGTTCCAGTTACCATTAGATGTGTAAGAATCAGACAGCTTTGGGGTGAAAAATTAGCATTTTAATGTCTGTTGTCTAGAGCATGTGTTTGTTTCACTCTGGGAGACTTGTAGCAAAATAAAAAGTCTTCCTTATGAAAGACTTTTTTGATAGTCGATTATTCATCTGTTATCAAAATGATTATTTCACTCATCAGATATTGAACTGCACAATGTCTTTATATTTCTTATTCTTTGATTTTTTTATTACTCTTGACCTCTCAACACCTCATTAAAAGTCATAATTCATGCAAGAAAAGTGATTAAGTTTGAACATACAGCAAAGGAGTCAAACCTGGTTACATAACCTCTGCGTGTGGGGCTCACATAGACGGCTAAGTGAACCAGTAAATGAAAAGTTCAGTGTTCTTATGCCTTTTTTGTTTATCTTTGTGCAGGGGGTCTTGGTGGCATTGGCATGGGACTGGGACCGGGAGGACAGCCGATAAATGCCAACCGTCTGAGTGGCGGAGGAGGAGGTGGAGGTGGAGGAGGAGGAGGAGGAATGAGCTCCATGGGGCCAGGAGGTCAGTCACCTCTCAAACACTTTTCAGTAATGTCTGACTAGAAGATACCTACATGTGCTACTACTGATATAGAACATTATGTGTCAGAATCCAGTCCATCTCTTTGGGCAGATGCTCATAAAAGAGAACCAGGTTAACCTTCACTCACCGGTCAACACCTTGTGGAAATCAATAGACAAATAAACATCATTCTGTTATATAAAACATACCCACAAACCAACATACACAGTTAATATGTAAACCATTCTGTCATTTAGACTTGGCTGACACTTGATGGCTCATCTTTTGACCCTGTTGTCGTCTCAATGTGGGTTAACGAGATAAGAGGTAGAGCTCTTACAGGCCGAAAACAATGAGAACTTTTAAACTCCCTCGTTGTGACGCTCTCATTTGACCTTGTTCCTCTCAGCACCTTTGTACAGAGTTAAAAAGTCAGCTTGTTCAGTTTCTTTCATAATATATATGTGAAAGAAGAAATTGCCTAAGTGACTTGATCTGCCGTAGGTATGGATGTTCAAGCTTGTGGTGGAATGAACCGACTTGGAGGAGGTAATGCGTTTTTGCTGCTTTTGAATTTTAACTTCTGAAAGATTGTTGTTGAGCACTTGTGAAATTTGTGCCTCTGATTTCAGGCATGAGTGGTGGCGGGGGCTACGGGGGTATGGATAACATGGGCGGCATGGGCAGTTATGGAGGGAGAGACATGGCGCCCGTAGGAAGGATGGGAGGTAAGATGAGCGTATTCATCGTCACTGACTAGAGGTGAAGTTTTTCAGTTCATACTGAAAGGTGTTATTGGCAGCTTCTAAATGAGGTAAGTTTCTTTCCTGTATTTAGATATGTACCGGTCAGGAATGGGTGGAATGGATCGGGACTTTGGCCACAGTGACATGCCAATGAACCGAGGATTTGGGGATTCTTTTGGAGGAATGGGTAAGAGACGTCACCTCAGACAACACTGAATTCTTCTATACCAAACACCAGACACAGTGAATTGGGAAGGAGTCACTCTGTGTTGTTTGGTTTTGTCACGATTGATTTTGGAGAAGGATTTTATCACGTGACCAGCTGTTTGCTTCTTTGTTTACTGCATGTTCGCTGTGTTACGCTCCACGCTAATCTGCATTAACTTCCAATCTCTCCTATAGGTGGAGGTTTTGGCGGAGGCATGGGCAGTGGTGGCATGGGGCACATGGGGACTGGATTAGGTACATGAATTATTCCATTCACACCTTTTCTAAATCCATTTTAAAACATTTCTTCCCTTATGGATACACACAAGCTTGGGGAGTATTTGTAAGCAGCACTTGGATCTTCAGAAGAGCCACTGGCTTCTTTATTGTTGTTGACATTTAAAGTTAATCGTCCTCACAATTTAATAGTCTTTTGATGGTTTAAACTGCCCATAACCTAGACAGAGCTCTTAGTGGTAGCATACCATGATGTGAGAAGTCATTTGTAGTCATGATTTAATGAGTAAGTGATGGGTAATTAGGGAAGCAAGTAGTCAAAGAGGATGTCTTTCTATCAGATGGAGAAGTGTTGCCCCTTAATTGGATTTACGTCCTTCAGCACTGGTTTATAATACACGCTGAAGGAGGATCGATAGTGATATACATATATTAATGATATAAGGGATGATTTAGTGGTCAGAGCTGCAGCTGAGAGACTGCGCTTCACTGACTTCTTGTTTATGAATAAACTTCAGGAGAACCACAAAGAATTTATCATCTTGATTTAAATGCCAGAAATTGATCATTGTGGATAATCACATCTGGTGGGATGGTTTTAACGGTTTTCCAGATAATAGCAGACCATCAGTCATAAGTCCCTACATGTTACAGTTAATATGCATAAATAAGAAAATCTGTTTCCTGTTTTATGACTCAACGTGAGCGTTCCTTCCTTGAGACATAAATCTGAAATAGAGTGTGATTATAACAGGGATATAAATGACTTCATTAATTGATTTACTTCTGTCATACAAATTCAAAGATATAAAAAGTGATATCAGCTGCCTTTGGCTGCACTCTTGTCATAATTTGTGTTCACATCATACCGCCCTGCTTTAAAACGATAACAGCATGATATCATGAAGCTGATTTCAGCCACGTGAGAAGTGATGTGATTGGCTGAGAGTTACTTTATTAATTACTGTGCTGTCTGATTCCTTTTCTGCCTCAGGGAGTTGTTGTGCTCTATGCACTGCTGCATTTGCATGGACCAAAATAGCATGTGCAACTCAGTACCTGCACCACAGATGCAACATCTGGTGATTTATGCTTAATGTGCAAGAATAAAATGACCGTTAAGTTTAATACGAGATCTAAAATAAAATGAAAATGGCGTGAAGCATCATTGTTTTCATGTTTTTGTATTCACACGGTCATTTCGATATTTTCATGTAAACAGAAAAATGAGAGTCCATAGTTAGTTACTTTAATACAACCTGGTTCAAAGTCTGCTTTACATGAGTAAGCTGTGTCAAAGTGACTCTGACAGGTAATACCACTTTATCAAGTTCCATTACAGATTTACAGTGTTTACTCATGCTCCAGTCACATGTCATCATTCTTACCTAATGACAGGCGTTGTTAGATGGTTATAATTTGGCTGTAATATTTTGTGTATTGCAGTTTGGATGCGAGTAAATGTCAGTTGCATAAATCTGACCATGCTTTGCAGGATGTAATTGGTGCTCAATAGGCCGCCTTGTTTACAGTGAATTTATTTAGTTCCTCATAATAGATGTTGGTGTTGTTTAATTGCAGGTGGTGGAATGGGTAACATGTCAATGGACCGAATGGGCTCCAGCTTTGACCGTATGGGCATGTCAGGGATGGACATGAACCGCGGTTTTGGTGGCTATGGAGGAGGTGGACAGAGCCATATGGGCGGAGGCATGTCAGACCGAGGCTCTGGGTCTAAAGCCGGCTGTCAGATCTTCGTGCGAAATGTAAGTGTGGCTCACATTAGTGAGCACCATTCTTTTGTTAGATTATAAGAAGTCTTAAACTCATATGCAGGACCACAGCTCAACAGAGCCTCTTCCAGCAATCTCTCCTTTTCATTCTTCAACCTTTCTCTCCCACCCTTTTCTCCACCCTCTGTTCCCCTGTCACTAAAGGCTGAAGGGGGCCCACCATGCCTGGGAGATACGGTGGCCCCAAATAAGCTTCCCTATATTGATTATCACGAGAATTTTAACATCAAACTCGGAACCAACATTTCAGTGTGATCAATAAATAAATGTTGAATTACATCCAGTTGACTGTTCAGTCTTTGTTAATAAAAGCAGGAGTGTAGTTGCAGAGCCATCTTCGAGACCTCCCTGAATTGATAAACATTTCCTACTGAGGCATCAAGGCTTCAGTATTGATTGAGATTAAATGGGATTTATGCTTGCTGTGCATTAATATGATAGTAGTGATGCATTTAAGAACTGATACATGATTGGCTTATTGGTTGTATAATCTGTCCTTGATTTCTATGAGGTATTTAGACTACATGTTTTATTGATGCACTACTCTTTTGACGCACATCTTGGAGCATCTTTATTAAATTAAAATATGGTAATGTTGTCTAATGCATTTGCTAACGTCCATATATTTGTGTTGCAGTTGTCTTACGATCTGACATGGCAGAAGCTGAAGGAGAAATTCAGTCACTGCGGTACGTCTTCTGTTTACTCATATTTTACAGGTTAAATGACAGTTTATATTTATTACTTTTGATTACAAACCCTGAAAGACATCTCTGACATTCTTCATGAATATGAAACATGTTGAGAAAATTACAGGTAGAACAGATACATCAGCAGTTTGTTCAACATTGCAGTTTCATAATGCGTCACTTGCTTATTTTGTGTCTTGCAGGCCAGGTAATGTTTGCAGAGATCAAGATGGAGAATGGAAAGTCAAAGGGCTGCGGAACAGTGAGATTTGACTCTCCAGAGAGTGCCGAGAAGGCCTGCAGGATGATGAATGGAACCAAGATCAATGGCCGAGAGGTGGACGTCCGTATTGATCGCAACGCTTAGAGCTTTTGTAGAAGTCACGCTAACACACTTCCACATTCAGCCCTCTTGCCAATGATCTTTTGTTTTGTTTTAAAAACACAATTACTTCATATCTCCGTGTGTCCACCGTTTCATTTTTTGTTATATTAACTCCATAGCTCTTTTATCTTTCTTTTGTAAACCCTTTTTAATTTGTTAGGCAGTTTATTTGAACAAATAAACTTTTTAATTTTTAAACCTGGTGGTTGTAAAGTCTCCTGGGATCAAAGTCTTGGCAAGTTGTTGCACACATTGTGTAAAGTGGACCTGAGGTGTTGATCTATTAAGAATTACTGCTCAACACTGCCATGCAGTGGCCTCTTGGGGGCAAGAACAGTGTTTTAATCAAAAAGGCAGCAACAGGAGCAGAGTAAAAGCAGAATGGATATGGATTTCAAGTCGATTTCAAGCACAAATGGAAGGAAACTGCTTCGATTTGCGGATCTTTGAGATTGATGGTAGTTTGTGTTGTTTGCCACGTTTGATTTTACTGGCCGTGTTACAAATCACACTACTGATCTGTGTGTGAAGTCCAGTGTTAGCTTTGTGCCGGCTGTAAACACAACTCATAAAAACTGAGGTACTTAAGATTTTCTCAGGATGAACCAAGTGGAAAGATTTCTTTCTCACTATGCGTGGGTCTTTCCACTCTTCCTCACAGGCAATAAAAGCTTATCAGAGGTTGTAGATGGTGCCTCTTTTTGTCTTAACTCACCCATTGACTCAAAAAGAAGGACAAGGCCAAATGAGAATAGTTAACACCTTTATTACTTAACTCTGACTCGTCAGTTCTAGATTTATTTGACCTCTGCAGTCCTGAGGCGGCACAGTTTCTGTTTATGGGTCTTGAGTTTGACAGAAGACGTCTCAGCGCTTGATAGCTGGTCTTCACTTTATAAGTCCAGTCTGGATGTCACTGGCACACACAAGTGAATGATCTTTGGCATATTTCCTCTTATAAAGATCATCCTCTTCATGAGATGTGACCAGCACAAGTCTTTACAGTACACTATCTTTGGAAGCATGTGAGTGGGATCATGCTTCCTTGTCTTGACATTTGACGATTAATAGACTTTAAACGATTTTTGTTGTGTTTTTGGAATGTTAACAGTTCCCGATAAAATGGCTCCAGCTCTGGGAAGGTCAAATCTCAGTCACCGCACAGTCTTATAGGATTATTCCCAATAATCCCGAGCTCATAGAGGATGGAAAGTGTAGCGAAGAGGACGTAGCAAAACAGGCAAACTAATCCCAATTTCCAATCCAACTTCCATCCATTAATATGAACGGCTACAAACAGGAAGATGATGGAAAGGAGTAGTGTACAGGAAATGAAGACCAGTCCATTGCTGTTGACATCTACAGGGTTGACAGTGTCCACAAAGGCAGTCTTGATGAACCAGGGGAGGCCCAGGCACAGCATGTCAAACACGTTAGAGCCCACAATGTTCGACATGGCCATGTCAGCTTTTCCTGATTGAGGGAGAAAAACATTTGGTATGAATTCAAGTCTACCCACGCTGATCATCTGAGACGGCAAATATTATAATGTGTCCTGTTTACCTTCTCTGGCCACCATCACACTGGCCACAGTGTCGGGTATACTGGTTCCAGCAGCAAGCAAGGTGAGTCCCATCACTGTATCAGGAATGCCAAGGGTCTCACCTATGTAAACAGAGTACCAATCATAAGAGTCAGAATCCCCCTCCTCCAACATTAAGCTAAGAAGTGAACCCCAGCTGATTTGAACTGGGTTAATAAATAATCACTGGAGGCAGCGCAGTAGTGCGGATTGGAGAAATAATGAAGTCATAAGACAAAATTCTTAACAAAACCAGCCTCAGGAAATGTCTGTAAGCCTCTAACTTGGTAAAATGTTTTTAACTGTTAAAAAATATAATTGTAATTTTGATTCAGTAGAGAATAATTTGATCAGTAAACCTTCTTCTTGAGTGTGTGCAGATAAAAGATGTTAAATTCTAGTCTCAAAATACCAGAATAAGCCTCACAAAACCCCAACAGTTATTCGAGTGTAATCCCTTAAAGTAAACTTCTTTTCATGTCACTGTACACCCCCAACATTAGCTTAAAATTATTGAGGACATGAGCTTTTGCCCTCAGTGGCAGCAGTGGCTCTGATCGGAGGCGTATGTGGGAAAATATAGTCTCAGTAATCTTAATCTCCAGGGGTACCCGAGTATTAACCACATAGTTTGAAGTCCCAGTGGATCATCACCCTCCAGCTGTAGGGAAATGGCCTCGAACTCATTCTTTATGGATGACTTGTACCTGTCGGTCCCATGCCTACTCTTTCATAACTTCAAATTCTCCTCCCACGTGAGCCCATCTGAAGACTACGGAATAATAATCCCATTATACCTCAGCAGACCTACAACTGTCACATGATGGAGCTACCCTTTACTCCTGATCTTAGGTCAGTTTTATGTCAATGAATGGGGGGTAGTGGGGGATAGAGCTTCTTTTGAACCCGTGCCTGTGGACAGCTCTGTACACACGTCGGGCTCACATGATTGTGTTTCCTTGGGGGTGAAACAGACTGTAATCCTGCTGTGGCTAGCTGGGCACATGGCCCGCTGGAGCTCCAATAACCCCCCTCTTAACTTTTCAGGACAATGGCATCTCAGGAATTAGCCAGCAGACCAACATGTGATTCTACTCTGCAAATGAGACCTTTTTCTCACAAGCTTGAAACTCTTGTGATCCACAGAGGCCCTGTAGCTGGTGAGTGATGGGCTGATTTACACCTGCCTCTGAAAGGCAAAGAAAAAGTCAAGATTTTAAATAATCTCAAATTAATTAACTCACCCACTACAGTGACCATCCACACCAGGATGTATGTGAAACCTGAGATCCAGACAGCAGACATGAGGAAGGTTATCATGAACCATCTGTTCCAAAATCTCCTCCTGCAGTCGGGGATGGTGAGGAAGAGCAGAGTGATGATGGGCAGAGACAGAACCCAGAGGATGCGCTTCAAGTCGCTCTCAGGCATTGAAAACACACTTTTTTGCTCTGCTAGGAAGAGAGAAGAAACAGTTTATGAGTAGATCCTTCAGCCACATTCAGCTTATTAAGTTTACCCAGGTGGCGGTGTTCTGTTCAAGTTCTGAAGAGGCAGTGCTGTTGTGTTTTACCTTCAGGAATCTCATTGAGGCCATGCAGACTGAGGGACAGGTGAGAGTATCCTGAGTCATCCTGAAAGATCCCGCTGTCTGTCCTGGAGCGACTGTGCACCCGGAGATGGGTGTCATCATTCCAGCCCATCAGTGGCTGGATCTCGGTCTTGGCAGTTTCTCTGGTCACACAGGTGCAGCACGGGCTTATTTTCCTCAGGACAAACTCACTGATGTTAAGGTCGAAGCACAGGACCACGATGTAGAGGACATAGACCATAAGCAGACAAGCAGCGTCATACCTGTGAAAATAAAACCACCCTTCAATTTACATTTTTGACTTTGGGGACTAATGTTAAATAATCTAAATTGAAGCCCACACTATGTCAAACATTTATGGAGCTTTCACCCATAACCTCACGGCCTGCTACTTGCTCTGTTGTCAACAGGTGACCTCAGAACAGGACCTTAGTCATGTGATCACACAACAGACATAGTTAGAAGCTAACCAGTCAGACCCACCTTACTTTGAGAGGATTTCCCTTTAAGTATAAGTAGTTTAACTTAAAATAAGCGCCAGGATAGGTTCTCTTTATTTACAATACACATGTAAGTCAGAAAGTAGAACAAGTCAAATAAAGAGTTTATTAATAGGCAGATTCATGACTTATGTTATAAACTCTCAAACATGTTTTTGTTGCTCCTAGCTTGAATTCTGTTACAAAATCTCACCTCTGTTTTTTAGTATCTTTGGTACACTTACACATTGTTTACACAATACTTTTGCTCCTCTTAGAAGCAATCATATTTTATTTCCTCCTTTTTATTCACGTATACCGCTGTAATAGTGTTCTTGGCAGATATTTTATGGCATTTCTGTTTGCTGTTGACAAAACACAGTAATCTCCAGTCTATAATGAAGGCTGAATGCTGCTCTGCACTCACTTTGATTACAGTGGTGGACATTTATTAATCTGCAATGCCACTGCCATAAAATATCTGTTGGTCATTGAACTGCAATTTCAGGTTGTTTTCTTATCCATTTGATTTCCTCTCACGTTGTCACGAGACGTAATAAAAAGCTTAATCTGACTTTTGATACACACATACACTCACCAGTAAACCTTGTTATCACAGATGATGGCAATAACAGCAGCAACACTGATGCCGTATGCCAGGCAGTCCCTGAACAGTGGCCAGCAGGTGAGTCGGCCTGCCTGATGGAGGGAGCAAAAATAAATGTTTCAACAGCTTATAAAACACAATGTACACAACAAGCCTTCCGCTTTGACCCAGATAAGCAGCTGCTCTTTTGTACAGGTAGTTACAGGTAACCTTTATCAGTATATTGTCATTGCGAGGTTGCTTCAGGATGTACCATAGAGGCCAAGAGTCCACATGCAGCACAGATTCCCAGCAGGTTGTAGACAGCTGATCCAACAATGGTGCTGATCCCAATGTCTCCCTTTGTCACAAACACACCTGGCACATGCAAAACGAAATGATCTCAGGACAGTGGCAATGTGGAAAAATGAGTCTGAGGACACATTCATATAGTAGTTATGTTACAGCTCATTAGCATGGGAGTAGACGGAGACAGTGCTGATTCTGCCAGACTAATCCTCATCATTACAAAGTGAAATAATCATACTCATATTTATGTATTATTATTATTACCCAGAAAAGCTGTGACCAGTTCAGGTGCAGAACTCCCTGCTGCCATAAATGTGGCTCCTGCTACATCCTGAGAAAGCCCCAGACCTGAGAAAGAGACAAGAAACAGCAGAAGTACATCATAGTTAACACGGAGCACAGACAACAACACCCAACCAATTTATCTCACTTTAACAGAGCTCGAATAATGGGATTGAATCGTACAGTAAAGAGCTGTTATTAATTTACCTTCTGAGACAAGAGTATAAGTAATATTATATCTTGTGAAACATCAACAGCAATCTACTCATGAACTGTCTGAAAACAAATCAACTATAAAAACTGAATGAAAATATAGATATTTCTAAAAAAAACAAGCAATAAGGCTGTGCCTTTTCTGGTTCAAGCTTACATGATGAAGTTACTCTCTGCTTTTACTTTCGATATCATTCATGGTTAACAAAAACATTACATTTTTGCACATTCACAATCCATTTTTTCATTGCTATTTTTTTGCCACAAACAGTACATTAAAGTTTTTCTAAATTTTTATCACTCAAGTGAACTTTCACACTGAAAATCAAGTTTTTAGTCAAAATTAAGCATCATGAGGGTGAATGAGTATGTTGTAAAACTTGTGGGAGAGAGCCTCAGTCCATAAATCCTTATTATTCCCATACATGCACTATTACAGTTCATGTGATGATGCAATGATCCCCTTCTCTCTCACACACACAGACGCTGTACAAACACAAAGTATTTCATGTTACTTACGGTCACTGATCACTTCTAAAGATGGCAGAAAGTAGTCATCGCAGACTATCGCCACAGCCAGAAGCATGTAGAAAATAAGCATAAAATAGATGACAAGGCCTCCATCCTTCCTCTCCTGTAGAGTGAAGAAACCCTCAGGAAACTCGGTGGTCTGTGGTGAGACACAGTCTGTCTCATTCTCTGAAACAGACACGCACACACACACAAACACACACAGATGTATCATTGATGAAACCTGAAACTAACAGCCTGAACACAGTTTGCAGCATAATCTCTTAACGGGAGTTTCATGGTATTTCATGCCAATAAGTTATGAGGATTAGTTGAGCAAACACTGTCATCAAGCTATAATTGATTCCTCACAGTTGGTAAAAACATACAATAAAACCACTGAAGTTACAGTCACACAATGAACAGAATCAAGTGACCGAACCAAAATATCTAAGAGTACAGAGAGGAATTCAAACCATAATTGAGAGATCAACATCAATATCAATACACACAGAAATGATCAGAACTTCTAATTTTCTTACCAACATCCCTTCGCACCCTGGCCGGGTGGGTTTCCTGAGTTGTTTTTGCTGTAAATGATATAAGATGAACTGTGCAATACAAAAATATTACAAATCCTAAAAAGTATGGTATAAAATCTTTTCTCCTCTTTTTCTGCAGAGATGCAGTCTTACTCATGGCCATTTGAGTGAATAAAAAGTAAAATATCAAATATTCCAAGGAGTCATATGTTTCTTTGAGTCTAACAAGTTTTCAGAGATTTAATTTGAGCTAAAGCTGCTTGTAACCGCTGCATCTAACACTACTCTACGACTACAAGACGCAAATAAAGGGATTATAGGGGGGAGAAAGCATCTTTTAAGGGCTGGCACTACCAAGTGTGGGGGATCACGAGTTGTTAGGCATTCCAGTCGACTTGAACAGACTTCAGCCTGAGGCTCATCGGGGGTGTATCTAAGTATAAAACCCCCTTTACACAGTCCTTTCACATCTTTCCATCTGGAAAATTGGCTGTCTCTCTTCTGTTAACAGAATTATATCACAAATTTACATGCTTAAAAACATTTGTGAACATTAAGTAGTAGTGGCGCCAAGGAATTATGACTGGGGGAGGTGTGTGTACATATGTAGGTGAAGGTATTTGTGGCAGGTGCCAAAAACTAATGACGCTTAAGATGATTACAAATGTAAACAAACAGTAGTGCAACACTAGATATAGTTAGGAAATTAAATGTCCGTCAATACAATTTATATGCAAGCACAAATTACTCTGTAATTTATGAATGAACAAACATTTCATTTAAAAAAGTACACAACAATAAAGATGAACAATCAAATCCAAATAAGCTCCACAAAAGCATCAATAAATTCCTCTAATAGTTTAGATGTATGCAAAACGACAGCACAGATTACAACCGGAGAGGTACATTAATCTTACTTGACATGTAAATAGCAACACTCAACTGCTGCTGGCTAGCAGCTGCTTGTCAGCTGAGGCTAATGCTCCCCTAAGACACGAAACATGAACAGGTAGCTTGATTGATGTTCCTGAACATGTCCATGGTTATCATGATAGGTCTGACAGTGTTTTTCATCACTGTCCTTTCAATCCTTCATCAAAATAATGCAATATCTTCACCTAAGTGATACATTTTATGGCTGAATTAACAGTCATCAAGTGTTGCTGCTATGATTATCTCCAAAGATGTTGATGGCAGAAGGATACAATATATGATACTATATGAAACGATAAGATGCAGTATACTGGCAAATGATATCTAAAACATTGCAAACAATACCAATCAGGGCCTAAATCTGTGCAAGTTGAAATTTTACAATGTTTTTGGTGCTTAATTGAAAAACATACTGGGAAAAATATGTAGATTGTTAGAAAGAAAGTGGTAATCTGAAAAATGCACGTTTATTTTGATGCATAGTCAATGATGAGCAGCATAGGCCTTAAAAGGGAAATTACACCATTTTGCAAGAGAGATAAGACCATCTCCATTAAAAGGCCAAAAAATAATTTATATTGACATAGGCTAATAATCCGCAATTATCCTCGACACCAACCTAATTAAAAAAAAGACCCAGAACGAAAAGGGTGCGTGCGTGTGCGTGTGCGTGCGTTTGGGGAGCGACGGGGTGTCCTCAGACTTGCCTTGACATGCCCCAAACTTCCCGTGAGTCCTCAAAACAAGCGGACATGTGCACATACATCAAGAAATCCACCACCAGCCAAAAGGACTACAGGACAGTGTCTTGAGAGCAGACAGGGACCTGCAGGAAAGTGGTAGGAAACTTTGTTGACTTCACTTTGCAGCGGTTCCCCATGCAAACAAAGCTGGCGTGTGCTGAAATAAGCAGGTTTGTAGGTTAATTGAATTTGCACACATCGTGAATGTTAGAGAGATTACCTGATCATTAGTAATCTGCTTGGCATTAAGGTTGCGTTGGTAATCCAAGCAGGTCAGCAGAATTCGTCAGCACTTGCCACTGTTGTTGTGATGGTTGATTTTGAGTGAACTCTTTCATTAATGTGAAACTCAGCAGTAGGTAAAGGGCACCACCGTGTGGTGTAAAGTCTGATGTTGATGTACAAACTCAAGTCTTACCAAGGGAATTTGTCAAATTTCGTTTCTAAATGTCTTATTCATCTTCAAATTGGCTCACCTTACCCTGCCGGGTCATTGAGGTCAGGATTTGTTGAACTGTGTGTAAAAAAAAAATCCTGACAGACAGTCAAAAAGTGTGAAGGCCTCATTTCAGCCTTAATTTCAAGCACATTTTTGATGAAATAAAACATACAAGTGTTCGATCAGTATATCACAATTTGCTTACGTAAGGAACAAGAACATTTTTTAGAGTAAGTAAATGATTTTATTAAGAGCAAGTGATACCAAACAAGACACCCTATGATCCAGGATTCAGTTTTTTTTTTTTAGTTTAGTCACGCTGGATCCAAGTTGTCTGTCATGGGGTTGAAATGAAAACATCCTTTGGTGGGTGAAAAAGGGCTCATTATGATTTAATATTAGTGCCTAAAGTGGGAAAATATAATCTCCAAGGTCTGACTCGTCCACAATCAGATTCAGTGATCAGAAATATGATTATTTTATGTCATTTTTCCAAAATGGTAAGGACCAAAAGGCACTGGTTTGCCTTAAACAATAATTACTTTGGAGGAAGATATTTTATTGTATTAAGATTTTTTTTATTTCTCCTACCCCACCACCATGGTTTAAAAGCAAGTACTCAGTATCCAGTAGTTTAAGTACATTTCAAATGATATACAGTATCTATCTATCTATCTATCTATCTATCTATCTATTACTTACATTTTACTTCTACAAAGTTAAGATCATGGAGTTTCAACAGAGTAACTGGACTTCTCTAATGAAAGATTGTGGGTTAGGGGGATGTTAGGTGAACATCTTGACCCATAGAGGATGAGCTGTCGTCCAAACTTCTCGTCTTACTACACACTCTTCTTTTTTCTGTTTTGGGTCATGTGGGCCACGAGAAACCATGTGATAGGGTTGAAAATATTGGTTTTGTTTCTACTTGGAGTCTGGTTCTGCTGAATGTGACAGTGCTGTAAGTTTGTGTTGTGATATTAAGTGGTTTTGCTGGAGGATATGATGAACAGTAACAGTTGGCTCTGGGACCTCAGGGCTAACTGTCGAGCTTCCCTGACTCTGAGGTGTTGTGTGGCTAACTTAAAGTAGTATAAACTCTTACCAGTAGAGGGCGTGATGGGACAGGTTTCTACACTTAGTGCTCGCCCTTCTTTTTAATAAATATCTTGTATTTCTTAAAATTACAAATGACTGGAGTATAATATATAAATATTCTTCTGACCTGAAGAAATGTGCAGCTGTTTGTGTCTCTCATGGATGCCATGGAGCTCTGAAGCATTTAATAATGAATGTTTTATGTCGTGCTATGAATGAAAGTTTTTGATAAACAGTATTTGGTTCCCCTCATATTTGATATCAAAGGACTAAAAAGGTCTAGATGAGCTGTGACCCCGATCTTAACTGTTAATTTATTCATGTGTGTCCTCGTAGAACAGTCTAGAATAAAACAAAGATTCCCACAAAGACATGATAAATTCCTTTAGGATGAAATCATCTGTGTTGACATGCATATTTCAGGTATGATATCATACTCACACTTAATGAGCTCTGGTGTTTTGTTGTCATATGTTGCCACCCTGATGTTTGTTTGTATCCCTGCCCAGATCTTTCTCTGACCTGAAGATGTCAGTATTGGAGCAGGAATTCTTGGGTGTGTTATGAAAACGTGACTGCAAAATTCACACCTGTATTGTTAACTGGACACACAAAAACACTTTTTTATTATTTTGACTAATTCAGCAGGATTCATTCTTTGCTCAACTGCCCACTGCTTCTGGTTAAATATTGTACTTTCAGGAATTTAAGGGTCATAGCAGCACCATTGTTCTTCTTATCCAGACCTGTGTGCTGCAGCTATATTGACAATAAATATCAGGCTGGATTTCATTGACGGATTTTTGCCCCACTCTTATAAATAAATGAAAAGCACATTCTGCAGCGGTCGCTGGTCTGTGGTTTCTGTGCTGGAGCAGCGAGGTAAAACACCAGCTTGGCAAAAAACCTTTCCATCTCATTTGTCATTTGAAGCCTCTCTGTGTCTCCCAGTGTGTGTTTGTGTGTGTGTATGTGTGTGCTTTCACTTGTGTGTAAGAGGATACAATGGAAACTTGACAATGCCCTGTTCCATCTCAGTTATCACTGGTATGCCAGCAGAGTGGAATAAAGCCTTTTAAGTACCTCTAAGTATCCAAAGATGGGGTAACTTTTTTAAGGCAAGTGCACATTAGAAGAAATCTATTTTTGTCTTGGATGAGAAATAACCACGAGGCAAAAAGAGAAGTGGTACTTGTCAGTTTGCTTTGACAACAGTGAACTCACAGAAAATAGGGGAAGAAGAACGAGCCAAACTGGAAGAACTGGTTGAGTCTCTTCAGTCCTTGTTATACAAGGAAATGTAAGCAGCTTTTGCTTGTTTCACAAGACTGCTGTGTGTTTCTGACCTATGTTGGTGCAATTACCCTTATCATTTGCTTATCGCGTCTTGGCTTCTCATATGCTGTTCCTCGGCACTCGAAACAGCACAGGTCTGTGTGTTTTTTGTACTGCAACTTGTTGAATAGCAGCACCCTGCCCTCTGAGAGGAGTGCTCACTGTTCAAGGTTCAGGAAGATAACGAGAGGTGAGTGGCTGACGCAGAGCTCGTGTTATGTTACCAAAGACTCATATCAGATTACAGGAGACAGCAGGTTGAGTGAAACTGTAGCTGAGTTCAGATCGCTGTGGCTCAAACAAACCAGGAACTGGGACTTACAAAGGACTTTGAAAGGCGCTAAAGGTGCTAACAAGAGGGCTTCCTGTTGTTTTGAAGAGAGCGTTACCATGGGTAAGAAGACACAACACTGCCTGCTGCTTTTGCTCTGTTTGTCAGGGCTTGTTCCCTGCTCAGCCATGGTGTTTTGGACAGCTGTGGTGGATATAAGCTATACTATCAGCAACAATCAGACTGTAGACAAGTATTGTGAGTGTGGGGTGTATGGTCGCAACTCTCCCCTGGAGAAAGCTTCTGGCATTGTGACTCTTCCCAAGGGAGACCCCAAAGGCTGTGGCCCAGATCCTGTCTACAACCGCAATGCCAGCTCGCTACCGTGGATCGCCCTGATTAAAAGGGGCAACTGTACCTTCAGCGAGAAGATAAATGCGGCCAAACGACAAGGGGCAGCTGGCGTGCTGGTGTACAATGCGGATGGCACGGGCAACACCACCACTCATATGGCACACTCGGATGCACCTGGTGTCGTGGCGGTCATGATTAGCAACTTTCAAGGTATGGAGATTGTAAAGTTGGTGAAGAATGGGACTGAGGTTCAGATGCTCATCGATGTTGGCAGCCCCCACGGACCCTGGATGGATAGCTATTGGCTCTACTTCTTGTCCATCGCGTTTTTTGTTGTGACAGCAGCTGCGATCACCTACTTTGTTTTTATCTCTGCAAACCGCCTCTACAACCTGAACAGGCACAGACGCACTGAGAGGAAGCTGAAAAACGAGGCAAAGAAGGCCATCGGACGACTGCAAGTACGTACGCTAAAGAAAGACGACGAGGAAACGATGAACGACTCCAACATGTGCGCTGTCTGTATTGAGTCCTACAAGGCTGGCGAAGTGGTGACAGTTTTAACCTGTGATCACATCTTCCATAAAGCCTGCATTGAGCCCTGGCTGCTGGACCGGAGGACCTGCCCCATGTGTAAGTGCGACATCTTGAAGGCCTTGGGGGTCGAGGACGAGCTGAAAGACAACATGTCGACTGATTCACCACCAGATGTCACTGTGGTCACAGTGGCAGGAGGAGAACCCTTGTATGAAGTCCCACTGACTGACCCAGGGAGCTTTGACCCAGAGAGACATCAACATCTCTATGACAACAGGGCCTTTGAGGGAGACTCAGAGGCAGCCAGAGGATGAACAACAGCTACAGAAACAAAACAGCAACAATCTAGGACACGGTCAAATCCCTGTGAGAGAGATATTTGTCTGGGACACATGACACCAGATTCGAGGAAATTCAAAGAATGAAAAATGTTAATGGACGTTTTTCTGATTTTTTTGGATGCTGTTGCAGTTTCTTTGTGTCTGTTTTTGGCTTAAGTGTGAAGTTTGTGGGTGTGTTCATGCGGCTACCTTAAAATGGTTTAATAGCTTGTGAACACAGAAAAAATGTGGCGTGTAGTCAGTGTCAAATTGCTGTTTTGTGTGGTGACCACACCAGCTCTGCTGTGTTTATGAGGGAAGTGTAGAGGATCATCTGACTATCCGTTTGAACCTGGGGCCAAAGTTTACTGAACGATAAAAGCTCTTGAGCTTCTATTGTCCTTCAAATCCACAGCTGAGTTAGTGTCCCTTTGTAAATTAACTTCAAACAAACAGACTCTTCCTCTTGCTCTTTTTTTCCAATTTTATGAGTCACGATGACAGAGAGAATATGCTAACACACCCTTCTGAACACACCCATGACTAGAAATGCAGGATGGCACACATTGCACTAAAACGTGTGAATAATATCTCCCGAGGGCCGGCTCTCTGTAGAAACATGTTTTCCCTATATTCAGTGAAAAGTTTCAGACATTGTGATGGTTGTAGGCTGGTTTGTGGTTGTCTCATTTCGCAATAGATTGACCCACGGTTACATGACGGAGCAATAAACCACATAGGAACTGTACACAGCAAGCATCCAGAGACTGTAATCTGACTGTTTGTTAATTATCTTTATGATGTTGTTTTGGACATGATGTACTGTTTGTATACTGAGATCGATCTGTAAATCATGAAGTTAGAATAAAGATAAGCCTAATATATATGTACAGTACTCCCCTGACAGCTGATTCTGTATGTAAAAGCACAAATGGTTGAACAGGTCTTCCAAGTTTTACCTTCGCTTGTTAGGTATAAAGTTTATCCAAACCTTGTGGTCTACCTCTGCACTTTCTGTACATTTTGTGCAAGATCCCTTTGAAATCTAAGTGTGTCCCTCAGTGAGTGAAAAAACTACAGAATTGTTCTTTCTTTATCTGCTGGTGGGGATGTGCTGATTATGGTACTTCAAATATTTTTCTATATTGAATCATTTTCGCCACTGTTGAACAGATTCCAGGAGTCTTAAATTGTTCTGTGTAAATGAATATTACTTGCTGTATTAAATCACATTGATGCTTATTAGAATGCAATAAATCCCTCAAAATGAGGCCAACTTTATGAGCAGACTGTGTGTGCTTATAGGAGTGCTGTTTGCCTGAGTGTGTGTGCGTAGAGGGGGGTGTAACTTAAGAGTGTGTCTCAGTCCACATCAGACAGGTCTGTGTGTGGGTCGGAGGTGTCTCACTCTCAGAGTTATGATCTGGTGCCCAGTGACCGTTGGTTTTGGGGGAGCTGTAATTACCTCTGCACAGGTGGGAGCTGATCTGCACACGCCTTGAGCCTGAGCTGGATAATCATCATATGGTATAAGTAGAAAGGCCTGACGGAGCAGCACAGATATGCAGCTGTTTGGTGAATGAATGGAAAATTTCTTTTTATTGTCTTTCTATTGTGTTTTATTGGTACATCTAAAGCGCTGTCTAAAAAGCAATTACAATTTTTTTTTTGCAAAGCTGTCGAAGATGTTTTCTGAGTCATTCAGGACTTTGCACTCATTTGGTCATAAACAGGTACTATGAAACCTTTTTGACTTTTTATGCCTCACAATAAAGTCACACCCATTTATGACCCTTAAGAACAAGTTATGGCTTTAGTATAGACCTTATCCTAGTGTGGTTTCTCTCCTTAGATTGACTGTTATGAAGGTTTGTTCAAGGTTTGAAGAGGTAAGAGGACAAGAGACAGATTTAATATCTAAAAGTAATAAATTTGGTGTTATTTCACACCAACTTTCATATATCAGATCAAAATCAAATACTATTTTTCAGCCTTTTTGATATTCACCTTGGTGCTTTGGTTCAATATTTATTATCCAAGACAGCTTTGGTCCCACTCTGCCTGTCCCCTCCTTGCCCTGATAACCCCTCAGTGTTCATGTTAATAGTTATTTTTCCTTTGAACATTTCAGCCACTTTTATCTAAATGCAGAAAGTCTTAAAAGTTGCCAGAGGGTTGAGAGCTGATTTAGCACACTTTAAGAGCAGAGAAAAATAAACGTCTTAAAATTCTGTGAATGACCGAGCAGGTTTAAGCTATGTGAGGAGTAATATTGCAGTGAGAAAGGTTGAAAGGTGAAAGTTTCGAAGCTTAAGTAGTTTAAAAATTATAAAGCATGTGCAAAGGGCAGAGGCTTCTCCTCTCCTCTCCTCTCCTCTCCTCTCCTCCTGTGGTGTCTCATCTTCTCTGTGAGATCAGTGTGCTCTGGATCTCTGGCCAGCGCTGTAAGCTCAGATTCATAGGTCAGATGGTTATAGTGGTATCACAGCGAGGACAGAGAATCAATACTGAACTAACTGGCCGGGCTGGGAACAACTGGCAGACTGTGGGTCAGAAGCACGTTCTGCTCAGCAGTGGCACTCCTCTGATTTATTACAGTTGTTAAAGAGAAAATTGAGTCAGAAGGTTTTCATTTAATGGCTTGCTAGTCTGAGACTGTGCTCTAATACCGCACTTGACCTTCAGCTTCAAACTGTAGAATTTAGTGCTGGGACTTATCTTCACTTAAAAGTGTAATAAAAGTAAATATCAGTTTGTCTTAAATAACAGTAAACCTGTAAGCTTTAGCTGCAGTGATGTTTTAATAAACACTCTGACACATTGCTTTATTTTCAGGATAGTGTCTCATGCTCTGTTGTGTCTCATTTTCCACTTGAAACTTCAATAACAGCTCTGCAGCTCCACCTGCTGGACAAAATCCTAACTGCAATGACTTCGCATTCAAACCCAGTGGAGGTAAAGCTGGACACAGGCTGGTTTCAGCCTTTCACTTTGGTTTCAGTGTACCGGGGGAATTTATTACCTTGAGTGGGAAGTACAGGGAAATAAATCTTTCCATTAAGACACACAGCACTTTAGAGGCTGTATAATTTAATGGAGTGAAGTTTTATACACATATCAAAGGTGAGGGATCTAACAGCATCATCAAAAACAACAACAATAAAGAGGTGAGGCTGACACGTCTACTCAGAAATATTTAATGATCTCACCGAGGTCAGTATGATGTGAATATTTAAAAAAAGGACATCAAATTATTACCCTGATTAATACCTAAGGGCTAAGGAAAAGTTGTTAAAATAGAAATTACATACACATATTTTCTAGACTCATGAGGATTTTTAAACCTTCCTGAGTCCTCTTACCCGTTTATCAAACCTTGGGGCTATAATGCATTTAGTAGTTACAATCATGTGATTTTTTTTCTTCTGCTTTTATGCCAACAGCAGAATCATCCATAGTTAAATTGTTCTGCATTTCAAAATATATTTTTTAAATCTGTAAAGTAAGCCTTATCTTTGTCTTTAACTGGAAATCACATGAGGGCAGTCAGATGACACACACACACACACACACACACGTCAGTGAAACATTACTAATTTGGTTGTCTGTTGACATCAGTCTGCCTGTATGCTGAGTTTCCAGGTAGAGGCAAAAAGTCAAAGTTCTCGCACACACTTGTTCACTTGTTAGGCAGGTCTCATTTAAGTTTTTAAAGTAAAATACACCTTTCAGATGCTCACGGGTGCTGTTATCATGATGGCAAAATCAGCAGGAAACAGCAGGACAGAGCAGTGACTTGAACAAGGTGTGCCACAAGGAAAAAAACAACAACATATAATAGAAGTGTTGTATTAATTGTGGGCCTTAAAGCCACCATAAATGCATCAACACTGACAGTCCTAGTTTTCCCTCCTTTTCAAGACAAACATTCGTCTGTATCTGTTTATCAGTTCATTAATCTGTCCCTCTGTCTGTCCGTCCAGCCTCTTTTCTCTGCTCCCTTGTGCAGCCTCAGCAGAGTAAAAGAAAAGTCGGTCTAATTAAATTACTGTAGTTGCTTTCCTCTTTGCTGCTGTTGTCCCAGACTGTCTGAGTCATTATCCAAATGAAAGAGGGAAATTTGATTACAAAAGTGCAGTCCGGTATAAATGAATCCATTTAGCCGGTAAGTACAACATAAAGCATTTCTTTCCTCTCTTACTGCTTACACTGAGTATTAGATCAAACTCTCTGAAAGATTCATGTAATCCTCCTCTCGGCTTTCTGGCTCAGTGAGGACATGCAAATCTTAAGCAGTGTTTCAGTTTTATGTTCCTCAGTAGTTCTTACTTCAGAATAAGGTTTATATTTCTATGACTTGAGTTTTTCTGTTTGCTGCCACTATATCAAATCAGGAAAAGCCCTCCTCACACGTCTCACATATTTTTCTGCTTGAATTTAACTTCAGCTTTGTCCAGGTGTGAATCTTTGCTTCCTCTTGCTGTTGACAGCCTTTCCTTCCTCTTGTTGTTCCTCCGGTAGATCAGATAGTCGCAGTGGCACGGGACAAAACAACTGTCATCCTGCGTCACTGTCGTTTCCTGTCCCGTCCTTTGACACGTTGGCCCGCTAACCCTGCTTTGCTCCCCTTTTCCTGCTGACAGATAGCAAAAAGGCCAAGCAGGCACATGAGGTTAGAGGAAAGGTTAGAGGAAAAAGAGGAAGAAACAGCTTTTCCCCTCAGACTCTGTGAGGAAGGAGGTGATGCCGTAAAGTTATCTATATCACAACATTTCGAATGACCTTAAAAGAGAAAACACACACTCTTTTTATGTGTTCCCTTCAGTTTAAAACTCATTTTTAATTTTTAATTCAATGGATCTGCTCTGGTTAAGCTGCCAAATCAGCTGCAGTGAGGAGAAGTGTGCCATCTGCTGGACAAATATGAAGCCAGCAAAAACTTACAAAAGTTTGATGACTTGATTTCAGAGTTTGTTGATGTAGAAGGTTAATATTTAGGGGGGTTTAAAAAAAAGTGGTCAACTGCTTATAGTTCAGTGACCAATACTGATACCAATTATAAGGGAGCTGATCAGTTTATGGCCGATATAGATAATGCTGATATCACATTGTGTGTGTTTTTTTATTTTTGTTTTTTATTTTTATTTTTTATTTTGCACTTGATGGTGATACAACTCTTAAATAAAACAATTTTAAAAACTGCTGACATTTAGTGACTTTCTAATTAAGAAGATGTAAATGGAAAAATATTTGGCTTAGTTAAATGTCACCAGAAAGGACTTTAGGATTTCTGTCTATCTCTCTAAATGGTTAAGAAAGACAAATAATGTAAAGTTAATACATTATTGTAAAAACCTCTTTGTAACTGAGATTTTAAAAAGTGCTCTTTAAATGAAGATTATTATTAATATTTGGGTTAAAATATAAAAAGAAAACCATGTACAGATTCATTATTCCATACACACTGAAAAAATCGATACATCAATATCTTGGCTATTTATGTGTTTAAATACATTTTTAATGAGTTAATGGAAAGACACAGATATTTGGTTTACGCTATAGGTTGGTAAAAATGGCTGGTATTGCTGTGATTACAAAATGTTACAATACAATACAATATTACTCGTCAATGAATGTTTTTGATTTGATATGCTGTGAAGGGGGGATGAGAAAGATGTGTTATTATTTAGAAAAGATGACAGGGACCTTGTGATGGAAGCTGATATAATGCTAATTAATTCAAAATGCCATTAATTTGCCAACCAGTTAATTGGTTCAATTCTGCATTTATACGCTGGTCTCTTCATGGCAGGATAGATGTATGTGGCAGTGTTACAGTTATCAGCCTTTTCAACAATTTTAGGTGGTAAGGATTTATTGTAAAGTTGCATGTGAGACATCAAAAGTTTTAAAGGGTGAGATTTTTTTTTGTCATGAAGCACTTTTGGGACATAAACAGGATGAGATCAGTAAAGACAGAGGTCTTACTGCTTTGTCCACAGGGGGCCCTGTGATTGACAGAACCAGGAAGGCCCTCACAGGAGCTTCAAGGACGAGCAAAATGAAATCTGATTCTTCCGCTCAAGGAAACCCTGAAGGCCCTTTTCACCTTTTTACTGCTGCTAAACAATGAATCCAGAAATTAACCAGCAGAATAAATAAACAATGATGGAAGGGATGTTAGTAGCAGCCCTCTGAGTTGATAGTCATAAGAGTTATTACCCCTGTGTTTTGCAGACCCTGCTGTGTGGTGCAGGACACATTTGGTATTCTCTACTGCTGCTGCAGATTCCAAACATTCCCAGCATTTGTGCATGTGATTACCTCAGTGCTACCCCAATCTATCTATCATCTATTCTACCAACACACACACGTCAGAGAGAGAGAGAGAGCTAGAGACAGACAAAGATAAAAAGAGCTCCTCTGTGTGCCTCAAGAGAAACCCCGCTTTAAAGCCGAAAAGGTCTGAGAAACACGTCTGCATTCACAATCAGCCTCTGTCTCAGCAGCCAAAGTGATGCCTCAGCACTGAGCCGGCACCTGTCTGGGACCAGCTCTATACTTATCAAACCAATTTGCTCAGTATGAACTCAGTCTGTATGAATCCTGTGTGGTTTCCCCAGTCAATTGCCCTGTTTGTATACACTGTATGAAATGATTTGTCAGCAGTCTTCAGTCTCAGCGATCGAGCTCGTGTGCCATCACACGCTGGAAAATATCCTCTTGTCTCACTCTGAATGTTGATGGCCTCAGGCGAGGTTTCAACTAAAGTTTTCCTCCAAGAAGAAACCGCCACTCAGCACACTTTGACGATGTGAATCAATGATCAAGCTGCTTTTCATCAACTCCTGCCATTTTCTCTAATTTCATTCATGCACGTATTACTGGGGGCTCACTTTGCAGAAATGTCAATAGCTTGTGAAAGTAGGTGCGTGTGTGTTTGTAGACGTGTATGTGTGTTTGTGTGTCATGCTCTTTCCCAGCAGTCCATCCATCCAGCCTGATTAACTCCTCTTGTGTCCTGTTGCCCGCGGCGATTAATTAATGACCCATTTGCTTAATTGCAGAGAGTTAGCAGGACAAAGACACAGAGGCAGTACCTGAGGGAGGGAGAGGGGGCCAGGGGGGTGTTTGCGTTTGGATTTAAACTTGAGGGAGAAAGCAGGTGATAGAGGAAACAGAAAAAAACCTAAATAGATGAAAAAGTGAGGTTCACACGTCCCAGCTGCCGTGCTTGTCGTTGCTGACTAAAATAGCACTTTTCTGTCATGTTATGTCTTTGTGTCACCATCCATTGTGAGCGTGGTTTTGTATGTGTCCAAAAATGACAAAACAGAAGCTTCAGGTTTGTGTCTGTGTCTCTTTCTGTGTCAGTGTGTGTGTGTCATTGTGCTGAATGTGCTTTCCTGAAAGCAGCACACATTGTCAACAGTCACCCGTTCGCTCCGACCATCTGTCACAGGCCTGCCTGGGCTTCCCTACACAGTTTGTCCACAAGCTGTGGCTGCCATTTGGTTTCCCAGTAAAAGTCACTTGAAGGTTTGTCCTAATTTTTTTGTACACCCAGGGTCAGAGCTGGGACATGGCCCAACTCGAGCTGCATGTTTTTGTAGAAAAACTCACTAAAATCACTGTGGATTTTAGCCAGGCTTTTGTGTTTTTTTAAACATTTGTAGACTGTTTACTATATTCTAAAATAGGCAACAAAAAGCATGACTGATCATTCAAAATTAGTTTTATTTATCTGTTCTTTGTTAAGGAGTGGTGATGTTTATCTAAAGTGAAGTATTTTTACAGTCTAGTTAGGGATATATGAAGTGAAACAGTGAGGGATAAATTTAGACCTTGTTTTTTAGACCTGACTTCATCTAAACTGTCTCTGATGAACAATAAAGCTCTAAATGTTTTTGTGTTTTACTTTATAAGCAAGCAGCTGCTGAAGTAGGACAAGTCGTGGTTTTTGCATTTCATGTTTGTCTCTTATCGGTGTGTTTCAGTGTGTGTTTTCTTCAGGTTCCTCATGCCATGTCACCGTGTATGCCATTGTGGGTTATGTCTGCGTACACAGCAGGAACAGCTTTCATAAAGTGTAGAGTAATAATACAGAATATGATGGTGAAGGGAAGGGAAGGAGGATGATTCGATAGAGGGGCAGGTAAAAGCTGCAGAGAAAGGGAAATGTCAGACGTTAAAATATCAAGAAGTCGTCTAAGACTGAACTGTAAACATGTAGAGGGAGAATTATCTTTGAATCACATAACTAGTGTCTGTGTGTGCATTAATCATGTAGTCATGTTGAAGAGTAAGAAGTTTGCCTTTTGTTTGCTCTATGAATTATTTCTATTTACCCATTTGCTGGAGCTCAGATTTTCCTGCCAAACTCTCTTGATTTTCCTTTTTGTCCAACAGGTTATTTTTAATTTTTATGAACCAGCTGGTGGTGCATGAAAAGCAGTTTTAACTGCACACATTTCACTCTTGGCTAGACTCTGTTCATTTAGTGGAATCAGCTCAAGTTTTTATTTAAATAACTCCTTAACGGCTCGCTGTGTTTCGCCATACCATCACAGGAAACGGTTATAATCTTAACGGTTCCTTTTGACTGTATTTAGTGCAGTAAAATTTTACACACGAACGGTCACAGAACAATCAGATAAGCAGCAAGCAGGAAAGAAACCGTGATAAGATCATGACTGTGCAATTTCTGTAGTGAGCCTTTTATGTTGTGATGCTGTCAACGCTGAAAACAGGTCGTAAAAGTTGCTGTTCAATCTTTATTGCCAACAAATACAACAAAATAAATTAGGTGTGGATGAGATTTGGAAGAACAGATTGCTCCTTGACATTTTGTAGCAACCAATGATAACTTAAAGCTCCTGTGAAGGTCTCTCTGTTTTGATTTGGTTCCCCTTGTGAACAAAGTGATATCCCTTATCTCTTCAATGTCTGTAGTATTTTCTGACAAGTTTTCTCCTGATGTAATTTCACACTCAAACCCAGAACTCCCTGTGAATATTTGCAATGGAAAAATTAAGAAAATCTATTTTAAAGCAGGTTGTTAGTGGTCGAGTCTGTCACCTACCTTCACGCAGCAGTTACAAACATCAAAATTATGGTGTAGAAATAGTCAGTCATATTGCTGATGATCATCTTTACTTAAAAAGGTCATAAAAAGGTGTCAGTGTTCATTTTAGTCGGTCCAATAACAAGCTTAAAACTCCTCACAGGAGCTTTAACAACACACAACACAAAGTAGATTCTCCATAATGTGATAAAGCGGCTCTTAAAGCTTTTTCTTATGCTGATATCACAATATTTTTAAAGTGGGTGGGGCTTATGGACTACCTAAAGGGGACTTTATGCTTCAATAAATCACTATATGTGTCTGAATATGTGTGGTTGAGCTGTGTGTAGGGCCTGTTTGTAAGTTTTTGAAGGCAAACGCTTGCAGTGAACTTTGTGTTGTTGGAAAAGACAAAAGGTGTTGTTGTTGCTGGAGAATAAAAGACGGCTTTGTCCTGACTTTCTATATGTGCAGGCATGAGTTACATCCAAGCAAGGCTTCCTTTGTCCGAGCAATGGGATAGCTGCTCTGTGGCAGAGCCGAGGGCCGAGTGGGGGATGGGTGTAGGGGTGTGTGCGGCGCTGGGTAACAGATACGAGTCTCCGGCTTCAGGTGGGGTCATCTAGAGCATCATGTGACTCAGCGTACATACAAAGAGGATCTTGGCCTCTGGCTGGAAGAGGATTGTTACGCAGATGAAACAAAAAAGAGGGAATCACTTGACAAAGTTTGTTTGTGTGCAGATCCTCCAAACCGCAGCCGCAGCTCTTTGTGAGAGTTTCCTGTGTGGTCTAGACTGAGCTGGGATTTGTGGTTTAGGTGAGGTAGCGTTGCCACCAGGGGAATATCACGAAATGGTTTATGATGTCAGGGAAGGTAGCGCCATTACAAAAACTGTTTATAAATGGTTCCTAGGCTGTGGCTCATGAATCAGTTAATGATTATGATTAATTACTGTAAGTTATCTAGAAAACGAATTACTTTTTTCTCAAAGAGCGTTTGGGCCACAATCCATTTATCAACAAGGAATTAACATTTACAAATGCAGACTTAAGGAACAGTGTGGAAAAAAAACCCCACACATTACCAATGATTCATTCACAGCAGACAGGATAATTTTTAAGAAATGAGAAAACAGACCAGCTACTACTCGCAGATGTTCCTGCTGCTAGCCAAGAAATTTTCAGGAACACAAACCATGTTTTTTTTTTTTTGTTGTTTTTTTTTGAGCGGGTTAAATGAAGAAGCTGTGATATCTGCCCTCTGGACAGTTCAAGGCAGGACTGTAGTGCCCTTAAAACATCTTTCCTTTAATATAAATGCTGAAGGCTAAAATAGAAAAATTTCACCACCACTACTCTGTAACACCTTCCTGCCATTGCATCCACGTTAGATCCATAATGCTATGAATTCACACAAAGGGACACCAGTTTTCGTAATCTTTATGTATATAGGACTTTACTTAACAAAGTTATTTAGTGCTTCAAAAATAACTTAAAATACTTTTAAAAAATCTTGGTTATAGGGCGAAGAAAAGAGAAGAAGCAGAGTGAAAGTCTGTTTTGAAGAAGATGTCTAAAAGTGGAGACAGATTCAGTTCACTGGATTTCAGCTGCTAACAGAGTTTGGGAGCCCTGACTGCAGAGCCTGATAGCTTTTAAACTTTAAACAGGCTCTGGGTCAAACCGGCAAACCACTATTAGTCCATCTTAGAGTGCATACGGACCCATGGGGAGTAAAAAAGGTCAATGTGAAACTGAGGAGCCTGATCATGTAGAGCTTTAAAAGTTTTTATGAAAGTTGTAAAAATCAATACAACAAAAAATACAAGGAGCCAGTTTAGGGGCTTGGATTGGGGTTGATCAATCGAGCTGCAGCTTTGTGAACTAATTTAAAGCAATGAACAAAAAGCAATGATATATCTGAAGAGGGAGCATTACAGAAATCCAAACGGGGTGAATCAAAAGCATGAATGACCTATGGTAAATGTCATTTAAATGATAAATAATTTAATTTATTTTAACTGAAAAGAGACAGACCCAAAAAATCTTAATAAGCGGGACATCAACCAAAAGCAAAGCTCAGAATCAAATGCAACACATATATTTCTTTTGTTTTCCAAGTGGTCCAAGGTTGAAGGATAGTTGTATATATTAAACTTTTGCTTGATCAGTTAATGACGGCTGAGCCATGTTGTAGTGCTGTTGTGGAGTACACTGTTATATGATCTGTGCGAAACTGCAAAGATATGGTTGGAAAAGTTTTTTTTTAAAGTTGAAATGAGCTTCTCAGGCGTAAAGCTTCATAAAATGTCAAACTTTTCTTACCCCTGAAGAAATCTGTGATGCTGGTAGAGATTAAACATGATTTATAAAACATGAGTTAAGTTTGTTAATCATTGTCAGTGTTGTGTCTTATTGGAAAGTGGTACTGACCTACTTCAGACACACTCAACATAAACACGGATAAAACACTGCCCCTCTCTCCACACACTTTCTCTCTCTTGATCCTCCTTGTAAATAAATGTAATTTACAGCCACTGAGCGCGCGGTGGGCCTTTGGAGTTCCAGCTTGGCAAACTCGACTAAATCAACTCTGACTTCAACAACAAATCTAAGCGCAGGTTGGTCATCGAGGAACTGCGAGGATCAATAAGAGAGAAATGACCAGAGAGACAGAGCTGTCGCCTAACAAAGGGGAGGGTACACTTCCACTTCTTCTGCATGCATGAATACTCTCACTCTCATCTCTCTCTCTCTCTCTCTCTCTCTCTCACACACACACACACATAGCTCACAACATAAAGAGTCTTATCTGCAGCCTGAGGGAGTCAGAGAGTCAAAGAGGTCCCCTGCACAGAAATAGTCGCCATGGCTCTCCACGCCTCTTGATTACTGCTTTAGATCCCAGCAGGTGAAGGACAACATTGTTCAGGGGTTATATGGGAAATCCTGCTTTTCCCCCCACAGCTGTACCTCACATTTGCATTTCAGGAATGTATACCTTTCTAGCTCTGCACTGAATTCCCTTTGGAGAACATCCATGTGTTCATTATGTATATTTTGGAGTTTAAACCTTCTCCTGAGGGATTTATATACGTTTATTGACTATAATTATGTGTATGTGTGTGTACGCACATCACATATAATGAGCCAATGTTTGCGAGCAGCCATGTGTAGTGACGTGTGGCAATGGTTACTGCAGGCTATGATGGGATATTTTTCCTTATGGGTGACGGGGTTGACACGTCACTCTCTTCAGGCTTTTATTTTCTTGCCCCTTGAGTCAGGTTGTCTGCGTGTGTGTGTGTGTTTGTCTGTGTGTGTGATGTATCATGAGTGCTCGCATGAGTGTGTGCCTGTCTGTGTTTTTGTGTGGAGGGCTAAGAAATGGGCCTGTCAGAAGTGAATGATCAGACTAATCAGGTGGAACGCTGCAGACAGCAGGATTAAGACACACTGGAGAGAGAAAGCCCGAATATAGCCAGGGTCAACACACCTCTCACGCTAGGGGAGTGTGTGTATGTGTGTGTATGTGTGTGTATGTGTGCTGTAGACCCTGTCTTGTGATGCCCCAAGATAGGCCTTTTTTTCTATTTAATTGCCTTACAGCGTTATGACGTGTGAGTCAAAAAATCCATCAACATCGCTGAATCTTTTTTTTTGTTGTTGTGAAGAGTCAGGTGGGAGTTACACACACGCACACACACAAAGCAAACATGCACCTACACTGCATGCACAACACTGGCACCGTGCATTATCAGCCTTTTAAGTAGGACACCCATGCCAGTTAATAAACAAGCGGCTCCTTTTAAGACAATCCCCTTTTACCAGCAGCCCTTAATTGCATTAACTGCTAAGTGGAATTAGTTTTTCTGGAATAAAGCCTGACACATTGTTTACCTCCCATAACAATCAACCCATTTAGCATAAATGAACCTCACAAGCCTAAACGGATAGATCATCTGCAGAAAGACAACAGCCTGTGTTTATCTCTCTCATTTATCCATTTAGTAAGCCAACCACTGATAGATGTACTCACTCGATCATTTGTTTATTTAGACATTGATGTTTTGTTGGTTTGTAATGCGATGGATTAAAAAAAAAACAGCCATTGATGCTAATGGCCACTCAATTATAGATAATGCTCACATTCATTATCATCCATTAACATTTGTTTACATGATTTGATTGTACTATAACCTCCACAGAGGCAGATCACACTCTTCTTTCACAGTGTTTACAAGGGAGGAGATCTGAAAGAGAGGATGCTAATTGAACTCAAAGTTAAACAAATTTCTGGAAAGTTCAGTAGCATTTTATACTATATTCCTGTATAGTGAATGTACAGAGGATAAGGCCCTTTTATATATCAAATATGTTTTTTAGTTAGACCTCAACAGGATTGCATGGACGACAAATCAAGTGTTGAAACTGAAAATGTTGTTTCTGGCAGAGTGATAAGCCCATTTGACATCTAATGCTGGCATGATATTTTTTAAAAAATAATCTAGAAAAGTTGTGAAATGTTTAAATAATACACCTAAAGGAACATCTGGAAATTGATGTTAAAGTTTCCAACACGGTTTGGTGTAAATAGAGCATCCCAGAGAGGCAGAGCTTAAAATGGGGTTGGAATTTGGGTAGAGATACACGCCTCTGTGAAAGACTTATCTGACAAAAACAACTTTACAGTTTTACGATTAAAAAAGAAAGAGGCTCAAGCCCACAGTCATCACACTCTCAGACAAACACGTTACAAACGGACATGGCTCTGTAGTGAAAATCACTGTATTTGCTCAGGAGCACCAAAAACCAGAGAGGGAGTCATTTATAGAGCAAGTCCAGATACATTCTTTTTGAAGCAACATTTAGACAACTTACGTATCAGAGAAGGACGCTCCCTTTAAAGTATGGTAAAAGCATGGCAGCATAATAGAAAATTAGCTGGATAAACTGGTCAGCACGCATTTCAGACTCATAAGTTGTTTGAAAATGTTGCAGTTAAAGAATCAAATACATCAAAATGACCCCTGAACTGTCAAATAGCTGAAAGTTTACATCGAGCAAAAACCTGTCGCTCAAAAAATTACTGCAAATGGTTCCCAGAGGCTTACGAGACAAAGAAATATAAAAATTAAACATAACCCTGGCAGAACTTTTTTTAGGCTCATATTGCCAGCATTAAACCCAAAACAGGAAAATCATTTTTCAAACAATAAAAAAAAAATCAAACATCTCGGTTTTCAATATTTGACATGTTTTCTCTCTGCTGTTCTCAAACAAATCATTGTTTTGCAATTCAGTACATTCCATCTCTATTTAAATTTGACACAGGGTGCCAGTTATTTTTGGCGATGGGGTTGTACATATTTAACAGCATGCAGCTAAAACACCAAGACAGAATTATTGCGTGTGTACATCTTGGCAAAAGGAAAACTGTTTCTGATTTCCAATCTGTGGCATGCTGCAGAGATGACACCAGGTCTAACCTTTATCATATTTCACATCATGCCGTTATGATACATCTCATTACACTTCCAATCAGAATTGCACAGCATTGTCGAACGGTGTGAATCCAATTTCCCCCTATTTCCCCCAAGGTTTTTTTTCTCCTTCATATTTCTCTTCTTATTTCCATCATGCGTGTTCCTCCTTCTCCTCCCCTCTCTCTGCTGTCCCTCCAGTGCTGCTCTAATTAAACACGGGGTCGTACAGAGTGGCGGTACAGAGTCTTCCAGCCGAGCAGAGGAGAAAGGCTCTAATTCCAGCTCTCAGGATGGAACTCTGACACACAATGGCCCTGCCATCCTCTCTGCCCCCCATAGACTCCCATCTGGAAGCCCTCTCCTCAGGCAGCTTTTTAATAGGCCTCCCCTCACCCAGCACACACATATAAACACACATGCAAAAGCGCACGCAATAACACGTGCACCTCTGCAGCCGCATACATGTACAAAGTGCACACAGACTCACAAGCCATGGGCCCCCTGAGTGTGTCTGTGTGTGTGTCATTTGTGCAATAGCTCACACTGCTCTGAGCTTTTTGAAGTGCTCCTTAGGCCAGACGACAGCCTTTTTATTTTCTGCGTCATGCAGTGCGGTGACCGCTAGGCTAAGGCTAGCTCTCTGACCAGCCTGTATTGTAAAATGAGCACTCAAGGGCAGACTGTCAGGAACTAAAGGTTCTCTTGACCATTTTCTCAACATGAAGTTGGTTTTAAAAGCACTTGATGCAAGAAGATTTAGCATGAAAAGAATGATGATGGCAGGTAGTTCAGACTGAGAACAGTTTCCCTGTGCTGAAATGGCATGCAGGACTACATTTGATCACAGAAAAGAATATCTACAGATCTTATGCTGTAGATGACTACACCAAGCCTGTATTCCTGATTAAAAATTCACAATTATAGTTGTCTAGTTTAGGAAGCCTAACCTGTTGTTTTAAAATCCAAAACCTTTTCTTAAACTCTTTTCAATCAAATCTTGCTGCTGATGTGTCTCCTCAGAAAACAGTTTTGGATTCGTCATGCAAAAATAAAACAACAGGCAAACATTAACTCTGTTGGAATAAAAATAACAAATGACTTGCTCTTACTAATCAGAGTTTCCTGTGGCTGATATCACTTAAACCTCTGTTTGGTAAACCTTGTTGCTATTAAAACTGGTGCAAGTCATCTTCAGCTCTTTGCTTAAGTGTCCTGTCTTTCTTCAGCTGTCTTAGTAAATAAAAGGTCAACAAAGCATATTAAAAGTGTTACCTAATGAATTTTGTTTGGATGGGCTGGTCCCTCCCTTGCCCTTTGCCTCAGGAGGCATCAAAAGTTTCTTGCAGTTGTTGGCCTAAAATTCTGGCTGAATGTTTTAGGTTGTGACTTTGCTAACCTCCATTAGTCGGGCTTTAGCTTTGGTTAATGCTTGACTGCCATACTACCCAGAGCTGAATAACCACATATATACCCTGCATGACAGACAGCACCTCGGCTCTGCAAAGTTTGGCTCAATTAGAAAATAGAGATAAAGATGTTAGTAGATTATGTAGGGCTTAATGTCTATATTTGACTTGATTGGAGTAGAGAATATAAAGCACAGGTGAGTGGTTGGAAAACTGTGAGGTCAACTGAAGCCTGGTGGTGCTAACTCTGCTAGCATTGGCCAAACTGGGCAAACCGGCCAGACATCGTTCACCTGCAGACTTACAGATCCTTGTTTGGTCACATTCAACAAGTTAAGCTCTGTTTTTATTATTTTTTCTGTTACCTTCAGACTCGTCTGTTGGTTAGAATTAAACTTTAATCTATACAACTTTGAAATGAGTCGCACCAGAAACTCTCCAGTCCTCACTTTTTCTTGCCTTGCTGATTCTATGCATATTAGGAGACTGGTTTGGTTACTATAAAACAAATATATCGACATGTACAAATAAAGTTGCCTAATCTGACTCAACCAAACTATGTAGAAAGTTTGTTCGGACAAAAATAGTTGTGACCAGTGTGTGAAGCTGGATCTGAAACTAGTTTAAGACAAACACACTCAGTTTTTTAGTTTTCAAGTGTCTGTAAAAACTTTGCTCAGCTTTAGGTGATTTCAAATTAAGCGTATGATACTTTGAAAAGATGAACATCTTTAAAAGTAAGAAAACTGATAATTGCCTGTTGCTAGACAGAAACTTAGTCCCTGAACTTTTTGGGGGTTTCTTAAGAGTTACAGTAACTATGTACAGTATGTGATGAAATGTATTTTTATAGCTGTATCCAGAGAGATGAAAACAGCTGAAAGCCTCTTTTAGGCCTTGTGTGGGTATGTGCTGATGGGGATGGGGGTGGTGCTAAGCTGTATCCTGTGAGTCCAGGGTATTGGATGCTTGTTGATGTGTTTTTGCCCTGAATGATAATTCTGCCTGTTGGAAAGACTAGGGGTTGTTGTGCAACATCTTGGCACTCAGCTCTTCCCTCCTTTCTGTGCCATCTTCTCCCCTCCGTCACTTTCTGTCCTCACTCTTCTTTTTCCTTCCAGCTACCCTCTTTCAATCCTCTGCTCACTCGGAGACTGGAGATGCGCCTTAACAACACAAAGAGACAGTGTTCAATAAGGATGGGATGTGTCAGAGAGGGCTCATCTGCTCAGTGTGACGCCCATTACGTATTGATCTGGTCTCGGAGCAGGACAGCCAGGCTAGGTTTCTGTTTGCATCAATACAGATGAAAAAGAGGGAAACAACAGAACGAGTTGTTGGCTCTGTGTTGGCCTAGGTGTGCTGATCTGATTTCTTCATAATAAACATGGTTGGTTGGAGGACGAAAGCGAAGTAGAGGCAGAAAATTGGGCCGCTGATACAGCAACCTGCCTGTGAAATCTCTCTGTGCTGATGTGCACAGACTATAAGCCCATTGATCTGTAGGGAGAATTAATTTGCTCTGGCACTAATGCAGGATAGGGCTAACTTCATGTTGTTAGCCAACGTCAGATCCAAGCTACGTTCAATTAAGCTGCGTAACAAAGGCAGACTGCTGCACTTACAACTGCCCCACATAATCTGATCCATGGGACACAGTTGCATTAAAGTGTTTTAGTAATTAACGTGGTCTTTTTTAAGGGGGGATGTGCTCGGATCTGTTTATGTTTGATTTTCAAAACAGCAATTAAAGGCCTCTTTGTTTTGTGAAGAAATATTGCTGCACATGGCGAAAGACTTTTATGATTATTACAGCATCCTGTTCATTCAGCCACAGTGTTTGCTTGAGGGTAGATCTATGGTCTATATGTGTTTATTTCTGCGTCGGGGGCTTTCCCAGGCTCGCCATCCCGCAGGTGACGAGGGCTCCATCAGCTCTGATGTGTATGTTCTCGTCGCCCCTGAGGGGTAGGGTGTGTTTGGGCGTGTCTCAGGGTGAGTGTCTGGGAAGATGTGAATCTGCAATAACAAAGCAGAGTAATAGCAGGCTAGGCTTTAGTCATAAAGCAATTGGGATAATCCACTGGTTAACCAACAAGGCTCCCAGAACACCCACACTGTAAAAGGCCTGAGTCAAGCATCAGAGGGGGTGAATGAAGAGCGTGGAAAGAAACAGAAAAGAGGAAAGAAAAGAAAAATGAAGTTGTTTTTGACTCAGACAAAAAGATATCTGAGTTAAAAAAATATAAAAAGGACACTTTGTGGCGATAATCTCTGAAGTGAACACAGGATAAACCTGGTAAAAGAGAATTGTTCAGGTGTTTACAGTCTCAGTAAATGAATACTTGCTTGATAGGCTTGCTCAAACTTGTACACCTCACCCTCCTCTTTTCCCAGACACACTCTCCACTCTCTCACACACAAACACATATTCTCTGGTGAGCAGATGAAACGTGACAGATAAGTACATTTACTTGCAGGTGCTGGAGTAGGGTCTGTGCTTCTAAAGAACAACTCTGGACTGATATTCATCTCACTCTCTCCTGCTGCTTCTATAACGGTTTCTATCCACGTCTCTGGGCGCTTTCTCTCTCCTGCTCTGTTGATGCTTTCCTTGTTAATACCAAATGACACAAATCTTGATTTAACACCCTGTCACTCTGATTTCCAGATTTATTAACAAGCCAAAGATGGCTTTAGCCCCTCTGTGAACTTGGTACACCACAGGCCACTCTGAATTTCAACCTAAAACTCTTGATCACAAAGTTTTACTTTATGGCGCTTTTTCTATCATTTTTTCCAGCTGTGTTTTTTTTTACAGTGATATTAAAGATATTTGTAGGCTGCCATAAATAATAAAATATTTGTCTGCCAAACTGGGGGTATCAGTTTCATTGATGATTAAATACTTTATCAATTCTGAGAGAAAGCAGGACTGTAAAGGCTTTCTGTGTCAACAGAAAATTCTGAGCTTCATTATCTTCTCTGCTCTGTTGAGAAAGTGAAGCCAAGTTTCTGACTGCACCGCTAAAGGTCAGCTGATCACAGGTCAAAAGACCAAATCAAAGATGACAGCCTCTATCTAGTATATCTGTTGGACTAACATTTATACAAAATTAATCTAAATTACCTTCATTTGTGAGTGATTACATCTGGTCTCTGAAAATAAACTCATCCTTGCTGTGGGATGGAAAAACCCAAGGATGTTGCAGAAGTTTATTTTCAGAAAAAACACCGGTCTCACAAAGCGAGTAGATTAACTATTGAATTTCCCTTCAGGGATCAATAAAGTTCATCCTCTTCCTCTTCTTCTTCAGTAATTATTTCACCGCTCCTTGTTCATGCTGCCTCTTGTGATATGTTTTGTCATTATTATGCAAGAACTAAGTGAAAGGCATCAACATAGGGCTGTTAAGAAAGAAGGCAAATGCTGTTGATGGGTCAAACTGGTTGGAACTAGTTCAGGATCTCTCAAAACATTACCCTGTAAAACTTCAAAAAGTAGGCTGGGCTTTAATGTGTTTCAACTGGCAACCTCATCCTGCCTTCATTCAGGGCAGGCTTCAATAAGAGACAGGCCTTTATTTTCTCATGAAGTCTTCCACAGTCAATAAGATGTAACCTTATTGTTTATGTTATTGTCTAAGAGGCTGAAGTGTATATCTTCTAACAATTTAGGGGTCAAGGTTGGTTACTAAATGATTGACAGCTGGAATTCATAAATTTTTGTATATGCCGTAATGCCAACAGCAAACATGCTGAGTGGCAGCCTGTCTGTTGAGCTCCTTTCATATCCAAGCATGTTACTAACCTGTTGCATAAAAATGTAATTAGTTGGGAGATTCTGCTCCTGCTGTTCTTAGCTTTGACTTTTCCAGTGTTTTGTTGCTCCTGTCCCAACTCTTTTGAAAAGTTTGCTGGCATCAACTTTATTTAAAATATACCAGTTTCAAGTTGCTGTCTTTGCACAATTTCCAATTACATTTCAGCGTTTTATCACTTCCATACCTTTACTTTTACAGTTAAAAGACATGATGAGGTTATCATTGACGTTCTACATTTCTGGTAATAGCTTGAGGTCCTCACGCTAAGATAATAATAAAACTGTTTTCCTTGCAGTCTCAGCACAAGTAATGTCACATTCCTGCTTGATAATAATGTCTGCAGATAAAACACAGGTTGCATTGCAGATGAAGCCATAAAAAAAGGTTGTCATGTCATTTCTGAAGGTTAACTGGGAACGCAGCCGCCATTCACTTCAGGGAAATCTTGGAAGCTGTTATATAACAGAGCAATGAATAAAAATCTCAGGTGCCTTCTCTCCCGCCATTTCCCTTACTTTGTCGGTTGTTGAGCTTGACTGCAACTCAGTGAGGGTGAACTATGAGAAGTCCCTGACTGTACTTTATTCTCTCATTAAGATTTTTGTTTACAGTTTATTCACAGCTGAAATGCTGGTTTGAACTCATAAAAGAACAGCAAAAAGTACTCCCTACCTGTCAGCACCTCCATTCCTCATTTTTCTACAATCCCCTTCTCTTCTTTGCTTTCCTTGCCTGCCTTTTAAGTCACTTTTCAAAGCAATGCGTGCCATTAACCAACTGTCAATGTGAGGGTGCTTGGCATAGGGATTACCGTGATGGCTTTCCCTGGCTGCAGAGGCTGCACTGCAAAAGCGTCAAAAACTTTTTTTTTTTCCCCAATCACTCTGAGAAATTTCGACTTCTTCCCTGTCATTTAATTCCACTTTCAAATGAAGCATTACCCGGACACTGCCAGACTTTAATGCATCAGAGAGAGTGCGCAAATGTACTTGCTAAAGCCCACAAAGAAGCCCTTTTAAGCACCTTTCCATGACTGAGGCTTGTAAATGTAATTGCTGGTTTCACCTCCAGGCTTTTAAGAAAGGAGGACAGGAAGGAGTAGAGATGGACGATTTTCACTCTAATCACTATCCTCAAATTTCTGCAGAGATGCTGCAGAGAAACAGACCAGATACCTCTCTCTGTGTTAGCATGGGCGAAATGTGCTGTGTGTGTCAGTGTGCTTCTTGAGTGTTTTGTGCACGTGGTGCAGTTTCCTGAGCACATTTTAATCTTCTCTCATATTAAGCAATTTACTTTCATCTTCCTTCATCTAGATGGGTGACCTTGTTCCACTTACTCTTAACCAAAAGATTTTTTTTTTAGCATCTGCTTTCTCCGTCCCTTGTGAAGTGGGATAAACACATGCATGCACACCGAGGACACAAAAAGACATGTCTGCATGACAACAAACGCATGCTTTTTGTCTGGGAACAGTCAGTGCTGGTAATGAGTCTAAGTGTGGCCAGGCGGACGGAGCAGTGAATGAAACAGCGACAGAATAACTGGCTGTGTTTGATTTGCCTCCACTAATTCAAAGAGACCATCTGATAAATTGAGAGGATGGGATGTACATCAGAATAGCAAGAGGCGCCTCTTTGTTGTTCCTCATTCCCAACCAAATCACACCCCAACCCCCGTTAGAACACCCAGAGGGGAGAATGTTTCCCTTGTGTGTGTGTGTGTGTGTGTGTGTGTGGTGGAGGGGGGGCTGGTTGCTAGGAGGTGTGAGTTTTCAGGAGGTCCTGCTGAAAGCAAATGAAGGAGCACTTGTGTCAACATTCTGACGGCAGTGATGAGCCACAAAGCCTCCCGGTCAAAGAGCCAAAGGGCTCCAAAACCTCACTCCAAAAAAGTAGGAGTGTTGCTCTCAGAGCCCTCCTGCTCTCCGTCTTTATGTTCAGATTAGTGGGATGAAACCTCCTTTTCCTCTTTCTATCTCAATATTTGACTTTGAAGAGTTTCCATGGTCACTGGCCTGGGCTTTTTTCTGAGAGTTCACAGGAACTATGTCAGAAATGTAAGTCTACAATAGGGGAAAGCTGTTTGTGATCATGTTTTCTGACATCTTTGCTGTATTTGATAGATGGCTGTGAAAAGGCAAACAGGAAATGTAGGAAGGAGAAAGATGAAGGGTGACATGCAACAAAAGTCCTGGTGGGCTTCAGCCTGAGATGTTGCTGTAATGTGGTGTGGAGTCTCCGACCGCTAAGGCACTGTGAAACATGTGTTTGTGATTGGAGAGAATCGGACCCATGCGTCTGCATTTTTCACATCATATTTAAACCCCACAACGCTCTTTTTCTTGCAGCTGTATTTTTGGTTTGTTGCCTTATTTATGTAAATGGTACATGATTTCTATACGGCACTTATAAACACATCCAGTAGGCAGTTGAACTTCTTTTCATTCTGGCGATGGGAAACATAAAAGTGATTATCCTTCATCTAACCATCACTCCTTCTTTCTTTGTTGCTGGAAGCTAATCTTATCACAGTCCCATCTGTGCGTGTCACCATGCAATGGATGTTTATGCTGCGTCTTTCTGAGTGCATGCATGTGTGTTTGTGTGTGTTTGTGTGTTGGTCCTTACACAGCTCATTGGTGGCTCTGATCTCATGCAGTAAGCAGTAGTTAGTCCAGATGTTTGGTGTCTACAGGAACATACTACTTTGGAAACTTTCCCACATGCTATCTGGTGTGGTTGACTCTGCGCTGGCCCCAAACTTCAAAACAACCCAGCTCTAAAAATAGTCCGAGGCTCTTAATCATTCTGCAGACTCTTGCTGTCTCTGATAGTCAAATCACTGGGCTCAGCGAGGACACAAGCAGCATTTCCCCCAGACAAGATTTGTTGTTGGGACAGAAAACATCTCATGGCTCTTAGGCTGTATTCACAAAGGACTGAGCATCTGATTTTTAAATCTTTGCAGCTCCATTAAATCACTCTAATACACAAAACACATGACTGAACATATGGAACCCGGGATAAAAAAAGCAAGCCTAAAGACAGCTCTTTCTGTGCTGTAATGTTTTATTTCAACTATACATGCCGTGTTAAAAAAATCAACAAAATATCATGAAACAAAGACCATCATTATTATTTACACATTCACAGTACAACTTTACAACATATCTACACGCTCAAATACTCTGGAGATCATATATACAGCTGGCCTTGCATCGCCATGTTGCACAGTATTTAAATCAAAAAGTACATGACGAAATCCGGTTCACCTGCACACACCGAGCTCAGACTGAAATATAAAGGCTTCAATTTAGATTGCAACAGAAAGACCCAGTTCATATTGCAATGTACAAGGCAGTTGAGCAGTGTGTGTTGAGTGTATGTTCGTCAGTGTGCATGTGTCGAGTAGAAAAAAGAGCCCAAACACTTGTTAGATGACAGGCAGAAAGTCTTTACATACAATCATCACTTGTAAACAAAATGTGGCTTTGGGCTGAACAGGCAACTGACACTGGGATAGGATTGCAGATGTCTCCTGTATAATGAACCCAATGCTAAGAGATGTGATCCCTCAGGCGTCCCTACTGGCCAACAGAAACAATTCCGGTCTCTGCAATCCCGTGGAATTACAGATTCTGCGTGACCGCCGCCCCATGCCAACAGACGGCTTTTACATGAACACTGTGTTAATACATTGGCTGTGGGCAGGATGTGCTGCACTGAGCCGACTGCTCCCACAGTACAAGGTCTAACCACCCTACATCCCACTGTCAAGAAAATACATTCACCGCATGGCACCTCTATGTGGTGGATTAACACCTTTCCTTTCAACACCAACAGTAAAGGGGAAAAACGGATTCTTACCCAAAAATGAATGTTTCTTTTTGACTATCTTTTTTGTAAAATTCAAAAGTGGAATGTTTGTCGGTTGTTTCCACATCTCTTCGGTTTGGTGATTTCTCGATACATCCTGCTGATTTTGAGTTTTCTTGTATAAAATGTTTATATAGTATATGACGATAACATACAGAGGACCAATTGACATAGCCAATATCATATAATGTACTAGTTTATTTTTGTGAATAAGGCACACAATGCACAGATTCAGGTTCACTTGCCTAAAAATATTTATACTCCTTATTTATAGTATTTAATTATATACAGGATCTTGTCATTCCCAGCATGACTCATTTGGACATATTGGTCGTTGTTGTGTTGATTGTACACTGGCCACTTGCAGGGAAGCTGCACAGGGAACACAGGGGCTGCAGATGACAGAGGTGTTACATCCATGTATTGTTCGAGGGTCAGTTTGACAAACCTTTAAGAGGTTCAATGCGGATGGAAAAACTCTAGTGTTATTCTATTGGGGTCCACAGAAGTGCCCTGAAATGCGGAATTCCTGTAAAAGGGCGAAACCATTGGTGTTGCTTTAGTTTTTATATGAAAAATCTTTAAATAACACAGTAAAACGTTATAAAGGCAGATAAATTTGTTCAGAATTCATTTATAGAATGAGATGAGAACTGTATTTTTTTACTTTATACCATTGCTACATTAAGAAAGAAGTCTCTAGAACCACCAGCTTATTTCCTACGACGGGGCAGCGAAGGTTTCAGTCCTGGCGAGAAGCATTTTCCGGCGTTTCAGTCTTAACAGTGTGTTTGGTTACTTAAAATTGAACTTCTTGGCCTCTATTTGCATTGAATCAGACACACTCTCTTTCTCTCTCTCACACACACACTCAGGCAGCTGTGCACCGGCACACGCCTTTGTCTAAAACAGATAGCAGCAAGTGTACTATGTTAAATTTCCCATTAAGTAACAGAGTCCCTGTCTCGGTATACCCCCAGCATGAACAATTTCACTTCAGCCCAACCAAATTACCGGAGAGCACATCAGAGTGACACAAATGTAGTTCAGCCTCAGCTCAGATAGATTTGGACAAGAGCAAAGTAGAGAGGGGAACAGTGACTTAGGTCTTAAACGGGTCTTTTGGTGCATCCCCTTGCAGGAAGGCCTTAATGTGTGTTCTGCTCTAGCACAAACTTGCATTCCCTAAATGCCAGCTCACACTGACGCACGCAGACACACACATTCACTTGCACTCATTCCTTCTGTCTGCTTGCCGTTTTATTCATCTGTCTGAAGTCATATGTTTCAACACGCACACTATGATTTTTGAGTTCCCTCTCCTTTGCCCCAAGCGCTCTTACTAACAAAGGCATGGCCTACCTCGCCTCTTTGTTCAGTTCACATTAGTGGGAAGACAGTGCTCAAGGGCAGTGACAAATGAGACCCATTCTTCAAGTATTCCACTGTTTTGACCCTTGTACGACACGCACAGACGCTGTAGCGGCCCAGCGTCAGTGTCCCAAACCTCGTACCTAATATCGGACACCGAGCCCAGATACGCTGTGGACCAGCAGATTCACTACTGACCACTGTTCATATCCCATGGCTACTGTGACAAGGGAGGGACATGGGGATATAAGGAGCGAAAAAGCTCAAAGGAGTATCTTTGGCCACGTGTTTGATTTTCCCTTTTCAGTGTGAGTGAATGTGCATATCATTTAAAGGGGGAATACACCTCAAGTCGATACACAAATACACTCCAGGCCCTACCCCATCCATAGTCCCTCCAAGCACTCAGGGCTCAAAGCTCTGACATCAAGACCAAGAGCTCACTCAGAAGTGTCTGTTCTCCTTTAATAGCTGTACTTGTTTACCACTCGCATCTGTGGAGTCTGTGGTGAAAACCCATTGGGTTTAGGGGGCACATCTGGCTTTAGCGATGGGGTCCGTTTAACCCCCGTGCGAGGGAGTGAGCAGTGCCCATTGTAGCTGCCCTGTCGGGATACAGAGGATGGATGAGCTGAGTGCATTGCTCCCCCCATTACTCCACCATGGGAGTCAAGTCTGGAGGGGGGTGTTGGAGGCATGTAACCCCCTCTGTTCATACTGTGTTGGCGAGACACAGACACCCCCATTGTTACCCCATTTGGAGAGGTGGATAAGGAGTGCCTGTGAGAGGCACTCCGTTGGAGTTGATATCCCCCTCTATGCCTCTCCAGGGTCCCCCCCATGCTTAGGCTGCCCGTTGGCGTGGTGGGAGTGGAGGGCAGAGGCACGTCTACCCTCTTGGTGGGGCTGTGCCGGGGCAGGGAGGAGGAAGGGGAGTACAGGGAAGCCTCACGGCTGGGTACCTTAGGAGGTACTTCAGTCAGTTCCTCCATAGGCTCCAGTGTGAGGTGCTGCCTTGGGCGAGGTCCTGAACCCTCCTGGAGAATGGCCTTAGGATTGGCCACAGAGTCATTAAGGTGTTTTAAAAGATCATTTAGGGTATTCCTGGCATCCACAGACCTCTTCTGTTCTTTTCTACTTCCCTTTGAATCTGGGTTCTTCAACTTCTTTTCAGACGGGCGAGGCAGCGAATCATCCTCATCATCGAAGTCAGGGTGGTCATGTGTTGCATTAGGCAGAACAACTGCACTGGGGATGTGGGAGTGCCCCAGAGCCAGGTGTGGGTGGTTTGGAGGAACAGGAGAGGAAAGGAACTGAGGACTCTTTGCTGAGTTAGACTCCTTGCGAGGTCCACTGGCCTTCCCGTGAGCCCTCTCCCACTGGTTTTTGATTGGCTGCAGACCTTTCTGTTGAAGAACAGGAGTCGACTCTGGCGTAGGCAGAGCAGCAAGCTCGGGAGGCTGACAACCGTCCCGCAGGATCATGGTTTTGGTGTCCCCGTTGGGCGTGTTCAGGTCTTTGCTGTTGCTCAGCAGGTTGGTGTAAAGCTTGGGAGAATCAATGTTGGTTTGATACTCCTATGAATGAAAAATTCAAATCAGCAAAGTCAGACACAGATTTATATCTTCAAGATTCACTCTACTCAACTAAAGCCTCTGGAATTGCATTGGGGCTTTTTTGGCCGTACCTTCACTGGGCTGTCAAATAGGCCGTTGAGCTTGACAAAGCTTCCAGTGGAGTCAGAGCAGGATGGTGCAGACTCGGCATCCTTGTGGACATGCCTTGGCTTACGGAGGAATGAGTCTCGGTAGCAGAAAACAATCAGACCAGCCAAGAGTGCACCCATGAGGAAAGCAGCAAACACACAGGTGATGAGGATGTTCATGTGGACCATCTGGTTGGTCTCACCTGCTTGGTTATCCCACACACCTATAAAAGATCGAAGAATTGGTTAGCCTCCCTGGTGAAAAGAGTCAAAATGTTTAGTGAAGCATCTCTCCCCATTTAGCAGCAGAACGAGAGCATGTTTGTGTGAGAGGACAATCATGCACACATTTCTGCTTTCACACCTCTACCCACAGGTGTTAACCAGTCAATTACAAACTAACATCATTACTACGAACACATTTCTACTCCTATTATAAACCCAGATGAAGAGGAAATATGGTTGGCAGACGCTGTTAGGTACCCACATCCATTTCTCAGTCTATAAGAAGCTGTGCTATGTTAGTTCAGAAGGGAAGACTTCAAGTGTTGCCTTGATCCACGTTTCCACCAGAGGCTTTTTGTCATGCATTTAGAAGGTACCGAAGGATAGGAGTGAATTTGATCTGAAATAGAGAGTCAAATCCATGTTTTTCCCACATGGGATTAACCAGGAAGTTGTTACTCTGAGGGAAGAGAGAGTGCTTGCCCTCAAGGTGTTGACGGCAAGAGTTGGACTTCGGTTTGTTAGTAACCACAGACATTGAAAGAGTTAGTCATCCACCGTGCGGCCACAGAAGTGTTGTGGCAGAGCAGGCCCAGTCAATGATCTACCAGCCAGGGTAAACTGTTACTTGATCTAGAGTTAATAAATCTATACTGGCAGGGGGAAAAGTGAAATCCAAACAAAAGATTCTCAAGAAACAGTGAGAGAACAGAGAGTTTTAAGTTTTAATGATTAGAAAGCCAAGTTAATAATTTAAAAGAAGTGAAGAAAGAACAAAAGGAAATTATAGTTTCAAGGAAAGATAATAAAAAGAACATATAAGAAACAAACTTTCAAATGTCTTTTAGGAAAATAAAATCTGTCTTATTTATTTATAGAAATCTCAGATAGTTGCTGCTTGTGTGTGGGTTCACATTTGTGTTGTTTAGTGAGTCTTGGCAGCTATCAGACTAGGCTCAAAGCAGCATGCTGGCTGCCTCCCTGCGGGCCTTACCCTCTTGGCCCCCTGGGAAAGAGTCTAAAGAATGGGAGGTGGCTGGGTCATCCTGCTGCACAAAGCCTGAGCCGTAGAGCTCTGGACCAGGCTCAGAACTGGGGCTCTGAGTGGGTATGAGTACTGGGGGGTGGACAGTGACTGGCGCTGATGAAAACTCCATGTCTGTGGTGACAAACAAATTGTTAACAAACTGTGCAGACGTGGGTAAAGCATACTGTTATCATCCCAGTTAGTAGGCATGGTCAATGGCTCATTTTTAGGGTTAGTGTTTTAAAAATGATGAATAAACTTGATCCAAGTTAAACTCAATGAAAATATTGTTTTTTTTTCTTCACATTCACAGATCAATACTTTTATTTTTTCATTTTAGAGAATTTGGAGCAGGAAAAAAAGAGGATACTGAGGTTCAAAGAGGAGTTGGTACACAACAGTAAGGATGCCAAAGGAATGGAGGATGGGCATGCAAGAGGGAGGAGGGATCCCAACAGGGAGTGATGAGTAAAAAAGGAGGGAGTGAATCTGTGCTGAGAAAGAGCACCGATGTCGCCTGGCGAATCTAACATTTGTGTTGATGGCAAAATGAAGAAAGTGACATTAGCAATCAGGAAGTGTTTGGGTAGAAAAGATGAATGGTGACAGTGGCGTAGAAGACAGGGTTGGAGATGCTGAACTCAAGGAAAGAAACCATTTGAGTAAAAGATCAAACTAACCAGAGGTAGGGTCGCCAAATGATTTGTAATCTGGCGCTGATGTAGTGCCCAAAAACGCTAAAAGAATTCAAAAGGACAAGAAATCAGCATAAGGGAATTCAGAAAGAAAAAGTAAAGACTAAAATTCCCTAAGCGACACTAAGAGTGCAGTTTAGACCACTTAATAATAAAGATACAAAGCACTCGCTAGCAGTGTCCTTCTCTCAGCGGAGTCACAGGAAGCCCTCTGGTTCTGATCGATACTGGGGTTCAGCTGGGTCATGTTTAGTCGGTACAAATGAAGGGACAGACTTTTTTTTTAAGTAAAATCAGTAAAGGCACATTTTCTGGCCGTGAGATATCTTCAGACCTCTGCCATTTGCACCAGCTGAACATGACCCTGAATTGTACATGTCCATGTTTTATAAGTTACAGGTGGCCATGTACTGTATGCAGATGTGTGTGTTAATACTGAACATAGAGTCATGTACGGGCAAGTTACTGGAGAGGTTACTGGTGTGAGTGTGCAGGCTCATGGTGTGTGTGGAGATGAGTTTGTGTCTCATTTGCGTACGTGTGTGTGTCAGTGTATGTGTGTATCTGTTTGCGTGTGTCTCAGGATAGATGGCATGGCATGAAGATGAGATTCGTACCATGACAGTCTCCGAGGTGAGTCGTGATTCCGAACTCCACATCCTGCTCATAGCCAGTCCTGAAAGAGGAAAGAGAAAGAGATCAAGTTAGAGAGATTAATCAGAGAGCTGCAGGAGTTCTTACAATCTCATTTCTCATCAGGTTTATTTGTTCTTTAAATCACAGCTGAGGGCTTGAACTCACAGAACGCCAGGCTGTATCCTCTCGCAGGCTCCGTTAGGCCTCCAGCCACAGTAAGGGTCCCTTGATGCAACGCAAGACCTGGTGTCACACAAACAAAAACACACACATCATCAAAACACAGGGTTTAATCATTCTGGGAAGAGCTCAATAAACATGTGCGACTGATTGAACATTAACCGCAAATCATCAGGAGAGCTGCTATCGCTGCTTTTATGACACGGACTAAAAACCAAAACAGTAAAGTCACAAACCTATGACCCAGTCGAGCGCATTTTCAACCCCTGCTTGTGCATTTGTGTGTCACTTACTTGTGGCAGGCAGAATGCCTTTCACAGCGGCTCAGGGGAATACGGATGACACAGCTTGAAAAGGCGACATACAGGCTGTGTGCGTCTTTGTCCACGTGCAGCGAGAGGACACGCTTGTCATCCTCACGGTTAGACAGGCACCTGGGAAAAGGGAAGCGAGAAACATGATCAGGGGTTTATCAGATAAGTCTGTCTACTGTTTCAGTCTCGGTAGATTTAATCACTTGTTAGGCTGAGAAGGCACAAAAAGCTTTTTCCCCGCAGTTTAACAAGATTTTAACCTCTGACACCCTGCAGCTTGTGTATTCATATCCCAAAATAAACAGAGGGAAAAAAAGCCACACACATACTGTTCCTGCACAGAGAACGACAGACAGGCCCTGCCATCTGTGCCAGGAAGCTTCACTTTAAGAGTTGCTGACTCTTCGGCCAGAAAGCAGAAGAGGAAGAGAAACAGAGAACAGAGGCAGACAGTGAGAGTGTGAAAAGTGTAGTATCCCTACTTGGCCCTGTTGAAGACATCTATCTCCTCTAGAAGCAGGCTGTCGTTCAGGGACACAGAGGTGGTCTTGGCCAAAACCTTGAGGACGACCCCTGACTCAGCCCCGATGAACACCACTGTGTAGTTCTTGTGAGGTCCTGCTTCATTGTCCACAGCCAGCGCTGTCAGTCTGTACCTTCACACACAGCAGAAGAGCATGTGTTACGCACAGCAGGGGTGCAAAATAAGAGAGGCCATTTTGAATACATAAATCTGTCCGTCTGTTGAGGAGCAAGAGGTCAAGTTTTTTTTTATTTCTTCATTGCATTTTATATCACCATCTGGGCTGTTGGGAAACACAGGACAGTCACGGAAAATATGTGTCAATGTTTTTATTTTCACGTGTGCTAAATTACTGAGTGAGAGCAGTACCTTGATATCTTTATGCTCTCATTGAAATGTCTGCTATTGAACCAGATACTGGGTCACATTCTGTGATCTTTGCCAAGTTCACCATGAGTTCATCTTTGGGAGCCACTTTATAAAGGTCACCAAAGCATCACAATTTATTTACCTGACGCGGGTCTTCGTGAACCACGGCTCATCCCCAATAGAAGGCACTGCTGTGTCCATGAGAGGGTGGGACTTGATGAACTGCAGGGTATCGTCCGGGAACTCGATGGAGCTCTTAAAGGACGCAGCTGGACCGTGACCTGCACAGCATCCGGGTCTGAGATGGAGGGTGCACACGAGGAGAGGGCAAAAGGTCAAAGATCAGACCATACGATCACACACAGGGGAGTCATAATAATGCCGTGTATTGAGATGGATGAAAAGTGCAAGGGGAGGGCGAGAGCAGAGGAGCAGGTGCCTATTAGGATCACAAAAAGGCCTCAGCTGGAAACATAAAATATACATATGCATGGTTATCCCCCATGAATGATTTACCAGGGTAACGAGGTGCTCTGTGGACTTTGTATTTTGGACAGAGGGCAGGCCTATAAATACATGTGCTGACTGTAAACAGGTTAAATATGCAGCACGTCTAATTATGCCAAATTAATAATTCAATCATCAGCAGATGGTGAATGTGTGTGCTGGGTCAGAGCTAATAACTTGGTCTTTTATAAGAGAAAAAGATTTGATTTCAGCGGGTTCAGCCTGGACAAAGAAGGGTTAAGAAAAGGGGACCAAATGACAGGTGGTAAACAGCTGTTGGCAGGCACCACCTGCTTTTTTCTCTCCCTGTCTTGGCTCTTAGAAGGTTTGGGATTTTGAAGTTTTCAAAAGAAGAGAAAGGCTTAGTTCTTACCGAGGTTTGGGCAGCTTCTCTTCTGGAAAAGGAGTCCACACAGAGTCGGGAGTCTTCTGTTCTTTGAACCGGCCCCAGAATACTTTCTCTATATCGGCCATGGAGAAGGCACACACTGCTGACCCTGGGATACTGTGGAGAAGGAAAAGTGAAAGTTATAGATATTTTTCCCTCAGCTTTTCTCATTCCAGCTCCCCGTGTTGCTAAAACTGACTCTCAGCGGTCTCGGCTCACCTGTTCATCTGCGTGGTGAACACACCCACCACCGAGGGGACGCCGTTGATGTCGATGATGTCCGTGATGGACTGAAGCACATCGAAGTAGAAGAAGGAGTCCCCTGGCACGGAGCAATTCAGCCGCGCTTTCACAAAAGACGTCCAGTGCTTCTCCAGCACCCGCTGTGACCCGCCAACGTCGTTCTTACAGATCCGTGCCACCCGAGAATACACAACCTGCGAGGTGGAAGAGCGAGGCAGCTGAGTGAACGTCACTAAAAACACTTCAACAAGATGAATAATGCATCTGTCCATCCGGCAGCTACCAGGCACCACAACTTAAGCACACTCATCTTTAACTGTGTGCGTGTGGAGGTTTTTTTTTAACTAGACTGGGCCATCGCTGCCCCACTGCTGCACCATGAAAATGTGTGTTAGATTAGAAATATAACCAGAGCTTTGAGCATAAAGAGTGTGAAACAGTTGATTTCAACAGTCTGAATAATTAACCGGTGCAAACCTCCGTCAGAGGCCAGGTGTCACCAGAGCATTAGTGAGGCTGAAATATTTATCGGCAGATGACTGATGGAGGATCCTGGCTTCCTGTGGCTGGACGTTTGAAATCTTGAGTTGGCTTCAAACACAGAACATCCTAATGCCCTCTGCATGTGTCTGTGTCATAAGAGGGAGGCAGAAACAGAGCGTGCCGTCTCCAGATGAGACAAATCCTCTAGCTGTGTAATGGTTTTACATTAGTAGAAATCTCCTTGCGAACGCTGGCAGTTGAAATGCCTCGTGTATTCTAATGTGATTCAGTCGTCGCTTGAATAAGCTCCATTACCACTGGGGCCTTTTGTGGCAGGAAGGCATGCACTAAGGGAGGTGCAAGGCCTTTTTCTGGATGTGGAGGGGTATTCCTGCATGCCGAATCCGCGTGAAATATGTGTTACATCATAAACAGCAGGTGCACTTTCTTACCTTGCCCAGATTGCTGTGCTCCACTGCAATCTCCCGGTAGAAAAAGTACACATAATTCCCGTATTCTGCTGCGTGCAGGAAATGAGGTTCTGAGGAAGAGACAGAAGCACAGAGTTGAAGTGTATTTCTGCACCGTCACCACTGCCGCCGCGCATGTTGAATATTTCAGGGATTTGTACAAGGCTGTATATGACTGGGGGTGACCTAGATTGCCTGGGAGAGAACAGGCCATATCCCCACGGATCTTGGCAAGGCAGGAGAGCTCTCTATCACTCCAAAAACTAGCCCTGACAGCCTCGTACATACATACACCATGCAAAGGCACCATGGGCATTCAGCTAGCTGGCAGGTAGACAAGTGTATTTCCAGAGAGACATAAAGATTGAGAGTTATGGTTGGGCATTTCGCTTACCTTTCAGCCATTTGGAGTCGTATTTGATGGTCCTCAAGGCTGATCCATCACCCATGCTGCGATAGATGACAGAATCACTGGCCTGGAAGTCGGCTACAGTTGCAGAATACAGCTTCCCCTCTGAAATATAGAAGAAAAAAAAGGAGTACAGTCACCGAGAAAGTAGGATACACTGCTCTTGCATTCTTTGTTGTTTCTCTGCATTTATAAGGCCTAATTGGCGAAGCTGTTATCGCTGCAGGCACAGTTTTACTCTGGCAAAGACACAGAGGTGATAATGAGAGCATAAGCAGGAGCACATTAGTGTTTCTTCTGCGGGACTAACTATGTGTGTGTGTGTGTGTGTGCGTGGGTGGGTGTGTGGTTGACCCCTTACCAGCGAAAAGGGCAACGTTGGTTTGCTTGGAGTCAAACGGGCACCGTGCCAATCCATTGATCTCCTCCCCATCAAACTCGAGGTTATCCAGCTGAAGGGAACACAGCGATCACCCACACATTTAGAGGAGTTTTGTCAAGGGACACAGTGCAAACAGAAAACACTAAAACACCGGCCGGCAAATGGATCAGTCGAGCGAAAGTCAAGGAAAGAAAATTTATTTAAAAAGGAGCAACAGAAAGGGTGTGCTGGCCAAATTACTTTGTAGTTTGTGTAAGTGACATGAGAGTTCGAGAAACAGATACTCACCCTGTAGTATCTACACATTGGGTTGAAGCCGTTTGTACCGCAGATGAACACCAGGTCATCGTTTCTTGGTACCAGCACTTTAATGAAGTTGTGGCACTCGTCCTGATAACAGAAACACAATATAACTCAGCGTTTAGGAGGCAGCCGCTGTCTGACTGATTTAATGTGGTGCACAGTTACAGGGTAAAAGGTTGTTTTACACATACTCTGTGTTTTCCCCTGACGGCACACATGTCTCTGTCAACTTGGCCCGATCGCCATGTGAGCTTCTGTAATAACAAACACGGAGAATTAGAAACATGTACACACACACGCACACAGTCCTCCCTTTTCTACTCTCTCCTTTTACAGCCTGTCCAGTGTGTGATGAATGGCTCTGTATTTTGTATGAAAGTCGTCTAGTGTTTGTAGAGAAGAGGAGCAGCTTGCGGTGAGAGTCTTACCCGGTAGGGGATGATCTCATTCCTGTAGGATTCTCTCAGACTGACGAGGTACACCTGATCTCTGTGGACACGCAGCAAAGAAACACAAGGATCAGTGACAATAATATGACAATCTCGGGCTTCACCTGTGTTTTGAAAGACTAAAAAGTTAGATTTTAAACCCTCTGTGTTCTCATTTTCATTCTGAGAGGACCTGCAACACAATTATGTGATGTTTTTAAGATACTTCTTTAACTATACTTGCAATGAGAGGACCTCATTTACTGAGGAAATGGGTTTTGGGTCCCTTTTTGCAGTCACTGTCTGACCTATAGGGATATAAAGTGAGAGGAGAATCGTTCGCTTTTTGCATTTCAGACCCTGAGCTGTGTTTTCTGTCAAAAACAGTCATTTACCCACTTGAATTTGTAATTTTCCCACTCTGTCATTTGCAAAACAAACTAGATGTTGCAGAATAGCTACACAGTGGATTCTGCTTTTTGTGCAACTCTCTACGCTGTGAGAATCTCTAGTAGTCTCTCTGTTGCACTATTTCACTTGACATCTACATTTTTGGATTACACAGTAAAAAACTGATTTGTCGTAGTTTAATCAGCCCACAGAGAACAACCTTTGAGTAAAAACATGTGAATAACTTGCAAAGGAGGATTCACCTGTCAGTGGTGATACATGTGTTGCTGATTACAGCGGCTCTAAAGGTGGGAGTTTTATCCTGCAGATGTCCAGGTGATTTCCTGCTACAATATTAGTGCAGGCTGTTAGATTAATCCAACCGCCCATAAATACCAAAAAGACATGTAAAGATGCCAAAAAACCCTGACAGAGCGTCAGGTCGGTGTGATAGACGCCTCTCAGGAATCAATAGAGCCCATATACATCAGCTGCAGGCTGAGGAGCCATGGATCCAATAACACTAAGAGCTTTTTTCCCCCCCTCTTATGCCACTGTTTACCTGCCAAGGAGTGAGTAAGTGTATCGATGTGGGGGCATGTGTGAAAGAGAAAAAGACAGATAGAGACAGCGTGCATGTGCGTGTCGAGTTTACCTGCCAGCGATGAACAGTGTGTCCTGTATCTTGGTCATGAGCTGAAAGTCGAGGCGATGCTGTGACTCGTTGCCAGAGGGCCGGCCTCTGAACACAGGGTACCTCCGTGTAACTGTAAAGACAGCAACACACGCACACATGCTATTAATGGCATTCTCATAGTGGAGGCAGAAGATGCTCTAGCACGGACAAACAGCACTCTCCTTTCGCTATATTTAACTCCACTGTGCCTATTGGAAACACATATGCTCTGTGTACGCTCTACATGAATCCCCCAGCAATTAAGGTAATAGTACAGTACAAACACAGACTGTATATTCGCTTTAATTAAATCTGTGTGTCATTGTGTGTATGCCTTAGATAGTGTCTGCCTGTGTCAGCACATCTCTGTTCTTCCTGTACATCACAGAGATGAAAATTCAATCCTTTTAATGCTACAGCTGACCATACTGCAGATTGATTTTATTACTGTGGATACGGTGTGCAAGTGAACTGCTGACACGACTACAGTGAGGACACTGCTTCTGTTTCCCTTTATTCTCAGTGATTTGATAGAGTAAAAAAGTGCCTTTTTACAGATTTTTGTTGACTTGTTTTTCGTGACGTTGCAGCTCCTGTCATATACCCTCCCCTCTTTCCCGTCTCTGCTGAGTTCATCTGCATGCCTCTATACTCACAATGTGCGTCAACGACATCGAGGGGTACGGTGTCCTCCGGGAAGCTGACTGCGAGGAGAGTGCGTGAGGCTGTCAGCAGCAGCAGCAGCAGCTCACTGAGCAGAAGCACAGCTCTCTGGCCCATGGCTGCTCACAGACGACACTTCCTGTTTCACACTGGTGGAGATGTTACCTGGAAACACACAAAAAGGAGCACAATCAGCGCTCACGGCTGCAAACTGTGGTCTGATGTGGAGATATTCAAGTACCACTTTATCCTTTGTGTTCAATACCTGCTCTGATGTCTAAATTGATGGTATCCTCTGACTTTCATTACTGCTTATTTGTTAACTTTGCGCGACACAGCCGCAGTCACAGCAGATGGCTGTTCATCATGAGTCTGGTTCTGCTCAAGACTTCTTCCTTGCTACTCTAACTTGCTCAAAGCTGCAAAGTGCTCTGCTCATAGTGGATTAAGATAAGACTGAGTTTTATCCTGTGAGATGGACTGAATCTCATCCTTTTGTGATGTTAGCTCTTTATAAATGGTGTAACAGTCTAGACTTCCTCTTTCTGTGAGGCAACATTTGTTGTAAACTGGTGCTATATGAATAAAAATTGATTGATCGCACACTCTGCTGCTCAAACCACTTGATTTTTTTTGCGGCTAACTGGTTATGTTGCATTTACTGGCACACTTGCTGATATCTGATACCGCTTCACAGACTCAGATTAAGAGCTTTAGACTTAGAATTCATTCGCACAAAGAAATAAACCCCACTGTCTGCTAAAACACAACCATACGGTGCACATTATGCCCTCTCTGGCTTCTTGATGACTGAGCTCTCAGTGGCAGCGCTTGGCGTTTCCACCCCACCTCTCGCTGCATCTGCTGTCTAAGGGAAGGTCAGCCAACTGACCGGCGGGGTGTCTCGATGTGTTGGATGCAGCGGAAGTCCGCTCTGTCAGAAGCGTGGCAGGCCTGCTGTCTCTGTACATCTGTGCTCTGATTGGTTAGTCTCCAGGTCAGGCTTAACACTCATCAGCACATTGCAACTTCATCAACATCACTGTTGAAGCCTGAGCTCTCACATTAGCTGACTTCTATTAGCGCTCAGTTAGCTGTTAGCGCGCTAGCATGCCCTCTGGGCAGCTGTGTTTGTTGTATGAAGGGGTTCAGTCATGTACAGTTAAAATGACTTTGCAGTTATTTTTTGTACGATTGTTTGTACTTGTTCTCATTGTGGACATGATACGCAGGAAACTCCGTTAGTAATAATTCATCATGGGAGTGGCAGAGTTCATGTGTGTATGTTGGTGCATGAAGGAGTTCTTTAGAGACAGACTGTGTCTGTGCATATTAATGATCGGTGTACATTCAAATATTTATAAGGCAAACAAATTATTCATGCAGGCAAAGCTTGAACGGATATAAACAATTTACCGGGAGACGTCACACAGGCAGAGGGATGGATTAGCTGGAAGCACACTGACACACACACACACACACACACACACACACACACACACACACACACACACACACACACACACACACACGGCTGCACATACAGAATCCCCTTTTCAAATGGTGAAATGCAAAGGCAGACATGTGTGCGCACATGAACACACCAACACACACACACACAATATTGACTCATTTTTCAATTAGCCCCTAAGCACACCTGCTCCAGTGCTGTCTGTGTGCCCCGCCTGCCAAGCCATTAGTGCTGTGATTGATCCACACAGGAAGCATGGCGGATTAGCAGCAGGCAGGGCCAATCTATGGACTTTTACATATCACTTTCGCCACGTGAGAACTTCATAACCTACTATGTGTTCACTTTTTTAAGACCATTGTCTCATTTGTATCTTAAATTTTCTCTAAAACACATAATGAATTATTACTCTTTATCCTGGAGTGGAAAATCAGTTGATGTGAGTTATGGCACTAACAGTATACAGTGTGTGATCAGCTTGTCAGCCTTGTGTCTTTGTATGTACATTATATAACAGACACATAAAGCCTACTATATATTCTTCTTTTAAGCGCTGCTCTTGATTTCCACACTCCAATAATCTGTTTCTTGTCCTTACAGTAATTGTAGGAGATGTGTCACTTAAATAAATGGAAGCTGAGAGGATAGCCTCAGAGTAATGCCAGCATGTTTTAGTCATCAATAGTGTATAATCATGGCTATTCAGTCCTCTGTGGGGTACTAAGGCTTTTGAAAAGAGCAGTGTCATTATGATTGAGTAATGCAAGCACTGGACGACACAACGTTTCATCTCAATTCATCCACTTAATAGTGAAATTACAGGACTGATGGTATTGACAAAATAGAGACACTTAACTGGGGCTAAAGGCGGCTTTCTCTCTCTGAAGACACAAAAGATAACAATACTGGATCTGTCTCCAGATTTGAGATAAAAAGTGAAATCCTGGCACAGATCTATGCAGAGTCTTACAGATCTTTACAAACCAACAACTGTCAGCAGTTTAACCTAAAGAAGAATTGATGATGATGCACGGCTCGGATAAACAGCGGTGTTCCTTAAAAGCATTGCAGCTGTTTTCTTTTACTACCTGGTTGAGACGCTCGCGCACCAAGAAAGGTGCTGTATTAAAAGCCGAGCAATAAATCGCTGAGTGTGTAGGAGAAGCCTGGGACAGAAATAGATACCAGACGCACAACAATACAAAAGAAAAAAAAAAAGAAAACAGGAGCTATGAAAGGTAAATAAACCGAGCTGCACATTTAGATTCCACGGTGTTATCATCCAGGCTGTTAGGCTGAGAGTCTAGTCCAAACTCGACTGTGTCCACAGGTAAATCATTTCCCTGCTTGTCAGAGTCCTGCTCTATATCCCTTTTTCTTCAACACACATACATACACTTCTTTTTTTTCTGCCATTCTCCTTCACTTAACAATTCAGGAGAAAAACACTCCAACCAGACTCAGACGCCCCGCTCTGATCTCCCATGATTCCTTGCATGGTAATAGCCGCACAGCTCTGTGGAGGCGAAGGCTTTCCTCAGAAACTTTTAATGTAAAACAGAAACAGAAGACATTCAGAGGTCAGCGATCTAAAATTACTTCTCAATCTCTGGTGAGCCCCAGCATGTTTTCTATTGACTATTTCTTTGCACTCTCTGGTTCCTGCCCTCCAGTGTGAGAGAGCATGATTGTGTGTGTGTGTGTGCATGCACATATAGGCCTCAACAAGCCTAGGAACTGAGCTTGTCACGCAACGCAGTGCCATTCAGCCTTGCCTCACTCTACCTCTGTTATTACAGGCTTTTCAGTGTCCTACAACCACGCACTTTCCCTGCTGATGTTGTTGGCTCAGACCCATGGTGTTAAACATCGGGAAGGGGGAGGGGGTCTGCTGGATTTACTTTTCCTACTGATGGTGGGTTTTAGGGGTCTGCAGCCCCATTTCTGGTGGTTACAGCAGAAGATTTAGCCTTCCAAGCTCATAATGACAGATTAACACATATTTTACTCTTAGTTGTGCTTTTACTGGCATATATCCGCTGTAACTTCTCCAGTGCTGCGCTGAATGGATGTGTTGTTGCACGGAGGTCCTATTGGGAGGAACGGGGGCTAATAAAATAGGATGGCAAACAACAGCGGTGCGTGAGGTTTCGTAAGTTGTGTGTGAATGTGAAGGGTGGATGTAATCCCAGCATAACAATAGCTGCTGCTGGAGGCTGCTTGTCTTGTCATTTAGCACTGTACTGGAGTGTAAACGCAACAACGCAAGAAACCAGATACAAAGGAGTACAGTTTCAGACATTTGCATTCACACACTCGGTGTAAGTTTGTCTGCGTGTGCAACGGTTTGTCCGAAACTGGATTTCAAGTCTAAACAGTTGCTCTGAGAAAGCAATCAAGACGCAGCCACACAGGGAAGTGAGTCAGGCTGATGATTAGAGCAGCCACACAGGCCCAGAAATGATTACTACTCCATTTCCCACTCCAGCAATAACCACTACCCCTGACTGTGTGCTATTTACCTAAGGTTCACTTCTGAGGAGGTCGGGTTGGACTTGTTGCTTCAGAGATTTGGCAGGAGGGGAGCCCTGTGCCACCCTAAACCGTGCTTCCCTCCCTTTCGTGTCTACCTTGGCGAGAGGAGGAGGAGTGAAACAGGAGAAAGGCTGTTCTCAGCAGTAGTCCTGCTATAGAGGAGCACAAAGGGGGCTGAGCTGCAGGTGTGACCATGCAACAAAAGGGGCTTTGGGCAAGTCAACACAATAGAGCCCCACCCCCGTTTAGTGGACCTTAGTTAGCTGGAGCTGTTCTGAGGCTCCTAAAAAAGGGTTCAAAGCAAACTGTACAAACATCTTGTCTCCAAACGTTGCACATGGGGTTCAACTTTTACCACCTCACCAAATTGTCATTGCACAACCTGATTTCAGAGCAGCAGTTTAGAGTAACCATAGGGCTGTTGGGTTTAATGGCGGCTGTTCCGGGGTTATGGCCGGCTGTAGAGGAGGTTGACGGTGATCGTTCTGGTCGCTGAGTTGTGACCCTGCAGCCAGTGAGGCGGAGTGAGACACAGCAGCCAGCTGTGCTGTCAACAAAGCCGTGGCTGGTTCTGGTGTTTGACCCGGCCAGAGTGTGGTGCTCGTGCCAACATCAAGTTTGTGGTTTTTGTAGTTTCTGTACTTTAGTATCCCTGTGATGGAACCTCGGCCCCGCAGATTCTCTGGAAAGTGTTTAAATCTTGGGTTTATGTTTGTGGTCTTTATTTTTGTGAAGGGCCTTGACTAGTTCAAGAACAGCCACAACAAGGTCTGGACAAACTCCATTAAATGTGTGTCCTTTTTTTAGATTTAATTGAGTGCAATTAAAACTTCACAATCAGACCCTCGATAGCCTATTTTCTTCATCTTCTTCGGCCAATTTACTTCATTTGGCCAAATGTGGCACAAAGGAATAATTCTCTAACCTTCTCACACTTACAAGCCTCTTTTCGAAGCAAATGAACCACACTAATTGTCTCTCTGTCTCTGATTCTCTTATCTGTCTCCTCTTTTACTCACTGGGTAATTTTTCAAGTTTTGTGTAAGGATCCTGCTCTCCTCTTCTCTCCTCTCTCAGCGCACACAGCCCCTGCAGCAGCCCGGGCTCTGACGCTTGTATTGTGCGGACCGGGGCGTAAAGGCATTCAAGTTTTATCCGTGGTAAATCTTTTCAGAGCCCTTTAGCCCACATGTTGGACTCATACAAAAGACAACAAAGACGCGGGGGACAGCGGTGGAGTGACAACAGTGATGGGGCTTCGTTTAAACTGCCTCCACAGCTCCCAATGCATGCACGGGGCTGGGCTCTCGAGCAGTTCTGCCTCATAGGAGGTTGTGAGCGCTTCCCCAACATTATATTCTGGTATAATGTAATCGAGAGTACAGTAAGATGACGAAAGGCATCAAAGGTAAAGCGGTAAACAACATTTAAGTCAGATTGTCCGTCCAAGCCTGTTTTACATTGTTGGTTCTGGTGTTTGCTGGTCTGATCAGTCCAATCATTACGCGTGAGCTTTGTTCTGAGATTGTAAAATTAGAGAAGATGTTTCTCATTATAAAAGACTCAAATTATAAGTGATGGGAAATAAAAAGAGAACATTTTGGTTATTTTGACTCAACTATGCCAAGTTGTTTTAATTATCAACATAAAATGATCGCGTGGGACCAAAACTGGCGTGGCTCTATTTTTACTGATATCAATAGATTATTTCCCCCCCACCTGGTTTCCTTTTATTCATCCTCATAATAAAGTAGCTCTCCGGACAGGCTTATAGAACCAGTGATAATATGTTTCTTTATGATAAAACATAGAGTATCCTCCAAATGTATTGCATCAATGTTTAAAAACCACCGAGATCACCTACCTTAAGTGACCGAATTCACTCATGAATGGAGCAATCCGAATGAATGTCATATTCCTTTGGTAATCCATACAAGAGAAAACACCCAGCATGTCATATTCCTGTTATTTAAAGCTCCATCCGGACCACACTTTTCCCTTTTCATCCAGTTGCGCACAGATTTCAGCTCCGCTCGGCACATCCGAGCATTTAGCCTGCCTGCTCTGTGTCCGTCCCCGGGCCCCTGCGCGCTGATGACTGATCTTCAAAGCTGTGCCACGACCACACAGCCCCCTCCCTCATACAGCTCTACACCAGCCCCTTCCACTACTATTAACTTTGCAAAGACGAGGGAAAAGGCATAAACATTAACGACGCGCGATCCGTGATGCAGCGCGCACATGTTAAATCATTGATTCAACGTTGATTTCATATAATAGAGGGCGTGTGGAGGGACCGGGAGCATGATCTGGCACACATCCACCTGAACGCAAACAACCAGAAGAAACAGGAGACTGTGCCTTTTAAATTCTTAGTGACTAATCATGAGATAAACTTCAGGTTTGAGACATTGGTACGAGGTTTAATGGTGCGACTACCAGAAGCTGTTATAAGAGGGATTTGAGGCTGCTTAATTTAAAGGGTAAAGTGTCTCACCAAGAGAGAAGTGAGTAAACAGTTTAGATTTGGTTTACCCGGTTACACTGCTTTGTGAGCGTTGGAGAGGCGCTACGGTGCGAAACGGTCAGATAAACGCTGCCAGCGCCAAATGCAATGAATGAGGAATAAAACGGACTGAAGCATGAGTAAAAATAGTCCGGACCACAACTATTTCTGTCCTGCAACCATCAGTTTTGCAGAGCAGCATAGCTCCGTGGTCAGAAGAAATTTTTAGTATCCCAGCAAAGACTTCTCTCCTCTCTAGTTTCCCCTCGACTTTCACTGCGTAATGCTGCGCAACAAAGTAAATCCACGCATCGCCAAGAAAACTCACCTCATCTGAATTGCTTATTTTGTATCCTTTCGTGTTGCTGTAATCCCAAAAAGAATATTGTGCGCGTCGTAGTGAATCAACTTCTCCTGGCTGGGAGAAAAACAAACTAATGCACGGCAAATGGTGTAATTCGACCCGTGCTAAGTCAATCCATCCACACAGAGAGACCCGCAGCCTACCAATAAGCAGCGCTCTCTCTCCAGTCCCTCCCCCCACCATCCATCTCTCCTCAGTTTGGTTTGGGCTCCGGCTCTGCTTTGCTCTGGCTTCCTTCCTTTCTTTCCAAGAGCTCGGAGAGAAAGAGAAAAAAAAGCGACCCCCTCCCTTCTAGTTCTCCTCCTGTGTGACCCCGTATTGCCCCCCCTCCTTCTGTTAAACCCCCATCCCCCAACTCCAAGTCAGCAGAGTGCCTAGTTAAAATCATTTCAGCTGACTTGTGACTGCTTAGTAAAACACAGCTTTAGAAACGTCTGGATTCAAGAGGGAGACAGAGTAAAAACTATTCAGCCAGAAAAACACTGCACTACAGTTTGTTAGGAATATATTGTATTTATGAGACATTGCAAGAAAGTAAACCAAAAGTTAAGTATTAAGAAAAATGGCTCTTCACTAAAAGACCTTTTGCACATTTCAAGCTAGAAAAGAAAAGAAAACAGGATATTATTGGGTAGTAACACCTCGCTGAATGTCTTGGAGAGCATCTCAAACTCCCCTCATCCTGTTTCTGTTTAAACTAGCTCCATGCATAGGCATTAGGCATTCTACATGTGTATGTAAACACCAGTGTGAGGACATGTTTCCGTATGCATGCGAACTCAAAGCTGTCATCGGACGTGTCAGGTCATTCCAGCCAGGTCGGCAGGGCCCAACAATGGAGCCCATTTGCACCCCATTAAAGAGGCAGGTTAGCAGATGTGTGAGAATCTCTCCCACATGAGCACACACACTCTCGACAGCCCCCATTATTAGCTGAGAAAGTGGGATCTGCATCTCAATACTTGCACAGGAAACACTAGTTTGCACTGCTGATCTGCCTGATCCCCGTTTGGCAATTCTTGCATGTCTTTGTCCTTGCTTGTCCCCCTTATCCACCCTCACCTCTTTTTATTTCTTTGTTATCATATATTATTGATATCCATGCTCTTATTTTGATGGAATCTTTATTTTTCCCTTCAGCCTCCTTCATTGTTCCTCCAATCTCATCAGGGTAACCACAAGCCGTGGAGCCCAGTCCGCCATTTATGTGACGTTCATTCTCTTTCTTTTGGCGTCTCACGCTTCAATCCTGCCACTCAATGCTGCTGTCAGTCCCGGGTTACTTCTCTGTGATGTCCTTGTATCCTGTGGGGACTGAATCAGCACAGCATCTATTATGGTGGGAGAGCGGGGGGAAGACGGATGGATCAATGTGTCAAGAGTTTGCGCAGACGCAGGTACTGGGTGTCAGGATGGGTGAATACATGTATGGATCTGTGGGTGTCTGGTGATTGCTCGGCGTATTGATCGGTCCTTTTTCCTGGTGAATTGACAGTTTTATCATGGGTGTAATGGTAATGTGACACTATTCCAGTGGGTTTTAATAGGTTTTGGTGCTCCTCTGTCGGATATAACAATCCTCAATGTGCCTTTAGTGCAGTTTTTATGCTACTTGTTACCAATCTCAGAAGAGAAAAAGGATAGTTTAGGAGTTTTATATCCTATAGATGATCAAACATGAGAAACTGATGATAATTGTGGCACTGTAGAATTTATATGAGCTTGTTAAGAAATATTGCCCTTAAGTTTGTCGTTTTGTATCTTCTTCATCACTTTTAATGCAAAACAGATGATTTTTCTCAAGTTTTGATCGTGGGAAAATGATTTAATAGAGACACACTAACAAATGACGGAGTGATAGAAATGGAGCAGATGGGTAAATGACAAAGGTTTGAGACTAATTGCATATTTGGATTGATAGTGAGGATGGACAGATGAATGTATTGATGTTGGGAGATGGAGAGATGGATGGTGGGAGAGTAGAGTGATATGCATGGAGGGTGAAGGGGGGGTTTAGACAGAGCACAGAAGGCCTGTGCTAGTACTAAAGCCTGATATGCTCCCTGGGGGACCCTGCAGTGTGTAGGTCAACCCCAGGGGGTGTGTGAGGGTGGGCCTTGGGTTGCAGAGGAGAATGACAGGGCTTGGCCTTAGGTTGGGCCTGCTAAGGAGTGTGCTACCCTCCACTCGCTTATTTACTGCCTGAAATGCCTGTACAGATGGCTGTGTCAAGGATGGGGGCTGCAGGTTTAAGGTTGAGGCTGAGACCAGACATAAAGTTAACCACAAGGCTGGATGTTCTGTTTCAACATCACCTTTTCCCACCAGCTAATCAGAGGAATTATACGTTTAAAAACCTGACAGAGCAGTTTAGGAGATGTGTCTCGAATAGTCTGACTCATATAGGATTTAAACTTTGGGTATGTCTGTCTCTTTGAGAAGGAATCATTCGCCCTCTCTGTTAGGTGCTATTTGCAGGTTTTTAAAATCCCTGCTGGAATATGAAACACAACAACCTCCAGTCTAGCCGCTGACATGCTGAAAAGAACAAGTTTTTACAGAGACTTAGATTGTGAAACAATGGGTTAGGCTTTCACATCGAATTCAGCTTTAAATGTTTTCGCAATATTTCTGTTTTTGTGAGAATTTTGCCACGTCAATGCCAGGACTCACCTTCTCATGACACAATTTCTCGGTATACTAAGCCCCCACCCCCCACATGATTTTTTTGGTAAGGAACTCACATTACACTATTTGCTTAGCATCTACGATGACAGGGATCAGTTGAAAGAAAAAAAAAACTCTCCTCTGACCTGTAGGACCACTTTAGACGCATATGGCATTATTAAAACAGCTGTAGTTTGATCTGGAAGGACAAACCCCAGCTCCCTTATTATAATAGATGTATTATTGGTCAAACTAGAAAAATCTAATAAAGTTGATAAAACATGCGCCTGTCGTGGCAGTAAGTTCCTGTCATTATATGTTTGTGTCCTTTTCTGTCAGGTTAAGTTCAGTCACAAGAATTATATTTTGATTGCAATAAGCTATATTTGAAAGTACGGGTCTGTTCGGAGAGCTCCCTGCCCCTCCATGTATGTACGTAAAATGCCAAACCTCCCATTTTATGTGCATACAAAGGCAGGGAGAGCAGCAGCAAAGACAATACATGACACAGATAAAATCTGACAGCTGGGATGGAAGTAGGTTGCAAAGCAGTTTGAAGAGGAAGCATGGAGAACAGGCCGGCTAAAGCACTTTAAATAGATCAACCTTTTTGATGTTTGCCAATCGGATGCACTGAAGGTAATTGGCTGAGCTGTCCACTGATATCGGCTGGCGTTACAATAAGCTGATGTACTTTGGGCTGAGCCTGACTGTGTGGCCTGCCTGAACTAACACTGCGCTCAAATTTCCATGTGTTATTAGATGTTAAAAAGACAAAGCCAAGCTTCTGTAGCGTCCATATGAACATAAATTCAGTGACGCAACAAAAATACCTGAAATCGGCTCATTATTCAGAATAAACCTCCTAATTTTTACCCGAAATAGACCTGAGCACTTTTCAACTCTGTAACTAAAACTCAAACTTTTCCCAGTCAAAAGTTAAAGCATAATAAACTTTTATGGTCATATACTTGCCCCCCGTGTTCTGCTGGATCTTGGTTCAGTGCTTGAACAGCACAATGTGCAGCAAGGTGAGTTTGTAAGACCATGCCTGGAATATTAAAAACTACAAAATTAAAAGGTGTCAAGTTGAGTTTAAAGATTTCAAAGACAGCTCTATTGACTCAGCACTAAAGTCATAATGAAAAAGACAGACAAAGACATCTCCTCTGTGAGTGGTCCGGGTTTCAGAACAGATGAGATGACATTAGCAGCAGCAGCGGTGGTGGTGTGCTAACTAGGGTTGAAAAAAGGTTTGTGTGCTCTGTGTCTTGGCATTGAGCGTTCTATCAGATGGCTGTCTCTCAGGGTGAGGGCAGTCTGCTCTGAACCTCCACGCTGACCTCTGATTGATTAAGAGGCCATTTCTGGCACTCGGCTGGCCTGGGGCACCATTTGTCACCTGACTGTGCAGTCCTGTTGAGAAGCTTCGTGTCCTCCAATCTACATTCAGACCCTTTTTTCTCTAAATCTCCAACTCAGCCGGATCCACAAGGGCCACCCAGGAAAAAAGAATCTGTTCATTCACTCTGGTGCTGTGCCTTTTGGATGAGTGTAAACACCAAATGGTATGTTAGGTAACGAAATATGCTACACATGAAACACTTTCCCTGCAAATGAGACCTCACTGCATTTGTCTCAGGTTGCAGCTCTTGAGGAATAAACAACTTGAATTGTCGTCAGTAAATCTGCAACACATTGTTGTGAATGCAGTTTGATTTAACTTGTGTGCCTTTTAAAAAACATAATAATAAGAAGAAAATAAGTCAAACACTGTATATTTTCATGCTTGGATTGCATTTAATTAGCTAAAGCTTTGCCATGTCCACAGTATGACAAACAGCATCAGCTACAAAGCAATGCCAAATGGGCTAAAACTTTGAAGTTAGGATAACTAGACTTTCATTTCTAAGTTTTGGCTTGGAAAAATGCAAGATAGTAAAGTTTTTAATTGGTGTCCCAGTACTGAGGGGTAAAATGAGAAAGTGGACGAGTATCAATATCCCAAAGCTTCAAAGGACTTTTGCATCATTAGTCGAGAAGTTGTGTAGATATTGATCATAAAACCAGAAACAGATTGTATAATTTACACCAAAAATTGAGCTTGGTGTTAGTCCAGGCAGGCCACAGAGTCAGTCTCAGCCCAGAGTATATCAGTTGATCCTAATGCCACCCAATATCAGCTGACAGCTCAGCCAATTACCTTCAGTGCATCCACTTGGCAAACATGAAAAAGGTCGTTCTATTTAAATTGCTTTAGCCGGCCTATTCTTGATGCTTCCTCTGCAAACCGCTTTGCAACCGCATCCGTCCTGCTCCACCTGTTAATACTGTCTGATTCTTCCAGGGTCGTATGCATTGTCGCTGATACCCACTCTGTATCTCTGGGGTCTTTGCTGTTGCTTCCCCCACCTTGGCCTTTCATATTGAACATGTAGTACTTATGTGGAGGGGCAGGGGACTCTCTGGACAGACGCTTCTGCCAAATATAAGCACAGATAGCGCCCTGGAAAAAGGTATTTGGTTAAAAAGAAGATATTAAGATTTAAGTGCATGGATGTGATGAGGATATTTCATGATTATTTGCTTCAGTTCAACCTATTTGATATTTTAAAGGCAACATATCTGCAGGTGAACATAATGGGTATAAACTAAGTCTCGTCCATGCCAAGGCAACTTCCAAAAGTGCATACTCATGCTCTTTATATCTGTATGACACACTATATCAGTGTTTCTACTCATCTGTTCCAGCAACTCTTTCTCCAAAGGTGTTCTGAGAGGGCATGTGTCTGTACACCAAAAGTGAATGAAGAATTCAAGTTTGACTTTAACTAAAGAGCAGGTCACCACTGTTCAAATCCAAATGCCAAAGTTATAATAATACTGCCCTGAAGGTGAGCTGCATGTCACCGAGTGTTGATTTGACAATTATGTCATCCAATCTACTTCATCAGCCACCTTTAAAGAAAATTCATCTTAACCAAAGGTCAGGGAAAGTTTTACAGCCAACAATTTACCTCACTGATGTCAGCTCGGGACTGAAACATATTTCTATAAATTGCAGTGTAATGACCTGTGCTCTGTTTGCACATATTGCACCTTCAGCTTCTGTTTTTATGAGATTATTTTGTAGATGGGGCGAAGGAGGGAAACAAATCCATTCTGTCATAACTTGTTTTCTGCTCTAAATTTAAAGGAATTACAGTATCTATTTCGCTTTGATGAAACCCTGATGACTGCCACATTTACTCAAGGCAACACAGAAAAGGTATGAAATAAATTTGGGTATAATGTAATTGTGTTTATTAGAGTTTTCTCAGGGAAAATGAGAATGCTAATCATATTCATAGGCAGTGCTGTGGGTAATTTGCAGCCTGCGATAAGCTGCCATATCACTGTGAACTGCTGATGATTGAGTGACACACGTGACATTTTCGACTCATTACTTATTGATCCCATTTCAGTTCTCATCTAAATGTTTTAATCTGCTGAGCTATCGAGGGGCTCACGTAGAAAAGCTCTATGAAATGAGCCTGGATTTGAGCTCATAGCGACACAGTTGCCCTCTGTCTCATGTATAATATGAATGATGATGTAGCTATAATGCAATGCCACCTTGACACCATTAGGACAATGCTTGCAGCAATTAAGAAGAGCACTCCTGGCCTGAGCCTTACACCGACTTTCACTCTGTGTGGGAGGGATTTGGTTGTCGTGAGGGCAAAAGTTTTATTACTTCTGATAATGATAATAAATGCCTCCTCCCACACTCTGCCCTTCATTACAGCATTGATCCCCCAACATCTCTGCTAAAATCCATCACTGCAGCTCCGTTAATGAAGGCCCCAAACATAGCAGTCAACCGTGCAGATGATCCGAGACCTTGTCACGTTCTCCGTAATGAAGCTAATGAGCAAACGGAGACATTTTCTGACAGAGGGATATGACTTTATTTAAGGTGGAAGAGGATAGAAGCAGGATTTAGCAGGAAAGGAAGAGGTTGCTATGTTCACACGCTCAGAAGCAGGGGTCTATTCTGGTGTGTGTGTGCACGTACACACATGCACAGACACACACATGCAGGAAAGGACAGGTGCTGTGTGTGGTACGCACTGTATGTATGGCGAACAGCTGTGTGTAGGAGCCTGTGCGGGGCGCGCTGGGAGGTAGCTGTTGCATTCTCTGACCATACCACCGGACGCAGCATTTGACACAGACAGACGCACACGGAGGGCAGCTGCAAGGTGCCATTCGAGGGCCCCACGGCCAACTGCACCCACCCACACAGAGTTCACTGACTTCAGGGAGATATTCTGTCTTTCAACTCAAGGGTTGCAGACATATTCTGAGCCTTTGTTGGGCTTTCTGAAAAATGAATTTAGGAATTTGACTATACAAGTTATTCCGACTCCAGACATAACTTAAAGGAGAACATCTGAATTCTATTAAACCTGTCTGGGTTTAATGTGGTAAGTCTTTAAAAGGCTATTCTGGTGTTAAATTAATTTAGGGTCAAACACACCATGACACTGAGATAGACACCCTGTCGAAAGATGAATGTTGTCGACTGCTTGCTTCTCCAGTTATACCAACTTTTGTAACAACCGCAGGATAGCAATACACAGCGGTCTGAGGAGCCATAAACAAACCTCAACAAAAACGCCACTCTATGGCCACAAATAATGCTCAGAACAGCACCTAACTTCATCAACAGTACATATAGGGTCCCAGCCACAGCACTAGTGATCAAACATCTTTTTAGCTTTGCCTGATTTCTTTAGCAAACACTACTCACCCTCTCTTCCAGCAGACGCTTGTTTGTACGGAGACCTCTGGGCGAGTCCATTTAATGCAGTAGGGGGGGCGCAGCTCAAGGAAGAACATTTATGATCACTACTTTATCATTTCCTTGAAGTAATAATCATCATATTAATCATTTTGCACTGCAGACACAGTAGTTCCTCTGCCTTTTCCATGAGAGAAAATGATCATAAATTAAAAAGAATATTAAAGGAATAAGATTGTATGAGAATGTTAGTAACAAATCTAGGTATGAGAAATAAACTGAAGGGAGAGATTTATTCAATGCATCCGTCTCATTTTTAGCCAATGTTATGCAAAATCATGCTAGTGACAGCTTGGCTTGCAGCCCATCTCACCGGCTGTATGTATGAGTGAAAAAACACTTGATTCAAAAGTCATCACTTCATATCATTTGAGAGCACTGATCTGTTGCTGTTTGACGTAGCCAATCAGTGAGTAGAAAACAGTGTATTTTTTTTCTTTTTGCCTTCATTCTGATTGGACATCCAGGGAGAGAGAGACACTGCACTGACAACGCACTGAATCATGCCATGACAAGGATTTGATCCTGTGACTGTGACGAGGACTGTAGCCTCTGCACATCGGGCCTGTTCTAACAGTTGAAGCAAACTGACGCCCCGAGTTGCCGAGGGCATTTTTGCACTCGAGATGCTGAGTCGTGAAAATGCAGAGTGCCACAGGATTTCAGTAGAAATTAGGGACTGTTCCCACCAACCAAACAGTTCATAAACACAGGCCGTAACACATCCATGGTGGCAGTGTAGTCCACTGTAGGTTGCTGCTGTGGAGGTTGATCTTATTCAAAGGGGTGCCTGACAGTTTTAGGGATCAGGATTGGTATCAGAACATCTTCAAGGGCTAAATGACCCTGCCTCTGCTCTATATACTAAAACTGACAATAGCCTGCTTCCATTTTTTGCTCTGACTCCAAGTGGCCCCATGACCCGCCAAAGGGAGCACTTAAACCAGAACTGCTGGCCCAAATATTTACCTACCCCCACAACCAACCCTGCGCACCGCTCATAAGCCCCAGCATCAAAACCCTGTCCCACCTCCCATCCTGGCTGTCAGTCGCCGGCTAAGTCCTGCTCGGAGCTTGGAGGCTATCAGGGATTTAAGGGAAAAGCCCTTTATCCAGGGACTTTCTCTACAGGCTGGGGCGAGCAAATGTCTCATGTCAGCAAAACACCATAAACACCGCAAATGGCATCTTTTTCCTCTCAGAGGCGGCAAACAAACTTTTCTGAGACAGTAAACACATGGAGTGAAATGAATCATTGGAGAGACTGTGAGGCTGTAGTGCTTAATTATCCCTTTATAGCACTTTTTATTTATTTTTATTCTACACCTGTGTATATAAGCACACATTTTCAAAACCTGGCAGGCTTTTCTTTCTCTTGAGTGGGTGTACATAAAGGTTGCACTGGCGGGATGTAATACTGTGCGCTGATTAACCCTTTAGGTGGATTTTATAGGATAATCTGGGGAATTAAGCTTGCAGTTCTCAGGAATGCCATCAGCTTCTAGATCCAGACCAGGTGTCCACACACACTCAGCAGGACGCCACAGTGCGTGTGTGTGAGCGTGAGGGGAGGAAATGTCAAGGATGGCTTTGTTTACATCACAATAGCAAATGTTGGGTTTTACAAGGAGGACCACAGTGCTGGAATCCACTTTGCCTTCCTCAGCTCTTGCATTTACATCAACTGTTTCATGCTGATGCCAATTGTTTCAACTGCAGAGCAAATGTTAATGCTCACACCCACATCAGGCCTGCATGTCCTCCATTCCCCGCTATGAACTCTGCCCACTGTATCAGCTCCATTTACTGTTTTATTAGCGCCACAGTTCCCTCATCCAACGTGTACAGACAGAGTCCAGGAGATGTGCGAAATCCAGGCAGACAGACTAACAGTGTGTCCCAGAAAACCTGGTACCAAACAGTTCTGTTGTGATGAGTGAGAGACAGAGCCAGTGTCACCTGTCCCTTTAATAAAGGTGGCATTAAGAGAGGCAGTGGGGAGGAGAGCAGCTGGAGCAGGTAATCCCGTCTCTCCAGGTCAGCCATCAGACAAGCCGTAGCAGGCCCCATTCACTCCAGTCTAATTAACACACACCAACAGGGAAATCTTCCCTCTTAAGACCCACATCACAACGTGCACACCAACTTCCCCAGCCAGCCATTTCAGGGTTAATACTTTCCAGCCTCCACACTTGGGGGTTTGACCGGCTCCAACATGCTTCAGCTCCTGCTTCCCGACTTCTGTGTCACACCTCCTCAGGGGATCACGGGATAGATGAGTAGGCGGGATTTGAAAGAATTCGGGATCCAGATTCCCAGTTAGATTTCC